CAGTTCAGTATTTTTGTTCGTCCGTCCGGTGTCAATCTCCGCTCCGCTACACTCTCCTCCGAACCTCCGAACCTATCCGGAATCCCTTCGGAATATCACGAGTATGCGGATGTCTTTGATAAGGGCAAAGCCGGACAGCTCCCTCCCCATCGTCCCTATGATCTAAAGATCGATTTGGAAGAAGGAGCGGCTCCGCCCCTTGGCACCATCTATTCCCTTTCTCCGGTTGAGCTTGTAGCTCTTCGCAAATTCCTTGATGAGAATATTGCGACCGGACTTCTTCGTTCCTCATCCTCTCCGCACGGAGCCCCTGTCCTATTCGTCAAAAAGAAGGACGGCTCCCTACGCCTCTGTGTAGATTTCCGAGGACTCAATAAATCACAAAGAAAGACCACTACCCGCTTCCCCTCATTTCCGACCTTCTCGATTCTCCGAGCCGCGCTAAAGTTTACACTAAGATCGACCTCCGGTCCGCATACCATCTAGTCTGGATGGCGGAAGGAGACGAGTGGAAAACTGCTTTCCGGACGCGCTACGGCTCGTATGAATGGTTGGTTATGCCGGAGGGTCTCACCAATGCTCCGGCGGCTTTCCAGCGCTTTGTCAATACCATCTTTGCCGATATGCTTGACATTTGTGTTATTGTGTACCTCGACGACATCCTCATCTATTCCGCAGACCTTGCATCTCATAAAAAACACGTCCTTGAAGTCCTCCGACGCCTCCGGAAGCATCGGCTATATGCTAAACCGGAGAAGTGCGAATTCCATTCCGACTCTGTAGAATACCTCGGTTACCTCCTATCTCCGGCCGGACTTACAATGTCCTCCGACAAAGTCCAGACTATCTGCGACTGGCCGGAACCTCGGAAAGTCAAGGATATTCAATCGTTCCTCGGATTCGCCAATTTCTATCGTCGCTTCATCTTTAACTACTCGGATATTGTAGTTCCGCTTACGCGGCTCACTCGCAAGGATGCTCCCTGGAATTTCTCCGAGGATTGCCGGAAATCTTTTGAAACTCTCAAGAAAGCCTTCACTACTGCTCCGGTGCTTACGCACTGGATGCCGGATGTTCCTATCGTCGTTGAGACGGACGCTTCCGACTATGCTATCGCCGGAATACTTTCTATAGTATGTCCGGACCAGGAGCTCCGCCGGTTGCTTTTTACTCCCGGACCCTTTCGGCTCCGGAACTCAACTATGACACCCATGATAAGGAGCTTCTAGCTATCTACGAAGCTTTCCGGTCCTGGCGACACTACCTTGAAGGCTCTGCCGAGCCGATAGACGTCGTCACGGATCACAAGAACCTTGAGTACTTCGCTACCACAAAACTCCTCACCCGCCGCCAGGCCCGCTGGTCGGAATACCTTCACCAGTTCAACCTGATTATCCGTTTCCGACCCGGAAAACTCGGAGCTAAGCCCGACTGCCTAACTAGACGTTGGGACGTCTACCCCAAAGAGGGGGATAAGGACTACGCTCAAGTTAATCCACACAACCTCCGGCCGATATTTACCACAGAACAGCTCGCTTCGTCCCTCCGGGCATCACACCTAGCAATTCCGGTGCTCCGGACAGCTGTACTGATGGATGTCGAGCAGCTTCATAAGGACATTCTGTCCGCCCTCCCTAATGACCCTATCGCTTCCTGTCATCTTCCGGATCCGTCGGACCCGAGATGGACAGTGGACGAGAGTGGTTTCCTCCGTTGCGACAACTGTATATACGTTCCAGAATCCAATGACCTCCGTCTCCGAGTGCTCCGGAATACGCACGACCACCCGCTATCCGGACATTTCGGTCAGAACCGGACCCTGGAAGTTATCCGTCGGGAATATACCTGGCCCGGAATCCGCGCATATGTGAAGGACTATGTTAAGTCCTGCACGACCTGCGCCCGAGCTAAAGTTCCGCGACACAAACCATACGGATTATTGAAGCAACTTCCCATTCCTGAGAAGCCGTGGAATTCTATATCCATGGACTTCATCGAACAACTCCCTGATTCCTCCGGCTTCACAGCCATCCTGGTAGTCATAGATCGACTATCCAAGCAATCCATATTCATTCCGACCTATGACACCATCACCTCTCCGGACCTCACCCGGTTATTCCTCCTCCATGTGTTTTCCAAGCACGGAGTTCCGTCTCATGTTACTTCTGACCGCGGTACGGAATTCGTTTCCCACTTCTTCCGGTCGCTCGGAAAAGCGTTAGATATGATCCTCCATTTCACCTCCGGATATCATCCGGAAGGTGACGGACAAACCGAGCGAGCTAACCAAACCCTAGAACAATACCTCCGGATCTACTGCAACTATCAGCAGGATAATTGGTCGGAACTGTTACCCTTGGCCGAGTTTGCTTACAACAATGCTCCTAGTGCTACTACTGGAGTTTCACCCTTCTTCGCCAATAAGGGTTATCACCTGAACATTTCCATACATCCGGAACGTGATCTTTCCTCCGCCCGCGCACGGGATTATGCTATAGATTTAGATGAGCTTCACCAATTCCTCCGAGAAGAAATGTCCCTTGCCCAAGCAAGATATCAAGGACCCACGGACGCTAGACGGAAACCTGCTCCGGACTTCAAAGTCGGAGATCAGGTCTTCGTCAAAGCAAAATATTTCCGCTCGACCCGACCATCGAAAAAGCTCTCGGAAAAGAATCTCGGACCATTCGACATCATCGCTCGTCCCGGCACCCACTCCTTCACCATCCATCTTCCGGACGCTATGCGATCCGTGCACCCCGTATTCCATGTCTCTCAGTTAGAACCCGCAACTCCGAACACTATCCCTAATCGCATCCAACCTCCTCCGCCTCCGGTACTAGTCGACGGAGAACCGGAATACGAAATCTCCGAAATCCTGGACTCCAAGATCGACCGCCGGAGACGTCACTGCCAACTACTATACTTAGTACGTTGGGCCGGATATGAAGGGACGGACGAAGAAACTTCCTGGATACTCGCAACCGAACTCGGAAATGCGCCGGAACTTCTATCGGATTTCCATTCAGCATATCCGGACAAGCCGGGACCAACTTCTAACAAAGAGTAAGGAAAAAACATGCATATATGTACATTATTTAGGCGTCCGACATCCGGACTTCGGATCCGACGATCTAAGAGTCCATCTCCATGTCTCCGCCGGATCCGCCGGCCTCTTTTTCCGCCTCCTCCCCATTTTCCTCCTCCGGAGCATCTTCTACATGCATCCGGAAACCGCCCCTCAGACTCTCCATGAAGAGAGTCTGAAACTCCCTCTGCTCCTCCATGAACCGGAGCATGGTCTCACTCACCCGGTCCATCGCAGCTCTACTTCCCTCCGCCGCTGCAATACCCCTCTCCATCAGCCCATTCGTCCGGGCCAGTTCCGCAACTATGTTGTTGGCGGCTGCGACCCAGGCCTGGTCGTCGTACTCCGTCCAGTCTTGATCCTCTCCAATAACCGTCCGGGGATTGGAGACTATTTCTATGTCGTCGTCGATGTCCTCCGGACTGCGCTGACGTCTTTTTCCTTTGCCCTTGGGGCTTGGAGATCCCTCCGGACGCGCGCGTTTCTTGCCTTTGCCTTTGCCGGCCGGCGCCTTGACAGGCGGATTTCCGCCGACGCACTTTTCCTTGGACGCGCGGCACTGGTCACAAGTCCGGATCTTTCGGAAATCATCAGTAGTCATCCGGATCCGGACAAAACAGAAAAACTCACCCTAGGCGTCCTAGACGCTACTGCCCAGGTGCAAATCTTGCGCCTAAGGACGCACATCTCACACGCAACCTCCGGATCCGCCGGACCGGAGGACTAAAAATTGTTAAACTCCGGAAAAACGCAAAAAACCTCATCCGACTCACCTCCGACGCATTACCCATCCTAGCCTTTGCCAAACGCTCCTGCTCGCGCTCAGCCAACCTCTTCCGAGTCTCCTCGATATCCTTCCGTTTCTGCTCCTCCATCCGTTTCCGTTCCTCTTCCGCCTCCTTGCGTTTGCGTTCCTCTTCCTCCGCCTCTCTCCGAGCGTCCGCCTCAAGCCGCGCAATTTCGGCCGCCATTTCCGCCTGTCTCTCTTCGAGAACCTGCCGGGCGGTCTTCTTGTTGCCGGAAGTGGAGTTAGACATGTTAAAAGCAGTAATAGGAGTTAAAGGGAAAGTTTTAGACTTCTCATGGGCGCCCCGGCCTACTTATATGCTCAGTGCTATTTTTACGAGCTCCGCCCATCATCTCGCATTCATAAAAGTCCGGTCCGGACTTCCGAATCAGAAGCCTCGTGGGCTCGGCCCTAAAGGGGGGATACTGTCATATCCCGCGTTCCGGACCCGGACCTATCACACTCATCATTTCCGGATTTCCGGATCCGGCCGACTTCTATGTATCGTCCGGATCCGACCCGCGTCTAACTTCCGCGCCTTATCCCTTTGGTATTTCCCTTATCAGTTAGTACGCTTTATTTTCCGTTCCTTATTCATTTCCGTCTTCATTTTACTAAGTTCCGATAGACTAGTGATAGTCGTCCCATATGTTTTCTTCATAGCTTTACATAGCTTCGCACTGCACTTACTGTTCTCCGTTATGTCCTCAGTAGTATATAAACCCCTGTACAATCTCTGTAGTTTCCTCAGTTCGAATATCATATTAGACTCTGCTCATTCTCTCCTCCGTCCGACTTGAGTTTCTCTCTCGTCGACCTCCGCTCGTCTTAGGATCGACTCCGATAGACTTGACACCTCCGCCTCTACCTCTGGTAGTCCTCCGCTGTTTCCTTTCTAGTTCGGACTTCGTCCGGATTAGTCTTATCTCTTGTTTCCGAACGTCCGCCGGAATTCCCGCGCATCGGACATCGGACTCCGGACATCGCCCGACGCCCTCTGGACATCGTCCGGTAACCTTCGGACATCGTTCAACAACCCTCGGAAGTTAGGGGCACGTACTCGGGTAAGGGGCGCAGCGCACGAGCTGAAGCCAAGCCCTTCGGATCCGACCTTTGAGCACGTTCTTAACAGTCGGTCAATAGCTCGGAGCTCCCTGGAATTTTAAGACAAAACATGAGTATCATTTAGCATCTTAAACTTTATGCGCGACGAACCTTGATAGTCTGAAATAAAAGCTAGACCACGTGTCTTGACATACTGGACATGTTGGGTAAACGTGAAGAATAAAGCCAGATCATACCAGTAGTCGGATTCGTCGAGCAATGGATTCGCGTCCATATTGTGAATGTATTTCAGGAATTCGTCCTTCCCGCCAGGAATGAGTTCCTCTACAAGATAAACTGCACGCGCTGAGCTTGCCGACCACTTTGAGGCTGCTTTGGACGCAGGCAGTGGACCAAATGCAAACGCGATACCAGCATCCACAAAGCGAACCTGTGGGATGTTGAATGGTGGAGGTTCAGATGCGCTAGCCATAGAGCGATTGATGAAGTCGTAAGTGAGTTGCAAAAGTGACCGAGCCCAATAAAGAACATTTGCCTCTTTTACGAGTCTTTTCACCTCGTCTGGAAGAGCGTAACGGCCAATCTTGTACTTAAGGGATGTGCTGCTAGCGCCTGGTGGGTAAGCCTTGTAGTAAGCCCGCTTGACTGCAACATCATTGCGTGTCTTAGATCCGAAACCAGACGAGGGAGGGGCGAACAGGGTCAACCAGCCTGGGTGCGCCGTTTTGAATGCGCCAGCACCCAAAATGCTGGCCATGGATGGATTGATGGTCAGTTGACCCGTCAAGCACTCGACAGTCTCGATGTCATAGGATAGGAATTTAGGGTTCTTCAGCATGGCTGCGAGAGGGCGTGTGGGTATCGGGTAGTATTGGATATTCTCGTTCTGTAAATCTAACACTAGAAAGTACGTCAGAAAAATCAATATACTAGGAAGTCGACAAGGACTTACATTGCCTGACATCCATGTTCACAGTTCCGCCAATCCTCAGTGCCTCACTTAGGCCCTCACGATCGGGGCTCGGGCTGGCGCTGCCTGCTGCGAATTTTTTGTGGGGTGGTGACTTGTTGGAAGGTGTCGTGATAGAGATGCTGTCACTGCGCTGATGTGCTCTCTTTGAGGTCGTAACAGACTCTTCAACGGAGGGCAGATTGAGTTGTTCCGTCGCTGGTGATGCAGTGGCATGCCGAGCGACTCGGAGCGAATGTGAAAAAGACTCTTCAATGGAGGGCAGATCGACTTGTTGTTGTTCCATCGCTGGTGATGTAGTGATATTGCGAGCAAGCAGACGTGGACTCGGATGATAGCGACTGTCCTCCTTTGCCGACAATCAATTATACTGCAGCATTAATTGTGAAAATCTGCACTGACCTCAGTTTTCTCAAGCCATTCTTCGTACTCGCGCCACTGGGACCCAGGGACAACTACCATCAAGGCAAACTGCTTTGACTTGAATACCTTACACTCCTTACCGGCCCTCTTCGATGCTTGCCAACACTCTGCGTAAAAATACGGCCTATTCGCTGGATGGGTTGAAAGATCGACCCAGCCCGCATCCCGGACAACGAGTTCCCAGGTGCGCCATGGAAATTCTGGAGAGAGCGCAAGGATCTTTGGTAAAACAGTGTCGAGTGTGATTTTGATGAGGCCGGGGGCATCTATCTGCGCATGAATATCTTTTTTGCCTTCACGGATATTCTAGATAGATGTTTAATAAAATGAACTCATACTTAGTCTTTGAATACTCACTGCGATCGGTGTACCACGGCTCCCTTTGCGCTTCGGGGCGGCATCGTGCACAACAGAAATATCGAGACTGATTGTTTCTGCAAGTGATCCCACGTATGAAAGCTTCGACCAGTGTTCGCGTTCAGAAGCATAAGCCGCATGATTGACGGTATAACCCACACCATGGCCTGCGGAGGTTCCCGTCGGTATCGCAACATTTGGCCCTGACTGACTGCCTTGAAGGCCATGTGACGTAGCAATGACTCGAGGGGGATTGATTGTAGCTATGATAATATTAAGTATTGCATCATGCGAACAATAAGTGCCAAACTCACCAGTCCTTTGAGCAGCGTTGACAGATCTCCGTATTGCATGTAAATCTGGAGGAGGGCGCAGTGGTGGGGTTCGGTCAGTACTATGACCCATGTGACCCAGCGTGTGGAACCCAGTACCCCGACCTGAGGGTGTGGAGGAATCAGGACAATGAGATTGAGCAGACCATACAGAAAAGTAACTTACTAGAAGGTCTTACGGTAGTCGCTGCTTTCTTTCGGTAGCGCGAGTGGCATGAGCCACAGACAAAGCGGCCTGATTTGGTGGAATCAATAGTAGCGATGTAGAAGCAAGGGTCGCCCTTCAGGATATTCGCTGCACAGGCTGGCCGCTCGCATATGCGGTCTTCCTTGGCATATGCGTCCTCGGTGAATTGTGATACCAGTTCCATTACAGAGGAGACAGAAAGAATGAGGAGACGAGGTAGAGAGACTCAGAGCAATGGGCTTAGTAGGTACATAAGTGTCTTGCAGCTTAAATATCTTTTAAAACTCACTTGACCAGTTCCATGGCACAGTCTCCTTATCTCTAAACGCCCGACTCGGATCGACGTATTCTCTTTACCAGATCCGACGAAGGTAATCTGCAGGCACACAAATCCTCGTGTTCTTGAGCGACCCCAAGAAATCAGTGACAATTTTCCTATTGTCTCACATGCGTGAACAAGGCCTCACCTTTGAGGCTATCAGAATGCTGAAGAGTTTGTGAGGTGCGCCGGTCATAGTATGCCATCCGAGGAACAGCGCAAGGAGAAGCTCCTCGTATTCTTGAGCAACCCCAAGAAATCGGTGACAATTTTCCTATCGTCTCACATGCGTGAACAAGGCCTCATCTTTGAGGCTATCAGAATGCTGAAAAGTCTGTGAGGTGCGCCGGTCATATGCCATCCGACTTTGCAAAATGGACTTGAGGCTATTGGAATGCTGCAAGCTACAATGAACGGACCGGAGCCGATGCCATGTGTACGGGCAATTGAGAATTGCTTCAAGAATCAGACCAATAGTACTTGTGTAGTCTCCCGTAGTCAGACCTTGATAGAATGAAGACAGTCGAGTACTTGTGTGAGATTCCTTGTGAGATTCCTCGTGCCCGCTCTTGCCCCTCCAAGTTGCACACTTGCCATTTCATTGACTCAGATGTTATCTCCTCAGGGTCTAACTACCTGCGCACCTCGCAGCAGCCATATAACTCCTTCATAAGGGTAGGTGGGGATATCCTTGTCCTCTTGAGTTCCCCACACTTACTACTATACTGTGATTTCAAGTTGCTGCGCTTCACACCAATGCCAAATCAGAACAAGCCACTGCGTGAGTTTTCATGATTTTGATTACCTTGGTCCTCGAGCAATGAACTGTGATACAGTGCCATTGGAGGAAATCACACCTCACGTTCTACGCTTCTGGAAGGCCCGCCTCACTGACAAGGCAATAGTAGAGGAACTGCGGAAAGTCATCGATACTGACCGCTATGGGATCGGGTAAGTGGTAACTGCATATATTTTCAACCGCCGTGCTTATTTGCTTCCAGAATCACGAAGTTGAAGGAAATTCGATCTGATATGGGGCTTAAACGTGCACGGCAACAAGGTCACTCGGTTGAGACAATTCGGGATGCCATGCTCGACCTTCGACGAATATACCCGAATTCAGGATCACGAGAAATGATCAGCTTGTTGTTTCACGAAAGGGGGATGGCTGTCTCCAGGTAAGCTGTCGCACTCAATTTGTCATGATAGTTGATACTATCAATGTATTACAGACGTGTCATCAAGTCATACTTTGCTATTTACGAATCTGACCTAGTTCGCCAGCGCAAAGCAAGACGGCTTCGCCGAAAGCGTTTCTGGGCTGCCGGCGTTAATGATTTATTTGCCATGGACCAACATGACAAGTGGCTCCGGTTTGGCCTTGCCCTACATACCGGCATTGAACCATTTTCGGGCCGCATCATGTGGATGCGTGTCTGGCACTCTAACAGGAACCCCCAGCTTATCCTGTCTTATTACCTCGATACCCTCATGGAGCTCGGTCGTACGTATTTCAAACACACAGGCAAATCAATGTTATTGACATGTTTTTAGATATGCCTCTTGTAACTCAAAGTGATCTCGGCACCGAGAACTTTGGGATTGCCAATGGACACACCCTACTACGTCAGTGGCACGATCCCGCACTCCAAGGTACGCTCCAGCACCGCTGGATGCGCACCAAGAAGAACGTGATGCCAGAAATAACGTGGTCTCTGTTACAATAACATTTAGAGAGGCCCCCATACTCATTTTCCTTTGCTTCTTAAACGGGCCGTCCGTACCACGCTTATCTCTTATCATGCCTATCTCTTATCTTGCCAAAGCGGGCTGTCCGCCTCTTCTTTGCTTCTATCTTGATAACACATTTACAAGCTCCGCTTGAACACTGGTATATAAACCTACCTACCCACAGTTGTATTCTTTACTTTAATCTACTGGGTTTTACCTGGAACATTGTCCTTCAGCAAGGTCTCCAACCTTGCTGCCTAAGAACTACTATTCTAAGGGAGTCAGCGACACTCGCCTTAGCCAGAAACACTTGATCTCTCAATCGAGAGCAGACTTATGTCTATCTGGCATCCTGCCGATTGTCTACTCAGACAGAGATAGCTCGACTCATCCCAGTCGTAACAAAAGATTAAAGTCTTATTACCTGAACCGTTGCCATCTGCAACGAAACCGACACCACGACTTCGTTAACTCCTTTGATCGGAGCCTTGAACTTAGGAGCGCTACCAACCATTCCTCCTTTGAACGCCATGACGACCCAGAACAAAGAAATAGAACTAAAGATCGGTTCCCCTCCCGAATTCGATGGAGACAGAGAAGAATCGAAGAGATTCATGATGAAATGTCATGCATACCTCGACATTAACGACAAAGTCTACGTTGATGATAAGAAGAAGATCATTCTTGTGTTATCCTACATGACGAAAGGAAACGCAGCAGCCTGGGCAGAAGACTTCATGGAAGCAGCCCTAGACCCCAAGAGGAAAGACACCTCTGGACAAATGATCGGCTACGGTACCTGGGCCAAATTCAAAAAGGACTTCGACGAAGCCTTTAAACCCATGGACCCCGCCGGAACTGCCATGATGAAGATACGAGGATTAGAGATGAAAGGAGATCTCCACACCTATATCTCCAATTACAAACTCCTCGCACACCGAGCAGGAATGACCGAACAAGCCCCCCTCATCGAATTCTTTCGACAAGGCCTAGACTACGGGCTTCAGGACAACCTGCATCGGACAGGCGAAACTCTCGATAACTTCGACACCGTCGTCAACTCCTGCATTAATCTCGATAACGCCTTCCAAAGATGGAAAGCCATCAAGAAGAAAGAAAGACCCCAGCAACAGAAGAAGAAGAACTTCGGAAATAGACACTACGTTCCAAAGAGGGACGATGACATGGAAGTCGACCGCATAAGCCGTCTCTCAGACGCAGAGTTAAAGAAACACCTCAAAGAAGGACGATGCTTCAAATGTCACCAAGTAGGACACCGTGCCAACGACACCTCCTTCCACCCAAGAGAAAGAGGACAGATCCGAAGAAACAAGGAAGAAGAAAGTAGCAGCGACGACGAAGTCGAAAGTCGCGCTTCCTCCTCCAGGAACCCCATCAGAAGGAAGAAGGAGAGGAACGAAGAGGAAACTCCGAGAAGGAAAGCACCAGTCCGAAGGAAGACTATGAAAGAAAAAGCCAAAGAAGTCGAAGAAGAAGAAGACAGCGACTTCACTGAAGTAGAACGCCGCTTCGTGGAAATGGATTTTTAGAAAGGGACACTGCCTCGACGTCAGTAACTCCTGCTCATGTACGACTAATACGTTCTATCGGAACCAGAAATGAATTAAGAATTCCTGCATCCATTTTTTCCGATAAACGCGTACAAACCGTCGAAACATCCATGGTTATCGATTCCAGAGCATCCGGCACCTTTATCAGCGATACCTTCTGTAAAAGGCACAAAATAAGAACCCATAAACTCTCACGACCCTTCCCTGTTATCACCGCCGATGGGTCAGACGCTCAAGGAGGACTCATCTCTCGTTACTGCATACTCACGATCAAAATCGATCAACGAACCATGATCGGGAAATTCAATGTGGCAAAGCTAGCCAAACAGGACAAAATCCTCCTAGGATTCCCCTGGCTTGCTGCACTGAAACCCCAGATCGATTGGGAGGCCAAGACCGTATCACTCCCATCGATGAAAAGGTCGCTCGCCATAGAGAAAAACATTGACAGAAAAAGACGCAAGAAGTCACTCCCGCCGCTTTTCAGAAAAGAAAAAGAAGTCAGAAAAGAAACGACCCGAACTTGGACAAATTCCAAACTACGGAAGCCGATACAGGTGAAGGTGGCAACTAAGGAAACCACCTCCCCCTATACCGCTTCTGTAGAAGAAGTAGTTGATGAAGAAATCCCCAACTATGACACGAAGGAGGACGTCTGGTCAGAAAATTTCAAAACTCCAGTCGTTGACCCATTAGCCTATCAACTGGCCGACGACGAAGTACTCGTCGAATATGCCGCTGATGGCTCCACCGTACGCATCATAGAAGATATAACCTTCGATACCCCGCTCGTTCGAGACGGAACATCAAAAAGGGAACAAAACTACGGAAAGACGAGTAATAAAGCCCAGGAATTCGCGGTCGCAGGAGAAATAGAAAAACAGAAGAAAACTTTCGAAGAACTCGTTCCCCATTTCCTCCATCAGTATCAAGACGTCTTCGCCAAAGATGGTCTTAACAAACTCCCGCCGGAAAGACCCGGGGTAGATCATCGTATCGACCTCAAACCAGGATTCGTGCCCAAAACGTCAAAAGTCTATCCGTTATCAGGAAAAGAACGAGAAGCTGTCAAAACGTTTATCGAGGAAAACACCAGAAAAGGTTTCATCGTCCCCTCCAAATCACCCCAAGCCAGCGGATTCTTTTTCGTAGGAAAGAAAAGTGGAGAACTGCGTCCCTGTCAAGATTATCGGTATCTCAACGATTGGACTGTACGAAATCAGTATCCCCTTCCCTTGCCAAAATCCCTCATTGAACAACTCTATGACGCCAAGTACTTCACGAAGATCGACATAAGATCAGGGTACAATAACGTGAGGATCCACCCAGAAGATCGATGGAAAGCAGCGTTTACCACTCAAGAAGGACTGTTCGAGCCAACAGTCATGTTTTTTGGATTAACGAATTCCCCCACAACCTTTCAGGCATTCATGACCAACCTCTGCCAGAAGCAGATAAACCAGGGATGGCTAGTCATATACATGGACGACCTGTTAATCTTCTCGAAGGATCTTCAGCAGCACCAAGCACGAACCATCGAAATCCTCGACATCCTTCGAAAAGAGAAACTATTCGTTAAACCGGAAAAATGCACCTTCGATGCGCGAGAAGTAGAATATCTTGGAATGATGATCCGACCAGGAGAAGTAGGGATGGAACCCGCCAAAGTAGACGGAATTAAACATTGGCCAACCCCGGGGAACCTAAAAGACACACGGTCTTTCCTAGGATTCTGCAATTTCTACAGGACGTTCATCGCTCACTACTCGGATATCGCTCGACCCCTTATCGACCTCACGAAGAAAGACCACCCTTTCGTTTGGACTGACAAATGTCAGAACGCCTTTGACCACCTTAAAAACGCCTTTTTATCGCAACCAGTGCTAAGAAACCCGGACCCAACTCGTCAGTTCGCAATTGCTACCGATGCATCATTAGCAGCAACCAGAGCAGTATTGCTGCAGACTGATGACAATGGAATGTACCACCCATGCGGTTACCTATCCCAATCTCTCAACCCCGCAGAACGAAACTATGAAATCTTTGACAGAGAATTGCTAGCGGTCATTCGGGCACTCTCGGAATGGCGCCATTATTTGGAAGGAAGCCCCCACACCGTGATAGTATTCACGGATCATATGAACCTCCTATACTTCCGCTCCGCCCAAAAGCTGACACGAAGACAGGCGCGTTGGCAACTCGTCCTTTCCAATTATCAGTTGGAATTGCATCACGTCGCAGGAACCAAATTAGCCGCTCCTGATGCCCTATCTCGACGTCCGGACCATTCACTCGGAAAAGATGATAATGAGAATCGCGTTCTCCTCCCCGATACCATGTTCGTACGACTCATTGACAATGATTTGTCAGAAAGTATTGCGCGCCACTCCGCTGAAGACCCCATATACCAGACCGCCTTGGAAGCATTGGACGGAGTATGCCTTCCCCCGATGAAATCTGCCCTTTCCGATTGGACGTGCATCAATGGTGTCCTCTTTATAAACATAGAGCTTACGTACCAGCAGCCCAACGGCATGACGTGTTATTCAAACACCATGATCATCCTACGGCGGGACATCCCGGCCGATTTAAGACAGAAGAACTCGTCAAACGAGATTTCTGGTGGCCGGCCATGGGAACTTACATCCGTAAATACGTCGACGGATGCGCGTTGTGTCAGCAAATGAAGGCTGACACACACCCTGTTACCCCGCCATTGCGCCCAATCCCCTCCACCGCCACTCGCCCTTTCTCCCAAGTGTCTGTCGACCTTATCACCGACCTTCCCGTCTCGGGCGGTTTTGACTCTATCATGATCGTGGTAGATCATGGGCTTACGAAGGGGGTAATTATTTCACCATGCAACAAAAACATCACCTCCGAAGGAGTGGCCAAACTATTTCTCAAAAACGTGTTCAAAAGATTTGGCCTCCACGAGAAAGTGATCTCAGATAGAGGACCACAGTTCATTTCGAAATTCTCTCGAGAACTTGCCCGACTCCTCGGATATCAGATTGCCGCATCGACCGCCTACCACCCCCAGACAGACGGACAAACAGAACGACTCAACCAAGAACTAGAAACCTACTTACGGATCTACTGTAGAAGCAATCCGTTAGAATGGTCCAATCATCTCCCTATCGCCGAATTCGTCCATAATCATCGAAAACACGATGCCAGGAATACCTCCCCGTTCTTCCTCATGATGGGTTACGAACCACGAGGAATCCCACACATCTTATCAGTATCAGACACGCCGGCAGCAGAAGAAAGACTTAGGAACCTCCAGAAGATACGAGAAGAAGCTCTTGCCTGCCATAACATCGCTATGCAACGAATGGCAGAAAGGTCTCGCCAGGAAAAGTACCGACCATGGAAGACGGGAGATAAGGTATGGCTCTCAGCCACCAATCTCCGCACATCATTACCATCTAGGAAACTTGCGCCCAAGAGATACGGACCATTCCCTATCACCGCGGTCTTATCGCCCATCACGTTCACCCTGAAACTTCCAGAACAATGGAAGATCCACCCCACGTTCCACGCTTCTGAACTATCCTCCTATCGCGAAACAGAGATACACGGACCAAACTACGCCGAACCACCACCTGACGTTATCAATGGCGAAGAAGAATACGAAATAGAAGCTATTCTTAGCCATAAGGGTACGGGTAAACGAAGACGCTATCTGGTATCATGGATAGGCTACTCCCCCGGAAGCAACGAATGGATACCCGAAGAAAACTTGCGGAGTTCGAAAGAACTCTTAACCACGTATAAGAAGAGACACAAGTTGAACTGAACGAATCATTCCCCTACGAACAAATCCCAAGTAACATGTCTCCACCCTTGACACCTTCCCCTACTGGATCATCATCATCATCCTCGCACTCACTCGGAAACTCTTCGTACAAAACGAACATCCTTAACCTGGACGACGACGCCATCGTCGAGACCACTCTGCTATCCCTTCCCCACGCAATTGAGCTTGAGAAACAGCTCGCTGAAGCACCCGCGTCCGCTGCCGCCCCTGTCATATCCCAGATTCACATCATACGCGCCACCGCCGCTCTTGAACTCAGACTCAAAGAAATCGAAAACGATGCCCTCAGACTCGCATGCCAGCACCTCCAGAGACAAATACGCAGCCTTGAGATTCAGCTGCTTCCTTCTGCTTTTAGCACTATCTGCAAGTCAGTTATACGGACTGTTGAAGAACGAAACCGGACCGAAGTCGGTCGCCCGCCAAGCCCTTTTACTAGCGCTCCCCCCAGCAACGTACTTGCTGCAGATACGGCTGGAGAAGAGACTCAGCCTGCTGCTCAACCGACACCAGTCGAAGAACCACTCCCCATCCCCGAACCCACCGTCGTCTTCAAACGAAAGACCTGTAGAGGGGCTACCGTGCACGGAGTGTCAAAGACTAGAGCTTCTAAGGGAAAGAAGCGTGAAGTCATTGACCTCACCGAAACCCCCGACGTCATCACTGTAAAGCAACCCCAGTTTTCCGCGGACAATTTCGTCTGCCGCGTCTGCAAGAAACTTGGGCACCGTCACAAGAATTGCCCTGAATATTACTGTCGCATCTGCCAGGCCCAGAAACCCGGCCATCTTTCTATTTATTGCCCTTACGCTGCGAAGAAAGAACTATTCCCATTGGTCTATACCGATGAAGGCTTCTATGAAGCACCAGCGGCATGGGAGGCCAGGAAAGATGAAGAACTTCTGGAAGAAATAAAAAGGGCGAACCGGGATTACGCCACCAGGTATAATGAACCAGAGTTCTGCAACGCTGACGCAGATCCCATCCACTACGACTACATGAACGAATACTGCGACACCGAAGAATAATTGAAGTCGGAGACTTCAACCGTAACAGGGGGGTAATGTTACAATAACATTTAGAGAGGCCCCCATACTCATTTTCCTTTGCTTCTTAAACGGGCCGTCCGTACCACGCTTATCTCTTATCATGCCTATCTCTTATCTTGCCAAAGCGGGCTGTCCGCCTCTTCTTTGCTTCTATCTTGATAACACATTTACAAGCTCCGCTTGAACACTGGTATATAAACCTACCTACCCACAGTTGTATTCTTTACTTTAATCTACTGGGTTTTACCTGGAACATTGTCCTTCAGCAAGGTCTCCAACCTTGCTGCCTAAGAACTACTATTCTAAGGGAGTCAGCGACACTCGCCTTAGCCAGAAACACTTGATCTCTCAATCGAGAGCAGACTTACGTCTATCTGGCATCCTGCCGATTGTCTACTCAGACAGAGATAGCTCGACTCATCCCAGTCGTAACAGTCTCAGCTTCGGCGTCGTTTCACACCCGGTTTCGAGAATCTTTTGGACACTGGTGTGCACAATGGCTGGTATGATGCTGGTAATACCCTGCAAATGTGAGTGATCATATCTTCGCTGGTATCTACACTTGATTGAAAAAATTCTTTGAATAGTATGATTTTCCGCTGGATTTTTATCCCATGGTTGCAAACAGAGCTGAATGCATACAAGGATCGTGTTAATAACACCGCGAAACGGCGCGATCGTAACAAGGTGTTACCACATGGAATTCCGGAGCTGATATATAATTCGCCTCAAGACTTTGGAGCGCTTGATTTCAAGGTATGTCTTAGTCTGGCTTGGCATTGTTGACATAGGACTAATTCACGTGCTATGTGTACTAGATCGGCATTGAGCCAGGTGCTATTGATGGTATTCGTAGTGCCTATATCAACCCTTCGCACACAGTATTTGACCTTGTGCCGCCAACTCTCGGTGATCACCTTGCTTCTTGCTACGACCACTTGGGGTGTCCCATCATCACCCGCGACTCCGTCTGGGGAGTATACTTGGATATGCTCAATGCCATCCAGCTCAGCGACAATTTACCTGCTGAAATCACGCCTACAGATGATGATGAATTACCTTTGCTCGCGAATCATGAAGACTTACATTTCCAGGAAGACGATAGCGGTTTTTATTATATGGGAGGGGTCCGTGGTGGGCGCGGTATAGGTTGGGTTCTTCACATTGATTTTTACGTGTAGGGTCATGCTAATTCGTTACAGATGTTTCTCATCACAGGCAGCTGGATGCTTTACTGGCTGATGACGAACCTGACATTCAACTTGAACACGCTGATGCAGTCCTCCAGGAGGATTTCAATGGTTTGATTGTGTGGGAGTTCACGGATGACGAAGGGGATGATAGTTTAGACGAGTGGTGATTTGTCGTGAAGTAGTTGATTGATAGCCGGACAGCCGCGCTCTGTTTAATGACCTATAGCTCACTGGTGCTCACAACAAAATCCGCGTACTGAGAAGCCTTGAGAAAAATAATAAAAAGCAACATCAGAGGTGTTCGGAGTCCACAACTTGTGACTACCGTTTATGGGCCATGTCACAGGTGGTAACAGAGCGCGGCTGTTAGGCTTTCCATAACCGATAGAGGCGTCTTATGAGTCATCACATATCGGTGGAGTCGGTCGCTAGCCTCGAACACATTGCGTTAATCGAGCCACTTACTGCTATTCTGACTGGGCGATAACTTAAACCCGAGGACATTCGCTGTATATCTACGCAAACACTGGTTGGAACCTCTTTTAAGTAACACAGCAAATGCAAATGTGCAGATCTCCGGTGAAATTTTGCAGCAAAAATATCGGTCGTCGTTTACAGCAATTACGCCCTGTTGTTGGACAGGCGATACCTTGAAACAAAGTAAGAATATCTATGACATTTGTTATACTAGTACTCTTTCAGACTCTTTATCCATGACATTAACCGCTCAGCAGCTAACCTTCATTCCAAATACCCCGTCACACCCTCAATCTCACCATGAACATATACTCGTAAGCATAACTTTTCACCACCACCCATTATTCGAGAGCCTACATTTCCAATAAAAATGTCACAAAACGAACAGCGAGCATATGCTGGAAATATTAATATTCATGGGCAGCAGCCCAACTCGTGGGTACAAGAAGATGCCCTTCAGGTCCGTGAACGATTTCAGCGGACGCCAATTGGCACAATTCCGAGGATCTGATATGTGCACGGATGACATAATGACGGCACTTCACGACTCCGCACACGGAGCAGCAAACCTTTACTCCAAGATGAGTGAGGATGTGCCTGGCCATGTTCCCCTTCTTGAGCACTTTGGAGCAGCCGCCCCATGAGCAACGTTTTCTGGCACTGGCCGGACCAGTGATATCGTGCAGTCGGATGTGAGCAGAAATTGCACGGGTTGTTCCTTCTACAGATATGCCACAGAGGGCCCCCTGTAATTTGCACTCGTACACAACAACTGGTTGGCCACTTTGTTCGACTCGAAATAAGGTTTCGGGATCCACGTCAACAGGCATGTATCAGACAGTGGATCGTCGAAGGACAGAAGCTGTTAGGTGAGCTTGTGAGAATGATCGAAGGATATAAACTATGCTGCTGATCAGCATCAATTATCGAGTCACTCTTTGGAAACTACCAAACGCACCAGAGGTGTTTAAATTGCTTAAGAGTGCTGTCAGAGAACTCTAGAATGCTACAAGTAGGGAGGGCTGGATCCTTTGAAACTTGAAAGTGAAGTGCTCATCCTCAAGTTATAAAGTTCCTCTGTCACAGCCTATTGTGAAATATCTTAAAGTGAATATCGCTGACTTGCCGCCTTGCGCAGGGTAGGGCCGGGTCCACCACTTGCCGTGTTCATAGCATAAGCGACTATCGGGCCGCTTACCCATCGTAACGTTGTCGATTACTGTGGTCCGATGAAAATGGATCAGGCGAAAACCTGCCTCGAAACAAAATTCTGAATCAGACTAGATTCATATCTGAATCATGGTCTTTTGGACGAACCGCCTTGCCTGAAAAATGAATGTGTGAGAAGGCATTCCCTTCTCACTGATCCACGAGACTACTAGAATCATGAGCGCTGGAAGATAAAGTTCGGCTTTCTTCCAGAGAATCCGCCAGTTTCCGTAGGGTGCTTTACGTTGATTCTAGTGCTTCTCATCGGAATTCGACTTTATCGGCACATAAAAGAATATCAGCAGCCAGTCTGCCAGCGTGTATTTCCGACAACGATCAGATCGAGTCCTTAGCACTTAACGCGACACTTTCGAGATTTATCAAGCTGCAACAGATAAGTAAGTATCCACGTGAAGAGTCCATCAGAAACGCACAGCAAGACCGACCTAGCAATCCCGGACCCAAGACTTCGGGGACCTGAGCACCTCCATCATCTTTCCTTCGGCCGAACCACTTTCTTCAAACATATCTGACATATACTCCCATCTTGCCATTTCTGGCATTCCCATCAGCACGTTCTCCACATTGACTCCGGGTGCAGCTAATCCAAATTTAATTCCCCTCTCACAAACGAGGTTAAATTCAACATATCGCCCACGTCGGAGAAGCTGCCAACGGCGCATGCGTTCATCTGAAGGCATGATTTTCCGGCGATTGAGAATGCTCATATAGGAGGAGGTGAATACATCTCCGAGAGCACGTACGAATGCGAATATGTCATCTGCTGTGCGGGGGCGGGCTTCCCCATCTACCGAGCCTAGAATAGTGTTCATCTCGTCGTTTAGGTCATCAAATCTGATCCCTCCAATACCACGATACTCCTTGCGATGGGGAATAAAGAAATGATCGTCGCAAGACTGCTTGAACTTGGGATACAGGGCTGTCCCATAGGCGTCGCAAACCGCCTTCAGCGTCTCATGGAACTCCTTCGCATCCTCCTCGAACAGGTATGATGGCGTGAGATCTGTGATGCCACCGAACCACCACCCGACAACCTTTGCATCCTTCTCTGTGGAATCCATTACCTCAAAGTACCTGTAGTTTGCGTGCGCACTTGGTGCATTCGGATTGCGCGGATGTACGATTAAGCTGATGCCGCCAGCAAAGAAGGGAAGGGCAGTCGTAGTATTGACATTCAGGGATGAATGTTCACTGCTCATTTGCTTGATCGCAGCTGGGGGGAGTGTGCCGTGGATCATGGAGATATTGACGCCGGCTTTTTCGTAGGTGGCATCATCTCCGGAAGAGGCATGTGTGCGCGAGATGCCACCACCGCCTTGCGGACGTGACCAGGTATCGCGTTTGAACTGACACGGAGAGACTGAGGCATCCTCAAGAGCACTGACGATGTCGTTCTGGAGTTGGGTTATATAGTCAATGACGCGCTGCCGCATCGTAGTCGGGATAGGCGACAACTCGGAATTCGACATCTTTTCTTTGCGTGGGTGGCGATCAGTGTTTGCGTAGGAATCAAACTCATGCCTACCTGTAACCTTGCAGGTGGCCTACTAATTGTTTCCTAGTATAAAACCGCCGCGGAAACAACTCACGTTTGGGATCTCTGGCCTCCAGCTGACCAAGTCCCCACGCGGGGCTGGAGCGCTTAGCGCTGATTGCCAGATTGATGATATGCGGAACACTGATGCGAAAATGTAAATTCCTTGTCAAGTCGCGAGCGCCGAGGCGGCGACTCGGGTTGGATTTAACCTCAAATGGAAAATTGAGATTTACTACGTAAGAATGTATATGTGGACATTAATATTTAATATTTAGTACTAAAACACAAATACAAACACATGTAAAATTTGATATCCAATGCCATTGCGGTACAGATTCCAATCATCAATGCATCACGAATGCTGCAGATATATCACCAATCTGTCTGGCAGACCCTACCTCAATAAATACTGACCACTGGACGATGTAGCGTGCAGTGAGGCTCGATTGTCATCGCATTGGAGCGGCATCCAAGTTTACATAGTAGTAAACGGTGGGATTCTTCAGGTGACAAGTTTCCCGCCCCAGATCGTTCAGATTCGGCTTCGAGTCTTCGTGGAGACGTTCACGAACTTTATATAATGGTTCTACCTTTTGAAGGCTGGTCGTGTCCAGGTATCAGTAAGTCTTTCATCATGGTGTTACTTCTCTGCTCATCCTCCAGCGAGGTTTACAACCGGCGTACTAGTTTTGCATGCTGCAACTCTCTTGTGCGACTTACGCGATGTACGAGGATTTGAGGCTATTTGAATTCTGCAGTCGTCATGGGCGGGCTCCGCTCCTCCATCAAAAATTCCTTAAGGATACAAACAACAGTTTTGGATTGCTTGCCCAGGCCTGCCCTCCCAGCCGGCCGCGGGCATATGCCTTGCGCGCGAGATTAACTTTTTTCCAAGTTCCCACTTACAAAATCTTTTTGATATGTCACTCGATTTAGTCTGGCAGTGTCCTTGGTGCCTGGGTCCCCTTATAAGCGAAGGGACTCACCAGATGTCACAGTCAGACGTTTATCATGTCAAGCAATACAACCACGATTTCCCCAGCTATCATAGTGCCTCCGTCGCCTCCGCCTGGGACCAATTATATTGCAATAATACAGCCATCTCTGAACTCGATCATGATTGGACACACCTTCACTGTCATTCTGATTCCCCTGATTTTTGCGCTCTTTTATTTCTCCACTCCACTTTCACGAAGAAGACCCATATTTATTCTCAATGTCATAGCCATCATTCTGGCATTTACTGCTGGGATTATGATCGACAGTCTTGCGGTCAGTATCATTATTGTCTCTTATATATGCATAACATTGATTCGATCGCAGATTCATTCAATGCTGTCCCCATTGGACGCATGGCCGCCATCAGTGCGACTTTTTCTCTCTCTCACTGCTGCTTCTTACATTCTCATCCAGGTTAACATCGCTATTGGAATTATAGGCGCATTTCAATCGATCCTTGTTGACCTTATCCTTCTGCTACGTCTTGCACTGATATACCCTTACACCATTGTGGGTCCGAAACGTTTCGCCCTCATCACCACACTTCCTGTACTCTTGAAAATTGCGCGCCTCGTCAACATGTTTTTATTCATTAAAGTTCTTGCGGATGCTGCGCGTGGCCCGACGGGAAGCGAAAACATCGCAGTGGTGTGGGCCACTACACCCTACCTCAAGATTGAGTGGTCAGCTCAGCTCGTCGATAATGCGTGGGTGTTTCAGCTTTGAGAGTAGGTCAGATGGTTGAAAGATTGCAGCTATGCCTCCATAGCCTTCCTCTGGGCAATCCGTCTTCGAAGAAAATATAGATCAAGTGTTGAGAGTGAAATCAGCCCACGGAGAAGTATGTTGCCAATTTTTGTAGGGGTTAAGTTTGCGTTAACACTGATACCTAGCGACGTTTGGGCAACGCATGCGCACTCTTTTCTACATATCGGTCTCTAACTTCGTCTTTCCTTCTCTCTTGTCCCTCGCACAGCTGGTTGTTGTGTACAAAAACGTATACGTCCTCACAGTCAATGAGATCGTGCTCGTCAACACCATGGTTGCTGTCATCGGTGTCGTGTTTGCGACCGTATGGGCCGGCTCTGTAAATTACCAAGACGAAAAAACCGAGCCTGACGGCGTGTTTGAAAAAGCGCAGGCTGCGTCGTTTGATGGACCAGGAACGTGGAAAGTCGCCACAGTCCAGCCTAGTTTGACAATGGGATCGACTGCTATTACTGAACGGATGCGCACCACGGGTGGGGAGATCAGGCTCGTTGACACGAATCAAACTTCAGGTGAGTAATTGGCAGGTCCTTCAGGGATTATTGGTTTTAACCCTGCATTTTTAGACATCTTTTCGAAATCTTCTGCAGGAGATTTACGAGGACAAGGCGCTTTCTAATTAGCGCTAGTCCACGGGCGTCTACATACATTGTATGCGATCGTGGCAAGCATGCAAAAACGAAGTAGGTGTTATGCTACACAGATAATTTATTGGTCAAAGCGTCAACACCTTTTATGGTGCGCGAACACACGAAACGGTACAAGAATTGATGGAGTGAAAGGGAGAAATTAGGCTACAGTATCACATTTACTTGATTTCGGTGCCTATTAATGTGAAGCATGAGGCCTTGAGGACTTAAACGACACACCATCTCGTAGGCGAGGATACTGTTTAACCTATCATGGTGTAATGCGACCATCTGATTAGGTCCTTGGAATTGTCAATGAATCGCAGGAAGGGTGGAAGGCCACTCTGAGCTGGGCAGGTAAGCTCGGGCTATCATTCTTACCAACCCAAGACGAGCCACAGCACCAAGGACGAGCTGCGCGGGATCAGGAACGCATTTATAGGTCAGGCAGCTGTGGCATGATTAAGACGCGAGATCTGCAGGGAAAACCTAGTTATGGTTTTCAAACACTCGTATACTTTTTACGATTTCAGAGTTTTCTACTGTCTTCATATAAGATATCACCCCACAGCGTGAAAGACGATTATTTACAGTACACATAGGGCGGATACTCGGCGGTGATATGCACATGCCACACGCAATCGTTCGTCGATGTTCGCCGAGTACTTGGGTAGCGGTTACCATCAGATAAGTTTGGACGACCGCTTAGGATGCATATGCATCACCCCTGAAGGCAACCTCCGCTCTGGGCGGTGTTTCACATCGGAGGCAAAAGCATGAGCGAAGCAAGATACTATAGGTTAGGTTAGAGTTGATATACCAATTCAAGCTGTCTTCGTGTCGCTGTGTGCCGCTTTAGCTATTCAGCCATCTATCGCGGGTGCATGTGTCCGCAACTCAAACCCCTTTAAGCTTTCGGATTAGCGTTGCACAACCGAACAAATACATACGTACTCATCACCGGACCGGTCGTGATCTACCCCTTTCTCAACCACTATACTATATTTCAGGCTGTGTCCTTGCGCTCGGCTTCGTTCTCGTTTGTTTTACCTGCGATTTGAAACCCTGCCTGGAACCGAGATTTAGGTAGGTCGCTATTCGATGTCGTTGTGGGGCACGTGGTCGGCAGCGTGCTGAGGTCTGTGGGCAGCGAAGAATCACGCGAAGGGGTATGAACGCCGATCGACAGCAGTCAAAATGATCTCGGAAGGTCATGTGCATAGAAGCAAGCCTCTATCTGCGCGCAGGAACGTGTTGATTAGCATATGCTTGAAACAACAAGTCACTCAAAAAGGTAAGTGTCCAGAACGACGACAATGGTTATTTACAGACGACCAAACCCGAAGGCAAAGAGTTCAAGATCGTCCCTAGAGCTGAGGCTTGAATTGGGCTTGAACGCATGAGACTTCTGGGTCTTGAGAACAGTCCTTATTTCTGTCCGTTGAGAGATAGACTGAAACAATGGTTTCTCTGACAGATCAGCAGTGGTCATTCTAATAATCAGTAGGTCAGAAAGTACTTGCCAAAAAACCTCCTTGCTGGTAGTCATTCGGGGAGCTAATCCTGCTGTGTGAATGTCACGGTCATAAACTCGCTCCAGCATGAAAATTGGAAGTCGCAATGGCAATTGCAAGCAGAATCATACTGGATTCCGGTGTCATGTGTCGGCTGCACTTTTCAAAACACATCGATATCAATATTGTTGACAAAATACACCGATGATGGATGTGAGACGCAGGACTCCGAGTCCACGTGCCACAATGCCCGATATGAAGAGTTGCAGCTTTCCTTGCACCAAATGTAGGTGGCCATGCCTCGACACTTGCACTTATGGGCTCGGGGTTTTATTCATTGGCTTGGATTACAGCTATGTTCCATTGCACCACAATTCAAGCAGAAAACGGTACATGCAGCGTGGCACGACTTGGTTGGCTTGAAAATTTATCGTTCCTATGAGGTCTATATATAACCTCCACTGCCACATTTATGTGAGGATATTCATGTTGTGAATATAACACATAGTACAGTCCACTATTAATATGTTCATTAGTTCGTTATGCTGTACTTGAAGACTGAAAGACATTAAAACGGTCAGTACTGGTCAGTGCCTGGCCCACTCTGACTGGAACACACCTGCTAGTGGACGACTTTGGGACGAACTTCTACCCATAAGATACGATCTGCTCGCACAATTTGAGTCAGGAGCCAGATACACACCGTCTAGAAGCCAACACGTTCGGAGTTGGAGATCCAAATCCTCGGACCCGTGTTGGGTAGATGCGCAAGGCTGCAGCTCCATCGAGTAAAGAGTTCCGACAATCTGTATGAACACCGCGACTATTTTTGCCTGAAAACGAGATGGTTCAACCGATTAAAAAATGCAATGCAAGGACAAGCTCTCCGTCGAGAGAGAAAACGCGGAGATGAAGGTGTTCTCAGCGTCCTCGTTGTAGACTCGGTCAACTGACCGAAAAAGAAGCGTTTTCGTAAGTAATTTTGTATAGCCACATGCAAACAGCTGCTCAGTAACCATTTTGCTTTTCTACCACTTAACCACCGCTCCGTTCATTCGTTTACTCCCTCCCTCTCCTTTTACAATGCCAGGTTCAATGGCCTTCTCTCTCTTTTTCTCGTTCTTTCTTGGTGTTATTGGAGTTGGTGCAGAGACACATACCATAAGGTTTATCAACCAGTATGTCACATATGAAGGAATTACGCCGCAATTTTGACACAAATCACAGATGTGGTTACGGAACCGTGAGCTCCACCGGGGGCCTCGATCTGTCTTAGCTCACACTTTCTCTAGCCGTGCTTGGTTGCGAATGGTCGCAACGTATCTACTGGACAGGACTATGTCGTCGATAGCATGTTTTCCGGAATCGCGTGAGTTCCACTCCTTTATTTTTTTGTGGTGTGCGCTCAGCCGTATGTCCATCAGATACTTACAGACCGGTAAGTAAAGCGCTCGTGTACAAATTGTACCAAATGAAACATCTATTTACACAGGACAATGTGACACTAATGGCGAAGGTTGCACGTTGCTCGAGATGAATTTGGTCAACCCGACCTGTGCGGGGTGTGGTTCCAGCGTCGATATCTCACTCATTGACCCGTGAGTTTCTTGCTTGTGAATATAGATCTACCCTCACCATGTCTGCTCAGTCATCGTTTCAATGTGGAAGCTTCTTTTGCGTGAGTATGCATGTTTCCACATATGTCATCATCCTGACGACCAGATAGGTATTACAACGGATGTGACGGATTTGGAGCCGATTGTGAGTCTTGTCTGGTATGGAATCCATGTTTACGCTTACAATTCACCTCAAGGCAACAGCCCCAACTGCGCCGTAGCTTTCTATGCCCCAGAAGACTGGTATGCCCAACGTCAATGTGAAACTAATGATGTATGTAATTTTGAAATATTGGTTTCACCGACTAATCAGTCGTGACACAGGTGGACCTCCTCATTGCATTTTGTGCCAACGCATCCGAGCTTGTATCGGGCGCGAGTGTTCCTTCTTCAGCCCCTTCGAGCTCCACCGTCCTGAGCACTTATTTGCCACAAACCACTGCGACATCGACAGGGGCAGCTCTATCAAGCCCTGCCACGTCGCAGAAGGATTTACCTACCTCCATCAAAGTTATCAGTACACCAACCTCCACTGATAGCAGCGACCCATCATCCACCCCGAAAAAATGTCGGAGGAAGTCAAGTAGCGCTGCCACTGTTGCAAAGCGCGAACCCACGGGACTGGTGTCGAGGATACACCGCCAGCGTCGGTCCTTCTGAGGATGAACTCTGTTCATCCTCTAGTTTTTTTTACAGTTATTGATTAACTACAAGCGAGATTGCTATTTTTGCTATGTGCTTTTCGCAGAATGCCTTGACATTCTGATGTTTTGTATATCCGGTCTTACTCCGCATTCACGCATGCGTGAATCCTGTTCATAGGGTGGACGCCCAGGTGGCATTCCAGATGTTGCTTTATTCTCGATTATGCAGCCGGTCTTAGCTTCCCCAGTACCATAGATGTATTGTCCCCCTTACGTTTTCTTGCTGACCTGGCGCAAAGTCGTCAGAGCCTTGCTGTCTTTTATTGAAATGTTATGATACAATGTATCAACATGCGTCTTACACGTTCCCTGAATGCGATTCGTATTTGATCAATTCAACAATGCCTCCCGGACATACACTCGCCCCTCATAGTCCCTTAGAGTAACCTTCTCCTCAAGTCCGATCGCCTCATTCTCGTAGTTGCTCAAGATGAACGTGTACCCCGCTACTCCTCCAATGACCTCCCCTAGGTCAACCTCAACATTCCCTTCCTTGAAACTAAGCAACACTAACGCAGACGTGGACCCGTAGTTCCGCGTGTACGCGAACACCTGTTCATGTGTTTCAAGAAGCATCACGAAGTCGCCGTAGATCTTGGCGTAGCCACGCGTCAGTATCAAAGGAATGGAAGGGGTAGATGCGGAAATACAGATAGAAATGAAAGGTGGTAGTGTAGTTGAGTCAAAACGAAATGCATGCAGGAGAACATATCTCGAACGACTTACGAGAACATCGTGCGTCTTCCGCACCTTCAGCGCGCGCTTCCAGAATGCGTGCACGCTGGTGTCATCGCCGATCTGTCGTTCAGCGTTCCACTCTCGGTAATCGTCGTTCACGCGCATCCACGGTGTTCCGGTCGTGAAGCCTCCATGCGTACTCGCATTCCACTTTAACTATAAATGAGCTAATGGAAGGAAGTGACGAATTTGATCTTACCTGCATCGGGGTCCTTGCGTGATCGCGCGCCTTTTGTGCGAAACTGTTGAGAAGATCAGACATTTCAACATCCTCCTTCCCTTGCGCTTTCTGTCTCTGCTCTTTAATCCTATCATATCCTTAGCACCTATTCCCACGATATGGACAAAGAATAAAAATGCAACGCACAGATTCCAATAATTCTGACTCGCCACGTCATTGTATTCCTCGATCCCCCATGTCCGCGGGAAGTTCTTGAGACCAAGTTCCTGCCCCTGGTACACGTATAGTGTCCCTGTCTGCGTGATCTGAAAGATAGCGAGCATCTTGGCGGAGACTGCGCGCCACTGCGCCGAGTCGTTCCCAAAGCGCGACACTGACCGCGCGTGGTCATGGTTCTCAATGTAAATCCTTTGATGGCGCCAAACAACATAAAACATCAGTATTTCATTGATTCATCTTCGGCCGGATATCACTCGGAACTCACGCATTCCAGAACCCATCATCGCGCATGAACCGTTGCCAGCGACCAACGATTGCCTTGAGCTCCTTGAGCGTCCAAGGTTTCCTGAGGAGCGGGGATTCGGAGGGAGAGTCGATGTCCATGAGCTCGAATTGAAAGACCATGTTAAGCTCGCGGTTCTGCGGAAGGACATACGCGGCGAGTTCGGATGCCTCATGTGTGAAGGCCGTTTCGCCGACCGTGATGAGGTCGTGGTCTGTGGGAGTTCCGTTAGTTAATCAGAGAAGCGGGGAAGAGGAGGGGGCACACGAGAGAGGACCTCAGTGTGCATTTGTTTCATGTATTTGTGGACCTGCGGACTGGGAAGGTCAAGTAATTCTCGAGTCGAGATGAATGAACTTACCCGTTCACGTAGTACATGCTGGCAGGCTGGTAATACTGCGTGTGGTCTACCAAAGGCGCATCGGGGAGACCATCCGTCTTCGAGATGCAATTGATCGCGTCCATCTATGGTAATGCCCATTGTTTTGTTAAAAAAATAGGGAGGGAGAGATATACGCACGCGGAACCCATCACACCCTCTGCGCACCCAGAATTGCATGACGTCCCAAACAGCAGACCGCACAACAGGGTTGTCCCAGTTCAAGTCTGGCTGCTTAGGTACGTACAGGTGAAGATAGTACTCCCCACTTGCAGAGTCACGTTCCCATGCGGAGCCTGTCGCACAGTTAGAAGTATGAAGCAACAAGAGAGATGGTACGATGACTGTCACCATGTAAGGAACTCAAGGAAAACAGGTGCACATACCCTGGAACACGCTCTTCCAGTTGTTTGGCGGAAGTTCTTCCCCATCGACAACTTTACCAGGACGCCAGATGTACCAATCGCGCTTTGGATCATTTTTGCTTGATTTTGAAGCAGTGAACCAGGCATGCTGGATACGTATATGATTAGTCACGGAAGTCGTCGTAAGTGATTAGAAACAGGAACCATAAGGAAAGCTAGAAGATTAAGGGACTTGCCTCGTCAGATGTATGATTCACCACCAGATCCATCCTGTCGAAAAGACCCGGGTTGACACTGGAAAACAGTTTGAGGTTCGAATGATACATACATGAGTTTCATTCCCCGTTCGTGTGCACCCTCGAGAAGGCGGTCCCAGTCTTCAAGCGTGCCATAGCGCGAATCGATATCCTCATAATCCGAGCTGTGGTGGTTAGAGCATCAAGTATCAGAACCGAAAAGCAACGATTAGCGCTCACATGTCATAGCCCATATCAGCCAATGGGCTACGATAGATCGGGCTAAGCCATATAACGTCCACACCAAGATCTTGGAGATAGTCAAGTTTGGCGATGATGCCTGCGAGATCGCCAGTCCCATCACCATTCGCGTCGAGGAATGATGATGGATAAATCTGATAGACGGTTGCAGATTTCCACCAGGGATGTGGTGGTTTGGACATCGTGGACAAGGATTAGAGTGTGAATGCGATGGGCTGGAGCAGGGTATAAGAAGGATGCGTGATATCAAATATGAGATATAATGCATCAGCGTGACCCGAACACGAGGCTATGCATCTGCCAGGGTGAATCAAATGATCAGCTTCGGCGGGCCCAGCCATGTAAACCCCACACATGGTGGCATTTATCAGCTTCTGATAATCACTCCACCAGTGCCTGTCTAAGAACAACTTCGGGGTGCGAGAAGACACATTGGGTCAAGCGACAGATTGCGTTGACGCATCGAAATAACCAATAGATAGTCACTATGAGCACGCCCGTATCGATCGTTTAGTCACAAATTTGGAAGTGAACTAGTCGTACTCACAATATTAATGATCCAACTTCGTCGCATGTGTTCGACGCGAGTCATCTTCTACTGCACATCCTTAACACCTTTAGCCATCTCGTTCAAATTCTCGTTGTCAGACTTTGAAAAAGCTGCCCCTTGCCATCTGGTCCTTGGGATGTAAAATCGTCAAATGTCGCACGATAAGGTGCATCATTTGATTCAACGATCGGTGGGCTGAACTGAATAGGAGGCTCCTTGAAACTGGGAGGGGGGCCAAAGTCACCTCTGCGTTCTACACATCAAGCTAATCAATCTGTATACGTTATATGTGTGAGCCAATGAAAGTTGCGAGTGATAGACTATGGATGCAACGATCGTCAGTTGTCACATCGATAACTCAACTGTTCCCAGCTTTCGCAGGCGGGAGGACTGGTCAAGTAATTCAAGTCAGATCGAAGTTCAGTGTGAACTGAGCACAGGTGTCAAATGCAAAGTTGCCACCCCCGCAAGTACCAATCGGCCTCAAAGCAATGATGAGGTGTCTGTTACACATTTTGGTCAGTCTGGAAGCCCACAATAAAGTAACGTTATAATATGGACGTCCAAACCGACGAAAAGTATACATCATATAGCGTTCAAACGTTCTGCGCTTTCCAATCTGATGGATGGTGTAGGGTGTATAGTTAGCTTGTGCACCAGTGATCGAAGGATAAACGATACCAGAGATGTGATGACAGAGATCGAAGACACCAGCTACAAGTCCATGACAATACGAAACGCCCGCGTCATCCCTGCACCGAAGAACAAGAATGATTTTGAAAGCGACGATGTAAGAACTTGTGTGCTCCTTCGGTGGAGAACGATTGATGATCGAAGTATTGCCGGTGCCGGATGCACCCATCACAGAATTGCGCCGAGATATCAAACCGAGATAATTGACCTGCGGGAGAGGAATATCTATTACAGGTGGCACTGTATAAACTGAATGGACAGGTCAGCAATTCAACCGTCGAGGGAAGGCTTGAAGGTGATGAGAACATTGATGAGATCCTGACGGAGGACATGACCATTAGCGCTGGTGTGCCTTGAGACTGAAAACATCTGAATGCCCAAATAATGTGGGCTGCGACAAGGGGGAGCGGTTGGGAGGTAGGGAAAATGGAACAGGGTGCAAAGTGATTGTCGAGTCGTGTCAATTGTGAAAGAAACTGCAGGGTCAAAAGACATTCATCAACAATCAACACGTACGGTGATGAATTGACGTACTTTGTGGTGTCTCTCTTAAAGAAAACTCATTTTGAATGATGAATCGTTGACCAAACTTCCAAACAGCCTGTGTCTCTCGCAGAATCTGGTGCACAGAAAGGACGAGTGGATATGATGCTGGCGATACAGCAGAGACTGGGAGATCTGGGATGTGCGGTGACTGTTTGCCTTCGGTTATTGCCGGAGTGCCTCCCCGTCCGCTCCTGAAATTCAGAACTCAATTTCATCATAGAAATTCAAAGATGAGTCACTCACCCATTCTCATCGGTCCTGTCCTCAGATATTGTTACTTCGTCCATATATATTGAAGACTCCATGTTCGGCGCCTCGACGATACTGCTACCCCCCTTGATCCATCGTTCATCCGTGCCGCTCGTCATCATGTGTGTCATTGTGCAATTTGTGTTGTTGCCAATAGCTTACAGAATTGGGTCAATTAGCATCTGATCTCGTCATCCACTTGGTGAAATTCACGTTCTATGATCACACTAAAAATCTCACAATCTACCGCAGGAACTTGAATCAAGGAGAAACTGGTAGGCAAGACGGTCCCACAATTCGACATATCTATACCATAGATGATAGTATAGTCCGTCAACCCGTCGGATGTCTCGTGCTGTTCTCTTCCGGTTTGAGCTTGACGATAATTAATCAGGTCTTCTTTTTGAGAAGAATTTAGAGTGGCACATAAATGATCGACATTGCCGCAATAGACTTTTTATTTCACCACAGCCTTAATTACTGATATGTGCGTCTCATTTCTTTCGTCATATTTCAAATCTCATACGTCCATGTATAGAGGTACGCTACAGCAGGTGCTCTTGGTGATGCTAATGACCTCGTACGCGACGGGAAATATGTTTCTCCTCCTCCTTCCCCCAATCTCGGCTCACGGCCTTGCCCACGCCAGACAGCATGGAATCAGCCAGTTTTTTTTTACTTCTAGCTTATTTTGATCTTGTATCGGATATTTATACCATCGGATATCCATACTCATCAGATCACGGGCTTTATTGTGATGGATGCTTCTCACAACGACCTAGTAAAGACGAATGTTCAGCACATCTCAGTGGCAAGATCTGCTGGCATTTGACTGGATTGATATGCCTCTGTGAAGGGCCGCACAACCATTACGCAAGAATTTCAAAGAACATTCAACACATAAACGCCAGCCATCTTCCTTCAGAATCATCTCATCCTATCACATCAGTCACAAACAATGCGTTTCTCCTCTGAAATTGTCCTCGTTGTCGTCGCTACTTTAGTATCATCAATCTCTGCCGTGCCCCTTGACGAAGGCGATTGTGAGGCTGGCAGATATTGCAGGATTGACGCAGATTGCATCTGCAGTTGGCTTACTTGCGTGAGTATCAGTAGTCTTCCTAGATATAATGATATGACTCACCTGCATGGCAGTACGAAAATCAATGCGGAGCACCAAACCTAGCCCACTGACCTACACGGAATCACCTGTAAAAGAAGCGGTATCAGCCAAACAAGTCCCACCGCATATGCTGGCCCTATAATCACTGTCACAAACACTACTAAAGTTGTCTCATCAACGGGCACATCTAAAACGGCCGGCAGGAACGGCGGACTGATGGGGGCACATCTCACATCAGGGCATTAGCGCACCTGGAGATGCGAAAGGGACACCGGGGGTCCCATAGACTAGACTGTAATGTCCGCCACTCGTTACTGACTTACGATAGTGAAGGAGTGCTGTAACAGTTTCTATGCGGTCGTGCTCCTCTTAACGTTTCAAGAGTCCATTATCTCGCTCCGAAGTCTCATTCTCAATATATCTGTCTTATTTTCATCTCGATCTATTAGATCACGGTGCTCAAGTGTGCGGTAAAGAGATTTCCAAGTCCTCGTGTCATCGACAATCAGTACTGGGTTTAAGCACTGGCCAGACTTCTGCGTTCTACACAACAAGCTAATCAATCTGTATATGTTAGATGTGTGAGTCAATTAAAGTTGCGAGTGATAGAGTATGGCTGCAACAATCGTCAGTTGCCATAAACATACTCGATAACTCGACGCAGGCAAGAGGAGTGGTTAAGTAGTTCAAGTCAGATCGTACAGCAATGCAGTTCAGTGTGAACTGAGTACAGGCGTCAAATGCCGAAAAGTTGCCACCCCCGCAAATACCAATCAGCCTCAAAGCAATGATGAGGTGTCTGTTACATATTTTGGTCAGTCTGGAAGCCCACAATAAAGCAACGTTATAATATGGACGTCCAAACTGACGAAAAGGATACATCCCAGGAGGCATATAGCGTTTGAACGTTCTGCGCTTCCCAATCTGATGGATGGCGTGAGGTATACAGTTAGCTTTGTACCAGGGCGGTCTGGCGCAGGTCGTCGGGAGTGCCAGTGTCCTGGCGTAGTAGCAGGAGTTCTGCGCCTGTGTCGTAGTCAGTCCTGGATAGAGAGTGCCGTAGCCTCCCGCTATAGAGGTCTGGCCTTGGTTCCCCTTGCAGTCCTTATCTGTTCCAGCTTGTGCACCAGTGATAGAAGGATAGACGATACCAGAGATATGACGACAGAAGATTGAAGACACCGGCTAGAAGTCCATGACGATAGGAAACGCCCGCGTCATCCCTGCACCGAAGAACAAGAATGAAAACAAGAATGACTTTGAAAGCGACGATATAAGATATTGGATGCTTCTTCGGTGGAGGATGATCGATGATCGAAGTATTGCCGGTGCCGGATGCACCCATCACAGAATTGCGCCAAGATAATTGACCTGTGGGAGGGGAATATCTATTACAGGTGACCTTGTATGAACTGAATAGACGGGTCAGCAATTCAACCGTCGAGGGAAGACTTGAAGGTGATGAGAACATTGATGATGAATCGTTGACAAAACTTCCAAACAGCCTCTGGCTCTCGCAGAATCTGGTGCACAAAAAGCTTGGCGAGTGGACTTGATGCTGGCATTAAGAAGAGCCATGTGACAATACAGCAGAGACTGGGAGATTTGGTATGTGCGTTAACTGCAAGTATTTGCTTTTCGGTTATTGCCGGAGTTCCTCCCCGCATCTTTTATTTCGCTACGCCCGCTCCCGGGTCTGAACTCAATTTCATCAAAGATGAGTCACTCATCCATTCTCGTCGATCCTGTCCTCATTGTTACATGGTACATATATATTGAAGATTCCATGCTCAGCACCTCGACTTAATACTACTACCGCCTTGCAGGGTTGACATAGCTTGGTCAATTAGCATCTAGCTTCGCCATTCACTTGGTGAAATTCACATTCTATTTCCGCATCAAAAATCTCAAAGTGTATCGCAGGAAAATCCCTGTCCGTCAAACTTGAATCAAGCAGATACTGGCTGGCAAGTCCCACAATTCGAAGTATCTATACCATAGTATAGTCCATCAACCCGTCGGATATCTCTTTTACTCAGATTTCTCGTCTTGTTGTAACTCACACTCTTGCGGTTTGAGCTTTGACGATTACTGATTAGGTCTTCTTTTTGGCAGAGAATAATTTATGTGTGGGTCATTTCTTTCGTAATATTTCAAATCTCATCCATCCGTGTATAGAGGTGCGCTACAGCAGGTGCTCTTGGCGATGCTGATGACCTCATACGCGACAGGAAATATGTTTCTCCTCCTCCTTCCCCCAATTCCGGCTCACGCCCTTGCCCACGCCAGACGGTATGGAATCAGCTAGTTTTGTTTATGCTTCTAGCTGATTTCGATCTTGTATCGGATATTTATACCATTGGATATCCATACTCATCAGATCACGGGCTTTATCGTGATGGGTGCTTGTCACAAAGGCCTAAAGACGAATGTTCAGTAGTTCCACACTAAATTGCTAATACATCTCGGCTGGAATTTAGCTAGATTAATCGCAGATATGCCTCTGTGTGAAGGCACAACCATGTACGCAAGAATTTCAAAGAACATTCAACACATAAAAGCCAGCCGTCCTCCTACTATTTCCTTCAGAATCATCTCATCCTATCACATCAGTCACAAACAATGCGTTTCTCCTCTGCAATTGTCGTCGTTGTCGTCGCTACTTTAGTATCATCAATCTCTGTCATGCCCCTTGACGAACAAGATTGTCCCAATGGCAGGCATTGCAAGACTGACGCAGATTGCATCTGCCCTTGGATTGGTTGCGTGAGTATCAGTAGTCTTCCTAGATATAACGATGACTCACCTGCATGGTAGTACAACAATATATGCGAAGTGTAAGAATATTCGCGCCAACCACGACAGGCACAAAAATTATCCTCGTGTTTCATCGAAGCGAAGGGCTTCACTCTTCGTATCCAAGACATGCGGACACATCCCTCTAAATCACTCTTTTTCCTTTTTCCTTATAGTTCAATATCTCTTATCATGAGAACATACGAGATACTCGAGCCACTCGGTACTGGTTAAGGAGTGCTGTAACAGTTTCTATGTAATCGTGCTCCTCTCAACGTTTCAATAGTCCATTATCTCACTCCGAAGTCTCATTCTCAAATATATCTGTCTTATTTTCATCTTGATCTATTATTGCCCTTGGACTTGCATTTTGCACCAAGCTCTTATTGTGCAGTCGTAACTAGACTTACAGAAGCGAGTCGTGTTTCTGCTTTCACATCGGTGCGGTATGGTAGTTGGCATTGATGTGTCAGTTACTATTGTAGTGAACTCTTTCGCCGTGATTTCCTGCAGTAGTTTGACACTACTGGATTCTGCCTGAAATATATCCATGTGCAGTTGCTGCCGTCATAATGAGAGAGAGTGGGATTCGATTTTAGCATTAGCTTGTATCAGATTGATCCAGAAACAATGATTGGTTGATAGAATGTCTGTGCATCATCGAAACATTAACGAAGAACAGGTTCTAGGTCGGGTAAAGCGGTCAATGCGTTTTTTGCTGACCTGGTGCAAAGTCGTCGGATCCTTGGTATCTTTTATTGAAATGATATCGACGTATCAACATGCGTATTGCACGTTCCCTGGATGCAACTCTCATTTAATCAATTCAACAATGCCTCCCGGACATACACCCGCCCCTCATAGTCCCTTAGAGTAACCTTCTCCTCAAGTCCGATCGCCTCATTCTCATAGTTGCCCAAGACGAATGTGTATCCGGCTACTCCTCCGACGACCTCCCCAAGATCAACGTCAACCTTCCCTTCCTTGAAATTAAGCAACACCAACGCAGACGTGGACCCATAGTTCCGCGTGTACGCGAACACCTGTTCATGTGTTTCAAGAAACATCACGAAGTCGCCGTAGATCTTGGCGTGGGCACACGTCAGTATCAAAGGAATGGAAGGGAAAGATGCGGAAATACAGATAGAAATGAAAGGCGGTAGTGTAAGTTGAGTTAAAACGAACTGCGTGCAGGAGAACATATCTCGAACGACTTACGAGAACATCGTGCGTCTTCCGCACCTTCAGCGCGCGCTTCCAGAATGCGTGCACGCTGGTGGCATCGCCGATCTGTTTTTCAGCGTTCCACTCTCGGTAATCGTCATTCACGCGCATCCACGGTGTTCCGGTCGTGAAGCCTCCATGTTTACTCGCATTCCACTATAACATTAATTGAGATGATGGAAGGAAGTGATGAATTTGTTCTTACCTGCATCGGAGTCCTTGCGTGATCACGCGCCTTTTGCGCGAAACTGTCGAGAAGATCAGACATTTCAACATCCTCCTTGCCTTGCGCTCGTTGTCTCTGCTCTTTAATCCTATTATATCCTTAGAACATATGCCCACCACATGAACAAAGAATAGGAAATGCAACGCACAGATTCCAGTAATTCTGACTTGCAACGTCATTGTATTCCTCGATCCCCCATGTCCGCGGGAAGTTCTTGAGGCCAAGTTCCTGTCCCTGGTACACGTATAGTGTCCCTGTCTGCGTGATCTGTAAGATAGCGAGCATCTTGGCGGAGACTGCGCGCCACTGCGCCGAGTCGTTCCCAAAGCGCGACACCGACCGCGCGTGGTCATGATTCTCAATGAAAACTCTTTAATTGCGCCAAACGAGATGAAACATCAGTATTCCACCTTCGGCTTCATATCAGGCTGAACTCACGCATTCCAGAACCCATCATCGCGCATGAACTGTTGCCAGCGACCGATGATTTCCTTGAGCTCACCGAGCGTCCAAGGTTTCCTGAGGAGTGGCGATTCGGAAGGCGAGTCAATGTCCATGAGCTCGAAGTGAAAGACCATGTTGAGCTCGCGGTTCTGCGGAAGGACGTACGCGGCGAGCTCGGATGACTCATGTGTGAAGGGCGTTTCGCCGACCGTGATGAGGTCGTGGTCTGTGGGAGTTCTGTTAGTTAATCAGAGAAGACGGGGGAAAGGAAGGGGCGCACGGGAGAGGACCTCGGCGTGCATTTGTTTAATGTATTTGTGGACCTGCGGACTGGGAAGGTCAAGTGATTATCGAGTAAAGATGAATGAACTTACCCGTTCGCAAAGTACATGCTGGCCGGCTGGTAGTACTGCGTGTGGTCCACCAGAGGTGCATCGGGGAGACCATCCGTCTTCGAGATGCAATTGATCACGTCCATCTATGGTAATACCCATTGTTTTGTTAAAAAAATAGGGAGGGAGAGATATACGTACGCGGAACCCATCACACCCTCTGCGCACCCAGAATTGCATGACGTCCCAAACAGCAGACCGCACAACAGGGTTGTCCCAGTTCAAGTCTGGCTGCTTAGGTACGTACAGGTGAAGATAGTACTCCCCACTTGCAGAGTCACGTTCCCATGCGGAGCCTGTCGCACAGTTAGAAGTATGAAGCAACAAGAGTAGATGGTACGACGGCTGTCACCATGCAAAGAAGTCAAGGAAAACAGGTGCACATACCCTGGAACACGCTCTTCCAGTTGTTGGGTGGAAGTTCTTCCCCGTCGACAACTTTACCAGGACGCCAGATGTACCAATCGCGCTTTGGGTCGTTTTTGCTCGTTTTTGAAGCAGTGAACCAGGCATGCTAGCGATTTGTATGTGACCAGTGCACGGAAGTGGTAAGTAATTAGTGGAAACAGGAACCATAAGGTAAGCCAGAAAGATAGAAGACCTGCCTCGTCGGATGTATGATTCACCACCAGGTCCATCCTGTCAAAAAGACCCGGGTTGACACTGGAAAAAAGTTTAGAATCCGGATAATACATACATGAGCTTCATCCCCCGTGCGTGCGCGCCATGTAGAAGGCGGTCCCAGTCTTCAAGCGTGCCATAGCGTGAATCGATGTCCTCATAATCCGAGCTGTGGTGGTTAGAGCATCAAGTCCCAGAACCGAAAAGCGACGATTAGCGCTCACATATCATAGCCCATATCAGCCAATGGGCTACGATAGATCGGGCTAAGCCATATAACGTCCACACCAAGATCCTTTAGATAGTCGAGTTTGGCGATGATGCCTGCGAGATCGCCAGTCCCATCACCATTCGCGTCAAGGAATGATGCTGGATAGACCTGATAGACGGTTGCAGATTTCCACCAGGGATGTGGTGGTTTGGACATCGCGAACAAGAATTAGAGTGAAAATGCAATGGACTGGAGCAGGGTATAAGAAGGATGCATAATATGAGATATGAGATATAATACATGAGCGTGACCCGAACACGAGGCTATGCATCTGCCAGGGTGAATCAAATCATGAGCTTCTGCGGGCCCAGCCGTGCATGAATATATAAACCCCACACACGGTGGCATTTATCAGCTTCTGATAATCACTCCACTAGTGCCTGTCTAAGAACAACTTCGGGGTGGGAGAAGATACACTGGGTGAAGTGACAGATTGCGCTGACGCATCAAAATAGCCAATAGATAGTAACTGTAAGCACACCGTATGGATCGTTTAGTCATGAAATTGGAAGTGGACTAGTCGTACTTACAATATGAATCTTCGTCGCATGCGTTCGACGTGAGTGATCTTTTACTGCACATCCTCGACACCTTTAGTCGTCTGGACCTAACCTCCTATTGTCAGACCTCGTAAAAAATCGTCCCTTGGGATGTAAAATCGTCGAATGTCGTCGCATGGTAAGGTGCACCATTTGATTCAGTGACCGGTGTGCTGGACCGAATACGAGGCTCCTTGCAACTGGAAGGTGGGGTACAATCACTTCTGCGTTCTACATGACAAGCTAAATAATCTGTATATGTCAGATGTGTGAGTCGATAGAGTTGCGAGTGATGTATGGCTGCGAGCGACAACCCTGAGTCCCTGACCGTTGACGATCGTGAGTTGTCACAATCGTACTCGACAACTTGATTGCTTCCAGCTTTCGCAGGCGGGAGGACTGGTCAAGTAGTTCAAGCGAGATCAAACATTGTATGCAGGTTGATTCTTGCGACGATGACTAGTAGAATTTAGCGCGCGAAGCTCCAAGTCAGCAGTGGCACGGTATAAACAGGGTTCTAGGCTCGACTTTACATAAGCTCAAAGGTACAGCCACTAGCTTCTCAACCGCACGCCATAACTTTTTGAAAAGTTTCTACCATAACGCCACTCCGAATCGAGCCTCAAGTCGTTCCTTTTAATGCGATCGTTGCAGCTCCTTCGACAACAAAAGACCAGGCCGCATCCGTTCAAGTTGCAGCAAATAATACCACCATTACTATGATCGTAGTTTGACCAAATTAGTACCCACCAGTTGCGCAGCTCAGCCGAATTGACTCACTGTGTTGAATGTTCTCGACCTAGTCCAAGAGTCAATTTCCGAGTCCACGGTCACCCTACTACAAATCATTAATTCATTCCCTCGACATCCTTGTTTTCCGGGATGTGGCGCCTATCCAATGCTTAGCGCCTGCAATCAATACAGGAGTCAATATGATTGCTTTGAGGCTTGCAGTCAACAACAGTATGGCCTGTTGTGTATTTAAATGAGATTACCGTCGAATCCCAGTCCTTGGATTATATCTCGTGCTGACCATTTTGTCATCCTCGTCATAACTGTTCAGCAACGGCTCCGCGGTTCCCACCCTTTCTCCGCGCCTTACTTCGCTCAGACTGATTAGCAACAACTATTCACCATGATTGACGCTAATTGATTAGGGGACTCGAGGTCAATTACTCTTCCCACCCAACGAAAAAAACACTGCTGGACGCCGTAGGTGGCTGATGTTCATGAAGTTGAAATGCTGACTCTTGTCAATGCATCCTTTGTCATTGTGGTAAAATCTGTCGGTTTCTGGGCTACGCATGGTGTAATTAAAAAGGTTACTGTGAGTCGAAATAAATACTGGGCGTATTGCGATAAGGCTGATATCGTACACAAGCACTCTAGCTTGAATGATTCACGCAGCCGCAACCCTGTTCTCCCGAATCATAAAGGTACCTCATCGATTTCGAATATCGAGGTAGGTCGCCTTTCAGTTTATGCGCTCTCATAAATTATGTTGGTTGAGCAGGTTCAGGATACTCCCTCTGGTGCAGAACAATGCGCTGATCCTCAATCAGCACTTCAGACCACCAGAGAGGCTGTCAAAAACATGATTCTATTGTCAATTTCAAAGATGGATGTAATTTCGGGGACACATCTTCGACCTCTGAAGATATTCGATAGTGTTATCGCGCGGACGTATGGGCCATTCCTCTCGGTTTGGAACTCAACTGATCACTTTGTACAGGTACACCTTACGCAAAGGTAGTACTGGGCCTACTGTCTTCTGTATCCACAGTACGTATTGTTTCACTCAGAGTCTGATCTGCTACTCAGCCGTCATCGTGCAGGTAGTTCTTGCTCACACAGATCGTAGCCAAGGGATACTCCTGCTTCTTGAGAAGTTCGGTCAAGTCTACGATTTCATGATGCAACAGAAGACTCTTGGCAGAATTCCGTTGGTGCAGAGTATCGTCGGACGAATATTTCAGCAGGCTCTCGAGCGCTTCCGGTTCGTCGAAGATTACTCCGTGGCCAAAAACTTCCCACCCAAGCTCAAATTCGAGCTGAAACAAAGTTCAACAATTTTATATACAAGGAATCATGACACCGGGTCGACACGTTCACGATCAAGTGAACATTGCTGGCCGTCGACTTTCACACCCACATTGCAAATTGAAGATTCTGCACTTACCATTTTAATTGGCACCCTTATGATATGAACGCCCAATGACCGAGAAAGAGAATGTCGGTGAATTGCTTGGAAGCGGAGCACATGCAACTGTAACATTCATGTGCGGTGCACAGATGTCACCTCCTGATCTCATTTTGATTACCCAAGCAGTATACATAGTGCGAATGTCATTGTCCCAAGTTCGCCTCTCATCCTCACCCATTCCCTACCAATATGATAACAGTCTCAAATGATCCCACGTGGTGGCCGACCATCACTGGAAGTCGTGTTTCAAGCTATTTTTCTGGTTCGTAGAGCTGTTGGGTGTTGAAGCTGACATCTCAATCTAACCTTGGCTCGGCTTCGCAGTTGCTGCCTTTGTTATAGTGACGTATGATTGGGGTACCTGAGCATGATAATATTAAAGGACTACTGATATCTTACAAGTATTTCAGCACTCACATTTGGACAAGAGGTATGTCAATGCTATGACTGGAGCAGCCATCTCACTAAGAATCCTTTTATAGGTCGCATTGGTCTGGGTGAGCAGGGTCTCATGTCAGAGGAACAACCATGAACTTGCGCTTAATTACAGAAGCAACGCTGGTCCCTGATGTCAGTTCTGTATCTCGGTGTATGCAACTTGTTTGTCGCAGCTGCCATATTGTGCTGACTTGAAAGTATCTTAGGTGCGCTATCTTGGAATCTTATATGCTACGTATGTTCGGAAGGCCAAACAATCGGTGTTATGCTAATCGTCTATCTCTCATAATCAGTTCAACCGTGCTGAGTACGTCTCCTTAGCACATTCATTGTCTTTGCTTCTTCTGACCGATGGCGCATAGACAATGTTCCGACCATCTCGCTGACAGATACAGTGAGTCTTCTGCACAGATGCCCATTATACCCCTCTGATTGACCGCGATGCTCTGTAGGAGTGGGTGCGGTTCTTTATTGACTTCTTGTTTCGCTGATGATTGCCACAGATGTAAGTCTGTTTGAAGTTCGCTACCCAAGGCTGATTACTGACTAGATTTGTCAGGCTGGATTATATCCGTTATACAGAGTTGGATAAGTGTTTTGGTATCTGTGATGCTATGGGGTGAGCTTGACACTTGCGAGGCCTCTCTGATATTGACTGGAATGAAACATGCTACAAGCCATCATCGTTACTCGGTTGCATGCCATGTATCAACGATCCAAAAAGATCCTGATATTTCTCATTGTCACCTTCTTGGCTATCAGCGTTTTCGTCGGAATGGTCACCATAATGACAATGATACATACGTCAGGGGGTACGCTTAATTATGGATGAAAGCAAATGTGCATGGGGCTCAATGATGAATACCAGAGGAACACATTCTCTCCGGCTCTTATCATTGCTGGATTGACTATGCGGAAAATACCCTACTTCTGCTTTCCATTTCTTGGATACTCAGCTCCGTATGGGAGGCCCTCGCGCTGTGTCTGGCAATCTGGATTGTAGTAAAACATTTCCGTGAACTGCGACAACATTCGGCAGGAGGGATTATCCGGGAGTCTTTTACGGTGTTGATGAAAACTCACGTGGTTTACTTTGCGAGGTAAGCTCATATTGTGATTATTGTTCCTTTTTTTCCACTGAAGGGTCGGACGTGATAGCTTTGTTGTTGTTTCTTGCTGCCAGCTCATTATTGATTTTTCTCCGACACTCTCAGCAGTATGTTAATCTTTCCCTCATCTCTGCATGCTACCACATTTTACCGTTTCTGTAGGGAATTTCCCTTGACGCTCAGCTTTATGGTGGGTTTCTTCAGATTGTTTCAGTCGTACAGATGTTTGTGCTGGGACCACGCATGATCCTTGGCATTCGAGAATACTATGCTAAGCTCAGGGCCGATTCCGATACAGCGGCAACTGCTATGTCCTCAATGGCTTTCCAGGAGCGTGTCCATGTATCGACTGGGAGTGGTGTATGACACACATGTTAATGGTTGTTTGGTGTTCTGCGGGAAGCAGGAATTTACTTTGTCTCCATTCCGAGTCCAAGCCTCGTTGCGGTACTTAAGTGACTATTCGGTGCCCTCTAGTAAATTCAACCAAAATCCTGGATATCCTTACTGTACTAGCGAAGGAAAGCAGTGTACTGAATGAGCAGGTCGAGGAGCGAGAGATGTTTACCCTGGAACGATAGGGTGCAAATTGCAACTCGCTCATCCTTGAGGACGACTCGCGACTTACCTCTCGTAATACATAGGCGCGATCCGAACAAGGCCATGATGCCATCTGCCAGGGTGAATGATATGTCAATTAGCAAGCTTCGGCGGCCCAGCCGTACGTGAATATGTAAACCCTGGCACATCTGGTGGCATTCACGAGCTTCTGAGTATCACTCCACCAGTGCATATCTAAGAACACCCTCGGCCGGGTGCGAGGAAATACATTGCGGCAGGCGACAGATCGCGTGGAATTCAATGGCACATCAAAGTGTAGTAGGCTCTGCGAAAGTTGTCAGATCAATAACGCGCTGTCGGGGAATAAACATGTTGAAACACAAACGCTAAACAACTCTCACCATAATTTCACCCTCAACTTGCCACCCATGGTGATTCGCCAATTTATCGCTGAAACGGAGCGCCTCCCAGATCACGCTCATGCGTTGCTCATAACAACGGGCAGCGTAGCATCTATCAAAGCTCCTCTCATCGTCTCAGCGCTTCTTCAAGTCTGTATCCGTCCTTGGAATCCTGCTCTTGCTCATGTTGTGTGCAACGTACTAGTATCAAAATGTCAGAGTAGAAGTGGTCGCGACCAAGGAGTCGCTCGCATTTTATGACCCTGCAGATGTCGTCAATGCAGGTGCCCGCGTGTGGAGTCTTGGACCGATGAGGACGAGTGGTCGGTGAACACACGCGCTTTTCAGAAGAGCTTGACCGTCTTAACGTCCATGACAGGGATCATACAAGATTGGAGATCCGATCCTGCATATTGAGTTGAGGAGGTGGGCTGATATTGTTCTTGTCGCTCCCTGCTCGGCAAATACGCTCTCAAAGATTGCACACGGACTCTGCGACAATCTCGCGGTATGTTTCTCAGCGCATTCATATCGTGCTTGATGGCAAACCTATTGCCACATAGACCTCTCTGCTTCGTGCGTTGGCACCTACGACACCGACTTACATATTCCCGGCAATGAATACGCTCATGTACGATCATCCGCTCACGGCAGAACATTTACACGTCGTCCGGGATATCGTGCGCTACCAAGTTGTCGGGCCAATCGGAAAAAATCTTGCGTGTGGGGACGTTGGTGTGTGATCCCGGTTTTTATTTCTTGCTATTGCAGATAAAGTGGCTCTTTTTCAAAGGACTCGGTGCTATGACGGAATGGCGTGATATCGTGAAGATAGTGGTGGATCAAATGAAACTCGTTTGCAAAGACAATAAATCATAAAACTCTGTATTCTATGTCTAATATTGGTCTAATCTATAAGTATTCCTTCTTCGCGAATACATGTATATGTGCTAGTTCACGAACGCTTTGTAACCTTCTGAAAATGCTCAGCGTCTGATGCAGCGTAGCCAAAGGCTCGTTCACTCACTGGGGGGTTGACAAACCAATGTCTATATGCTGACTCTACGTTATTACCCACCCATTGAGCCGTGCTCTTTTATAAGCTCTGGAAACCACGTATCATATCTCTCGTATATATATTTTGTTTCAGTATTGATACTTATCTCCTCCCAGTTGTATTGCTCCATCCCTTCCTCTGGTCCCAGGTTGCTAGCACAACACGCAAGTACTGTAATAATCAGGGACTAACAACTCCTTGACTGCCGACCAACTTCTTAATCATATCGCTGACTACAGTCCTCAACTCTTTCACAACAACGATGACACCCTCTCCTTCTCCCTGCTGTGAATCTCGCGTCTCTAGTGCGCTGAGAAGAACACGATCCACACATCTAATGAGGTACTCGAGATGATATTCTCTAGCGATCTGCATATACCTCTTCGTGCCTTCCACAAGGACGGGAAGGAACTCGAAACAGTGTATGTCGTAAATGTCATATCGTGTATAGAACCATGCCTTTCTCATTATGTCCCACCACTGCCGCTCTGTAATAGAATTGAGGGATGCAACCGACGATTGTTCAGGTGCGATCCGGAGGAGGATGCCAGCTAGGTAAAATGCATGTGGCCCTAAGTCGCACTTTGCAACAATGCTAATGCATCGATCTATATGGTGATCCTCGACCAAATGGGGGTGCCAGTTGGAATTCCTCGCGAGGGTAAAGAGCAGTTTGAGATAGCACGAGTCACGGCCATCATGGAAGAAGCAGTCAGGATCATCATCGGAGAGTGTTACACCTGGTTGGGGACAAACTGCAGTCAGGATAGCGGGGGAGAGCTCGGTTAAGATCATGTCCCGCAGCTCCGCATTATCAATGGCATCGATCCAGACCATTTCTTCTCGGGCACTGTGGGCAAGGCGGAGAGCAGCATGACGTAAATGTACAGGCATGCTACTGCCCATGCAGGCGATGAGGATCTTGAAGAACTGATGTTGTTTAGTAGGGCTGCAGCGCACGTCCAGGACGTCCAGGAAGACAAGGACGTTAAATACTGCTTCCTGGTCGGAATCAACATGCTCGAGGTAGTCGAACAGCGAGTCGAAGCCTTCTGGCGAATAGGAATCACCTGTCCGAAAATACTGGCTAGTCCACAAATCGGCAGGGTCCTGAGATACTTTGGCAGCAGTGAGCGTGAAGCGCAGTGCATTTTGCAGGGCAGCCAAAAGCTCCCAGGGAGGATTTTGTCCGGCCTGGGATGACCTTATTCGTGAGGAAATCTTCCTGCACACGTCCAGGTTCCGCACGTCGTGCAATAAAGGATTATAGTAATTTTTGGTAGACTCGAGCACCAGACAAACGACTTTGATGAAGTCACATGCCCAACTCGGTGTGACGCATGTGTTGTCATTGCTGAGATCACCTCCATACCATGCCCAGAGAGTAGTTTGGAATTGCTCCAAAAGGGCATTCGCAAATCGAGGCAGGGCAGAACTACACAGTGTCTTAGTTAGCTATAGCAGAAGCACCAAATGAGTCGATGGCACCTTTTATCAACCCGAACTATGTCCTTCTTGTCAAACTGAACCCCGACCATGACGCAAGCAAGAAGAGCGCAATTGGCTATGATTTGATTCGATGGAGAGGATGTAGATGATAGCAGTTTCGATATCACCTCTATGGCGAATTTTTCCACTCTTTCATTCGCTCGCCCAGTGACAAAGTGATAAGGAAGAGAATGTGACATCCACTCCGCCACAGAGTCGGGACAATCATACAACAGAAACCACTGAAATCTGCGATCTTCATCTTGCAAAAGACAAAGATTCTTAGTCGTGTTAAGCACCATCCTGTCGGCTCGACCCATGTCCCTCAGAGCCATCCGGTCAAACGTGTCATAATCTCTTTCCCTGAAACCAAGAAATTCGCCATGGGTAGGATATGCCTGAAGAACGCGGCCACAATATAAATGACTCATAGCCATTATACAAGCTGAGGCCTTTTCCTCCAACGACGGCATAATTTGCCCATGGAAGCCGACGCAGCTCGTATAATTATCATACAGCTGATGCAGCATATCTGAAACGTCAAGATCCAGGGGCCATTCGACTTGCGGAACAAGGCTGGCAGCGGCAAGAAATACTTCAGGATCCGTAGACGTCTCGAGCAGCCACTTGACACTAGGTGCTTCCAGCTTGCTGGTAGGTATGTCAGGGAGGGCGAGAATGTGGTCATTGCCCGACGAAACATCTAAATTCGGTTCAAGCAATTGTGCTTCCGAGTCCACGACCTTGGTGGAAAAGCGCAGGACAAAATGCAACCAGTGATGAAGACTAGTGATTAACTGCTGAAGAGATCGCTCTGCGAATGCGCCAATCGCATGTACAGGGCCTGAGGAGTGAAATGAGCCCCCGGTATTTTTGCGATAGTAGATAAGATTGTCACCTCTAAATACTGCAGACAGTTGGGTACATCCTGACCTGATAATGCCAAGCAATCGTTTCAGCACGCCTGACACGGAACAGTCAAAACCTGTGCACATGGAACAAGACATAACTAACTCACCGTGCAGCGACTTCATGAGCTGCTGGGAATAACTGGAGGCTCGTTTGAACACCAGCCGTAGAACCCCTGCCATGTTGATTCAGACGGGGTACGATCACTAGAATTTAGCAAAATGATCTTACTGTCGATGCGCAACATGCGTAACATCGTCGATGTTGGTGTCTGAAATGGACAAGCAGGAGATATCAAACATGCCATCACCGTCAGGGAATAGAACAGAAATCCGAAGACCGTTGTTGCAATGATGACCCAGGCAATGCTCGGCTGGTCGTACCACATATCGGCGCCGAGAGCGATTCCAAAGAGAAGAAGTGAGATCTGAAGTATCACGGGAAAAGATTGCACGACAGCATCAAAATACCATGTGACGATGCCGTCGAACTTCTCTTGCCTGCGCTTCCCTCGTTCCTCCTCCGAGCCGCGGCCACATCTGTTAGACTTGTAGTAGCCGAGCCACTGCTTGCCCTGAACGGCCCCGAATGCAGCGAGTAAGCTCATGGACAAGCTTGCGTATGCGACCAATTGGATCCTCACAGCCGACGCAGGTGGCGACCACGTAGATGCTGGGTCTGCGGGAGCAGTACCCGCCTTAGCGAGGTTGCCGAGTCCGATCTGCACAAGTTGCTTCAAAAGGGCATTCGTCATGTCGCTGGGGTCGGGATTGAGATTAGACTCCATCGCGACGATGAAACCCGTGCTGACAGCCGACTCCCGAGAAAAGACCAGACTGATCAAATATCAGTCTCAATGTGCCGAAGATAAGAACGCTAAACTTACAAAGATTAAGACAATGTCCATGTCAGTAGTGTATCGCTCAAGGAACTCGCCATCATGTTCCTCTGCGACTCGTTTGTACACCCCCCAGAAACGAGACCGTTTGTCCTTTCCAATCTTCGACGCAATCGTGGAGTCCTGGAGAATGTCCAATACTTGCCTCATGACATTTGCTCTGAGTGTACGGTATCTTCAGTTGCGATTGCTTGACCTATTTTTCGCTTACAATTCGCTTAGAGTTGGCTGGTCCTTCTCAGACACGACCTTTCCCCCCTCGCTGAGACAATTCAGGAGCATGTTTGACGTCATTATCGACAATAACTCACGGAGCTGAATCGCCAACTGGTGGAACATTGGGTGTGCTTCCTTGTATGTGAGGTCCTGACGGCTGTGAAGGCCCAACATTCGAGCTGCAGTTCTGGTAAGGAGTGGCACAGAGTCGCAGACGCCCATCAGGGAAGAGAGACACTTGCATCCCTGGTGGCAGCTCCGCCAAAGGTTCAATATTTAACTTCTCCATGTCTTGCTATCAGACGGGTGACAGATCCCAGGAAGCTGCAACTTACTCTTCGATGGGTCCTACGGCGTCAATTTGCGGGGGAGGTTGCTCAGCGTTGTGAGGGAGGTGATCCTCGGCGGCGTAGGTGCCTGATGCTTGTGACATGAAGAGGTTATATCTATATTAGATCCCAAGTAAAGCTAGCGAAGTTGGGAAGGGTCTGAGGTGAGCAGACAGAGCAGAGTGGTGGTACACAGCAAATCGGTTAGGCAGGATGTTGAACTTTAACACGTGCTTACGAGCGTTGACGCCGAGAGTGTTCACTGTGAGTCTGTGACTTGTGAGCGCTCCCGGACTGCGACTAGTCTCCCTTACCATCATGATGGTCACATAGATCGCGGCTAAGATATAATGTTTGTTGCGTTGGTCAAGCTGCGCGCACGTGCAACTTGTTTATGATATAACTTGTAATGCAGATACTACTTGATGGTGTGTTGTAGCGCCCAAATATTGCTCTGAGCATCCGATTCCTAAAATATGGTTATAGGTATTAGGCAGAGTATTTTAAAAAGGCAAGTTCGGAGTACGAAGTTGCATTTTTAGAATGGTGTCCCACTTTACTTCCGCTGAGTCGCTCCATCATGTACAATATTAATGTTTTGTAAACCTACTAATGGTCGACGGTCCTCTGCGCAGCACGACAAATCCAATGGGTCATCGAGAACGACATGAAGATCTGCCTTGATTTTCAGGTGGAGTCGAAATGTCTTGGAACACCCGTGTCCACTACTAGCTTATCACGCGGCCTGGGTGGTCGTCCGAGGTTCTTAACTCCTTATACTATAGGAAGACCGCACTACGGGTCCGACTGATCCGTGCCGCAAGGTGTTTAACTTGTATTTGTAAGTATAACTTCTCAGTGTAATTACTACACGCTGTAATCTCAGCGTACCCGTTGCTCATCACAGCAAGCCACTACCCTCTGTTCTGGAGTATTTAACGTGTTGCAAACTAGCGGGGTGTCCGAATCGTGACTATCAGCAAGCCGGACCATTTCAATGGCGATTATAATTGCATGCACCCTTATCATTATCTTAGCCAGCGTCTGGATAGTGAAACAACGATATCAGGCCACAAGGCGGTTGCCATTACCGCCTGGACCACCTGGACGTTGGCTATTGGGAAATACAATGCCAAAGTCGTAGTAAGTCTCTGTCAATGGACACCAGCATGATCTCTATCTAACCCCTCACGTAGTGTGCCGTTTCAATTCGCGAGATGGACAGAACAATACGGACCTGTGTTCTCGCTCAAACAAGGCCATAGGATTTTCGTGATTATAGGACGTCATCAGGTCAGCTTAAAACAATTCATTGTCTAGCCAGGCATGAAGTAGATCACGTCATAGGCTGCAGTGGATATCATGGAAAAAGAGGGAGGAAATCTGGCCGACCGCCCGCGTTCTATTGCAGTGCAAGAGACATTGTCTGGCGGGTTGAGAATGGTCCTTGAGGGCAGTGGTGCGAGATTGCGCCGGCTGCGCAGGTATGCATCTTGTTTCTATCATATGTGATCAGTCAGACTAAATGTAAAGCAGGGTCTTGCATGCAGGCTTGCAACCCAAGGTTGCGGAGACCTACGAGCCCATCCAGACCAGGCATGCAAAGAATTTAGTTCTAGATATCTTAAATGATCCAAAGAACCACCAGAGTCATGCCATGCGGTACGAACATTAGCTCTTGCTTGCGCGGTACAGGTGGTAATTCGAACATCTTAGTTATGCAGCTTCTGTGGTCATGTCCTTCACCTATGGGAAAATTACTCCGACTTCATATACAGATCCTGAAGTCGTTGCCGTCAATAAGGCTCTTGCGCGTTTTGGTCAGGCTTTGAAACCGGGAGCATACCTTGTGGATACGTATCCAATCCTGCGGTTCGTCCCAGGCTACCTGAGTCAGCTGAAGGCGTGGCACAAAGAAGAACATGCTCTTTATGAAGGGCAGTTGGACGCGGTGCGAAGACAGATGGTTCGTGATTTTCTTGTGATGATATGTCCTCGCTCACCACTGTGAAGCGTGAGGGGACTGCAAGGCCATCCTTTGCCAGGTTCATTTTAGAGCACCAGAAACAGTACGAGCTCGAAGACAAGGAACTGGGATTCATTGCAGGAGGGATGTTTGCAGCCGGTTCTGATACAGTAAGCTCTTGCATTACATCGCGTCTTCACTTGACAGCTGTTGTAGACTTCGTCCGCAATCACGATTATGATGATGGCTGCTGCCACTCACACAGATGCGCAGGCTCGCGTACAAGAAGAACTCGATAACGTCGTAGGGCGTACGCGGCGTAGGTTATGCTTTTTCTTTATCCATCTACTGACTCAAATAGCTCCTGATTAGTGCCGACTTTTGATGATCAGGAAATGCTGCCGCAGGTTACCGCGTTCATGCTCGAGAGTCTGAGGTGGAGACCTGTCAGTCTTGGAGGTACGTCTTATTTGAGTTGTGATGACGCGATAAAGAACGACCACCTTTCACTACAGGCTTTGCGCATCGCGCGACTAAGGACATCATTTGGAAGAACTACCTCATTCCGGCAGGTACGACTGTTATTGGCAACCATTGGTCAGTAAGCAATCATTTTCGTCCTTTGACCTTTGCGTCTAATGCTCGTGTTTCAGGGCTATCGCAAACGATCCTGAGGCCTTCCCAGAACCACACACGTTTAATCCTCAGCGTTGGATTGACGATGCAGGTCGTGTGCGCGGTGATCTCCGATTTTTCACTTTTGGTTTTGGCCGCCGGTGAGTGGTATCGTTCATCTCTCGACCATTTCTTATGCCTTGCTTGAAAATGTCAGAGTGTGTCCTGGTCAACATGTCGCGAATCGGTCTGTCTTCATTAACACGGCTCTTATTCTCTGGGCTTTCCGCCTTTCGGAGAATCCTACAGCAAAGATTGATACGCTTGCATTCTCGGACACTACAAACATACATGCTGCTCCGTTTGAGATATGTTTGGAGAAGAGGATCGATGAGAATGTGGTCAGGGAACTATGCGCACCGGGGGAGTAAACTTCTCTATGAACTTGAAAGTTCTGATGCAGGGTGACGTAGCGACTGAATTCTTGTGTCTTGTGCTCTTTTTTCCATGTCCCAGATTTGCAGGGTTTTATTTTTTGGAGCAGTGACGATCCATCGACTATCTTAGGAGAAGGCGAGCGTCGTCGCTGTTTTCGTGTGTACTTGTATCATGTGTGTTGGGGCCGGCGTCCGTCGCCTTCTCACCATAAGAAATACTTCTTTTACCACATCACGATGCAATCCTAACGTCACTGAACATTGAACAGGGAGATGGACCGTCAATAGTGTATTATTATGATACTGTTTATTCCATCTATCTTGCTTTGCCTCTCCCCAAAAGCTTTTGTCCTTGGCGGTCACGAGTTCTTGTCGAACATAGCTGTATTTATGGTTCATGCAACGCGCCATTTGTGGGATGCGTCTCGTTCGATAGCGACTGTGACCCATCACCAAGTGTCGGTGGATCTCTAATTCGCACAATTGAAGCCTCCATTTATGCCCACCGTACTGTGTTGTGTCGATAAACCAACCAAATTCTCCTCCCTTCGGGAGTCGAGGATTGCAATAACTGATGAAGTGAACAAAGTTCCTTGAAAAATCGCAAGACTACAAGGTCACAAAGGGTAGAAACAGATCGAACAGAGCGGTAGCGCTACGATCATTATCTATCATACACAGCAACATGCCCTATAGTGCATCGCTTTTCACTTTACTACAATCGTACAGTCATGATCCGAGTTGTATTGAATTATCATGCATCTTGTGCTTCCCACTGCAAGTTGCGTAGCCTAGCCGTACTGCCAAATTTGACCAGGGCTTCGAGAATGGTTTGGGATGGTGCCTCCTTCTGCCGAGAGACAAGCCCACGCAGCCGGCTCGCAATTTCGGGATGTTGGCTCAGGAATGGAAATGTGGTTTCACTTATTCCAGAAGCGTAGATCCGCAGACATCGGTCTGTTTCGATGTGATTTGGCTCCTTCTCCGGGAACGTAACGTTAAGCTTTGGTTCCACATTCAGGTCGAGGAGAAGAGCGATGTAGGGGAGATTCGATAGGCACTGGATTGAATCATGCGTGCGAGTGACCAACGCCAAGTCATGCTCATGGCAATTCTTCCCCGCTTTGTCGGAAATAAATATCTGTGACACGCGATTGAGATCATCGGAGCCGAGGGCAGGATCGTCAAAATAAATGGGAATCATCTTGTCGACGAGCGGCTGCAGATGACAGCATTGGACCGCGCTTGTGCGATGCCAGTGGCGCAAAGTCCACTCTTCGGCGCTGCATCTAGCACTATACAGAGGTGATAATCTCAGATATAATATCGCAATGCCTCGAAGCTTGCTTACCTCAACAAATCGGCGTCAGTTTGATCGGGAACTGGCGGTGAGATGAACTCTGTCATGGACACCCAATGCGAGAAATTGATGTAAGCATGCTGAAAAGCTGCCTTGGCCCCTTCAACTGTCCTCGACCAGAATGTCTGGCCAAATAGGTACTCCAAGAAATCAATGACGGAGACCTTCCGGCAGTCGATCAGTTCCGCATCCCCACTTCCGTGATAGAATAAATGCTGAATCACGCCTTTGGGGGGGTCCTTGCGGACAAAGAGATCCTTAGCGAGAAGCAGCAAAAGCCTGCTGGCCAACTCCCCGCTCTGTCCTATCTCGACCATCCCACCATCAATCTTTTTTTTCAAGATCCCCAAAACAAAATCCACATCGCTAGGCGTCTCATGGAGTATCATTGCTGCAACGCAAGACAGAATGGGTTCTGATGGATAACCGGTGAAGTGCCACATCCTATCTTCGGTCGTTGAGAAGAGTATGCGCAGATGACTAGCCACTGCTTTTGAGAGATGAGACGCAGCATCGGGGTGACCAAGGCAAAAGTTGAGACCGAATCTCTGGGATAGGACAGCAAGAGCCTGTTTCGCATCATTCGCGTCAAATGTGATCGATTTGCAGAGTTTCTGGGCAGCCAGTACCAAAATATCAGCGACAGAACGTCTTTCTGCAAGGGACTTCCATCTATTCATGCTGGTCAACGAAATTGGAAACAAAGATAGAAACATAGGGACGAACAGCGGACGACCGAATCCAACGATGTGATCGAACCTTGCGACATCATTCGCCGCTATATAAGGCATAGGAACCGCATCCTGGTCCCAACCGAGACATGTATAGGGCAGGTAGACAGGTCCGCCGTATACTATTAGGCCCGTAGAATCTTCTGGCAGATTGTGTGAAGGGTGGAAACAGGCGACGTAGAGCATGTACTTACTGGTCTCCTGAGGGGCTGAAAAATCTACTTGCAAAGTCGTAGATACAAAAACAACCCAGACCGATGCGTTGCTCTGCCGGGAGTAGCAGTTGATCGTCCTGCCAATGATATCTGATGGACGAAAACCCCTTCCACTCATGTTGCTCAAAGTGTAAGCCTCGTCAAATGCTATTACGAGTTTTGGATCATCGTTCGAAACCTTGCCTTCTCCAGTAAATAAATGTTGCAGAACCTGTAACATATTGTTATAAGATGTCGTGACGAATGATTCGTCTCTCGATTTTGCCGACCGGATCTTATCTGTTTACGCACAGTGTGAGCTTAGGTGACCGCATTGTGCGAAATACAACAAGTGACATACTCCCTGACTTTGCGGCGGTCTCCACATCGGTTTGCTCTTCGAGCTTCGGCATTTTGATATTGCCCAGTGTCTGTTGCAAACTTCATCAGTCCATCTGTCAAGAAACTATATTTCCCTGCCCACTTCCTGATATCGAGATTGAACTTTCTGAAAGAAATCGGTACGAGCTTTCGAGCGCATGTCACACATTTCGTTATTCCATGATTTTATTACAAGATCAGGACTTCCAGAGGGCAGCTCAAGTAGCTTGCTGCTCAGAACCTGCTGAAGCGTCTGGAATATGGCCGTGAAGAAGGCGCAACAATGAGCGGTATACTCGGCTGCAGTGCAGCCTGTATTTTCCGTCAATATACGCGCGGGCACTAGGTCTCGCATAGGGTAGCCCAGATCACTTGGATCGCGGAGGTTCATGTACAACACAATAACACCTTTGTTCCGGAGCTAATTCGATGCTTTAGCTACCTAATACGAACACGGACTATAAAACACTGACCTCGATTATTAGTCTTGATTTTCCAGTACCAGAACTTTGGACGATCGAACAGAACTTAGCATAGTATGGCCCACGCGGGCCCCTGAACTCCATGTTGTTATTTTTCAGGTACTCATAGAAACCGTCCACCGCCTTGCCAACGTAAGGTCTGACGAATGAATCGTAAAGAAAGTCTGACCGGTCCTCATCTAGGATACAACTGACCTGAGATGTGACTGTAGATGTTACAAGATAGAAGTCTCTCACCTTGAGACGACCGCACGGGATCACTAGCTAGGGGTATTTGAAATATTGCTGCATTTCCAGCGACTGTCAACAGAGGGACATTCATGTCGCTAACACGAACACTCACTGAGGTCAGCGATGTGAGAGAACGAGCGCGTCTGACAGGCGTGGCGGACGATTTCCCGTAGTTGAGGGTGTTTCTGCATTGTTTCCTCTTGTGCCATGTCCGGGTCAAGTGTTTCCTTCAAGTGTGCACGTTTGAGCAATCTATTGGCCACCAAAAGAGTTCGGAACATGATGAAGACAAGCATGTAGTCCAAGAGATCGGAATTGGTGTCCTCTTTATCTTCATTGATAATCTTCAGGAAGGGACCATTGGCCTTAAGTAAGTCTCGATCGAGCTCATCACGTTGTTGCGATGTGAGCGGCAGGAGTGTTATGGGAAGATCCTGTGATGTTGATGTTGAACCTGACATGGCGGAGCGTGTCGATGCAAAGTGATTACAACGCTGAAGTCGTCCTGTTCGAAGGGATTGAAAAACGATTCAAGCGGCGCGTCTGAGACCACTGCCTACATCAATATTAATAGTCCGCGCTTCTGTGCTTCATCCTAGGAGTGTCATTCGAAGGGAGAGCACAAGTGACGCCACATCCCACAAGGTTACATAATGGCAATTACTAAGCGCCCACCGGTTCAAGAATCACAGCATATACATCACCTATTCCTCCCACACTTCCTAGTTAGTAAAGATCGTAAGTAGCACGTTTCCACGCTCTTGCTTAAGTCAAGTTGGCTTATTTGTGAGCACCAGCAGGGTGCACCGGCAACCAGCTATGATTTACAATACGGTAAGTCTCTTCTAAGGTTCAGACTGAGTACCGGCAGGGTGCACCAGCAACCAGCTATGACTCAAAACACGGTAAGTGTCTTCTTATATATTTGGACATTACCATACCTTCTATTTTAGGTTGCACACCGCCGGATGGCAACCCAAAATGGTAAGCGAGCATCGTCGGCGCTGTGTCAGACAGCGAGCTCGCATATCTTACTCATTTTCACTTTTTTTAATGGCGCTTTTTTGTCTGTCATTATATATTCACATTATATGATGAATCATGAAGGAAAAACATAGTGTTTGCAAGCATAAGTAGACATATAGCAAGGATAGTATGCTAGACATCAGTGGAGTCATTCTCGTCCTCAGTATTACTATCAACCCACTCGCTGCTTCTAGGTTCCGAAGGTACACCTTTCTTACTTCCTTTACCTCGGCCCTTCCTTGAGTTCTGATATACACGTGCCTTTTCTGTCAGTCTTTTCACGCGCTTGGACCTGATTGGCTGGGCTGGGTCAGAGGCAGGGCGCTTGGTGGATACTGTGCTTGAAGTCTCCTGGTTGTTGGAAGAGTCGGCAAGAGGAGGTGTTGGGAGAATACGAGCTTGGTGGTGATTACTACTTAAGGCCAATAGTGCTGGATCAATGAGGTGGTCTGAGATTTGAGATATGTTGCCGGTTGTGACAAATGCAGGAACATTGGACGTAGCGAAGGTAGGTATGGTAGAGGTGGTTGTACCAGTAGGGACAGGAACATTTGGGCTGCCAGCTGTTGAAAGTGCGGAGGATGTTGATAGGGTAGTAGTAGCGCTGGGAGTGGACAATGTGGAAGGTGTTGGTGCCCTCGTAACAGGAACATTTGGGCTGCCGGCTGTTGAAAGTGTGGAGGATGTTGATAGGGTAGTAGTAGTGCTGGGAGTGGACAATGTGGAAGGTGTTGGTGCCCTCGTAACAGGAATGTGCGAGCCGCTGGGTGTTGAAAGTGTGGAGGATGTTGATAGGGTAGTAGTAGCGCTGGGAGTGGACAATGTGGAAGGTGTTGGTGCCCTCACAACAGGAACATGTGAGCCGCTGGCTGTTGAAAGTGCGGAGGATGTTGATAGGGTAGTAGTAGCACTGGGAGCGGATGACCTGGAAGGCGCTGGTGACGTGACTTGGATGTCTGTTGAATCTTTGTCAAAGTTTGGCGTGAGAACTTCTCCTGCCGCAATGCGCAGGAGGCGCTCTTCAGCCTGGCTTGCAGTGATCTTCACAAATTTGCAGGTCTTCGCTTTCACAGCGCTAGCAAGTGTTTCAAGTGCTTCGATACCTCCTTTCAGATCGCTTGGGTTGGCCCAGTCTTTGTGATTCCACCCCACCACCTTCACAAGATGCTCTTGGACTACAGCAGCTTCATAACGTAGATACTCGAAATTAATATTTGTCTTGCCAGTGATTTGAACTGCACAATAAGTCAGAACTGTATGAGGTACAAAATCAATGAGACACTTACTCAACCCAGCTTGCATGCCGCTCCTGATTGTCTGCTTTGCTAGCTTCACACGCTCCTTATGTGTGAGAGAGAATCCTAAGAATTGATGAGTGGTAGAGTTGGACAGTCAAATGGATACCTACCACGGTCCCTGATACCACCAGATAGTATGTAGCCTTCGAGCTTGCATGCAAACTCCATGGGATCCTTGCGAGTGGCTGTTCTTAAAAATTGTTCAGCTGCCGCACATGTGAAGTGAACCTTCGGCTGTAGGTTGAGGTTGCAGCCGCCGCGAACCAGGATGACAAGGGCTTCAGTTCCAATCCGTTGTTTTAGGGCTTCGAGCTAATTAAAGATACATCCAAAGGTCAGTAAGGGTGAAGTGAAGATTAAGAAATAAGTACCTCATCCACTACAGCTGCAAAGCTGCTTGAGCACTCGCCATTGGAAGTCTTGACCGACAGATTTGGGGGCTTGACACGAGCAGCATTCTTCTCTTCATCAAATGCAGTGACAAGTTGGGCGCGTTCTTCTGCTGTAAGGCTGTGATAATTATTGGCATTTTTGACGAGCTGCTGAATATTGTCTCTTTTGCCGGAGTCCCTATCTGTGAGGAACAAAATATGTATTAGAATATGAAGCTAGAGAGGTTGTACAAATTAGCTCACCTTTATTGATGTCCTTGCCCTTGAAGTGCATGAACACGGACCATGCACTTGTCTTAATGTGTTTCTTGCGCCTTAAAGCAGAACCAATATAAAAGTGTTCAAGGTAACGACGGGGAGTCCTTCGGAAGCGTGTCGCAAGCTCGGTAGCCTTATTCTCGATGTACTCAAGAACTTCTGCAATGGCAGCATCTTCATCACTGCGTTCCTGGCGTCTACGTTCAGTGACAATAGCACGTTCATTACGAGTGAGCTTTGGTGCTTGATGACGAGCACTATTTTGGACCAGACGCCGACGGGCCATTGCAGAGGGACGAGCGAATATAGGCATTGTGATTGGATAGTAGATAGGCTGAAAAAAATACAGAAGACGTGTTAAAAACTCCAATACATTGTACAGCAGCAGATGATATATAATGAAAAATGTTAGGCTGCCGAACAATCATAATGCATTGCGAGAGCAATTTCTTCAGCTTCTAGCGCCCCAATATCAAATTCTTTCATCTTTGCTAGCTCGGCTCCCCAAGCATCATCCAAATGAGACAAGCTAATAGAACGACATACTTCATGAAATGTATCCAGGATGCCCAGGCGACGAAGAACATTTTTAGTATTGTCCCCAAAGGAACGCAACCGCCGGGGGGTTGAAGAAATGGGTGGCGAAACTGAAGCGAAATCAAATGCATTTGAGCGGTGCACTCCACGAGCTCTGACTGGAGATGCCAGTATATTATCAGATGACGTGGCATGTTGAGGGGAACTCGGATCCCAAACTCGTGATCTGACCGTAGGTGATATGGGACGGCTCCCTATGGGTAAACCGAGACGTGCAGATGGCGGGAGAGACTCGGCATAGACTTGCAATGCATCAGTGTAGGAGATGCCCTCAGAGTAGCTGCTATTGGTAGTAAGTGTTGTTACACGAAGTCGGTTCTCCTAATATGGAGAAATGTTAGCAAGAACTTGAGCGAAATAACAATTTCTTTTCACTTACGATATCCGTTATATTCGCACTGGCAGATTGGTCAATGATATGAGCCGTGCTGCATTGGGAGCGTGAGTCAGATTCAGCTGATGAGATTGATGGGGCTGATGATTGGTTAAATGATGAAATCGGCTTCAATGACCATTTGATGACCTGGAGCTGCCCAGTTGTGATGGCATTTGGAAAGTGAGAGTGGACTGTGTGGGACGACAGAATCTGTTCCAAGGACCCTGGATGACGGCCGATGAATTCAAAGGAGCAGGCTGATGGCATGTCAACTGGGAGAGGGACAAGAGCTTGTGGATCACTGCGAGGAATGGGAGTAGGCACCTGTGTATGTGTAGATATTTGCCTCCATCCACGTGATATTCGTCGATCTCTGAAAGCTTGTGCAACTGGCCTTGCCCAGTGTTGAATGAAGGTTTGAACAAGCTCAGCAGCTACGATATGAAGAGAAGGGTGGTCATGAAGAACTTTGGGATCTATGTAGACTTTGGCTGTCAAGTTTGCCAGAGTAAGGTCGGTTTGTGGGGCAGTTGCTCCAGGATGATGCAGAACGATGGTTGAACCACCAGACAACCTATCGAGAAGAGTGCACTACCAGGTGTCTCTGTAAGTCAGTTTTGGGTATGGGTAGGATATGAAAAAGAAACGCACAAGGTCATAAATGATATGACGAATACAAGTGAGATGAAACCTCTGATCTTCTCCAGCATTTCTCTTCTCTGCTTCGCTGATTCCTTCGAAGATACCCGTACTATAGTGCTCCACTGTCAGAGGATGAAACCCAAGGTCAGAATCAAGATGGTTGCCGTTGCGATGCATATTGTGTGCAGACATCGCAATCATGGCAGAAATCCATCGCTCAGAGATATCAGGGAGAGCTAAGAGTTCTGGAGGCTTGGTAACGTTTTTGAGAAGGTGTTGTGTGCCACTGAAAGATGGAAGTACGTTGAGATTGCTGTTGGACCAGGAATTCATTGCAAGAGCCGATGCTGAAGCCATAATGTGTGTAGCAGGCGATGTTACAGAAACAAAGTGTGTTAAGCACGTGCCCATGCTGAGAGGATTAGTGAATCAAGTGACATGTCTCACAGCTTACATATGAGTAAAGTGTATGGTGCTGGATCAGTTCAAATATTATACACACACGAAACTCTCACCAACTCTCACACACATACATATGACACATATCGCACCCTCGATGAGTTTGTAACAGGCAACAGAACTGACAACAGAATTTATATGATTATGTAATATGATGTAATGTAGCTCGTTTGGACCCCCAGCTTTTGAAAGCTGGGGGTCCAAACGAGCTACATTACATCATATTACATAATCATATAAATTCTGTTGTCAGTTCTGTTGCCTGTTACAAACTCATCGAGGGTGCGATATTTGCCAGGGCTGCAGCAGCCTAATGATTCAAGACGCCTTAGCTAGAACATAGTAGACTTAAAGATTACTGAATTTTCTGCAATACAAGACCTTTGTGTGTGTTCAGCGTCTGTGTGTGTGTCATATGTATGTGTGAGAGAGTTTCATGTGTGTATAATATTTGAACTGATCCAGCACCATAAAGCGGGCCAACAGTGGCATAGATACATCCGACTTATTTGCTGCACTGGAAGTCACAACAGACGTTCACTAGAGCTGACAGTGGCATCTTTGTATTAGATACATCCGACTTACTTGACAGTGTATTAGATATGTTCGACTTACTTGACAGTGGCGTCTTTGTATTAGATACATCCGACTTATTTGCTGCACTTACATCCGACTTACTTGACAGTGGCGTCTTTGTATTAGATACATTCGACTTATTTGCTGCACTGGAAGGTGAAGGAGGTCACAACAGACGTTCGCTAGAGCTGACAGTGGCATTTTTATATTAGATACATCCAACTTACTTGAGAGTGTATTAGATACGTCCGACTTATTTACCGCCCTGGAAGGTGAAGGAGGTCACAACAGACGTTCACTAGAGTGAGTATGCAGGCATCTGCAAATCCCAGGCAGTAACACCTACTCAGACACAAGGTTCCAGTAGTAACAATGATAAAATTGCACGAATAACATGTGATATATCAGTAAGATCTACTCCTCCCCTAATGATGTCTCTTCCAAGCATTGCAACAAACCATCAAGCGCATCATTGATTTCACCCATACCCAAGCCATCATGTTCAACATCTTCCTCTCCTCCACCAGGCTCTTGACTGTCAGATGACATGACACCGGCAGTTGCATTGGAATGACGACCAAAACGAATTCCAGGACCAAACTTGCCACTGTAGCCAGGAAGCATCTGGATCTGTCGAATGTGTGACTTATGACCAGCATTAATAGAGCTGAGACAGTCCCAGCGACGCTGAACCTCTGCTGCAAGTGATGGATCATGAGTTTCAAGTGCCACAATGGCAGCAGTGTGATCAAGTTCGTCATCACGCATTTTTGTCAACAACCTGACAATTTCCACATTACAACGGGTAATCTCCTCCCTCGAACGTTGCAAGTCAAAGTACTTCGTCGCAGCTTGGCGATTGGTAGGATCGGCCCAGCGCTTGGCATGGACCTGTTCATCAGTTTCACATAAGAGGTCAAATTCACCTGCAAATGTGAACTCGGCAATCTGGTCCCATGACAGTGCAGGACGAGGTGGCTCAAGCTGAGCGGCATACTTATTATAACGCCCAACTGCATGGCGAATTGCAGTAGCACGTGTCTTCAAGGCCTTTGAGATTTGAGTACGAAGCTTATAGCCTGCAGGGTGTGTAAGGCACAGCAGCAGGCTAAACAAATCACTCACCAAGGCCACTCATTTGTAGTTTTGTTAGCTCGAATAGACGCATGACTACTAGGCGCTCAACATCATCAGCTGCCTGGTGGAAGCGACGATTAATAATTCGTGACTGCGCAGCTACACGTCTAGGATCGGTGGGTGACCAATGGTCTATCAAACCCATTTGGCTTTCGAATGCTTCAACGGCATCCATTTTGAGAGTGAGCTTATTGCTAGCATTGGTCCGTCGGCGTGTGATATCAGCGATCTCCTTTCGCCCATAGCCTTGCTGGTTCATACGTAAATCCAGAGTTCGAAATTCATGACAGGCCGCCTGATATGTCTTCCTAGTGTGATAATCAGCTCATCGCTCATTAATCATAATAAGGTGGCGTACTCAGCATCTTCTAGTTCTAACAGTGCCTTCACATAGTCGATCTCAATCGTATTTTCTGAGCGTTTACCTACAGTTTGAAGGTAACGGCGCTCCTCATCTAGGTCCGCCTCAAAATCATCACCTGAAAGCGGAAATTGAGCAAGGAATTCTTCATGCATGGCAATGCAGTTGAGCGCCTGCACGTAATTGTTGTAGATGAATGTGCCTACTATCGGTTTAATAACATTCTGAGAAGAGAACAATAACGTACTGAGTGATGCATACTTGTCAGCAGCCATAAACCAAAAGTGTTGATCAAGTGCCTGATGACGGTGAAATTCACTGCTGTTACGTGTTTCCGGAGCAAGAGCATTTGATTCAGAGAACGTGCGTTCGCATGTCTCAAAATCCTCTTTCCCAGCACCCGTCTTGTACTTGCAATGGTGCTGAACCTGGCATAGACGGTTATGAGCATGGCCATGAAATCCATTAACTACTCCATCGACACCAAGACGACGGACAGATGATGAAAGGGAGCTTCGAAGAAGAATTTTTTCGAAGGCGCATTTGATATCATACCCATAGAGGAAGGGTTGTTGATAGACTTCCATCAGACGGTGAATGGTAGCGAGCGGATACTTCATTCTAGATTGATTCAATCAGTTTCAAAAATAAGTTATGTTCACAATGAGCTCACAATTCGCCACTTCGCACCATGTCACAGATTGTGAGAAGAACCCCATGCCAGCAGACAGAGACAAAGATGCCTGATTTCCGAAAGATCGCAAACATGCGCTTGCGAGTCTCAGGTGCAGCGTTGCGCCACCGATCAATGCAGATGCTAACTGGTTCAGCTGAACTGTTGTCGCTTGACTCAATTTCATCCACCCAGGCATCATCAGTCTCAACGGCAGCTTCATGAAAACTTGATGTGCCTTGAGCACGTCGACTTCGTTGTTGTGTGTTTAGAATTTCATGTTGGAAGTGATCAACGTACTCTTCGGTTAACCAGACTGCTGACCGATGATCACGGGGTTCTGGACGCTCATTTCCTCGCCGCAAGATCAGATCAACAAGTTTAGCCGAATTGTTGCCATCCATAGAGACAAGAAAGGCAAACTGTAATGGGGGTTCCTCGTCAACAACATAATGGCATGCGGGGCATGCATTAAGCATATGCCAATTGGGTGTATCCCGCCCTAAGGCTGAATCCACTCGAGCATCAACACAACGCTGAATTTCCATGTATACATCATATGCGACCCTGAATTGCTCAGCAAGGTGACGATGATAACGTACCTGTGAATCACATTAGTAAGTGACAACAGAAATGAATTTACTTACACGATGCATATGGCAAAGCTTCTTTACTTCTGCATGGATGCTGAGGCGAGGACAGACACGATGAGTCTGACGGTAAGCCTCTAATGTACGGAGGGTGATGGCAATGGTAGGCTTGATGGGAGATGCACCAATACATCCATGATGCATAAGGGATACATTGAGATGTGTGGACCGATGTGGAATCTTGTAAGCTGAACGATCTGATAATTGAATGTGATGACAAAACTTGTAAAGCTTGAAGCGAAGAAAATCTCACCAAAAATATCAATGATTTCAATTTCGAATGATTCAATATCTTTGATGGTGGAGGGTTGTGTGGTTTCCGACATGTAAAGCAAGTAGGTGTCCGTCAAATCATCATACTGAGAGACCCATGCTAGAGCCATCTCAGCGATTCGGTTGGTACGGTCACGATCATCATAGTGTTGCCTTGAAATTGATATTAGTATAGATGTGTGGTCCACATCAGAGTTGACTCACCGGCTCCCTGATAATATATTGCTTAGCTCACTGTACAGTTCAAACTCTCCTCCTTCCTGACTGATCTCAATGCCTTCAGATCCTACAGGTGGAAGCGCAGATGCAATATCTATGGGATAATCGATGGCATTGGAGGGACAATCTGACGGCCTTGCAGCATGTTCAGCCTGAAGAAACTGTTCACGTTGGTGGATGTCAAGGGCTGATGTTGTTGGTCAACACCAGAAAGACTAATAGATGGAAAACTTACACTGCAGAAATGTTGTGCGTTGGCAGAATGCCTCATGTTCCTTCTGCTTCAAGTCCTTTGCCCTGACTACATTTCTCTTGCGTCCAACGGTAATGACAGCTGCACGAGAGGTACCAGGGACTGAATATTTAGCCCTGCGCTTGGGTAGCATTGAGTGACGCATAAATGATGGGATCAAGGTTGTGAGGTGTGGGAATGTATCAACAGTCAGAATCAAGGGATGTGCACGTGAGGTTGAAAAGGCTAATTCATGTGGCGGGCACTTTGTCTGGGAAGTTGTTCTCACAGTCGAAAGCTTTATCGTTTGACATAGCATGCCTAATTGTGAGGATAAAAGATACCTGTATATGTAATTATAAACATCTGAATTGAAAAATGTGCCATAAAAAGTGAAAATGAGTAAGATATGCGAGCTCGCTGTCTGACACAGCGCCGACGATGCTCGCTTACCATTTTGGGTTGCCATCCGGCGGTGTGCAACCTAAAATAGAAGGTATGGTAATGTCCAAATATATAAGAAGACACTTACCGTGTTTTGAGTCATAGCTGGTTGCTGGTGCACCCTGCCGGTACTCAGTCTGAACCTTAGAAGAGACTTACCGTATTGTAAATCATAGCTGGTTGCCGGTGCACCCTGCTGGTGCTCACAAATAAGCCAACTTGACTTAAGCAAGAGCGTGGAAACGTGCTACTTACGATCTTTACTAACTAGGAAGTGTGGGAGGAATAGGTGATATACATGAGCTTCAACACGAGCAATATATAACCATAGCAACAAAGACAGGCCCGACCGGCGACAACACTAGCTCTCAAGTCAAGTCTCATCAGTGCATGCGGCGGCGTGCGCCCTCCACCGCACCAAACTCTACTTATCCATCGCTGCCTTTGTCTTTCTTCGGTGATTGAGGGTGCACTTTTAGCGCCCACGCTCTCATATGGCCAGCATTGTTCTCTGCGAAAGCCTGCTTTACCTTCGCCAAACTCATCCATGCTGCCGACACACTGTCGCCGAGTTATTCAACATTGATGTTTCCGGCCTCAACCGCATTTTCCCCAGGTAGGGAGGATTGTACTGCTCGTATCTTATTGCCATCATTTTCGCCAGGTGTCCCAAAACACGAACCTGCGCCGGTACACCAACCCTATCAGCCACCGTTATCCTAACACTCGCTGTCCGTTTCGAAATCCTTCGTTGAAGTTGGATGAGCTTTAAAAACACAGGGACGTGTCTCTCTTTTTGGACATGTTTTGTCTCGAGTCGTGTCTCCTTGTCTTGTGCGTTGTCTTTCTTAGTTAGAGTGTTCGCTAAATCACATTCCGTCCAGTGCTATCCACTAAGTAAATTCAGGCTAAATAAACACTCCGTCATTTTCCTCGTGCGACTGGCGAAAGCAGGAAGTGGTAGGAGGGCTTCGGGAGGTCACGTTCTGGTGCGGGGTCGGGGTCAGCGTGAGGCCTCGAACCTTCGAGGCAGCGCCAGGTTTCATGACGTTGGGTTGGAGGTTAGTTGTGGTAACCTGATAGGCAGCGAGAGACCGTGACTGCAGGTCAGGCGTGGTAGGCAGTCATAGAAGCGCGACTCCTGGGCGCGATGACAAGGTACTTGACCTTATACACGAGCAGAAAATACCTTATTGAGCGGTGCTAGAGGTCTTAAAGCTTGACCTCTGATGTAAGTGAGGTAACGCACTTCGAAGTTCGAAAGGGTAATAGGAAACGTAGTACGACTCCAAAGCTGTCGTTGAGTTGGCCTACTAGTCAAACAACTAGGTATCGTACGAATAAAGTGAAGTGTTGATATAGACTAATTTCAAATATGGCTCATGCTTGGCTTCATGTACATGCACTGGCGCTATGTCATGGTACACAGCTATGATATCAATAGTAATATTGCCCACTGCCACTGATTCTAGATAAGCAGGCTTCGGGTTGGGCATTTACCTGGACCGGGTTCACACACTGCAACCGATTATAAGGCTACACCAACGCTTCTCCGTGAGTCACATTCAAGTTCACCTTCCCCCATGGATCCTTCAAAGATAAGAGAGAAAATCGGTCGCTTTCGAATCCTCGTTGTAGGAAGAGCGAATGCAGGAAAAACTACCATCCTGCAGAGAGTCTGCAACACACGGGACAACCCAGAGATATACAACAGCGCCGGGGAAAAGGTGGGCTCATCACATTGCTACTAGGCAGGAAGATGGTACTGACACATCCACATCAGATCGATCTTGCAGTCATAGCGGCATCCAGAGAGGTGAGTTGTGCTCTTAGTCGACGACAGGAACTGACGTGTTCTCAGCGCGGACTGCATGATATCGAAAATGAAATGGTGTTTCGAAGCAACCCGGGCTTCATTTTTCACGATTCACGCGGGTTTGAGTCAGGCGGCGAATTGGAATTTATCAAGGTAAAGACATTTATTGCTGACCGTTCCAAGGAAAGCAAAATAACAAATCGACTCCATGCTATATGGTAATTGTAACCGATCAGTCACAACATGCGCTATCTCATGGTTTCAATATAGGTATTGCATTCCAATGGACGAGGCACACAGGTCGTTCACTGCAGGTGAACAGAAATTCTTTTCTCAGTGCGACACAGGAAGCGGTAAGCTTTTGCATCCCACCCTCGTCGACGTTCGACTGATGCGCAGAGTCACAATCCTCAGTTCCAGTAATCGTAGTATTCACCAAGTTTGATGCCCTGTACGATGTCGCATACTCACAACTGAGAAGGGAAGGAAAATCTCTGAAAGACGCTCAAGAACTGGCTCAGCAACGCGCCGAAGAAAGATTTCCTGATGGACCACAATTGAAGTTTCTGAAGGGCGTACGATGGCCTCCAAAAGGTCATGTATGCCTCCCTAGTAAGTCGGTTTATGGTCAAGTTGCGATACACGATGACCGTTGATCCATCAGATATGAACGAGGATAATGCAGATTGTGGGGCGCTGATTGAACGCACGGCTGGAACTTTGAACGATGAGATGCTGGAGCAATTATTCGTCTCAACCCAGCAGACAAACTTGGAGATCTGCATGAGATATGCAATTGAGAGGTAACTATTCGTGGTCTCATTCGTCTGCCACAGATGTTAGCGACTGATATTGTCCAGAACGCTCTTACCATATCTTGACTCTGCAAAGAGAACAACGACTGAAGGCCACAAGATAGTAGGGATCTTGGGCCTCTGGTTTCCTCATATTTGGGTAAGATTATCGGAAAGTTCAAATGTTGCTCTCATTTATGTCGAGTGTTTACTTGCAGGTGGTACGTCTGTTAATCCTCGTTGGAGCTGGAGCCATGCTGATCCAAGTCGTTGCCCACCGTTCGCAGTTCGTGAGTCTGTCGATCCTCGTTGGAGCAAGAGCCATGCTGATCCAAGTCGTTGCCCACCGTTCGCAGTTCGTGAGTCTGTCGATCCTCGTTGGAGCAAGAGCCATGCTGATCCAAGTCGTTGCCCACCGTTCGCAGTTCGTGAGTCTGTCGATCCTCGTTGGAGCAAGAGCCATGCTGATCCAAGTCGTTGCCCACCGTTTGCAGGATGTGAGTCTGTCGATCCTCGTTGGAGCAAGAGCCATGCTGATCCAAGTCGTTGCCCACCGTTCGCAGGATGTGAGTCTGTCGATCCTCGTTGGAGCAAGAGCCATGCTGATCCAAGTCGTTGCCCACCGTTCGCAGTTCGTGAGTCTGTCGATCCTCGTTGGAGCAAGAGCCATGCTGATCCAAGTCGTTGCCCACCGTTCGCAGAGTGTGAGTCTGTCGATCCTCGTTGGAGCTGGAGCCATGCTGATCCAAGTCGTTGCCCACCGTTTGCAGCATGTGAGTCTGTCGATCCTCGTTGGAGCTGGAGCCATGCTGATCCAAGTCGTTGCCCACCGTTCGCAGAGTGTGAGTCTGTCGATCCTCGTTCGAGCTCTATCCATGCTGACCCATCAATAGGACAAGCTTAAGAACGACCACTGTGTAGTGATACAGTCCAGGTTACTTTCTGTCGTATGTCCAATCGGTGGCAGATTGTACACATTTCTCATGTTGCGAATCTGCCAGACCTCTGGCTCATCACCATTGGAGAATATTGTTCAGCTCATTTCTGGTGAATTTTGAGGCTATTTTGTGACGAATCTGCTTATTGTTGACCGTTTAGCTGCTGTCATTATCTTCGAACACTCTTTCTATATTTGCGACAAGCGGCGCTATCTTCAGGACGAGCAGGAGTCTGATCCCTCTTTTTATGTCGCTCTGGAGCAGTACATGCCATCTCCGCAAGCAGCTGCTATCAGGAAAGGTGTAAGCATCGCCGTCCACACATTCCAAGGACAGTCGTCTACGCCGAAAGTCAAGCCATTGTTTGGACGCTTCCAGATAGGAAAACAAAAACAATCTACTGCCGACTCCCAAAAGATGGAGTTGGTCAACACCATTGTTAAAATCGCTTTAGAGCATCGCCTGCGTATGTTTAGATGTCATTTTGTGACAGCAACTCCGCTGATCCGTCGTCTTCAGCAAGACCTCAATATCAAGCAGTGGAACACAACACAGATGTTGTTCCGCAGGGGAGCTAACGTGTCTTAGTAGTGATGTACGTTTCTTGAGTGGTCTGTTGAGGTAGTTTCAGGAGGTGGAACTGTACAAAGTGGTTGCATGATCACGAAATATAGCGCTTTCTCTGGTATGGTGTGCGATTTGAAGCATGTGAGTCGCCCTCAGCTGGGACGCTTGATAATTTTCTTGATTCGGTTCAAGTGCATTGAGGTCGGGTATGCTCTACGTACCATTCTGCTCCAGTCTGTCTCAATTTGCGTCGTTCTTTGTTAACAACAGATCCAATTCATTGTCATTTCAGCGTTACATGAGATAAAAACGCATGGAACATCCCTGTTAACGTCAGTGACACCAGTTGGTAGCTAAGACTGGCTATTGCATAGATAATAGCCTTCGAAATCAAGCAGCAGACGCACGTCGAAAGTTTTCATTCTTTGAGAGACGGTGTGCAGGTTACTATGGCTCTGTATCGTGATCTATCATCCGTGCGCTCTGTGCATCCCCGGGGCCTATGGTTAGAACCGCATCATTCTCGTTTTCACTAAACAATACCCACCGCATGCATTATCCTCTGGGATCTAAATACATCCTTTTGAGGGACTGAGATGACGCCATTGTGGAACAAAGGAGAAATCGTCTCACAAGATGTCTGTATTAGGTCCAAGGAGAAATTTGCAGCATTGGATGTCGCTTATACCATGGTCTTCAGTGTAACCTGTAACCTTTTTATACGTATCTTATCAACATACGAGAGAGCGTCGTCTAAAGAGGACCACGAGAAAACACTCACCTTTCTGATCAGTCTAACGAGCTGAATCCCGGGTGAGATCTGAGCTTGCTGCGACCGACGGCCATTATGATGGTAACGTCCAACGTCGCCAAGTGTCGGCATCCCCGTGTACAAATCAAGACATGAACGAAATTCCTGATTTTTCCATGGGGTCGAGTTATGATACTGACACGAGAACTTGAAGTAGAACAGCTGTTGGCGATCAGCGTATCGATTTGCAGTCGGGCTACGCTGAAATATCCTGTGACTGCCTTCATAAGCCGGAAGAAGGGACGGTTGAGTCCACCTTACCAGATGAATATAGGAAAAGGTGCGTGGCAAAAGACATATCGGCTGTGGGCACCATCCGAAATGATACTCCCCGGAATCCACGCTATATTATTTCCCTCTGCTGCTCTCTTCTGCGTATCATGCTATAACAGCGGATGCAGCAGATAAGTATAACCCTCCCCTCTGCCCGGCATACGAGACTCTCAGCCACGGGGGCTGGCACATCTGCTGAGGAAGACAAACTTGAACACGAAGATGCCAGTCGTCGAGCTGATGGCTACTGGCGTTGGCTGGTGACACGAACTTGACAGGCCCCATGTTTACTAACTCTTGCTATGAAGTTGGGTCCGTTCCACACGGATGCAGGCATTAGCGCGGACCGCTCGTGGTGAAGTCCTGCGGGTGGATGCTGGGAAGGCAAATGTAGGGTGCTTGTACCCTCCTGGCCATGGATGCGGAGGTTTATGTGGACTGTTGGTGCCGTGGGTAGGCTTGTTCCCTGAAGGAGCTGAGATACGATTTGTTAAAAGGGGCCTCTGAGAGGCAAGGGCCTTGGGACTGGGATTGCGTGGCCAAATGGTCGATAGTTGCTTACCCCGGAATTCGGGTTATTCAAGATGAATAAACTGATTGGATAGGTATGTAGCGTGCGGATGATGAATAAGATTATAAATTTGTGAGTGGAGGCAAACGATGATGGTGCGGGAGATAATTCAAAGTTGGGCGCCGCCCCTTCGCTGATATGATATCCCTAGATTATCAAATAACGAGTCGTATACCGTTGCTACTTACTACTATATATTGAACCTTGCGCCAAGCAGTACTACAAACGGTGTCGTGAGTTCTCCGACTCGAGTCAAGTCAGGCTGTAGCTATTAGTAAACTTAACTTGCAATGTTAAAGGTATTGAGAAATCACCACGAGTTTCGAAATAGGCGTACGCGTCTGCTATTCGAGCGCGCAGGGACCTTATGCTGTATGAGAAGTCTCTGGGATGCTCCCCAACTAGATCGTTCCATCTAAAAAATAAGAGGTGCACACACCGTAATTAGTAATCTGTGAGCCAACGAGTTTGCGTTGCGCTGTTACGATTACATAAGCTATTAGAGAGTTACAAATTCACCAAGTGCTTCATCGCTACTCCCAAATGTCTTCCATAGGCCCACAAATTCCTGCACACCTTCCTTCCAACCGTTGCGTCATCAGGAAATTCTGACGAAGACGACGATTACACACCGGCTTTGCCACCTGACCTTACTGCCTCCTGCGCAGCTGGGCCTTCGTTGCCCTCAAAGAGCGAATCGAATACACCACTTCCAAAACGACACTATGTAGGACCGTCATTGCCTCACTCACACGCTCCTTACGATGATGGCTCGGATTCAGATGTTGGGCCTCAACCACTTCCTGCAGTTTATGCTTCACAAATAGAAGGCAAGTCAGGCGTGGAAGAGTTCTTGGAGAGGGAGGAAAAGAGAAGGAAACTTCAGGAAGAGGTGAGCAAGCTGAAAAGCTTCAGCGGGAAGAGTGGATGCTTGTACCTCCACAAAGTGGCGACTTATTGGCATGTACGTTTCATTCATCATGCAGTCCTGTAACTTGTGTACTACTTATCGAAATCGTGGCACTTGACCCGACGAAAGCCAGGCCTCGTCAGTTTGCAGTGTGCACGTAGCGCTGCGAGTGTCGTCGCTGTTTTTGTGTACATGTATCCGTATCATGTGTGTTGGGGCCGGCGTCCCTCGCCTTCTCACCATAAGAAACGCTTCTTTCACCACACCGCGATGCAATCCTGACATCACTGAACAGGGAGATGGACGGTCAATAGCGTATTACTGTGATGCTGTTCATTACCCGCAATTCCATCTATCCTGCTCAAAAGCTTTTGTCCTTGGCTGTCACGAGTTCTTATCGAACATAGCTGTATTTATGGTTCGTGCAAAAAAATTCCGCCATTTGTGGGATGCGTCTCGTTCGATACCGACTCAGTTGTAGTGACCCCATGATGACCAAGTTTTGGTGGATATCTAATTAGCACAATTGAAGCCTCCATTTATGCCCACCGTATAAGCGAAAATGTGAAATCAAACAATGGCCGAAAAAGTTCCTTGAACAATCGTAAAACTACAAGGTCACAAAGGGTGGAAACAGATCGACTCAACAGAGCAGTAGCGCTACGATCATTATCTATCATACACAGGAACATGTCCTACATCGCTTTTCACTGTACTGCAGTCGTCTGGTTATGATCCGAGTTGTATTGGATTATCATGCATCTTGTAATTCCCACTGCAAGTTGCGTAGCCTAGCCGTACTCCCAAATTTGACCAGGGCTTCGAGAATGGTTTGGGATGGTGCCTCCTTCTGCCGAGAGACAAGCCCACGCAGCTGCCTCGCAACACCGGGATGTTCGCTCAAGAATGGAAATGTGGTTTCACTTATTCCAGAAGCGTAGATCCGCAGACATCGGTCTGTTTCGATGTGATTTGGCTCCTTCTCCGGGAACGTAACGTTAAGCTTTGGTTCCACATTCAGGTCGAGGAGAAGAGCGATGTAGGGGAGATTCGATAGGCACTGGATTGAATCATGCGTGCGAGTGACCAACCCTAAGTCATGCTCATGGCGATTCTTCCCCGCTTTGTCGGAAATAAATATCTGTGACACGCGATTGAGATCACTGGGACCGAGGGCAGGATCGTCAAAATAAATGGGAATCATCTTGTCGACGAGCGGCTGCAGATGACAGCATTGGACCGCGCTTGTGCGATGCCAGTGGCGCAAAGTCCACTCTTCGGCGCTGCATCTAGCACTATACAGAGGTGATAATCTCAGATATAATATCGCAATGCCTCGAAGCTTGCTTACCTCAACAAATCGGCGTCAGTTTGATCGGGAACTGGCGGTGAGATGAACTCTGTCATGGACACCCAGTGCGAGAAATTGATGTAAGCATGCTGAAAAGCTGCCTTGGCCCCTTCAACTGTCCTCGACCAGAATGTCTGGCCAAATAGGTACTCCAGGAAATCGATGACGAAGACCTTCCGGCAGTCGATCAGTTCCGCATCCCCACTTCCGTAATAGAGTAAATCCTGGATCACGCCATTGGGGTGGTCCTTGCGGACAAAGAGATCCTTAGCGAGAAGCAGCAAAAGCCTGCTGGCCAACTCCCCGCTCTGTCCTATCTCGACCATCCCACCATCAATCTTTTTTTTCAAGATCGACAAAACATTATCCACATCGCCAGGCGTCCTATGGAGTATCATTGCTGCAACGCAAGACAGAATGGGCTCCGATGGATAACCGGTGAAGGACCACATCCTATCTTCGGTCGTCGAAAAGCATATGCGCAGGTAACTAGCTACTGCCTTTTCGAGATAAGACACAGCATCGGGGTGACCCAAGCAAATGTCGAGACCGAATCTCTGGGACAGGATAGCAAGAGCCTGGTTCGCATCATTCGCATTGAATGTGATCGATTTGCAGAGTTTCTGGGCAGCCAGTACCAAAACTTCAGAGATAGGACGTTTCCCTACGAGTGACTTCCATCTATTCATGGTGGTCAACGAGATTTAAAACGAGAATAAAAACATAGGGACAAACAGTGGACGACCGAACCCAACGATGTGATCAAAGCTCGCAACATTATTCGCCAATGTACTAGACAAAGAATCTGCATTCTGGTCCCAACCAAGACGTGTATAGGGCGGATAGAGGAGTTGGCCTGCTACCGCTACGCGCAGAGAATCATCTGCTAGATTGTTCAAGATTGGAAACAGGCAGCGTATAGCAGGTACTTACGGATCGACTTCGGCGCTGAAAAATCTGCCACTTGCGAGGTCGTGGATGCAAAGACGACCCAGACCGGTGCATTGTTGTTCCTGGAGTAGCAGTTGATCGTCCTGCCAATGATATGTGATGGACGAAAACCCTTTGCACTCATGTTGCTCAGAGGATGGGCCTCGTCAAATGCTATCACGAGTTTGGGATCATGATTCGAGACCTGGTCCTTGTTCTCAGTCAATATACCCAGAGCCATCAGCATGTTGTTATAAGATGTCGTGACGAATGATTCGCCTTCCAATTTCGGCGCCCTGATCTTTTCGTCTGTTTACGCAGTGTGAGCTCGGATGGCTGCATTGCGCAAATTACAACAATTACCTGTGAGAGACATACTCCCTAACTTTGCGGTGGTCTCCTCTGCTGTTGGCGCAGCGGGGTTCACGTCGGTTTTCTCTCCGGGGTTCGGTATTTTGATCTTGGTAAGGGTCTGTTGCAAACTTATTTAGTCCATCTGTCAAGAGACTATGACTTTCCCTGCTCACCTCCTGATATCGAGAATGAACTTTCTGAAAGAACTCGGAACGAGCGTTCGAGCGCATATCGCACATTTGGTCATTCCATGATTTGATTACAGGATCAGGATTGCCGGAGCGTAGCCGAGGTAATTTGCCACTCAGATCCTCCTGAAGTGTCTGAAATATTGCTGTAAAGAACGCGCAACAACGAGCGGTATACTCGGCTGCAGTGCAGTCCGTATCTTCCGTCAATATACGCGCGGGCACTAGGTCTCGCATAGGGAAGCCCAGATCACTTCGATCACGAAGGTTCATGTACAACACAATAACACCCTTGTTCCGGAGCTAAATTCGATGCTTTAGCCACCTGATACGAACACGGACTATAAAACACTGACCTCGATTATTAGTCTTGATTTTCCCGTACCAGAACTTTGGACGATCGAACAGAACTTAGCATAGTATGGCCCATGCGGACCCCTGAACTCCATGTTGTTATTGTTCAGGTACTCGTAGAAACCGTCCACAGCCTTGCCAACGTAAGGTCTGACGAATGAATCGTAAAGAAAGTCTGACCGGTCCTCATCTAGGATACAACTGACCTGAGATGTGACTGTAGATGTTACAAGATAGAAGTCTCTCACCTTGAGACGACCGCACGGGATCGCTAGCTAGGGGTATTTGAAATATTGCTGCATTTCCAGCGACTGTCAACAGAGGGACATTCATGTCGCTGACACGAACACTCACCGAGGTCAGCGATGTGAGAGAACGAGCGCGTCTGACAGGCGTGGCGGATGATTTCCCGTAGTTGAGAGTGTTTCTGCAGTGTTTCCTGCCCCGCCATGTCCAGGTCAAGATTGACCTTCGAGTGTCCACCTTTGAGCAATTTACTACTGGCCTCCACAAGTGTTCCTAGCGTGATCGTGGCAAGGAGATCCGATGTGTCCTCTGTATCTTCATCGATCATCTTCAGGACGCGGGGATTTTTCTGGACTACGACTCGATCGATCTCATTACGTTCTTGCGGTGAGAGCGGCAGGACAGTTGTGGGAAGATCCTGTGATGTTGATGTTGAACCTGACATGGCGGAGCGTGTCGATGCAAAGTGATCAAAACGCTGAAGTTGTCCTGTTCGGAGGGATTGAAAAACGATTCAAGCGGCGCGTCTGAGACCTACATCAATATTACTAATAGTCCGCGCTTCTGTGCCACATCCTAGGAATATCATTCGAAGGGAGAGCACAATGGATGACTTTCCGTAGGCTGAAATATTCTGATTAGAATATCATATCATATATAAACCTATATTAGGCAGGTGTGCCGCGATGCCGCTGTTCATTTCCAGTCAGTTCGTAACCATGTGTCATCTACCCCCCCCCAATAAACCTTAATTCTATTGGGGGGGGGTACCCCCCCCCCAATAGACTTTAGCGACGACTTGCTTCCGTTTTGGGCCACTAACGCCAGCAATATCCGCTGACATAACCAGCCTTGCTCGAGATGCATGGCACGCAATGCGGCACCTTGCGCAGTAATATTGAGGTACCTCCCAACCCTTCGCCAAGTATGCTAATGTCTCTCTCTCCTGCCACTATCTAGGTGATACCAAGTGCCCACTACGACATGCTTGGTCCTCTGTGCCCGGTAACAGAGTCACTACCTGACGGTGCCTCCAATATTGCCCAATGCAACCTAGTGTTAATCTCCCACCAATCCTCGCCCTCTGATAGTGAAAATTTCTCAATAGTCTCTCAAAGTCAAGTTGGCACCCTCATGTCCCTGCTTTGCGCGCTCGCGTTGCACCGTTACCAGCACCAGGGTCCTTGCAATTTTTTTTACTATGAATATGCGCACCCCTTGCACCCGACGGCTCAACAGACACTTGTGTATAAAGGTCATGTACCGGTAGCCACAAGGTAAGTACCTAAATATTCAGTCCCTCCAATGTCTGATATTACCCCCTCCCAATCCATGATTATCCCTCGTAGCCAGGTGATTCCCGAGTTGCGCTATGATGGCGCAGGGAATGCGTATGCGCGTGATGACTTAGGAAATTGGCGGGCCCATCCTGGGATTGCCCAGGTTGTCACTCAAGTGCAGCGGTCTGAAGGCTTTCAGGCATATGAGGTGAGACTTCGTTCTCTGATCTTCACAACAAGTATTTATCATCTTGCAGAGACATGCAGCTGCGCCCTTGGATTTCGGACTTACAACTCCGGCCAACTTCTCTCAACCTCACTTGTCACTACCGCCCTCACCAGCTGGGTTCCGCTCCATGCTGTCTAGCGCATACCAGGGTCCTGCTCATATCCCGCTCCCGGACTCGCCAGACCGGGACCTTCGTGACCCGTCAGTCATTGCTGAGTGTCGGGGATACGCTCCTGCTATCAAAACTGGCGGGGCACGTCACAAGACCACGACCAGAGCTATGAAAGGCAAGGGAAAAGAGAATACTGACATGAATGGAGGCAACCTCCCTCAAAAGCGTGCCCTCGAGGACGAGGATGAACTAAGGACCAAACGTGGTCGCCCAAATGGTTCTAACAATTACAGCTCGGAAGACGTCAAAGCTCTCCTGGACCTTGTCCAAGACGTGCTCCCTCTGGGTCAGAAAGGGTGGCAGGAAGTCCACTCAAAGTTCACGCAGTGGGCAACTCGCCATGACCGCCCTCACCGTAAAGCCCAGTCACTCGAAACCAAATTCAAACAAGTAAGTTCCACTCTATTCTACAACGGCGTTCTAATAGCTCACATTGCAAGCTCAGTTGGTGAAGACCACAAAGCCTACCGGCGATGGAGTGTGTCCTCCCGATGTGACTCGTGCCCATATGATTGATGCAGGCATCAATAACCGCGCTGGCACGCGCGATCTAAACGACTCGGACTACGACGATGAGTTGAATCCTGACGATACACCTGTGAAGGTGCGAAGTATGTCCCCCCTTGAGCACACTGCAGTCACCCGTGCCACTCGGACAGATGCACCTGCGCCACGTCGCCGAGGTGCAGCAGCCTCGGAGCTACTTACTCGCATCAGTGGCGCCTTTGACCCTGCTGCCCAGCAAGCTCGGGACGAGAATCGTGCAACCAGGACTCTTGCAAACACGCAGTTACTTGCCCAGGGAGAGCAGCTGCGTGACGCGAACGCCGTCGCAGAGAAATTACGGAGCCAACTGTTCGACCTACAAAGCAAACTCTACACTACTGAACGCGAGCGTGACCTTACCCAGCTTCGTCTTGAGATGACACAAGTTCAACAGCTTGCTCCTAACAAAGCTGCTCCCAGATCTCGTCGCCAGCACAGACCGAAACCAAAACACGCGGACTATACTTATTACCCTGATGGAGGCCAATCTGTTATCTGGCACAGCGATCCAGAAACCCCAGAGACTGACAACTTAGGCCTCCCTCCAACCTCTCCTCGATATGACCATGATAGTCCTCCTTTTGGTAGGACACCTTCTCCTCGCTTTGTCCACCGCCCCTGGGCATCAAGACCCCGTTCGCGTGGCACAGGACGCCCACTCAATTCGGTGATTGTTCGTCGTAAGAAGGAACAGACCCGGGTGGATGTAATAGACATCAAGAGTGAGGGAGAGGGTGATGTTCTGTCCATGAGCACATTAGCTCGTTGTCAAACACCAGAGGTGTAGTTTCTTGCTTCCCTCGCTCAAGGCACTCGCGCAGCTTAGATAGATAAGGTAACATATTTCTCGTTTCAATCACTCAAGGTACTCATGCAGCTTAGACAGTTGTTTCGTTTCACTCGCTCAAGGCATTCGCGCAGCTTAGATATAGTTGTTTCTCGTTTCACTCGCTCAAGGCATTCGCGCAGCTTAGATACTTGTTTCTAGTTTCACTCGCTCAAGGCACTCGCGCAGCTTATACAGATAGAAATAGATGACATTTTGTCATAGTTTGGTTCAGTAATCAAAGTCTTAAGCTACTCGTACTCTAGTGTGACATGGAATCTTGAAACACGATCTTTCTGCCTCTGCTCCGAAAACAACATGTTCTCAAAATTGTGCCATACTGCGATGTCATCAACCGTATCCTGCCACTGTTTGAGGTACACCGTACGTATTTGATTGATGCCGACGCGGATTGCACGCAAATTGTGCAAACGAACACAGATTTCGATCAGATCTCCCCGTGAGTCCTTGTCAGCGATTTCGAGTGGTACACGCAATCTTCCAAAGGCACCTTGAAGACTACGCATCCCCCATTCAGCAGTCTGCCTGTAAGACAGGAGCTCGCGATTAAATGCCATCCGTTCGTCAATCTCAGCGAGTGAGCCTCGGACACGTTGTCCTTGTTTGAGAGGTGCGCAGATTCGGCCCTGTATGTCGTTGCTGCCACGAGGGAACGCTGTGTCGGCGACAATATAGTAACCAGGGGGGGTGTCGTTTCGAAGCAAGGAATAGATTCGATGAGCGAGACGTGAGTCATGCCAACTGCCTGGGGCATTCAACCTTGCAGCAATGATCACCCCTTTAATGTTGTTAATCAGGGCTAGAGTGACGAGGCCGCTTTGAACTTACCTTCAGCTGAAAAAGCCAATACAGAACTGATAAAGTGCTCTGAGAGCCACCCATTAAATGTGGCGTTCTCGATATCAACATCCTCCGAGGTTTGAACAGGTAGTTTGAGACCGTCAATACTACCAAATGCCCCTCCAAGTCTCCCATGACGTGCCACCACAAGAGCACTACAGCGCTCAAAATCTGGGCCTCGTGGCCATTGAATCTTGGCTTCTGGTAGAGTGCGGAGCGTGCATAAGAGAAGGTCAAGACTGAAGTGAAGGTATCGGGTGACAGTACTGGGGATGATAGCAAATATCTGCTGGAGGCTGACAGCGTGCATAGTAGAGCTAAGATAGTGTAACACGAGCCCAAGTGCCCCTGCGGCATTGAGGGAGCGTTGATCTATCCGTGGATTTCCATGTGCAGAGACATCATGACGAGGAATTGGCGTTTCATACCAGGCTTGCGCAAATCCTGCAGTAAGTAGTGAAGAGAAAGTGGATACATCAACGCCCATTGTAGTGATGAATGCTCTATCATTTTGGCTAATGTATAGTACCTGCCATGGAGTGTTGATGCGAGGATTTGGAAGCAGTTGGGGTCGGCAGAGGTATAAACGATGTGGGTGCCGAGTGTCAACACGCTCTTGTCGTGACATCTCAGTCCCAGCAATGATAGCAGCAGCGAGGACCTGAAATCTTTCATCGTCGTCGAAAAGGTTGGCCTCGTTTTCGTCAAGAAGCAGCCGCTGGATTGTAAGGCGATTGTCCATCAAGGACTGGACTAAATTCAATTGAACGAGCGCACGGCAGATTATTCCAGTATAGATTATCATATCATCGGTATTCGTAATATTTTTGAGACTCCGGTATATTCTGTTCTGGATTATTTTGCCTACGGAAAGTCATCCAATACATCGGTAAACGATTAAACTGACGCGATTGCCACAAGGTTACATAATGGACATTACTAAGCGCCCACACGATTCAGACACTCAGCCACCTCAGGCAGCACTTCTCGGTGCCTATAATGGGTCTAAGAGACCCACTTTCTATGTTACGGGAAACTAGTCTCTGAGACCCACCCTCCCGCCATCTAATAATAGTACATGCTCTCGCATTCCCTCGCGGGCCTTCAGCGCCTCCTCACGAGCCTCCAGAGCTCCTCCCATGTAGGCCTTAGTGAGCTTGGTAGTTTTGCAGGTGCGTTTCAATAGATTTGCTCTAAGTACGTGACCCAAGTTCTTAGTACTACACTGATTGGTATCCTGCGCATCATCTCGCACCCCTCTTGTACATCCGTTGCATCCTCTGATGCATCAGCATCATCTGTTGCACCCTCTCGCACCTCTGTCGCACCTTCCGTCGCATCCTCTCACACCTCTGTCGCACCTCTCTGTCGCACCCCCTCGCACCTCTGTCGCATCCCCTCGTACCTCTCTGTCGCATCCCCTCACACCTCTGTCGCACCCTCTGTCGCACCCCCTCGCACCTCCGTCGCACCTTCTGTTGCACCTTCCGTCGCATCCTGTCACACCTCTGTCGAACCTCTGTCGCACCCTCTCGCACCTCCGTCGCACCCTCTCGCACCTCCGTCGCACCCTCTCGCACCTCCGTCGCACCCTCTGTCGAACCCTCTCGCACCCTCTGTTGAACCCTCTCGCACCTCTGTCGCACCCTCACCCTCTCACATCCTTGTGTTGGAGTCCGAGACGAAGAAGACCGAGCGAGCTGAAAGAAAGGCACTGGACGAGGAGTAAAGAGTGCGAGTGCAAGGAGAAAGGGCCAGGAACGATGGATGAGTAACGTCGGCCCCGAGTCTGCGAAGTATCAATGTTTCATTTCTATATATTCGATCAGAGAACCACTTACAGTGTAAATCCTAGAGCGAAGCCAAACGGGCGTCTCAGTTCTGTACCCCAGAGACTGAGACGTGAGTTATTATACCTTCAAGTTACCTTTTTGTTTAGAAACGCTAACACGACGTAGTAGTAGACTCTTACCTGTTAGGTACACGTTTTGTTAATTGAGCTCTGTTCCCCAAAGACTGAGATTAGACTCTTACCTGTTAGCCCTTCTCCCCCGTTCCTCGTTCACTTTTCCTCACAAGACCTTGTTCCATCCTCTCGCACCACAGAGAGAATGAAGGCCTCCAGTCTGTCCGTGTGAGCTTGTCAACAATAGAAAGGGCGGATAGCACACAGACGCTGTAGCAAACCTGTAAACAGAGAATCAGGAACACTGGGTAGTCATATGTACAGAAGCTCACAATCCAATCTGTCCAGAATAGCGAGTGCCGCGATGCAAACAAATACCGCTGAGAGTAGAAAGCAGGTGCGCATCATGATCAAGATAAACACCAAAAGCACCTGTAGAATGTGAGCTCGAGATGACATGGATCTCTTAATGAGAACAAACCTGCCTCTTCATCCCAGCAGCTCATAACGAAATCTATCATCTCATCACGGTCCAACGCATCCCCGTGTCCCATGGCCAGAAGAACAGGTCCCAGCCGCTACAGGTGGTAGTAGGATGACAGCGTCAGATGGCAGCAGGAGGCTGAGAGTGCAGGATTTGTGGTTGCCTAGCTGAGCAGTGAGAGTGACATCGCAGGCAGTGAATGTCAACTTGAAAGAGTGTCATATTCCGAGTCATTTCCCTCACAAGAGTACAGTTGAAATGCTCATAATGCATACCGTTGGGACCGCCAAAACGTTATGCATTATGAGACATATGCAATAGCATATGTGTCACACTATTGTGACGCATGTGACCTCCGCCAAAAGTGTGACAGAAAATCGTCCATAGTCCTACAGAAGTACATGTATTATACCGAGAAGAATTGTTCTAAAGAAGTTTGTCTAGCATTAAGTAGTTCTTCGCGTTGTAGGTTCGCGCGAAACTTTCGAAGTTGTGATGATAAATCAAGTGAAAATTGAGGATCACCATATTGCATGCATCCAACTTCAAGCTGCTGGCACAAATCGAGAATATTTTGACGAGTGATTGATGGATCCGCTTCGTCGTCGTCGTCGTCATCAGAATCAACCTCGATAACTTCACCATTTGCAACGGCAATTTCGTGGCGGACCGTGTCTGCAATGGATGAGTCACCACCTTCAAAAGCAGAGAATTCTCCCTTATCTCTCTCCTCGGCGGGGTCCAGAAGTTCATCAATAGTTGGCAAGGTACCGAAAATGCGATTGCGTGCTTGGAGTTCTCGGACTGATTGCATAAGCGCAGCTTCGGTAGAAGATAGCTGGGCAGCTTGTTGTGAGCGCGCGGGAATACGAATTTTGAGGCCGGTACGACGAGATGCAGCTTGCATAAGTGCATCAATGGCATTTAAAGCCATCTCCACATCTCCTTCAGCATCCATTACAGCTTTGAGGGCCGGTCTCCAATCAGAATCTATGTAGCGCTCGCCAAGAAGAGCCTGTAGCTTGTTCTCCGCATTGGGAAGGGACATTTTGGTAGTTGCGAATTTGTGGACGATGTTCCACGCAAGTGGATCCGTGTGAGGCCGTGTGTCAGCGTTAGTCGTTGGATCACTGTGATAGACTTGAGCACCCAAAAAAATGAGGTCAAAAGATGACTTACACTTGAATGTCAGTGTGATCCCAACAATGTTTGATGGTTTCGGACGTGACAGCATACCATGCTTGCTTCGCCATTGTCATGCCTTCGAGAATATTAATTTTATAAATATCCCGTTCGCCAGCTTCGTCAAGATCAATAGCACGCGCGCAAAAATTACGGCGATATAGTGCCTTGAAGCATCGGATGATTCCAGCATCGCATGGTTGGACAAATGGTGTCATGTTGGGCCCAAAAAATTCAAGATCAATGTTTGATGGTTGATACGAGATGCTGTGGGCAGAGAAATTATCAATAAACATGCAAATGTGCCGGTTTTGTTGCTTCATCTGAAGATCGAGTTTTTTGATCCATCTAGGCCACTGATTAGATATTAACAGCAATCATATCATCATGTCCACGTACTCCTCAAATATGACTGCTGTCATCCAAGCCTTCTTATTATTCCGATAATAAAATCCCCGCTGTTCCGGTGTCTGCTTCTTGAAGCATCGGGGTTTCTTTGCCCTGCCGATAAAAAAAGGCTCGAGCCTCTCGCTTCCATCTGCGTTGCAGGCTAATCCGATGGAGATACGGAATTTCTCTTTCTTCTTACCACTCATTTGTCGTGTTGCAAGGCCACGGTCTGGAGGTGCACTAAAATGAAAAAAAAATTAGGTGACATAGATTAATATAAATGAACACTCACTAAGGAAAGAATGATGTCTCGTCAAAATTCCACCGATCTTTGGGAGCAAACTTCACCAAGATCTTACGACAACGCTCTCGTTCTTTATCAACAGCTTCGATGTCAACAGACCCAGCTTCTCCATGCCGTCGGTACTCGCGAATCTTGTAGGCAGTACAAAATGATTGGAGCCATTCCCCCGACAGCCTTTCATTTTCCGGGACATCAAACTCATCTTCAAACCTTTTCCGTTTCTCTCGCAGCATAGGCCCAGTCACTGTTTCACGTCTACTCTCCATGTGCCTAACCCACAGAATTAAGGCACGTTCGACATCGGGCCTTGTGACAATCCTTGGCCGCTTCGATGACAATGCATTAGGGTTATCGTTGATCCGTGCTTCCATTTTTGGACGTTCCTGCAACTTGCGTGATAAGGTTGACTGCGTGAAATTGAGTGCACCCGACTTGAGAGATTTAAAGTGTTCAACAATTTCAATCTGTGATACAGTAGGATGAGAATCAACAAATGAATAGACTGTTAACCAGTCAGAGAGTGTAAGATTGTGGCGAGAAGTGCATTTGGGAGAATGAGCTGAAGTTCGAGGAGTGTCCTTGGTGATTTTCTGCCGCTTCGCAGGTCGGTTATAGACAGCGGGCTTGTCACGGGGTTTGCGTTTTGGGTTTACGGACATTGTTGTGTGGTATCGTACTGTCGTGATTACTTGCTAGCTTCTATACATAGTCGAACGAGACAATACCACTGAAGCAGAACAATAAATTTATGCAATACATTGTCGTACCTATTGTCCCGTCCTATCAATTTGGTACCTCATAATGCATATTGGCTATGCAAAGGTTATGCATTATGCATTATGCATTATGCGGTCAATTACATGGGAACGCCGTCGGGATCCAAAAAAGTCCATGCATTATGAGACTTATGCATTGTTAGCATATGCATTATGAGCATTTCAACTGTACTTCATGGTGTCTTGCAATATGCAAGGCCTATTGTGCTGCTATTTTGGACCACTCAAAGTACTGCTATCATCAATATTCAGTCTACAATCAAGGTTTTATGTTTCAGTATGAGTTTTATTCGTCATCTGATTGGCTGCTGACTCCTGAGCGCTGAGCGCTGCAGCGCTGAATTCTGAAGCGCTGTCTCGCATCATGTCACATGACTTTGTGTACAAGCTGCTACAGAACCAAATATTCTCTTTCTGCAATCTATCGTAGCGGTCAGTGCATATCAATTTTCCATCGTTGCTTACTCCTCCACATTCTTCATGCACACTCGTTCTCGCTTGCTCGCACTCATTCTTGCTGGTTTGTACTCATTCTTTTGATGTGTTTGCACTCATCTAGGCCTGTATGCATTGGTTCTCGCCAGTACCACTTGTTCTTGCTTGTACATGCCCACTTTCACTTGTGCGTGTTCCGTTCTTGTCATTTGCATTTATTCTCACTGATATATATTTATTTTCACTTGTGCAGGTTTATTTCTCATTGTTCGTGTTCATTCTCGCCCGCACACTTTCATTCTTGTCTGCATGTGTTCATTCTTGCCTAGTTCAGGTGCACTGGAGAAGCTCGTGAGCGCTCCATTCATGCTTATGGGTATGCACCGTCTCTGTCTGGCCTTTGAGACTCACTGAAGGCTGGTCCTTCATCATCCCTGCACCAGGTACCGATGTGGGGCATCCTGCACCAGGCATGGTTAGCTAGCCCTCTGTGGCCTCTCTCATCTATTCGTTGGATCGGTATGCCTCACAGTATGAGGTACCCTCGCTGGTTTATGTGAGTTCATTCCGTCTCTGCACCAAGCATCTCTGTCCCCGGGTGCAAGCTCTTCTGAGGGCTCAAACATAATTGTAGACTCGGCCTGAAGACCCACCAGAGGAATACTGCTAGTACAAGGGTATGTTTTTGTTGGTATTTGCAGACTGGTTCACATATTCTGTAGCTGAGGTTTCTGCTGCCGCTCGCATTCAGGCCTTAAATCAACACTTACAGCCTCCGCACAAGCCTCTCGTTCACTATCGCGAGCCTCAATTTCAACCCTCGTGAGCCTCCTTTCAACCCTCACAAGCCCTCGTCCACCTTCATGATCCTTACAGAAAACCTCACCAACCTCTCATTCACCCTCGCAAGCCTCAATGTCAATCAGACCGTCATGTGCCCACCACACAGCAAGAATGGATGACTCGCACCAGAGTGAGCCTGATATGCTCGATGCAGTGCATGGGATTGTGTGGCGCAGGCCACAGACGAACGGCTGACACGTCCCAGAGATGATCTACTCACCTGGTTTTAGAGGTCAGACCACCCTCTCGCATCCTCTCGTACATCCAGCGCACCCTCTCGTACATCCAGTGCACCCTCCCATACATCCAGTGTACCCTCTCGCATCCTCCCTCGTACCCTCTCGTATCCTCTCTCATACCCTCTCACATCCTCCCTTCATACCCTCTCATATATTCAGCGCATCCTCCTTCATACCCTCTCATATATCCACTGCACCCTCCCGCACCCTCTCTCGCACCCTCTCGCACCTACAATGCACCCTTCAGGGATGTATTAAATCCATCCTCATTGTCTAGTTGCTCTGTCATGACCACCCTACCCCACTTACATTGGTAGCTACTATGCTTTGTAATTTGTTATGTCAATACTAGTATAGCAGTTGCATAGCCTACTTGTCTCATCCAGGACATCTCAGAACACTAATGTCTTTGTGCATCGGAAAACCTGTGGAGATCTCACCAAACATAAGTAACTGATTGAATAAAATAACATAACCAGTAACGGAAACGGTGGGAGGCTACGAGAGGGTCACTATACTAACAATATTAATGACGGGAGAAGCTTGGTATAATGTGCTAGGGCTCTCTGGGCTCTCAATGAGGCTGCTAAGACTGGCAGGGCTACCCTCTTGATGATAAGGGACGAGTCCATGAGGTGGTTCGCGAGGGTACCGTTGTGCCTCTTGAGGCGAGGGGAGGGATATTGACGAGGTGCGCAAACGGATGCAGGGCGGGAGGGTTGCCCCTCGTGGAAGTGTGCGAGAGGGTTGCATAAACCTGTTAGGGAATTTGGTGAGAACCTCCCTGGGGAGGGTGGTCTCAGAGACCAGTTGCGCTCTACAAGGAAACCAGGTCTAACAGACCGTGAGAAGCTCTAAAAAGTGCTGCCAAGGGTGCACTCAGCCCATATAGTCTGTTAGACTCGTTCAAAAAATCCTACATCTTCCCTGTCTTTAAAAAAATTTGTCTCTTAAGCCAGTACAGTATTCGTGACTAGATCTCCTCGTACGTACTATTTTGGGCGGCTACTTAAGTTTGGAGTACATTTTTAGAATGGTGACCCACTTTGGCGCTTGCGCTTCCGGGTTGACCTTCATTGCAATGTTTATAAACCTAATGGTTGACGGTCCTGTGGCACGACCAATCCAATGGGTCATCAAGAACGGCATGAAGGTCTACCTTGATCTTCGGATGGAGTCGAAATGTCTTGGCACTCGCCCTACTACCAATCACCAGGGTAGTCATCAGGTTCCCATACTATCATAGCAAGGCCGCAGGACATGACATCCGTGCATGTGTTGAACGTGTCTTTGTATTAGTTAGTGCGACTATGCACGGTAATCTCACCGTATCTGTCGCCCATCACAGCAACTAACCACTGTTTTGGAGTCTTAACTTATTGCGAAGTGGTGGAGTATCGTGATTCGTGACTATGAACCATTTCAATGGCGATTATCATTGCATGTACCCCCCTTATCGTCCTAGCCAGCGTCTGGATTGTGAAACAACGATGCAAGGCGGTTACCATTACCACCTGGACCCCCTGGACGTTAGCTATTTCGTCTTCTGACTTTTCTGCTTGATGCCCGTGTTTCAGGGCTATTGCAAACGATCCCGCTTGTCTTCCCAGAACCATACACATTTAATCCTCAGCGTTGGATTGACGATGCATGCCGTGTGCACGGTGATCTCCGATTTCTCACTTTTGGCTTTGGTCGCTAGTGAGTGGTATCGTTCATCTCTCGACCATTTCTCGTGCCTTACTTAAAAATGTCAGAGTGTGTCATAGCCAACATGTCGCGAATCAGTCTGTCTTCATCAACACGGCTCTTGTTCTGTACACCTGTACCTGTAGGTTTGATGTATCACTTCTTACAATTGTAGATGAAATGTGATACAATAATTACTGAAGTCCATAGATACCTATCATTGTAGGGCTGATATATCAATGGAGGATCCTGTCAGGACACTCCCATAATAATCTCACACCCCTAATTTTCGCATTTTTGACCACCTACTGTGGGAATTTCCCCACAACACTTAAAAATAGATTGCTTCTCCACATTTTCGCATTTTTAGCCACCCCACTACACCTAAAACATCACCCATTTTGGGAATCTCCACAATATCAATTATTCCCACACCCTCCCCACCTCACTGCAGCTTCACCACCACACCACAATAGGTCCCCTCTTGTATCTAAGTAGTAGTTTGGTATATATATGTACAATATAATGTAATAGACCGCTTTTTTTGCTTACTTGTGTGCCTGCTCCTCCTCTAGAGGCCATTTAACATATGTTAGAGTAAAGAACACTTTCGCACTTTTGCCCCTTTGGTGGGAAAGTGTTCTATTATATTCAAAACATGTTTATGAGCATATATGAGTATATTCCCATCTTTATTTGACCCCCTGAAGCGCCCTACATCAATAGATATAGCACATATGCAAGAAAACACAGAATATGTTCCTATTTAATTATTTCTAGGTGGACAGACTTGGAAAAATGATTCCCAGTATCTATTCAACAATATGAACAATGTATCAGGAGCCCAGGACCATGGGATAATTCCCTGTTGCATGGTGTGCCCCCCCTCTCCTGGTGGTTTACCCCCTGTGAAAATTTTTCCTGCAGGACCGGACCTTAATTGAGGTGAGGGGTCTGTTTTCATGTATATTTGGAGTAGATCTATCATATAGCTGGCCCAGAACACACATAGGATCCTGCTACAAGAACAAAAAAATAGAAAATCTCACTTTTGACACTTTTGATGTTTTTTAGTATCTTACTCTTGCATAAATAACCATCCCTGCTCACATATTATCAGTAGTACATTCACACATATGTTCTATGCCAAGGATCAGCCCTACATAGGGCGCAAATTTGATATCTGATGTACAGGAGGTATTTCTACTGATAGGAAACCTACAGAGTAATCCAGCCTGTGATAAGTGATCAGATACCTGGGATACCTCTTATATATGTCCCTAATGATGGACTTGAAGTTTTAGAAAGATCAGTGAAGGACTGACTGAATGACAAGTAAAATGACATATGTGTGAAAAGTGACAATTGACATCTTTTGACACAAAGTCACATTTATATATGGTACAGGGCAAATATTTCATTGAAAATATGTAGGATATATGATAGACTACTAAATGAACCTATGCTACATACTGCCCTGAGGTTAGAGGGTGATGGAAGGAATGTGATGTATATTTGAGTTGACCCAGCATTAAAGTCCTACTGCTGCCCAACTGACCATTTTCGATGTTTTGAGTCTTTGAACTTTCCCACACTCAATTTCTTATCTATTTCACTTCCTCAGCACTCAATTCTTGTTGGATTGTTTTGTAAATTTAGGTATATGATAGTGAATGTACTTTAAATCTACTCCAAGTGTCTGATTATTAAATTTCGATGTTTTGAAAGTATGGGCTCCTTATCAGTAGAAATACCTCCTGTACATTAGATATCAAATTTGCGCCCTATGTAGGGCTGATCCTTGGCATAGAACATATGTGTGAATGTACTACTGATAATATGTGAGCAGGGATGGTTATTTATGCAAGAGTAAGATACTAAAAAACATCAAAAGTGTCAAAAGTGAGATTTTCTATTTTTTTGTTCTTGTAGCAGGATCCTATGTGTGTTCTGGGCCAGCTATATGATAGATCTACTCCAAATATACATAGAAACAGACCCCTCACCTCAATTAAGGTCCGGTCCTGCAGGAAAAATTTTCACAGGGGGTAAACCACCAGGAGAGGGGGGGCACACCATGCAACAGGGAATTATCCCATGGTCCTGGGCTCCTGATACATTGTTCATATTGTTGAATAGATACTGGGAATCATTTTTCCAAGTCTGTCCACCTAGAAATAATTAAATAGGAACATATTCTGTGTTTTCTTGCATATGTGCTATATCTATTGATGTAGGGCGCTTCAGGGGGTCAAATAAAGATGGGAATATACTCATATATGCTCATAAACATGTTTTGAATATAATAGAACACTTTCCCACCAAAGGGGCAAAAGTGCGAAAGTGTTCTTTACTCTAACATATGTTAAATGGCCTCTAGAGGAGGAGCAGGCACACAAGTAAGCAAAAAAAGCGGTCTATTACATTATATTGTACATATATATACCAAACTACTACTTAGATACAAGAGGGGACCTATTGTGGTGTGGTGGTGAAGCTGCAGTGAGGTGGGGAGGGTGTGGGAATAATTGATATTGTGGAGATTCCCAAAATGGGTGATGTTTTAGGTGTAGTGGGGTGGCTAAAAATGCGAAAATGTGGAGAAGCAATCTATTTTTAAGTGTTGTGGGGAAATTCCCACAGTAGGTGGTCAAAAATGCGAAAATTAGGGGTGTGAGATTATTATGGGAGTGTCCTGACAGGATCCTCCATTGATATATCAGCCCTACAATGATAGGTATCTATGGACTTCAGTAATTATTGTATCACATTTCATCTACAATTGTAGGTATTTAATGTATCATTCTTACAGTATGGCCTGTTCTGTAGGCTTTCTGACTTTCGGAGAATCCTGCAGCAAAGATTGATGCGCTTGCATTCGAAACATATATGCTGCTCCGTTTGAGATATGTTTGGAGAGGAGGATCGATGAGAATGCGGTCAGGGAACTATGGGCACCGTGGGAGTAAACTTCTCTAGGAACTTGAAAGTTCTAATGCGGGGCGACGTAGCAACTGAATTCATACAGGTTGTGTCTTTTGCTCTTTTTTCGACTGTCTTAGAAGAACGCGAGAGTCGTTGCTGTTTTCGTGTGCACTCGTATCATGTGTGTTTACATACGCAATCACTTAGTTACATGCCTCATACACGTTCTCCTGTGATTCTCCGTCTCAATCAGCGTATTAAGACTTCTCCCCAGCGAATATCCTCCTCAGTCTTTTGACCCAACAAAAAGTCCCGTTCCTATTCCTAGTCCGAGCGTCTCGATTCGTCACACGATCTCCATCTCGTAATCCTCATCTTGTGTCAATGTAAAGTGATTAAAACCTTGAAATTCTCCTGTCTGAAGGGGCTGAAGCAGCCCGTCTGAGGCCACTGCCTACATAAATATTAATAGTCCACTCTTCTGTGCCACAAGAGCATGTCCTACCATGACCTCCGGACCTTGATTGAGTGGTGGCAAGTGTCCTACATAGACCCAATCAGGAGGGACCCACCAGTACTTGTCACTGTGAACCGTTGGATTATCACACTACCAAACGAGCATCAATGAACCACGAGTCAACTACTAGAGTATGAGGGGGAACTTACCAGTAGGTATGCCTTCCTATCATTGATACCGCCCTTCTTGAACTTTACAGGAAGAGGTTTTCCGCACCCAGGCTTCGGACAATGACTGTTGGAAGGTGGTAGGTGGGATGCGGAGTTCATGGCAGATGGGCGTGCACTGTATGTGCTGATAAGATTAGCAATGTAGCACGTACCAAGGTGATTCAAAGTCAGCCCAAGTCCACCATGGCCTGGTCGTCTTTATGCCGCCAGACTGCGGATATATCCGCCGTGGTGTACTACGCGCCACACCGTTTTGCGCTGCGCCGGAAGGGCGGTTTCAGCGGTGATGAGTGATCTGCTATCACTCGGAAATTGTTTAGCTCTCACAGACTGTCAGCAAGGTACGAGCAAAAACGGTGATAAGTGACCTGTAACTTATCAGTCGGAAATTGTTCGGCAAGGTACGAGCAAAAACTCAGTGATGAACGTTTGAACGATGAATGATGTTAAATTGGCTAAAGGTCCGAGTCACCGCATGGACCCTACATAAGTCCATTGATATTTTTGCTCTTAGAGTATTGTAGTTACACTCCCTCTGATATTGGTAGTGTACCTTGTTTTCGCCACGGCTTGGCAGCTGAACGGTGGCGGAGTGGTGACAGCATCTCCGTCTCTAGTCAGTAGGACAGGACTGAGATGTTTCCATCTCTACGACTCTTTTTATAAGTAAGCGTCCACAAATGAATATCATACGATTAATCTGAATCGAATCTGCGTTCGTACCTTGAGTCTGCGTTCGGAACTTCGTACCTTGGGCCTTGCGTCTCAGCGCCTATCTCAACACCGAGGTGATTCAAAATAAAGTCCGCCACCTGTTCGTCTTTGTGCCGCTGGACTACGGATATTATATCCGCCGTCCGTACTACGCGCCACACTGTTTTGCGCCGGAAGAGCGGAAACTGACGTTGGCGCCGCTGTTGCGATTACATAAGCTAAGAAGTTACGAATCCACCAAGTGCTTCAAGCTACTCCCAAATGTCTTCCATAGGCCCACAAATTCCTGCACACCTCCTTTCAACCGTTGCGTCAGCCGGGGATTCCGACGAAGACGACGATTACACACCAGCTCTGCCACCCGACCTTACTGCCTCCCGCGCAGCTGGGCCTTCGTTGCCCTCAAAGAGCGAATCGAATACACCGCCTCCAAAACGACACTATGTAGGACCATCAGTACCTCACTCTCACTCACAAACTCCTTACGATGATGACTCGGATTCAGATGTTGGGCCTCAACCACTTCCTGCAGCTTATGCTTCACAAATAGAAGAAAAGTCAGGCGTGGAAGAGTTCTTGGAGAGGGAGGAAAGGAGAAGGAAACTACAGGAAGAGGCGAGCAAGCCGAAAAAGCTTCAGCGGGAAGAGTGGATGCTTGTGCCTCCTAAAAGTGGCGACTTATTGGCATGTACGTTTCAGTCAACACGCGGTTTTCTGACTTGTGTGCTTATCGAAGTCATGTAGCACTTGACCCGACGAAAGCCAGGCCTCGTCAGTTCGCACGTAGCGCTGCACCATCGCGTGACAATTCTGGATCTTCCCTTTGGACCGAGACACCCGCAGAAAGACAGCAACGTCTTGCTGATGAAGTTGCTGGACGGAAACGACGTGCTGCAAACGCACCGCCGGAGGAGGACTCGCATGACACGGCAAAGCGACGGAGACGGGATGAAGAGATTCGAAGAGGAGTTGACGAGCATACAGTACGTGTCCTTTGATTGTTCGTCCATTCAAAAGGATCTGACGTGTTATTTACCAGCGCAAGGCTCGTGGATCAGCCCTTGTAGAGTCACATCTAGAGCGAGAAAAAGAGGAAGAGAAGCACAATCAGAGTGAACCCTCGGTTATCTGGGATCATGAACGTGATATGTCTCTAGGTGGACGGCTTATGGATGATAAACAGAGGCAGAAGATGCTCCGGGATGCCAAAGGACTAGGAGAACGTTTCGGTAGTGGGCGCAACGGAAGTTTTCTGTAAGTTGCTGACTCTGCCAAAGACGCTGGAACCCGTTGTATCAATATCATCAACCCGAGTTTCGGAGCAATGCACTGTTTGGTTCCAGGCGAGGATTCGGGAAGTTGAGCTCAGACACATGATGCTACCGTCATTCGAGCATCTTATATTTCTTCTCCATTGCAGGCCTTGTCTTGTGGTTGGATTATTTATGTAAGTATAGCTATCTATATTTCCCTTCACCGTTTTGTCTGTCTGTCTGTCTTCTGTGATTTTTTGTTCGTAAAATTCATCTAGATCAGATTGCCGTACCTGCGCATCCTACTGCATGTAATGATATATTTCCGAGGAAATCATTTGAAGGTCTTTTCGGCTTTCTCTGATGTTTGCATCGATTATCTCTTCTGGCGATGTTCCATGGGCTGCGTGGCCAGAGTGGCGTTCGGTCTTAGCTGGTAAGTCCTTGGACACCAAACTTAAATATCACCGTGGTGTTCCAGCCGGTGCGCGCGTTGGATCAACGTGAATGACGGGAGTGTCGAGTAAACCCTGATGTGCAGTGCGTACCAAAAATATTGACAAATGTGCTTTCACTGCACCTGATTGTGTTCCCATCTCAAACATGCCGCCAGCCAGTATGATACAGTGGATGAGAATCTCTAAGTCGGCCAAATCATAGTTCTTCGTTGTGCTGCCATGCTGTTAGTGAGGTCTGGTAGAAGACAGAAGGTCGAAGCTAGAAATGAACATCGAACTAACTGGCCAAGAGCGAATCCGGTGTCCAGCGAAAAAAGACGGTGCCCACGAGTGAGACGAGCAGTGCTACATGCATGCTCCATGCACCCGGGCCACAGGATGCGTCTGATAGAATGACACGCGAGAGTTTGGATTTGCTGGTGACTCCTGCTGATCTTGTATGTCCCGGCCAGTACGTCTCATCGCGGGGTCCCTCGCCTGATTGATCTGAAACGATTACCACAATACTGGAAGTGGCTCGCACTGGAAGTGTGGCGTGTGACACTCCAAATCCTCGGATGGCATCTAAAACGTCCAAGATTACGGCCGACGCGCCCACTGTTGAGTTGGCTGAAACACAAGAATAACCTCGTGACTGCGCTCACTAAAAGGCAATCTATTTCGAAATGTAGATGGCCTATTGCAGGGAACGACAAGTATGATTCAGTCGTGGCGTATGGTCCACTGCATACAACTTGCAGTTGACTTGCATGCTAATGAGGGACACGAGGAAGCACATCGGTAACGTATAGAGGCAATCAACCACTCACAGTAAAAGGGCCCATAATTGAGAAAGGAGGAAGGAATGAGCGCCTGATTTTGCCAAATGATGTACCGGAGCTGTATTGATGCTGGAGCTATCAGATGAAACGAGCGTTGTGCGATTCGATAGGACTTGATGAGTGTGCATATGCTGTGCCCTGCTTCTTATCACGACGTCTTCGCGTTCCCCGAATACGAGCACAGCCTTGGTGCTGTCGCCGTGGACATAAGACATAGGGAAGCCAAATGTAGATGATACGTACTGCAGTTAGACTGTGCATGCCCCACATGCCATAAGATGGAGGGGTTTTACACACCGGCATACCAAGACCATAGAGATTCGTGATCGCAGCAATAAAGGTATGAAAGAAGTCCTTCTGGCGAAGGTGAGGCTAACCTCGCGGTGAGCCCAGGGCAATAGAGCGGCGAAAAGACGATATCGATTAGGCAGTGTCAACTGAAAATATCCTTGCGATTTGAACGATGGAGTAATAGGATCATGACGCGGTAAAGACCAGTCAAAAGATTATTTACCAAGTCCTTGCGTCATCGATTGGTTTGAGCGCTGGCCAGGCCCTGTAATTGAAAACATGGTCCGAGTGGGTGCCGTGAAGCTCGCTGATAGCACTGGATCAATGTGTTCAACATCCAGGTGACAGTGTGATATGGACCTGTCTGGGCTCGGCAATCGGATAAAACCGGACGAAAATGAAACGTGAAGGGGTCTAGCAACTGGTTCTCGAAATGTCGCGACTGAACGGTATAAAACTCGAGCAGTAGACGGCGAGATTGTATTGAGCCACACGCGAGTTCATCTTGTACGAATTCGTTACAAATTACATTCCTCTCAAGCAGCAATGCCATCAGTCAATGTATCCCACAAGCTCTCTTCCCCACGCAAAAACAAAACCCATACGGCTGCTTCCCCATACAAGAGCTCGGGCCCCTCCCGCCCACGCAGGCTTCCACTAAGTTCACTACGCCTGCGCCCAATACCTAACTCCTACTGGGCAACTCCCCTGCTACTCGCATGCGAGTACCCCTGGTCTCCTTTTGAAACCTCCACCCAAAAACTTGACAAGCTTCTCGCCGCTGGCGTTCGCACCTTCATCGACCTCACTGAGCCTGAGGAACTCATACCCTACAAGCCCCACCTCCCAAGGCACATCAGTGCTGCTGGCCTCGACGCGACTACCATCCACTACCACCAGTTCCCTATCCCTGATCGTTCGCTACCTCACAAGCCAACATATTTCATGCGTCTAGTGATGGACGTGCTCAGGGAAAACGCAGAGCAAGGGCGCGTGTGCGCCGTGCATTGCCGTGGTGGGATTGGGAGGACCGGCCTAGTTATTGGGTGCTGGCTCGTGGAGGCAGGAATCGCGAGGGACGGCGAAGAAGCACTGAAGATAATAGAACGGGAGTGGCGGACCGTCGAGAAGTGCAAGCGCTTCCCGCATTCGCCAGAGACTGGCCCGCAGTTTGAGTTTGTGAGGAACTTCACGAGTCCGGCGATGGTGCATGTATAGAGAACCGTGACAGTGCGCGTGTTTTTGCTTGCCTGCTGGTATGCCTGTTCACCTTTTTTACTTGCGCCTTGCTCATGAACGCGTTTTCAGCATACATTTGTATTCATCCTCTCACGTCACACATCACTGTAGCTATTATATCCCTATTCATATTTCCCTAATCATGGCCCTGGTTCCTAGTCTCATACTAGTACGTGCCTGGCCACATTTCTTCCCTCTGTCACAGTGCTGGTGATGTGTATGATCACAGATAATGAAGGGTGCCACTGAGTGTACTCTATCATGCCACACTTAGTACATACATCTTCGGACTCCGCTTCAAGTAGAAGTTTGATGTATACCGTCATGAATGAATTAGTATTGAGAGAGCCTGTGCACGTATGGAAGCTGTTGATATGAATGAAGACCACATTACACCAGTGAGCTTGAGTGCCAGCAGTAAGTAGACGGCGATCGCACAGAAATACTTATGTGACCCAGTGCTATGAGTTCTCGGTGTTCGCCGAGAACGACTGCGGCGCCAAAAATCTCGTGTTGGGGCAGAAAGGTGATACTTCGACGTTTCATTTGACGATATGCGAATTTCCTTCCAGGTATAAGTAGGCGAGAGGGAGCAAGTGTTTTACCTTTCCTGAACTGATAAGCAGTACGAACAAATCATTGCAGGGCAGCAGAGATATAACAGAGGGGCCTTGTCGAGTTTTGATCGGCACAGCAAGCGGAGTAATATCTGAAGAACCACGAGTCACTGTACGTGCCATGGCTTCAACGCATGTTTGAATCTGACCGCCCATATGCTACAGCTGCCTGAATTTGTGCTTTTCTGATAACACGCAGCTCGTGTTTGCTGCTGCGGTTGCTCTTGGGGTGGTAAGATCGAGCGCTTGGGCGTCCTTTTTAAATTAGATAGTGCCTAACCTCTCTCAGGTCTCTATCATCCCACGTGAAGGGTTATGGGGCACTTCCTACTCCATCGCAAGTAGATTTTCATGTTCGACTGGCCGTCTTTTACATGATGCTGACCATGTTGCATGTGCGTTGAACTAGGGCCTGACATTATTCGCAGGCTTTGCCCACCCCCAATTACAGTTCGTTTTCTTACTGTGAAGATTGCTCTAAACTTCTCGAACGAAGGCGCAACCTAATTGTAACGTCTGGTTATTACCTTTGCAAGGGTAAGTTCTTGTCGCGCGCTTCATGAATCGTCCGCAGTTAGCACATGTCAGCTAGCATCAATGTGGTCAGTACTTTGCATTTACTCTCAGCATACATAATTGACACAGTGCATCAGGAATATCAGAGAAGACCGTGGCATGGGTGAGTATGATCAGACTCGTTCCATGGCTTCTACTCACTGGGGTCTTTTTAGCCTGGTTCTTCTTTGACGGTGCAAGCTGGCGATGGCTTCGAATTGCCTTTCACTTACGCACGTTGCAACCTCGTTCATCGTCCATCTCATGCTGTATCTATATTTGGCTTCATGCACCGGTGCTTGTGCATTTTTTCTCAGAGTCATTCAACTGAAAAAGGTCACAGGACTAATTTGGCTACCAGGTCCGCAAGCTTGCAAATCGGCGTTTCCTCGTCAATGCAACACATTCTCATGTGAAAGTGGTCGGCAGTTTTACGTTGGCTACTGCGATACTCAATGTATCGCTATAAATGCCAATCTCATCTGTTCCCAGGTTTACTGATGCGCTACTCGCCCTTGCACCTCATTCAACAATCGCTCGATGAATCACTCCCGAGCTTCCTACGCTACTCGACCTCGAACTTAGCTTAATGGACCATGAGGCACGATCGATCATTTTCAGATACATTCAAACATCCATATTGCTCGAGCGGTACGGAAATTTGTCCAAACGTAACTGTATTGATTGGCTCCAAACTAGGTATTGCACCATCAACCATGATACCAAAGCGAGAACAGAAACATGACTCACTGTCACGACGTGCCGCTCGGGCTGCTGGCTCAATTTCCAACCGACTACTGGCAGAACAAGCCTTGACTCTAAGGCGCGCAGGTGAGTCACGCGGTTTAATCCCAGTCGTACAGCGACCTGCTCATACTCACGAGACAAACGTGACTGCAGCAATCCCAATTTGTGCGGCAGGATACACTCGGGCCCCCACATGCACTGACAGACATAGATGCTGTCAAAGCAATAACAACGGCGAGAAAGGGTAAGCGCATTTTCTGTGCGAGGCGATATGGAATATTCTGGGGGCGTTCTCGAATGATATCTCTGAGGATGGGGTGACACTGTAGGACAACCACCCGCTTTTATATCCTCATGGGCACGATTCTGATCGATTTGGGAGAATTATTATTGCTGTCAGATGGCACAAACTTCGGCAGAACCTGCAGGGTGAGCGTATTCAATTGATTACGACCATTGTATCATAACCTGCCGGCAAGCATGACCAATTCTCTTCTTCTTTGCGAATTGCAAAACGCTCGCTCGACTCACTAGTCTCTCATCCCAGTCTCTGGCTCATCGCTTCATCATTTGAACCCGCAGTGATTCTGCCAGCGTGGTGACAAAGTTGAGAAGTCGATGCCCATTCTCGTCGGCACTTCCGATATGTACTTGGTTGATATCTCATGTGATTTTCTCGCAATTACTCATTGCTCCCTTATATGCAGTACCTGCAATTCGCCTGTGCCATTAGTGAGCCGGTGACCCTGCGACTGCTGGAAAGATGATGAGGTATCTTTTGGAAATTGACACACGTTTTCATTCTTGGCATGCGCTTGGTTGAAGATTTTCGGTACAGTAGTCATGGTCGCAGCCACCACAGCTTCCTCTACGGTTTTGGACAAGCACGGTTGTTTGATGGCATACCCCGATGACCCTATACTTCCTCGGAAACAAGGAACAGCGTTAGCAGAACTCGTGACTATCGATCAGCGCTCTTCCAAGTTCCTCTTTCTCGTCAACCGCCCCTGTACCCCATTCACACTCGATCGATGAAGAGAACCGCTTCCGCGCTACCCTTCGATGACAAGTACCGCGCAGGCAGTGATATCAATTCTCTTCATCTTTCCCCATTTTGTCACTTTCATCATGACGCGCACTCCTATTATGGCCTTAGGTTTTGACCATTCCCGACTCCTACAGGGAGGGCTTTCAAGTCGAACGCGAACACTCCATCACCTTTCACTAGGAGCCGGCGTTGCCGCCATGGGACCTTGCTCAGTACGAAGCCTCCTTCAAGTGCGACCAAATCAACAGGGATGGTACTTATGTAAATGTAAATCTTATTATACACTTTCAAATCGCCGCATGGCATATGTATTTGAACGTGTTTGTATTTCGTTTATCATGGCATCTAGCTCAGTAGTCTACTGTTCTGGTTCTGAGTATTCGGTACGTGTTGACACTCGTTTATTGTTGGCTGCGACCACCTCAAGTTATCGAACAGATTTCTTATAATGCAGTTATTTTCATTCTTGATAAACAGTTTAAAGGGTCCCGCTTGAAGTTAGTACTAGATAACAGAAGTTTCGGCAGAACCTGCAGGAGTGTGTTGTATTGTTACTTGTGTTAGGGGTATGGTTCAGTTCTCCCGGATGAATTACTGATTTGAACCGGAGCTCCACACTCTGAAATTCGGAAATTCAAATTTCTACTCACTACTGGCAAATATGCCGCAAATCTGCTTGAATCTTGGACGACAGATGGGCGCGCTCGCGGCAGGGGTGCCCATTCCCCAAATCCGAGCCAACGGGTCCAGCGCGAGTCGCGGATTCAAGAAGCCCTTGCTGGAGTTCAAGGAAGAGCTATAGGGCAGCAGCAAAAGCTCAATCCACCATAATCTGTGCTTCGTTGATTTTCCCACTATCGCGTAAGCTCTCGGACTCGCCGTCGAAAAAAGGACACAATCGTTTCACTGATCAACCAAATCAAGACGTACCTCGACAAGCACCCTGCACTGGCGGACAATACACGCTTTCTGCGTTGTTTGGAGCTGGAAGGCATCGCACATATTCGAGGCATGCCACGCACAGCCAGGACTCCGCACCTAACACCAGCGCGACTAGTAGTAGTCATCCATCCAACGTCGTCCCATACCGTCTTTTGGCCTTGGCTCATCACTGCCAGTTTCACAGCTACCCGCAGCACTCGGAGGTCCGTGAGGAGAAACGTCTATAGTTTTTGTGTGCGCGATGGTACGTTTCTGAGGGTCGGAGGAAGGGGGCAGGCGTGCATCTAGCCACGGATGTAGGGGATGGGTCTTGAGCTTGGAGGTCGAGTGCTGTTCGAGTGAGTGTAATACTAGAGAGGGATAAAGAGACGTGCGTTTATCCTTTGTGCCAGCCTTGCTTCTCATGTCATGGGTGACGAAGACATTTGAGGGCTATGTTGAACACAGCGGCAACTCATCTTGTACGCCCTTCATCAACTCTAGGAGCTGGTATTAGTGGTTGCTGACGAGTTTTTGTGAACGTCTTCGTTTGCAGGGAGTGACTTGCTTCCAATGTGGAGAGGCCTTAAGGTGGTTGATTTAGCGGGGGTGTAGTTGTGTTAGCTCAAGTGGTGTTGGTGGCCTTCGTGAGCAATGAGCGTGGCCGACCGTGGGAACGGAAGGCAAGTGCTGCCAAGGTGGCCTGAGGTGCATCTATCATCTTGTCGACAACAGTGTGTCATTGAAGCAGTGATGGGCAGCTCAGACAACTTGAAGTCACCCCATAATATAGAAGGAATGACTGTCTTCTTTCTCCTTTGGTCTGACTAGCCCTAGGAGAGACCAGGTTTCGGCCACGACAACTTCAACTATGCTCACTATCGACCTCTGGGCTATAACAACATTTCTTGTACTCTTTTATTTGGGCCTTGCTCGCGTTATTGCTGTTTAACTGAGAACAGTTACCGCCGGACTCGAGTTCTCAGATCTCAAGGACTACCATGGCCAGCGAATTTTTTATAGGCTGGGATGACGTGAGTCTCATTCCAGGTGTTCCCTTCCTTTGTTAGACTTACATCATCACATGGTGATTTGCAGTCTAAAGGCGCTGATACTGACATATGGAATTTTTTGCGCCATCAAATCATCAGATTCATCACAGACACAGCAACATTTTGCTGTACGACTTCCAAGACTTTGACGGCAATCTTTTGCCAGATTGATTATCCGGTCTGAGAACATGAGCGGTTTACAGCGAAAGATCTCAAGAAGGCTTGTAAGTTGTAAATCTTTTGTGCACCGCCCGTTAACAACAGCGGCTATGACTGAATCAATCGCAAGGACCAACATGACAACAAATTTGTTGTCAGCTGATTGATTCCAGTTACGAATCGGGATCGAGGATCCGTGCGCCATGTGTAGATGATACAGGTACATAGCCAATGGAAGGGGCTTCGGGATTTAACATCGGACAACGATCTTCCCTAGCAGATCATCATTTCAAATTTCAGTAGGCTCCTTCAATTGAAAGTCCAGATTCGTTCAATTTCCCGAAATTAAAGTTGCCAACATCTTATAGGCCCTATATTTGCTTGCGGTGGGAGTGAGGTGGGCGCGTACTTATCTCTAAGACTCCAACAATGACCATCCATCCGACGAGGTGTGCAGAGTTTTAATTGAACACAATTAACAATACACCATGTGGTTTATTGTATACATGGATATATATGATTCTGGACCCATGGTAGCAGCTGGCTGGAACTTGATGCATTGATGCGGCCAAACTTGATGTTGGCATGTCCCGTGTAGGTCCAGAAACGGCTAAAACTTGATCCTGGAGTCACATGACATGGTATCGACCGTCGGAAATTTACATGCAGTGTCACAGAGTACACTATCTCTGATGAAGATCTACCTTAGGCTGTACATGCACGCGCGGGCGGCAGTATCGGTTATTAAATAAATCCTAATGGCTCAGCGAACACCGTACTTAAGTGCTAGTGCTCGCAGGTGTATCGCTCGGAGGTTCCATTCAGCGGCCAGGACCAAGTTGCGGGCAGGTCACCACAAGGCGCATACTGAATATCGAATTATCCTCATATGTCTTCCTTATCTGTCTCAGACCTGACGAAGTTGCAGACAGTCAAGGTGAGTAAAGGTCGGCTTCCCTCTGATAAACTCAATGTTGACATTATGTCTGATTTAGTACGCCAATTGTGAGTGTCCGCCGATCGTCCGAAAACTAGACGATGGCACTGACTATTGTTTTTAGTGGGCAGTATTGCAATCCTCGTGAGTACAAACACATTTCTTGTGTTTCTACCTCAAATCTAAATCGACGTTGCAGGTATTTGATTTTTGCATTACTTTTCCCGAAGAGGTCGAGGAAATATCTGTTTTTCACGACTATTGTTCTGACCACTCCCCACAGGTGCGATGGACCTGGTTCAGACCATGGGATATAACTCGTGTCATATTTGTCATTTCTCGATATTTGCCTTTCGCGGGTGTTGGATTGACTGCATATGGCGAGTGACTCACTCTGATTTTCTTCATCTTATGTATTGCTGATGGGAATATGTTAGACGCACTGCGTGTCAAGCATCAGGTGAGCTTGGATGGCGAATAGTTTCTACGTTAAGCTGATTGCATGGGAAAGTGTACCTCTTCTCCACAAGGAAAAAGTAAGTCGACCTGCCAAACGGTTCATTGTTCATACGACTTAAACATTGTGGTATCAGTCATTCACATCATAAGTATTGTTGCTGCGGAATGTGCGCGTTCCACATGCATTTTGAGAGCGTATTGGATCTCACTTTCTTGGCAGCCTTGCTGATTATTCGGACTTGGGCATTCTGGCAGAAGAGCAAAAGACTGCTGATCGGGCTATTGGTTTATAGCGTGGTGCGTGTTTTGCTGAGCAGGGATGATCGCACAAATTTTAGTTATTACATAGTTGATAATTGCCGCCGCCCTTGCTGTAGACCTCAGCCCTAAGATGCTGCTTCCAGGAGGTGAGTTCATTAGTGTTTACGAACGAAAGTGATTCTAATTTGACTATCAGAGGAGCCCCCCGTAGGAACTTGTTACTTCGAGGACACACGCAATGAGGCGGTCGTATACATATTCTTGGCCATGTTCGAAAGCGGTTAGTGATTATCCAAAGCTGTCTATTGGCCTTCTTACCCATAACAACATGGCAGTGATACTGATCCTTACTGTATATAAGAGGGTTCACGATTATAAAAACTTTCAGAGCAGAATTGTAGTAACCCTGTACCACGATGGCATGTTTTACATGTTGTGTATCCTCGGTGCGTGGAAATAGTTGGCTCTCAAGATATCATCGAGTAACGCGTTTAAAAAGGCATCACACTAGCCAATGTCATCATCGGAGCTGCACTTCCGGTACGCATCTGGGCTATCAAACCCTACGATTCACTAACTCCATATTTTCTGCAGAGTGCCTATAGCGATATGCTTGATGCGTACGTCACCGGTTGCATTCTGAGCGCTAGTTGATCTGGAACCCACTGCACTAGGCTACAGCTGGTCAGTCACAGCGTTCTGGCATCACGAATTCTATTCCGCATTCGAGATAGCAACGGACGTATCCACGAACCGTCTGTGGCGGTAACGACCATGGAATTGGACTGTTTACGACCTCCGTCGATGTCGATGAGTTGGACGGGTACTACTAGTCAAGTTTGAAGGAATGTGGGTGTATGCGGAATCATCGCCCTCTGTTAAAATGAGAAGCTTCTTATCAAGCTGCCTCTGTACCTCCCGATGACTGTATCGACTGGACTTTAGCTTGTTCCTAGGGGAAATATGCAGCTGTCATTAGCACCGTGCATATTGCAGCAGCAGTCTGACAATTTATATATATCCCAGTTACATATCTTCAAATCAGCGGATTGGATTGTGCTACAGAATTGTAAGCACCCGGTTTACCTGAATTCCCATAATCAGTGCATATACCGTCACTGATGCTGAATTCAGTATTTCACCTTTTGGTGTAACGGTTATGCGCGGGCGGCGGTCTGACCATGTTACAAGAATGCTACAGAGCGCACTGTAGCATTCTGTAGTGAATTACGTTGGTACCTCGCCCAATCAGATTCAGCTCCGAACAAGGCGCCAAGAAAACGCCTTTTCGCCTATGATCCGAATATGCTGACTTTGGAAACAGAAGACCATCGTTATAGCATCACCAACATCCCCCAATCACTCGCGCCCATCCCTCGAATATGACCGTAGTCTTAAATAATCCCAGTTGGTGGCCGCTGATCGATTTGAATGTGTTTCTCAGCTATTGGACAGGTTTGTCGCATCAAGATATCTCGCTCTAACATTGACTTCCGATTTCGCAGTTGCCGCTGGCGTCGTGGTGATATACGATTGGGGTGAGCAGGACAGTGTTCGAAAACTGCTGATGTTCTTATGATATCTGCAGTACTAACACTAGGACAAGAGGTAGGTTAGTGTTATAGCTGGGGCGGAAAACTCGCTAAGAATGTTGTCATAGATTGAACTGATCTGGGTGAGTGACAGGAATCCTGTATCAGAAGAAAAAACAATGACATCGTAACAGAGGCAACGCTGGTCTCTCATGACTTTGTTGTATTTGGTCGTTCGTACCCTCTATAGCGTGAAGTTAGCAAGTTGTGCTGACTCCACAATGTTCTAGATACGCTATGTTGGAATACCATTTTCTGTGTATGTGGCGAAGTCAACAACTTGGCACCATGCTAATAGCTTATCTCTGACAATTAGCGCCTATGTTTTGTGTATGTCTAATATGCACTATGTTCGATTTTTCTGACCGGCGGCACGCAGCAAGCATACCATTGATGTCGTTGACAGATGCAGTGAGTGTTCCACAACCATCTTATTCATATCTGATCATTCTAATGAATACACTCATTTGTAGGGGTAAGTGACATTCTGACCATTAAGATAGCTCAATATGACGACTTAATAGGTGTAAGATGGAGCGTTTAATACTAGCACGAGGGTGATCACTAATTGAGTGTTTCAGGCAATATTACGAACTACATAATGAATGTGACAAACGTGGTCATAGCCGCCACGTTGGGCAGTGAGTTACCCAGCTGCAATACCTCTTGGATGTTGACTCGACCGAAACATGATGCCAGTTGTGATGATTGCTCGCTTATATGCCATGTATCAGGGATCTAGAATGATGCTTATTTTCCTTGTGATTATCTTCCTGGCTGTAAACATCGCCTGCGGAGTAATCGCGGGAATAGTACTGAAGCATTTTGTAGGGGGTAAGCTTCACTTGTTGACACAAAGAACACGACTCATTGAATAAACACTAGATGAGTGGATAATGTCTGGTACATATATGTGCAATGCCCAATACGAGGGGGACGGCGTGCTTCTTATTTCAATGGTTTGGGTGCTCAACACTGTTTGGGAGATCCTCGCACTGTGTCTTTCAGTCTGGATTGCTGTGAAACACTTCCGTAACCTGCGACGGCTCGGCCCGTCGACAGGATCGAAAATTGGGGACTATTTCAGAGTCCTGATACAATCTCACGTGCTTTATTTTGCGAGGTGAGCTTCTCATGTGATCGGGACTATCTCTTTCTCAAGTTCCGCACGTACTAGCTTCGTTTGTGTCTCTTGCCTCCAGATTGCTTTTTTCTTTCCAGAGCTCCAGGTGCGCCGACCTATCGCTGACATCTGCGTGTGACCACTTCTCATCATTTGTGTAGAATTCACATTCGACGATAACTGAGATACTCGAAGGTGCTCTTCAAATTTTATTGGTCGTGCAGATGTTTGTGCTGGGACCACGCCTCATCCTTAGCGTTCGACAATGTCATGCTAAACTCGTGGCCGGATCCGATTTAGAAACTAGAATGAATTTGATTGTCTTCCAGGATCGTGTACATGTATCAACTAGCATTACCCTGTAGGGAAATGCTTGGCGAGTGGCCTGCAGGGAGGTGGACGATGATCCGTCGTAATATTTATTTAACATATGGTGTTTCGAGGTATATTTGAAAAGTCCGGGCAAACCTACATATTTCTTGTTGTATCAGTACTGAAACAAAGTACCCGCGCTTGAACTAAGTGGTAAGCTGAAATTATCCGGAAGGACTAGCAACTAAAGTGCCTTGGCAGCTGATTCTGCATGTTTGTGGAGTTCCACTGTCTTCATGTATAGATGAAGAAGTGACTGTGAATCGTGAAGCCAGATGGGTGATAACTTATTGGTGCTTAGATGCGATTTCCTCCATCCGATGGGCCACGGAGAATGAAAGGAATTAATCGCGTAGACTCGTGGCTCGACTACACGCCTCTCGCGAATGAGCATGTCAAGGATATGGAGTCTGCTGAGTGGGGAGTAGAGAATCGGAGAGTCGGAGGTTCAAGTCAGAAGGCCTCAAGCGTACCTATCAAACTACTGGGAATGCGTGTTCGATTATGGACAAGCCGCGTGATGGATAACGATGAAGACCAGCACTAAATGGAAGCACGATGGATATTGAAGAAGGATAGTCTAGGATAGAATACTGGCACGTTTGTACAAGGGATGACGACATCAATGATGGCGGAGTCCGAGCACAAAGAATGATGGAAAAGGGTGGCCATCAGAGCGGTAGTATGATGTTCCTGAGCACGAGGGCACACAAAACTGACAATACAATTGCTCGCAGTAAAGCCAAGTAATATAACGTTAGCAGCAAATACTATGGTGGCGAGGTACTTGGGCTTTTTGTAGACGGCCTCGAGGTATACCTTCTCTCCATCACTGCGAGGGAACATGGTGCCGAACTCGAGCCATATGAAGAGTCCACAGAAGCTGAGCAAGAAACCGAGGACCCAAAGCATAAGGGAAGCGCCGACTGAGCCCACGCTGGAGAGGATGGAGGACGGCGTTGAGAATATGCCGGAGCCGATAATTTTTCCAACGATAAGGAGAGTGCAAGATGTTACACCAAGGTAACGACCCATGCCTCCCGCAGTATCTGGATGATGTCAGACGAGTAAGTTGAAGGAATAGCGAGCAACGGCACCTTCTTCAAAGGTGAGTTCTCCAGGACTCCAGTAAGCATTTTCGTTGGGTGACTTCTGAATCCCTTGATCCTTTTCGCCGAGCTGTGAACCGGAAGCACGGTCATCCTGGTCGTCTCCCTGCTGCTTGCTTAATCGCGACCACCAGGTAGTGGACATTCCTCTGGATGGAGTGAGAGCTATGAACACATTGATGGAAGATAAAAGGGCGCTTGATGATAACGCAAGAATGTGTCCACATGATGCAAATACCATGCTGCGCACGAAAGAGTGCCAGGTCCCCGCGGGTCAACCATGTGGATTCAAAATTCAAAATCAAAATTTCTAGTCTAACGTTCCCCTGAATGGCGCTCACGTGCGGGTAGTTCATGTTCGGAATCAGTGACAAACATTTATCATGCCATGGCGTGCCGTCGGCATGTCACGGATAACAAGAAACGCGACATCTAGTAGCAACTCTATGTGATCTAGATTCTATGCATCATATGATTCTACAATCGTGCATTAAACCAGCCAATTTTATAATAAACGTACTCCACGTCTTCATCAAGACCTTGTCCTCGCGTATAATCGCCATAGGCATCACATGTGATATATTCCTTCGATAGAATGACAAGATCAGCATCACCGTTCGGATCAACATCGCATGCCTTGAGGAACACGGACTCAACCGTGTTTGACTCGAATGTGTGCGTTGGACGAAGTGGTATCACGAGATGAAAAGCGGCGGGAGATATGGTGCTGTCAGAAGGACGCCGCACAAGCCCTTTCAGACAGCCCCTGATCCAAACCGCATGTTGGGCTTCGTAAATGATGTCTGCACCAAGGACCACATCAAATGGGTACGAAAGACAATCCGGTCGAGGAGTAGTAGAGAATGATGACCAGTCGAGGAAATGAGTGGTAATGGAATGGGTTGAAGTAGGATGATTGTGCGTGGAGGAGACATTCGCGTTAACGTTTGACCTGAGGTTGGCTAACACAGAAGGGTGGAAATCGGTCGCAACCACATGAACCTCGCGATGGTTGAAAGACGGTAATGTATCCAGTAATTTCATAACCACTAAGCTAACCAACCCTGTTCCTGCTCCGAGCTCAAGGACGTTGAGCCTGCGTGATTCAAAGCTTTGAGAAGAAGAATCCAGTCCAAATCGCTCAGGATCTTCCACAATCATTTCTGCCAAGACACATGCCCCGCCCCATGTCTGCGCTCCCACACTCCCGTAGTCATTGTTGTCCAGCGGAATATCTGTGAGCTGAGCTTCCACTCGCCTCTGCCCGTCTATAGAACCAAACATAAAGTTACGGGTGATCATTCCAGCAGCAGCGACCCCGGCACAAATCGCGAGTAGCGACGCGGCTTGTTGGACGAGTATCTCTGTGTAAGCCAAGGCAGGCTCTGGCGTCCCAAGATCATCCAATGAGACTTCTTCGGAGTGCGATAAGTCATGCCAGACCTCGAGCTGTGTGATTAGTGTGGTAAGCCACCGAATGGAATATGAGCGCTCGAATGCGTCAGATCGGATAGCTTGGAGTTCGCTATCATCCTCATGGCGAAGGCGTAGATTTTGCTCTCCATTAGATACAGGCACCTGCACACGTTTACGATGCGAGCCACGGACTTCTGGATGGTAGAGTGACTGTAAATAAGTCAAGGCATCGAGAAGCTGGGGGACGGAGAAACTCGCGATCTTGGCGATCGGCGGAAGATATGTGGTTGGTGGGCAGAGAACAGACATTTGGGGGCGTTAAAATCGAGGAGGCGGGAAGACAATCAATGCTAGCACAAAATCATACTAGTACTGGTTCAACAATATTTGAGAATTATGGTTTCAAGTTAACATGATTATTTACGGGTGTGTACCATGATAGTGTGAATAACAAGTCTAAACAACCAGCACAGTTGAACCCCACCGCTAATAATTGATCAGAATCATCAAGTAGCGAAATGAATAATTCCAGTCAATCTTCCACTCTGTCCATATCATCTATCCCGCCATCTAGCTTTCAGAATGCTTCTATCTATATTTCACAATCGTCCCTGCACGATTCCATTCATACTGATCCAAATTCACCAGAAGTGCTAAAGCAGAACGTGCAAATCGCCCTTGACCATGTCGCAAGGATTCAATCACTGGCACGTAACTGCTTGCACGGCGTGTAAGTCTCTCTACTTCCTTCATACTTATACCATGTTTAATTATTTGTCAGACAAAGCGCATACCAAGCAGGAAACAGTCCTGCACATACAACAGGCAAGTGCGTTCGTGTTTTTTTTATAATTGTGGCTTTACGCTTCCAATTTTCAGCTGAGCTGGCTGCACTCATGCAAGCACTTCGCACACTTGCTGAATTCCTTCGACAAACTGGTGTAGGCGCATACCCCATGCCACTCGTCCCCGAGTCTCAGAGTGCATCATCGGTGCCTCCCACAGAGCAGCAACTGATTGACACCACGGCCAGAGAGGTACAAGTGCTTTATGAGCGCCTGAAGCGTATTCAAGAGAGCAATACCGTCGCTGTAAATCTACTTGGGGCTGCTGATACCGTCTCTCGTGCACGCTAATCAACATCGGTGCCAATTCTATTGTGTATTTTTGTAACATCAGCCCAGTTGATATGCGACGATGCGCAGCTTAACCGGCTTCAGGTGACAAGTGTGTTTGAACTGGCTTGTACTGGTGGTTAATCTCTCGAGGATGACAGTCGATTGCGTCCAGACGGTCAGTCCTTCCACGCAGTTATATTGGATTCCGTTGACAGTCTAGTACTTAACAGCTCTGAGGGAACGTGTCCTAAATTCAGCTGCCTAGCGTCTGGATACATAGATCGTGCCAAGAACTCGACGGCCTGGAACCTTACCTGGGCACCCAACAGTGGTATTTGCCACCCTTAAGAAGCTGAACTTCAATCCCGACCTCCCGGGGAGTGCTGATAAACGACCTCGTTCCACGATTGATGGAAGCGGTGGATTTTAAAGCGACTTATACCTGCGAAGTATCTCATGACGATCCAATTTATTCAACGGGATGCAGAGTGTGGCACTAGTAGTACAGTACAGAACAAGAAAGTATCATAAGTAAACAACAGGAGAGCGAGGGGATGAAATTGACTAGGATACAGGTAACAGCAAATGGAATAATATAGCGAATCGAGTCTCTGCCTATGTGGACAAATACAATCTGCTGTTCCCACGGAATCTTCTTCTTGCGCAACGATCTCACAGCAACCTCGTCGTCAACAGACCACATGGAACCGATCACACTGCGAAATCCGCAGAATTGCATAGCCGCAGCAAGACGGCCGCGTCCGATTCGGCATTCCATGGCAGGCAAGATGGAGCCATTGATTACGGTTGAGTCATTACACAGTGGCGATTCGCATTCTAAACGGATATATGGAATTTGTTGCGCCATCAAACTGTCGCAGACACAGCAAAGTGTCAGTGTGCGGTTTCCAAGACATCTTTCGCCAGATTGATTACCTGGTCTCAGTGGTCTGAAGTCATGGGCCGTTTACGGCAAAAATGCATTCTAGTTTAAAAGGCTTGTAGTAGTAAGTTTGTTGTATTTTTTTGTGCACCGCCCAACAACAGTGTCTATGACTGAATCAATCCCAGGGGCCAACATGATGACAGTTGTCAGCTGATTGATCCCAGTCACTTACATCATAAATCATGCTCGAGGATCCCGCCATGAGCAAGTCAAAAAATAAGGCCTGTCACTATAACATACAGGGTACATAGCTCTGAAATTTCAATAGGAGACGTAAGACTAGCCCGATTGGCTAGTATTATGTTAGGGCTTCGGGATGTAACATCATTTTGATCTTCACATCGAGCAACGATGTTGCTTAGCACTGTTGATCTGATCTAAAATTTCAGTAGTCGTCAAGGGGTCTCCTTCAATTGAAATTCCAGAGTCATATTTGCTGGTTCAAGTTCCCGTAAGTTCTGTTACTTTTCCACCGAAATTGAAGTTGCATCTCATAGGCCCTATGTTATCTTCGACTGTGCTTGCAGTGGGAGTGATAGCCGGTGTTTGCAGTCTCCGATTACAACGCATGGCGCGTCTAGTACTTATTGGGTACTATCTCTGATGAATGTCGAATGAAATTTTGCCTTTGGCTGTGCATGCACAGTATCGGTTACTAAATTAATACCAATGCCCTATCGAACATCGTATTTAAGTAATGCTCGCAGGTGTATCGCTCCATTCAGGACTTGCGAGCAGGTACCACGAGGCGCATACTGAATACCGATCTTATCCTGATATGTCTTCCCTATCGATCTCAGACCTGACAAAGTTGCAGACGGTCAAGGTGAGTAAAGGGTGACTTCCCTCTGATAAACTCAGGCTAACATTATGTCTGATTTAGTACGTCAATTGTGAGTGTACGCCGGTCGTCTGGAAACTGGACGGCGGCATTGACAATTATTTTTAGTGGGCAGTCTTGCAATCTTCGTGAGGATCAAACAGAATTCTTGTGTTTTTACCTCAAATCTCTTTCGACGTTGCAGGCATTTGATTTTTGCATTACGTTTTCCGAAGAGGTCGAGGAAATATCTGTCTGTTCGCAAGTATTATTCTAACCACTCCCACAGGTGCGATGGACTTGGTTCAGACCATGGGATGTAATTCGTGTCATATTTGTCATTTCTCGATATTTACCTTTCGCGGGTGTCGGAATGATGGCATATGGCGAGTGACCCACTCCAATTGTCCTTGTATTGTGTGTTGCTGATGGGCATATCTTAGACGCATTGGGTGTCAGCAATCAGGTAATCTTGGATAGCTAATAATTTCGATGCTAAGCTGATTGCATGAGAAAAGTGTACCTCTCTGGAAGGAAACAGTGAGTCGACCTGCCAAACGGTTCATCTTTCATGCAACTTAAACGATGCGGATGTCAGTCATTCATGTCACAGGTATCGTTGCTGCGGAAGGTGCGCGTTCCACATACATATTAAGAGCGCAATGGGTCTCACTTTTTCGGCAGCATTGCTGGTTATTCGGACCTGGGCATTCTGGCAAAAGAGTAAAAGATTGCTGATTGGAATATTGGTCTATGTCGTGGTGCGTGTTTTGCAGAGGAGGGATGATCGTATAGATTTTTATTATTGCATAGTTGTCAATTGCCGCCAGCCTTGCTGTATTAAAACTTAGCTCTACAATGCTAATTCCAGGAGGTGAGTTCATTGGTGTTCACGAACGAAAGTGATTCTAACTTGACTATCAGAGGAACCCCCCCTAGGAACTTGTTACTTCGAGATCACACGCAATGATGCAGTCGAATACATATTCTTGGCGATGTTCGAAAGCAGTCAGTGATTATCCAAAACTGTCTATTGGCCTTTTTACATATAACAACATGGCAGTGATACTGACCCTTACTGTATATAAGAGGTTTCACGACTTTAAAAACTTTCAGAGCGGAATTGTAGTAACCCTGTACCACGATGACGTGTTTTACACGTTGTGCATCCTCGGTGCGTGGACATAGTTTACTCTCAAGATATTATTGAGTAACACGTTTAAGGAAGCCGTCACACTCGCCAATGTCATCGCAGGAGCTGCACTTCCAGTACGCGTCTGGTCTGTTAAATCCTACGATTCGCTAACTTTCTGTCTTTTTTACAGAGCGCCTATAGCGATATGTTCGACACGTACGTCGCCGGCTGCACTCTCACCGCTAGCTGATCTGGAACCCACCGCACTAGGCTACAGGTGGTCAGTCACAGCGTTCTGGCATCACGAATTCTATTCCGTCTTCGACATAGCAACGAACGTGTCCAGGAACCGTCCACGTCAGTAGCGATGATGGAATTTACAGATTATTTACCACCTCCGTCAATGCCGGTGAGTGGGACGGCTACTACCAGTCAAGTTTGAAGAAACGTAGGTGTGCGGAACCATCGGCCTCTGTTAAAGCGAGAAGCTTCTGCTTTTATCTAATGTACAACTCGATTGTGAAATCATAGGCCAACGATACTACGAGACCGGAGGGCTGAGGGGATGAACGAAATGGTAATTCGTTCCCTTGTTTTCTCCGAGCCTGGCTGCGGTGTCTATTCTTATGCGACGTGATGATAACTCTGCATCATGTACTTCCGCAAACCTCGTCTTGAAATCAATAGTGCATGACCTGTCGTTCAACATCACCCCGACCATGAAATCCCAGTCACCCAGCGGCCTTGTAGGATCCAAAGTGAGTTGGGAAGCCCAAGAATAAGGGGGTTTATGGATACCGATCTGTACTAATCAAATGAACTCGGAAGATCATGTGCGCCGAATGATGTTCGTACCTGTTTACAACGTATAGACCAGGGGCATATCCTGGAAGTAAGCATCAGAGAAAGTACCTTTTGAAAGACGGTGGACTGGCGCAGCTGGCAATGTGCCTGCCTCTGGCAGACAGAAACTAAGGATTTCTCCAGCAGCAATCACGCGAGGTCGATTCACTAGCAATCCGCCCTGCTTCTCCATGATTTCAACCACGGCCTGCAACAGCATGTCAAACCTAGATCCTGTGGCGACTTGGTGCGGAGGACTAACTTTGTGCTGACCGATGATGATAATCTTCTCAGTTCCTGAACGAATGGTGACGAGAAAATCCTACTGATCAATTCATCGCGCTATAGTAAAAAAACAGACTGATAAACGAAAGAACATGATTAACATTGGAATTGTGACGACTAAGATGTCAATTTTTACTTGCGAAGGGGCAGAAAGTGTCCTAGAAGGCCGCTGCAGGTGGGAATGGAAGGCTACTCAGGCTCTCTGAGCTAGGAAAGTAAGCCTAACAAATCGCTCCCACTAACCCAGGGCAAACCACAGTACCCAGGACGAGCTGCATATCGTCAGAAATGGGCAGCTTAGAAGCTTTACCATAATTCAGAATCGGGAGGAATGCAAAGTCCTGTAGACTGTAAGAATGTGATTGAAAGCGCATTCGACTTGAGAGTTTTTTTTAGTATAACTATGGTAGTGTCCCTGAATGGTGGTACCTGGAGCAGGAGACGGTTTATACACCCACTATAATACACGTTAGGGACGTTGGGTGAACCTTTTTGGGTAGGGATTGTCGGTTTCGGATTGGGCGAGGGATTGAAGAGGAAGGGAAAAGAACGTCAAGAATTGAAATACGAAAAAAGGAAAGTCAATGCACCATTCAGGATACACCGTAAACTCGAACACAGCCGAATTAATTATCACGGGTCTATTGAACCAACTCGACCAGCCGCTCCCGTCCACCTGCCAATGCGTGAGTTTTTTTTTTTTTTTTTTTTTTTTTTTTGGAATCCTTGTTTATTGTCCGGTGGGGCTGGGCCCTATGCTGGACAATACCTACAGAGTATGTACTTTTGTCTAATGTATTGTATGTGCGGGGTTTCTATATGTTACTAAAATACTGGTCCAGGCATGCGCGAGGACGATAGGCGCCTGGTCGGGCGTGGAGAGGGTGTGTGCGGCTGTTACGAATGGACTTATTTCGGGAGGGAGACGTCCCCGAATGTGCTGGCGAAACGGCGAGTGCTAGCAATGAATTTGAAGAGGGGTTTTGTACATTTGGCGTCGTTTAGCAGGTGTTTCAGTTGATGTGCTTTGGAACCGAGTTCCGCTTTCAATGCGCTTCTCTGTCTTGCGTACGTCGGACATGCAAGCAGGTAGTGGTGGACTGACTCTTCGCGCTCTCGGCAAGACGGGCATAGAGGTGATGGGGATTTCGAGATGCGATGTAGGTGTTTGTTCAATGGTATGTGTCCTGTCCGTAGCTGGATCAAGAGTGATGCGTGACGTCTTGGGAGGTTGTCGGTCAACATTGCGAATCTTTTGGATGGGAACGAGGGGTCTATCTCTTTGAGTCTTGCGTGTCTCGGTGACTGGTGGAGGATTGATTTCGCTTCTTGCATGATGGTTGTCCGGAACGCTTGCTTTAGTGCCGACTTGCTGCTTGGTAGGGAGATGGGGTTTCCATTTGCGTTGCGGAGGGATGGGGGGAGCTTGCAGTGTTCTGAGCTTTCGCCGCGGGCGGCGCGTTTTGCCTGTTCATCTGCTTCTTCGTTACCGGGGATCCCTATGTGGCCAGCTGACCAACGGATGGTCAGCTTGCGGTCGTCTTTTCTTGACAGCATACGGCGGAGGTCATCGTGGAAGATATCTAGCAAGTAATGGCCGGGTTTCGACTGGAAACCCTTCGTTGCGCGGATCGCGGCTTGGTTATCCACCCCAAGTGCCATGGTGGGTTTCTCTCTCATCCTCTTCGTCCTCTCTTTCAGCAGCTCCACCGCCAGGATCATGCCCACTATCTCCCCTTCGTATACCGTGTGCTCTTCGGCCTTCCCCAGATAAAACCTTCTTTCGTCTACCACCTCGTCTCCTTCCATGAGAACCGCGGCCCCTCCTATGCCTCCATCTATCGCCGACCCGTCTGAGTACACTCTCACGTCCTCCTCTGCGGTGATATCCTCCAGGTATGCTTCGTCCGGCTTGCGTGCTATGCTGAGTTCGACGTCTGGGACCCATTTCGGGTAGTGTCGGACTGGATCCAAGGTTTCCGTGGCTGCGGGGTTGATTTTGAATTCGTGGAACAATCTGTGTAGTGGGGAAGGGTGTCGTTTTGTGCCTTCGAAGTTGCGGCTGGCGTGATAATTGAACGCGCTGTTGATACCTTTCTGGAGGGGGTGGGATTTGTGAAGGGCAATGCGTGAGTGAAACACGCACCTAGCAACGCAACGAAAAAAAAAGACGACCCACATGATACATCGAGCACATATTTGTTCTTCCCAGCCTCCTTAAAGCCCATCCTCCGCGTCCATTCCTACCATTCCTCCACTTCACCTTGACCTGGTTTGCCAGCGAACGCTAGATCCATCATCGGCGATCGCAGGGTTCACGATTGATTTTTTGAAGGTCTGTGTTATGATGCCGCCGGGAGATGAAGGGTCCGTGAGGAGAAACGTCTATAGTTTTTGGGTGCGCGATGGTACGTCTCTGAAGGTGGGAGGAAGGCGGCAGGCGTGCGTCTAGCCACGGATGTAGGGGACGGGTCTTGAGCTCGGAGGTCGAGTGCTATTTGAGTGAGTGTGAGACGTAGATATAGTAGAGAGGGAAAAAGAGAGGTGCACCTATCCTTTGTCCCAGCCTCGACAACCTTGCTTCTCATGTCATGGGTGACGAAGACATTTGAGGGCGATGTTGAACACAGCGGCAACTCGTCTTGTACGCCCTTCATCAACTCTAGCGGTTACTAATGAGTTTTTGTGAAGGTCTTCGCTTGCAGGGAGTGATTCGCTTCCAATGTGGAGAGGCCTTGAGGTGGTTGATTTAGCGGGGGTGTAGTTGTGTTAGCTCAAGTGATGTTTGTGACCTTCGTGAGCAATGAGCATGGCCGACCGTGGGAACGGGAGGCAAGTGCTGCCAAGGGCGGCCTGACTCGGCCTGCGGCATCTATCATTCAAATAGCTACCTCTTGTCGACAACAGTCTGTCATTGAGGCAGTGATGGGCAGCTCAGACTCAACTTGAAGTCACCCCATAATACAGAAGGAACGACTGTCTTCCTTCTCCTTTGCAAGTCTGACTAGCCTTAGGGGAGACAAACTTCAAGTCTTCAACTATGATCATTTCTCACTAGCTATCGACCTCTGGGCTATAAGTAACAACATTCAATTCTACTCTTTCCATTTGCCGCCGGACTCGAGTTCTCAGTGACTACCAGCGAATTTTTCATGGGCTGGCAGCATGATGTGAGTCTCATTCCCGGTGTTCCCTTCCTTTGTTAGACTCGCATCATTAGTACATGGTGATTTGCAGTCTCAAGGCGCTGATACTGACATATGGGTTTTTTTGCGCCATCAAATCATCACAGACACAACCAAATTTTACTGTACGACTTCCAAGACTTCTATCCGGTCTGAAGTCATGGCCGGTTTACAGCGAAAAATCTATAACGTCACACCGCCCATGACTGAATCAATCCCAAGGGCCAACATGGCAACAACAAAGGTGTCAGCTGAATATGAATCACGATCAAGGATCCGTGCACCATGGGTAGCATACAGGTACATATAGCTAATGGAAGGGGCAACATCTTGCCTAGCACTGATACAACATTTCAAATTTCAGTAGGGATCTTCTTCAATTGAAATTCCGGATTCGTTATGTAATTTCCCGTAAATTCTGTTACTTTTCCACCGAAATTGAATTTGGCCCTATATTATTTTTGACTTTGCTTGCGGTTCGGGCGCGTACTTATCGATCAGGCCAAGTACTGGTACTTTGCGTACACGCATCACTGCTCATTCTCCTAAACGCTGAAGAACAGCTACCGCCGGACTCGAGTTCGCAGTGACTACTTCATAGGCTGGCATGATGTGAGTCTCATTCGGGGTGTTCCTTTCCCTTGTTGGACACATCATTAGTACATGGCGATTCACAGTCTAAAGGCGCTGATACTTGGAATTTGTTGCGTCGTCAAATTGTCACAGACACAGCAAAAATCCATTCTAGTTAAAAGGCTTGTAAGTTGTAAACTTTCCTGCACCGCCCAACAACAGTGGCTACGACTCAATCAATCCCAAGGGCCAACGTGACAACAGTTGTTACTTGTCAGCTGATTGATTCCAGTCACTTACACCATCAAGGATCCCGCCATGAGCAAAGTCGGGGAAATAAGGCCTGTCACTGTAACATACAGGGAACATAGCTCTGAAATTCTAATAGGAGACGTTGAAGAGACTAACTTGGTTGGCTAATGCCATTTTAGGGCTTCGTGATGCAACATCATTTTGATCTTCACATCGAGCAACGATCTTGCCTAGCACTGATGATCTGATCTAAAATTTCAGTAGTCGTCAAGGGGTCTCCTTCAATTGAAATTCCAGAGTCGTCTTTGCTGGTTCGAGTTCCAGTAAGTTCTGTTACTTTTCCACCGAAATTGAAGTTGCATCTCATAGGCCCTATATTATCTTCGACTTTGCTTGCGGTGGGAGTGACAGACAGCGTTTGCAGTTTCGCATTACCATGCTTGGCGCCTCTAGCGCTTACCAGGCACTATCTCTGATGATATCGAATGAATTTTTGCCTTCGGCTGTGCATGCACAGTATCGGTTACTAAATTAATACCAATCCCCTATCAATCATCGTATTTAAGTAATGCCCGCAGGTGTATCGCTCCATTCAGGACTTGCGGGCAAGTACCACGAGGCGCATACTGAATACCGATCTTATCCTGATATGTCTTCCCTATCGATCTCAGACCTGACGAAGTTGCAGACGGTCAAGGTGAGTAAAGGGTGACTTCCCTCTGGTAAACTCGAGGCTAACATTATGTCGGATTTAGTACGCCAATTGTGAGTGTCCGCCGATCGTCTGAAAACTGGACGGCGGCATTGACTATTGTTTTTAGTGGGCAGTCTTGCAATCCTCGTGAGTATCAAACATATTTCTTGCGTTTCTACCTCAAATCTCTTTCGACGTTGCAGGCATTTGATTTTTGCATTACGTTTTCCGAAGAGGTCGAAGAAATATTTGTGTGTTCGCAAGCATTATTCTAACCACTCACCACAGGTGCGATGGACCTGGTTCAGACCATGGGATGTGATTCGTGTCATATTTGTCATTTCTCGATATATACCTTTCGCGGGTGTCGGAATGACTGCATATGGCGAGTGACCCACTCCAATTTTCCTTGTATTGTGTGTTGCTGATGGGGATATCTTAGACGCATTGCGTGTCAGCAATAAGGTGAGCTTGGATGGCGAATAGTTTCGATGCTATGCTGATTGCACGAGAAAAGTGTGCCTCTACTCTGGAAGGAAATAGTAAGTCGACTTGCCAAACAGTTTATTTTCATGCAACTTAAACAATGCGGATGTCAGTCATTCATATCATAGGTATCGTTGCTGCGGAAGGTGCGCGTTCCATATCATGTTAAGAGCGCAACGAGTCTCACTTTTTTGGCAGCATTGCTGATTATTCGGACCTGGGCATTCTGGCAAAAGAGTAAACGATTGCTGATCGGATTATCGGTCTATAGCGTGGTGCGTGTTTTGCAGAGGAGGCATGATCGCATAGAGTTTTATTATTGCATAGTTGACAATTGTCGCCGTCCTTGCTGTGGACCTCAGTCCTACAGTGTTAATTCCAGGAGGTGAGTTCGTTGGTCTTCACAAATGAAAGTGATTCTAACTTGACTATCAGAGGAACCCCCCCTAGGAACTTGTTACTTCGAGAGCACACGCAGCGGTGCGGTCGTATACATGTTCTTGGCGATGTTCGAAAGCGGTCAGTGATTGTTCACAATCTATTGGCCTTCTTACTCATAATAATATGGCAGTGATACTGATCCTTACTATATATAAGAGGGTCCACGATTATAAAAACTTTCAGAGCGGAATTGTGGTAACCCTGTACTACGATGGCATGTTTTACATGTTGTCTATCCTCGGTATGTGGAAACAGTTGGCTCTCAAGGTGTCACTCAATGACACGTTTAAAAAAGGCATCACACTCGCCAATGTCATCATCGGAGCTGCACTTCCAGTACGCGTCTGGTCTGTTAAATCCTACGATTAGCTAACTTTCCGTCTTTTCTGCAGAGCGCCTATAGCAATATGCTTGACACGTACGTCACCGGCTGCACTCTGACCGCTAGTTGATCTGGAACCTACTGCACTAGGCTACAGCTGGTCACTCACAGCGTTCTGGCATCACGAATTCTATTCCGTCTTCGACATAACAACGAACGTGTCCACGAACCGTCCACGCCAGCAACTATGATGGAATCTATAAACTATTTAAGACCTCCGTCAATGTCGATGAGTGGGACGGCTACTACTAGTCACGTTTGAAGGAAGTTAGGTGTATGCGGAACCATCGGCCTCTGTTAAAGTGAGAAGCTTCTGCTCTTATCTAATGTACAACTCAATTCTGATAACATAGGCCAATGATACTGCGAGACCTTGGGACTGAAGGTATGAACGAAATGGCGATGCGTTCCCTTGTTTCCTCCGAGCCTGGTTGTGGTGTCAATTCTTATGCGACGTCAGGATAACTCTGCATTATGTACTTCCGCAAACCTCGTCTTGAAATCAATAGAGCATGGCCTGTCATTCAACATCACCCCAGCCATGAAATCCCAGTCATCCAGCGGCCTTGTAGGATCCAGAGTGAGCTGGAAAGCCCAAATAATAAGGGGGTTTATGGATACCTATCTGTACTAATCGAATGAGCTCGGAAGATCATGTGCGCGGAATGATGTTAGCACCTGTTTACAATGTATAGACCAGGGCATATCCTGGAAGTAAGAATTAGAGAAAGTATGACGGTGGACTGGCGCGGCTGGCAATGTGTTTGCCCCTGGCAGGCAGAAGCCAAGGATTTCTCCAGTAGCAATCATGCGATGACGATTCACCAGCAATCTGCCCTGCTTCTAGCGTATTAAAATTCTCCCAAGGCGATCATGATATTTTACAACCTATCGCGATTCGCCAGTGGCATGACCAGCCTCCAGCTGAATTGTCAATGATCGATCATGAATTATGTGCTTGATCCATTAGGTAGGCGACTCACCCATGTTGGTTACAAAGTCGACTTCCGAGTCCCCGAGTCCGACGCCTGTCACAGTAGTGTTTCGCCTGGGTTCGCCTGCCGAAGAGCCCATCGACTTGCCAAGGCCAGAGGGCCTGTTCAAAACGTTCAAGACTTGGTCTCTTTTAAGTTTTAAAGAACCAATATTATGAGCCACTCAGGGCCCGGGTGTCGGAGTTCCGGTAGACTCCGAGTCTTTCCCTCCCGACGCTCGTTCCTATAGCCTGCGGACTCGGATGTCGAGGAGTCTTGCCCGTCGATCGAAAGGCTTGAAGCTTGAAGGTCTGAATCCGAATACTATGTGATGCATCTGACATATCACTCAGCTTATATACTAATGTCAAAATTAGGAACACGTGTAAATCCTTTTCGCCACTTTCAGCTTCTTGCCTACAACTTCTTTGTAAAGCAAGTTCAACTTGAACACCCTGAACGGAAATCCGCGGGATTGCAGCTCTCTACCTCTTTCACCACGATAGTACTGGCGTCCATTGACTACCGAGGATCTTGGTGAGGGCGTATCACCAGCTCAGCCCAGTCCACCGCTGCCTCTCGACGTGCAGCCCTTCCAACCATCAGTTGCTTCTTCAAGTTGGTTCTGGTCCTTCCCTCAATTTCAGCAGCTCGGAATATGAGGATGTTAACGCTATGACACCTAGGTCTTCGCAGATTGCTGGTACACGAAGAAAGAAACTCGCGTATTCCAGTGCTGTCGAGCTCTTGTATTGGCAAGATGGTTGCACCTCAGGCAGCACATTTGGTGTCTACAGAAGCCGTCAACAGTGCGGGAAATCGGAGGAGTTTGTTTCTGCGTACGTTTTCTTGTTTTTCTTGACATCCTGGCAAGAGAATAGTGACTGTCCCACGTCCAATCACTCGATTCCGTTAATATCACAACCATATCTGGCGCCTCCATCCAACCTCGCAGGCTATTTTCTTATACACACACTACATTCAGAATTCGCTTCTTTGGCCGCAAGTTCCCTCTTAAAGCGCGAGTTGGTCACTGGGAAATACTACCTTTACTTGTTCGCGTTGAAGCTACCAAACCTATGATCGGGACGTTTGTGGTTATGGGCATAGGTGCCTAACTGATCATCCTTGTTTTTGATTAGTATTATCTTGAAGACAGATGGGTGTCCCCGTTCTGGATGTGCGGAGGCGCATAACATTTCTGTGGGTCGCCCCACATGCATTCTCCTGCTTTGTTCTAACTTACCTTCACCATGTATATCCCTTCCTCCCGCTCCTTCGATTCATCCATCAATTAAACGTGGCTAGCAAATATCCACAGTATTTGGAGGTGCTTATAGAAGCACACGAAGGGCTACACGCTGAGTAAGTGGTCTATGTGTGCCCCAGTGCTACTTACTCTCACGGAGACATGTTGAGATTGACCTAGGGAGCTCAGTACGCACTTATCTGTCCTGGGGACATACAGTGTACATGACTGAAGGGTACGTATTGTCTCTCCCTTACTTTCAGAGAACCAGTTTATACGCCATTCTATTGCCGTCCTGCTCACCTGTGACTCCCACTTAACGACCGTAATTATAGTTGATAATAGATGGGATTCGCACCTGTAAGACAAGGCGGATATAAGCGATCAGAGCCTCCTCTGATATCTCTTGAATAGCGAGGGACTTTATATAGCGCTGTAGGATTAAGAGCTAAGTGCCGCCGGCATATCGGTAAACGCCGCGACGTGTTCCTGACGTCGCTTAAGGTGCCGGACTTTCGAGTTCGCTGTGCGACACGATGAGCTCGAGTATCTCGCGATGACGTGGATGGATTGATGGCGCGTTTTGCGCAAGTGAACATTAAAATACGTAAATCAGTCATATTTGTCCATACAATGTGTTAACTATGCTATACTACTCTTCATCAGCGTGGTCATGAAGTTCCAGACGCGAGAAATCATCGGCGACACGGAGGACATCCTGCAGGCTTCTCGATGCCTCCTCTTCCACCTCCTCTTCCTGTTCCTCCTCATCCAAGTCATCTGGAGTATCCGGCACCACTGCAGATCATCTATCATTAAAAGGTGGGTGCCCTGCCAGTAGTTGTGATGGGACCTGCGCGTTGGGTGTACTGGAGCTTTCTCCAAGACCTGTATTAGTGCTCATACCTGGGGCTATGGTCCCGCTGAAGCCAGGAAGGTTCGAAATGTCATAGAGCCGCTTCAGGTGACGCGAATTAAACCGTCCTCGAACATTGCGATGTATAGCGATTTGGTTGGCGAGAGTTGGACTGACAGACTTCAACTGATCCTCGCACGCCCGCAGATATTTGTCTTCGTCTTGAATGTACGTCACTAGGCGCCGTACCTCCACATTCAAGCGCTGAATTTCCTCCCACGCCCGACACATCTTGAAATAGAGATCCATCGCTCTGCGAGCAGCAGCCGATGCCCAAGGCCGTTGAGAGATGTCTGCACGTGTGTCGCGCAAGAGGTCAAAATCAGCGAGAAACGCATATTCGACGACCTCTTCCCACTTTAGGGTTTTGCGGGCAGGGTACATCGAGCTGGCGATAGAGTTGTACGTGGTAAGTGCAGATCTAATGGCGATGGAACGAGCCTGGAGTGCTTTAGCGATATGCTTCCGTAGTTTATACCCTTACATGGTATTGGAATTAGCACGCACAAGTAAGATATAGCTATTAAAAACTCACCTGTACCCGCTCGGTTCATCTTTGTCAACTCAAATATGCGGGCAACAATCAATCCCTCGAGACGATCCAGAGCACGCTGGTATTTCCGGTTTGCCACGAGTCTTCCAACCTTCTGCCACTGCGCGTCTTCTGCCACCCAGCGTTTCTCGACCTCCAGCTTACACTCGAGTACTTGAGCGAGTTTCAGGTGCCTGTCGTAATCCTCAAGAGCGTGCCGTCGTGCACTCTCGGCTTTGCGGGTATTTTTTACCTGCCCATCGTATGATGCACCCTCGAGGTGAGATGAGTCCTGGAACGCTGTCATTGCAGCATCCAGAGCCTTCCTGTACAATTTGTGTTAGTGAGCGCGAGGCATATACCTCAAGAACTGAACTTACTTGCTCGCAGCAAGATTTGCCAGCGTTTTCCAGTATTCCATCTGCAACGTTTCGTCCGCAGGTTCTTGCGTCAGACCTTGTAGATATACCTTCTCTTCCTCCAGCCAGCGCTCGAACACAGTCTCGTCTGCGACTTTGAGATCCCGCATAAGGTTTGGTAGGGTCGTGCTACCATCATTCAGTATGTCGAGCGCTTGCCTGTAGTTGTTGTATAAAAAATCGGCTGAAAAGGATTATGTCAGCACAGATCACATTTTACAATGAGACAGCTTACATAGATTGGCATACACTTCGAAGTCATCGTTGTGTTCGAAATATGTGTCGATGGCTTGTTGTCGATGGAATATGCTGGCATAACGTAGTGCGGACGCCAATGAATTGGACTTCGAGAACGTTTGTTCACATACCTCCAGGTCCTCGAGTCCCAAACCTTTGATGTAAGTAGTAAGCGAGAAAAGTTGGCACAATCGCCTGTGCGCATGTCCGTGGAAGGCGCCGACAAGGCAAGTGTGACGCAGAGACTGTGCAAGGGGTCCAATAGAACTATTATCGAGCGTGGTCCTGAATTGACAACCGATGTCATACCCGCCACCCAAATTGCTTCCAAATACCTCCAGCAACTTCGAAACAACGGCCAACGGATACTTTGCACTGTAAAACAATTGTGAATTTATTAACAACGTACCCAAAAAAACTTACAGCTCGCCACTCTGTATCATATCTGCAATGAGCAGAGTGAATCCATGTCGGCACACGGCCACAAAAATGCCCGTCTCATCGTAAATACCCCATGCTTTCTTCGTCTTTGTATCGTCCATATTCTTCCAGCGTCCTTCACACGAGTTCTCGGCATGTATAACCTAATAGTTAGTATTAGCCGTGACCAACCCAAATCAAAGTGCCTCGTACCTCATCATCCGCAGTAGCAGAGTCCCGCGCGAACTGATCTACATAAGTGCGAGATAGATAGCGGTTGCTTGTGAGTTGCTGTCCAGTTGGAAGCTCTGAAGATGCGCCGAGAGAGTCGTCAGTATCTAGAGATCTTCGAATGACTCTTTTTAAAGAGTCGTTGCCGTCCATGGCGTAAAGCAAGCTAAAAGTCAACTTGGGTTCATCCATTAGTATGTATGTGCATGCGGGGCAGGCGTGTTTCAGGCGAAAATCGGGTGAGTCACGTTGTAATGACTCAGCTACCATGGCTGCCACGGAACGTTGAACTTGAAGATATAAGTCGAATGCAATAGAGAACTGACGAGATAAGTGTCTGTGGAATGCAACCTGCGCATGATAAGATATCAGAATATCAAAACAACTAAAACGACATACACCATGTAAGTCACAAACAGTTTTTACGAACACTTGAATTGACAATTGAGGACTCCTGAGATGTGCTACACGATATAAGTCGAGTGCTTCGGTGGTGATGCCCACGGTTGGCGATATAGGAGAACACGGCATTACGCCTTGACGGACCAGCGCAGAGCTGATGGTGGCGTCTGTTGACAAGATTCGAAGACTGACTTTCTCAGCGTCTACAATGAGCCGGACATGCCATCATCAAATCGTAAGCAAACAACAACAGATCGGATCACTTACAGAACACGTCTATCACGCTGATTGACCATTGGCCACAGTTAGAGTCACTCCCCAACCCTTCCTTCTCCAATCTCTCAAAAAAACCTCTGAAGGCGTCCTCACATTTGGTCAGACTCCACACAAGGTACGCGTCGGTCATCACAACCATCTGCTCAGCAAACGCATTGTTCCTGCGGAGGACGCGATCACGACGGGTGCGTTTATCCACGCGTTGTACACGATTGTTGCTGCTCACAAAGGTACGTCACATTTACGGTAAATACTCACCAACACTCACATTTTCCAAAAGTCTCCTAAAACCTCTCTTGCAAGGTCAGTGAACTCGCCACCAGCGTGACTGATGGCGAGTGACTCGGTCCCATTCCAGATATCGCCAAAGCTCATATCTTCGAAGTCTTCCTGGCAGTCCTCTATGGTATTGGTGTCCTCTTTTAGCGCTTCGAGAGCGCGACGCTCTTCCAAACTCATAGCTTTACAAGAGGTGAGGGTTTTTTTTAAGTATTTGAATTAACATTAAATACCTTGTAGACGTGCTTGCCGCCGCTTGTTGGAACTTGCCACTTGCTGAACCAGCTGTGTGTGTTTGAGCACCTTGGATACGCAATTGACTGGCAATCCATTCTTGTCCCTCGATGCCCCAATGTGCCGAATGGATCGCAGAGAGAGGTTTGTGCGGACTCGCTGGTGTACTCTACCATTCCGTGCCATTCAAACATTTGTGCTACTAGTACTGTAGGTCAGGTCCTATCTATTCTTCACGTGACTGATTATCTGTAGCACTCCGACCAAGTCCGAATTCACGACATCACTCCTACGATGTCGACATCATCTAGTAGCCACCCTACCCAGGGTGATCATATCCAGGATTTGCGCACTTTGCTGCAGGAGATGATACTATCAGGTGAGTGTTGTCCTCATTCAAAACTAACATGTTCACACTCAATAACAGAGTCGTCGTTTGACACCGTCACTTGGAGCCGCAAGACAACTGAAGAGTCTATCACACTGTCAAGATCATCGCTCCCGCAATCCAGATGTTCCAGCACTCGTTCTTTCCCCAAAAAAACAGTGCCCATTCCTCCTTCTACCCCACCTCGCATGTCTACCCCACCCCACCCCCAGCCTCAGGCTTTGCAAACGGTCACCCAGACACCCTGCCAAGTCACAGCAGTTCTAAAACCTAGCGATATCCGTCCTCCACGAGCTGATGAGGTACCTGAGGGATTCTGGGCGATAACAGTCGGGCAGGAAGTTGGTGTGTTCTACCGCTGGTAAGCCGAGTACCTGTTGGCGTGTGTTGAATAATTGTTGATGTTGTGGTTAGGGCTGACGTCGCTGAACGAACAAATTTCGTCAGTGGTAATGTTCAGAAAGGGTACCCATCATTTCAGCAAGCATTGACTGCATACACGGTCAAATATGACGAAGGCAGAGTCCGGGCAGTTCCACTGCCAGGTGGTCCTTTCTGGCCATCCCCTCCAGAGTCCTCACCCAACATTCCTTCACCTGTAGACTCATCTGCGAGTTCAGACTCGCATGATCTGTGGTCGCAGCTTGAGGACTTGACGGAGACAATGAGCCAACTCTAACAATTGCTACATAGTTGTTACTTAGTTTTGATTGCGTACCGTACATGTATTGGTTTGAAAAAATGAAATTGCGCAATGTATTTTACTGGCGTTTGTGTTGTGTGGCCATGTGATGTGCCTCAAGCTTAGTACTGGTAACTACCAGCGAGTTCAAGTTCATACAACCTAGTATACAATGATCTAGGAATTAATTCTACGATCCTGCAACGGTGACTAAGTGTTAGATGTACTACCAGCGCCATTAATGCAGCATTTGTCAGAATATATATTCACTAAATAGTGTAGCAGTGCAGCATGCACAGAATATCAGCATATGTTGGTCAGTGTCACTAGCACAATTGCATCACGCATCGAAACTACTTACAGTCCCGCCGTAGTCATAAACATTCCACACAACCACCACAACATTATTTCAGCTTCGGGTCAAGTATGTATGTCTGCCTCTGCCTAATAAATATTTCACTTTTTTCAATATTTTCTGATAGTGTTGTGTTCACGGGCCCGAGCCTCCGCACACCAATGTTCGATATATGTTCGCTAGTTGTAAGTGGTCATAAACGTTTCACGAAGCACCACAACATTTTTTCAGCTTCATGTTGAGCGTACATACTTGCCTCTGTCAAATAAACATTTCGCCTTGTTCAATATTTTCCAACAGCATTGCATTCACAAGCCCAAGCATCATTACACCTATGTTCGCTACATGTATGCTATGGTTCGTTATAGGTTCACTATGCTCATACGAGCCCCTTCAGTGACAAATTCCGTATTATACGGGCCACCCGACCTACATAATATCCCGTATGAGACGGGCCAGCGGATTATGGGCCCATGTTGTGTATATTCTCGATGATGACGGATGGGCCGGGACACATATTATTTCCAATGGAGACGGGTGGGCCCATGTATGCCAATGATATATATATCCTTGATGTTGACGGATGGGCCGGGGGAATATGATCATTCATGGAGATGGGTGGGCCCATCAGGGTAATATGTAGAGTAGGATATTATAGACAGCTGGGCTGAAGAGAGATGTAAGGCAAATATTGTTATATAGACGGGCGGGCCGACGGGGGTGTATTACATATATGGGTGGGCCGAGGTAGGGGAATATTACATAGATGGGTGGGCTGACACGGGGTGTATTACATATACAGGTGGGCCGACATAAAAAGTATTACATATATGGGTGGGCCGACGAAAGGGATATCAAATAGACGGGTGGGCCGAGGGTGTGATAAAATATTTATTACATAGACAGGTGGGCTGAGGTGGGGTATAATTATATAGACGGGTGGGCTAACATAGGATGTATTACATAGACAGGTGGGCCGACGTGGGGGATAATACATAGATGGGTGGGCTGACGTGGGGGAATTGTACATAGATGTTAAGACCATGCACAAAGGGTAGGACTGATTCCAAGGGGCTTGGCTTCAGCTCGTGCGCTGCGCCCCTTACCCGAGTATGTGCCCTTAACTTCAGAATGAAGTCCGGAGAAAGTCCAGTGAAGTCCGAAGGACTTCCGGAGAAGCGTGGGAAACTTCGGAAGGACTTTCCGGACGAGTGCGAGAAACTTCCGGATGAGTGCGGGAAAGTTCCGGAGGAACTTCCGGAAATTACGATGGAGTTTCGTCCTGACAGGGATATGTATAATGGCTACTCAGGACGAGTCCTGAGTAGAAGGAAACAGAGGAACGGCTGCAAGGACAAAGTCCGAAGCAGGATAGGTCCGGAGGACCGCGGGAAAGTTCCGGAGGAACTTCCGGAAACTCGGAGGAATGGAGGATCGGATGAGTGGATGAGCGGATGAGCGGAGGATCGGAGAAGCGGAGCTCCGGCCTAGGGAATTTCTCCCTAGGCCTGAGATGGATGATTACTAAGTCGGAGGAATAGAACTGTTACGAGGACTTAGTGTGAAGACTAGTGCAAGGACTAATATGTGTATGATATTCAGACTGAGGAAATACAGGAGTATCTACTGGGGTTTATATACTAGAGGCAAGTCTGTGCAGATCAGTAAGCAGAGGGGTAAGGCTATGTACGAGCATGTGGAAATGTATTAGAAAATAAGACGGATCATAGGAAATGAACTCGGAGATGAAATGAGGTACGGAAAATGAGGAAGTCTAACTCAAGAAGGAACATACAAAGGGATAAGGCACGGAAGATAGACGCGGGTCGGATCCGGATGTCCGGAGATGAATGCGTGATAGGTCTGGGTCCGGAACGCAAGGAAGATAGACGTGGGTCGGGTCCGGATGTTCGGAAGTCCGGAGACAGGTGATTACCATAAGGGGATGGGCGCTGATTTAAGGTTTGGGTTCGGACATGACAGATAGGTCGGATCCGGAGATCCGGAGATGTGGATATCAGATCTGGCGTCCGGATATCAGATGCAGGAGTACAGGGATCCGGACGGATAGAGGATTGGGTCTGGAGACATGGACAGGAGGTCCGGAGGTCCGGATGAGGCGTGGGAACGTCGTCAGATGTTGGTCCGGAATGCGGGATATGACAATAGATGGGTACATATATGGGTGAGCCTAGATACGTATAAATGTCAAATTTTCAGTGCAAAACCCCAAACCGAGATTTACCAACCCCCGAACCCCGAAATTGTGGACTGCCGGGTCTCGGGGTTCGGGGTTCGGGGGTCCCGGAACTCGGTATGTGAGACAACAAAAATATATTTCAAACACAGGTAAGTCAATGTGTTTGTCAATCAACTTGATTGTAAATTATATTTTATTAATTTCCCAAGTTCCGAGTTCCGAGCTCTGGGACCCCCAAACCCCCAAACCCGAACCCCCAAACCCGACAGTCCACAATTTCGGGGTTCGGGAGTTGGTAAAATGTGTATGGATAGATGAAAGGTTGATTTAAACATTTTTGAAAGATGTCCCATATGAAATGTTAAGTCCCGAGTTTTGAACTCTGGGTTTCGGGACTTCAGGCTTCGGGACTCGGCACTCCAGAAACCTGGAAATCGAAACTTGGGACTTGACATTTCATATGGGACATCTTTCAAAAATGTTTAGATTAACCTTTCATCTATCCATACACATTTTACCAACTCCCGAACCCCGAAATTGTGGACTGGCGGGTGTCGGGTTTCAGGGTTTGGGGGTCCCGGAGCTCGGAACTCGGAACTCGGAACTCGGAACTTGGGAGATTTGGGGAGATCAATAAAATATAATTTACAATCAAGTTGATTGACAAACACATTGACTTACCTGTGTTTGAAATATATTTTTGTTGTCTCACATACCGAGTTCCGAGTTCCGGGACCCCCGAACCCCAAAACCCAGGACCCGGCAGTCCACAATTTCGGGGTTCAGGGGTTGGTAAAATGTTTATGGATATATGAAAGGTTGATTCAAACATGTTTGAAAGATGTCTTTCATCTCAAAAATTGAGTCCCGAGTTCCGGGTAAGACATCTTTCAAACATGTTTGAATCAACCTTTTGTATATCCATAGACATTTTACCACCCCCGAACCCCAAAATTGTGGACTGCCGGGTCTCGGGTTTCGGGGTTTGGGGGTCCCGGAACTCGGGACTTGATATGTGAGACAACACAGATATCTTTCAAAAGTTTGTAAATCAAATTTATTGTAGATCAAATTTTATTGATCTCCCCAAATTTCCCAAGTCCCGAGCGCCGACCCCCGACCCCCGAGACCCGGCAGTCCACAATTTCGGGGTTCGGGGGTCCCGGAACTCGGGACTCAATATGTGAGACGACACAGATATCTTTCAAAAGTTTGTAAATCAATTTGTTTGTAAATCAAATTTATTGTAGATCACCCCCGAACCCCGAAATTGTGGACTGCCAGGTCTCAGGTTTCAGGTTTTGGGGGTCCCGGAACTCGGGACTCGATATGTGAGACGACATATCTTTCAAAAGTTTGTAAATCAATTTGTTTGTAAATCAAATTTATTGTAGATCAAATTTTATTGATCTCCCCAAATTCCCAAGTCCCGAGCACCAACCCCCGACCCCCGAGACCCGGCAGTCCACAATTTCGGGGTTCGGGAGTTGGTAAAATGTTTATGGATACACGAAAGGTTGATTCAAACATGTTTGAAAAATGTCTTTCATCTCAAAATCGAGTCCCGAGTTCCGGGTTAGTGCTGAAGCTTGAAACTTGAAATCAGTGGAAAATGAAATCTCGCAACAATGTACACATGAAGATGTTTCATTTCCTTTGACAATTCACCGAGTGTCTTGTACTAACCTGACAACACAGTCTGGGCTTCAGGCTTCAGGGCTCGGTACACGACACTCGGGGAATTGTGAAATTTCTATTTTCTTGGACATTTCACTGAGTTCCGAGTTCCGGGCGCCGAATTCCGAGTTCCGAGCGCCGAGCTCCGAGTGCCGAGTGCTGAAGCTCAAAACTTGAAATCAGTGGAAAACGAAATCTTGCAACAATGTACACATGAAAATGTTTTATTTCCTTTGACAATTCACTGAGTGTCTTGTACTAACTCAGGGAATTGTGAAATTTCTATTTCCTTAGACATTTCACTGAGTTCTGAGTTCCGAGTGCCGAGTTCCGAGTGCCGAGTTCCGAGTTCCGAGTGCCGGATGCTGAGTGCTGAAGCTTGGAACTTGAAATCAGTGGAAAACAAAATATAGCGACAATGTACACATGAAAATGTTTCATTTCCTTTGACAATTCACCGAGTGTCTTGTACTAACCTGACAACACAGTCCGGGCTTCAGGCTTTGGGTTTCAGGGCTCGGTACATGACACTCGGGGAATTGTTTATGGAAATGAAACATGTTCATGTGTACATTGTTGCGAGATTTCATTTTCCACCGATTTCAAGTTTCAAGCTTCGGCACTCAGCCACTGGTCGGTAGTCAATATAGGCAAATGGTAATGAAAAATGAAAGTTGTTATTACGCTTAACTTCCTTACCGAAGGTTGTAGTCCGAGTCTAGGGGAGTGTATTGGTAGTCTTTTCTTGTCCATCAGTTATCATTTAACCGAGATATAAGCTAAAGAAATCTGAAACATCAGCAATAATGAAAAATGAAAGTTATTATTATGTTTAAGTTCCTGAACAAAAATTGTAGTCCGAGCCAAGGTGAGTGTATTGGTAGTTTTTTCTTGTCAATTGGTTATCTCTTTCCTCGGTACTCGGTACAAGGGAATCAGTACTTGGTATTTGGTTCTGATACTCAATACCCGAGAATCAGTAGTCAGGTACTCGGTACTCAGTTCTGATACTTGGTACCCGAGAATCAGTAGTCAGGTACTCAGTACTTGGTTCTAATTCTCGGTACCTGTGAATCAATAGTTGGGTACTCCAGCCAATAGTCCTGAGTCCCAAGTACTGATACTTGCTATTCAGTAGTCAGGTTTGGAACTTGGGTCTTGGTTTGGTTATCATTTGACTGAGATATTGGTAGGCAATATTGGCACTCGGAGCTCGAATACTGACTATCAACTATCAAGTGTCAGGACTTGGTAATCGGTAGTTGAGACTTGGTGCTTAAATGGATATTGCATATATACATAAAAATACAAAATATGTTCCTATGTGTTCATTTCTAGGTGAATAGACTTTGAAATTATATCTCAATCATCTATTCAACAATAGAAACAATGTATCAGGAGCTCAGGACCATAGGGTAATCCTTTATTGTATAGTGTACCTCCCCCTCTTCTGGTGGTTCACCTGCTGGGGTTTTTTCCCTGTAGGACTGGACCTCAAGGACTGTAGGGAGTCTATTCCTGAGCATATTCGGAGTAGATATATCATATAACCAGCCCAGGACACACAGGATCCTTTTCCAGGAACAAAGCATAGACAATTGCACTTGTGACATTTTTTCACGATTTTCAGTATCTTGCCCTTGCATCCATGATCCAACCTTTTAATATATAATGAGCATAGCTTATATTCTTGCTTCTTATGACCAAGATCAGCTCACAATAGGCTGGAGTTTGTGAGCTAGTGTGTATACTTGCCATTTCACCTGATAAGGGGCCCATGCCTTCAAAACATTGAATCTTCATAATCAGAAACCTGGGGTACATTTCAAATATCTTAAGTATCATAGACATAAATTTACAGACAAATCAACCAAGAATTGAGTACTGAGGAAGTGAAATGGGTAAGAAATTGAGTGTGGGAAACTTCAAAGACCCAAAGCATCGAAAATGGTTAGTTGAGCAGTGGTAGGACTTTAATGCTGGGTCAACTCATATTTTCACTATATCCCTTCTACCCACCCCCTACCCTCAGGGCAGTAGGCAGTATGGGTTCCTTGGGTAGTTTACGATCTATCCTACATATTTGTAATGATATTTTCAGCCTGAATCATATATAAATGTGACTTTGTATAAAAGATGTCTATTGTCACTCTCCACACATATGTCATTTTGCCTATCATTACATCAATCCTTCATGAATCTTTCTAAGCTTTTAAGCTATTATAATGGATGTATATGGGTGTTATTCCAGGTCTCTGATCACATCACAGGCTTGTTATGTTGGATATCTCGACATAATGTGCAAGTCTCACTATTAATATTCATTCTTTTATCTTTAGACTCACTTACTGCACACATGTATTTCATTTGTCATTATTGATGTTTCGGATTTCTTTAGCTTATATCTCGGTCACCTGGTAACCAATGGACAAGAAAAGACTACAAATAAACTCACCTAGACTCAGACTACAACCTTCATTAAGCTGACTACTGATTCCCGGGTACCGAGTATCAAAACCAAATACTGAGTACCAATTACCATGTACCGAGTACTGCATAATGAGTAACAAGATAACCAATTGACAAGAAAAGACTATCACTACACTCACCTGGACTTGGACTACAACCTTCGGTAAGGAAGTTAAGCATAATAACAACTTTCATTTTTTCATTATTGCTGATGTTTTGCCGAATGACAAGGAAAGACTACCAAGACACTCACCTTGATGTGGACTACAACTGTCATTTTTCATTATCATTTGCCTATATTGACTACCGAGTCTCGAGTACCGACCACTGACCACCGATCATCGAGTACCGAGTACCGAGTGCTGACAAATACAATTCCCAAGTTATTTGAACCCTACACCAATGGATAATACATACAAATACAATTTGTGTCCATTTGAAGTACCGGGTTTCAGGTTTCGACACTCAACACTTGGTGATTTGTGCAATGAGTGAAAAATGGACATGTTGTGTACATGATTTTGGGTTTCGGGCTTCGGGTTTCGGCCCTCGGAACTCGGAACTCGATGATCTGTGTAATGTAAATGAACAATGAACATGTTGCACACCAGGTTTCGAGTTTTGGGTTTCGGCACTTGAAACTCAGTGATTTGTGCAACAAGTGAAAAATGGAAATGTTATATACATATTTTCGGGTCTCGGGCTTCGGGTTTCGGCACTTGGCACTTGGCACTTGGTTATTTGTGTGATATAAATGAAAAATCAACATGTTGCACACTGGGTTTCAAGTTTCATGCTTTGGCACTCGAAACTCGGTGATTTGTGCAGTGAGTGAAAAATGGACATGTTGTGTACATATTTTCGGGTCTCGGGCTTCGGGTCTCAGCCCTCGGCACTCGGAACTCGATGATTTGTGTGATATAAATGAAAAATCAACATGTTGCACACTGGGTTTTAAGTTTCACGCTTTGGCAGAACTCGAAGCTGTTGATTTAGATATCACCCGAAACCCGAACACCTGAATGTCAAATTTTCAGTGCCGAACCCCGAACCCCGAGTGCCGGTGCCGGGTGCCGAGTCCCGAAGCCCGGAACTCAGGATTTAACATTTGAGACGAATGAAAATTTTCAGACATGTTTGAATTAACCTACATATATCTATAAACATTTCACTAACCCCCGAACCCCGAAAGATATTTTTGTTGTCTTACATACCGAGTTCCGAGTTCCCAAACCCCCGAACCCCGAAACCCAGCAGTCCACAATTTCGGGGTTCGGGGGTTGGTAAAATGTGTATGGATATATGAAAGGTTGATTTAAAACCCCCAAACCCCGAAATTGTGGACTGTGTGCAGTGAGCAAAAAATGGACATGTTGTGCACATATTTTCGGGGTTCGGGGTTCGGGTTTCGGCCCTCGGCCCTCGGAACTCAATGACTTGTGTAATATAATTGAAAAATGGACATGTTGCACACCCGGTTTTGAGTTTTGGGTTTCGGCACTTGAAACTCAGTGATTTGTGCAACAAGTGAAAAATGGAAATGTTGCATACATATTTTCGGGTCTCGGGCTTCGGGTCTCGGCCCTCGGCACTCGGAACTCGATGATTTGTGTAATATAAATGAAAAATGGACATGTTGCACACCGGGTTTCGAGTTTCAGGTTTTGGCACTCAAAACTCGGTGATTTGTGCAACAAGTGAAAAATGGACATGTTGCGCACATATTTTCGGGGTTCGGGGTTCGGGTCTCGGCCCTCGGCACCCGCAACTCGATGATTTGTGGAATGTAAATGAAAAATGGACATGTTGCATGCTGGGTTTCGAGTTTTGGGTTTCGGCACTCAAAACTCGGTGATTTGTGCAATGAGTGAAAAATGGACATGTTGTGTACATATTTTCGGGTCTCGGGCTTCGGGTTTCGGCCCTCGGCACTCGGACCTCGATGATCTGTGTAATATAAATGAAAAATCAACATGTTGCATGCCGGGTTTCAAGTTTCAGGTTTTGGCACTCAAAACTCAGTGATGTGTGCAACAAGTGAAAAATGGACATGTTGCATACATATTTTCGGGGTTCGGGGTTCGGGTCTTGGCCCTCGGCACTCGGAACTCGATGATTTGTGTGATATAAATGAAAAATCAACATGTTGCACACTGGGTTTCAAGTTTCATGCTTTGGCACTCGAAACTCGGTGATTTGTGCAGTGAGTGAAAAATGGACATGTTGTGTACATATTTTCGGGTCTCGGGCTTCGGGTTTCGGCACTTGGCACTTGGCACTTGGCACTTGGTTATTTGTGTGATATAAATGAAAAATCAACATGTTGCACACTGGGTTTCAAGTTTCATGCTTTGGCACTTGAAACTCGGTGATTTGTGCAGTGAGTGAAAAATGGACATGTTGCGCACATATTTTCGGGGTCCGGGGTTCGGATTTCGGCCCTCGGAACTCGGAACTCAATGACTTGTGTAATATAATTGAACAATGGACATGATGCACACTGGGTTTTGGGTTTCGGCACTCGAAACTCGGTGATATGTGCAATGAGTAAGAAATGGACATGTTCCATACATATTTTCGGGTTTCGGCACTCAACACTCAGAACTCGATGATCTGTGTAATGTAAATGAACAATCGACGTGTTGCACACCGGGTTTCGAGTTTTGGGTTTCGGCACTCGAAACTCGGTGATTTGTGCAGTGAGTGAAAAATGGACATGTTGAACAATGGGTTTCAGGGTCTCGGGTTTGAAAAATAGCATAATAACAACTTTCATGTTTTCATTATCATTTGCCTATATTGACTACCGAGTCCGATAAGGGACCCCTTGGATGATCCATTGCTCAATGAAATACTACCTGATTGGAAGTGTGCTGGTTATCAGATATTCATTTGTCGACTCCCGGGTCCTGGAACTCAGAAGTCGGTACAGTTGACCCAAATTTGGGTGGTCGGAACTTGGCGTCTCATAGGGCAACACAAGCTTTGCACCCCGGATTCCAAATTCTGCAAGACAACCTGTCCACCATCAAAGGCCATGTCAGGAGATCACCTGCTGCTCCGGGAACTCGGTAACTTTGATTTATTACCTCCTCTGATTTGGTTGATGTACAACTACCTCAGCTCCATCATGTCTACAATTATGATACACATGGGCCCACCCATCTAATACAACATCCCATACAACACCCTCGGCCCACCCGTCTAATTAATATGCGTCTGGGCCTACCCGTCTAATACAATATTTTATAATACCCTCGGCCCACCCGTCTAATTTAATATGTGTCTGGGCCCACCCGTGAATGTGATAACAAGTACCTACCCATCTATCTCATACACATCTACCTTAATACACCCATCTGCATAATATCCAACTACCTCGGCCCACCCGTCTACCTAATATTCATATACATCGGCCCACTCATCTACTCTATATATTCCCTGCATGGGCCCACCCGCCTCCATCAGGAATAATTTCCCTCCCGGCCCATCTGTCATAGTCGAGGATATTTTTATCATGGGCCCATGGTCCGCTGGCCCATATCATACGGGATATTATGCATGTCCGTTCCCTCGTATTATACGGAGATAGGTCACTGTAATATGTGCTCATACTATGTTCGCCATGCGTTCGCTATAGTGGATGGTGTATAATGATATTAAAACTTATCAAAGTCAAGTGCGCATGTTGATCCTGCCAGTGGTGATGAATTGAATACTATAATCAGTCTACAGTATCGATGTATCTAGTTTAACCTCGATGAATTTTATCTCTGACATCAGGGAGACGAGCAAATCGTACAATAGAATGCTGTCGTACTTGAGGCGCTGCCTGCAATAAGGGCAGTTGGTGTGTACAACCTCCCGGATACTATCCAAAATCATCCTCCCCTCTGAAACATGCTGCGCACATTGATCCAAGAAAATATTAGCCTCACGTCCCCCCTTCGCCTCAGCATGCGCGAGCGCTTCCTCATATGCTTCACCCCACGTGTCTTCTGCTGATAATAACCATTCCATTCGCCACATCCGGACCTGAATCTCAATGTTATCCAGCGTTTGAGGGTTGCAGGTGCAGGGCAGATCGTTTTCCATCGTGAGCACTGAATCATCGTTGGCGTCCCAACTGTCATCGCGGGCGTCCCAACTGTCATTGCGGGACAGTTCTTCACACACTGACTGTGGGTCTTCGCAGCCATCATCAAGTAGCGATGATGTGACAGGTGCCTTTTGCTCTTCAGCGAGTTTTTTATTCTTCCTGTGGATCTATTGAGTGACTGACACCCGAGGTACATAAACGAGTCCTACCTTGCCCTATTGCTAAAAAAAAACACGTGAGCATGCACAATAGAATTGCATGAGGGACGAACTCACAGAGCTACTCGAGCACGAGCTTTGGCGTTTTGGGCTTCTCGAACTCTGCGCAGCGTTGTGAGCAGATTTTTCAGCGACTCGAACAGATTGACCTACCCTGGCTTGGAAAGCCAATGTTGTGTAGCCACATGCTGCCTGGATGATGAGCTACGAGATCTCCCCCGAGTCGAATGTCCCTTTGAATACATAAGTTAGACAGGAAGATTCAATGAGAAGAATCGTGCTTACCATAGTTCGGCGGGAAAGAGTAAGAGACAACCTACCATCAGATATCGACAGCTGGCGATGATCGAGATATGTTCTGGCATCAAAATTCATTGATGGGCAAATATTTATCAAGGTACATGCCAATCTGATTAATGAGCCGGGTCAATGTAGCTAGGAAACAAAGAACTCGTACATTTGAATATGTTTGCCGAGGCTACCAGAGACAGACCAAAGAGCACGGCAGGAGTTCACTGTGATAGACTTGTATCTGTACATCTCCTCTGAGTCCTCTCTCTCGTTCTCGTTCTCCTCCTTGTCTTCCCTTATCCTGCTCTCGTCCATCGTCCGTATTCGTCTGAGCCACGTCAGCAGTTGCTGACGTGTGCTGGGCGTTTGCGCGTGGTGTTCGTGGTGTTGGGAACAGCATGGTGGAGCTTGGACATTGATTCAACATGTGGGCCACGGCTTGCATGGGCTTAAGCCCCGGCTTTGGGCCGGCTTGGGCTCACGGCTCAGGCTTAAAATCTGGTGAGCCTAAGCCCCCCCCCAGGCCGAGCCTAAGCCGGGGCTTTGAGCCCAAGCCGGGCCAGAACATCACTACGCAGGCGATAGAGTGGTCCAGTAGCACATTCGAGCCTTGAGTGCATCCCGAAGTCTACGAATGTCACCCACGGTGCCGATATTTGAAGGGCTGGTGAAGTTAACACCCTGGGGCCATCCTACAAGGCGTACCCCATAGGTTTCGACGATGGCTGTTTCGTAGTTGCTGTAGTTCATCATGATATCTTTTTTGCCGGTTACTGAGACTGTAAATGATGTTAGATTGAAACAGCAAGTGCAAGCAATGTCATTACTCACCCAGCCCGCGGAGGATCATTTTCCGTACCTGCTTCCATACGGCCTCCAAAGAGTCACGTTCATTGAGATCTGTAGCACAGTGAACAAAGATACAAAGATAATGTGAATCAGAAGGACTTACTTTGATCCTGCGTGCATGCCCATTGTTCATATTGCCTGAGAAAGTCAGCCATGGGGTGCTCATACACATCCTCCCAAAAATCTTCAGAATTATCCGTGCCGTGCATCGTGCTTTGAATGGTGTCGTTGATGTGACCGCGGACGACAAATAGCGTTCCATAGACTCCGGTCCGAACTTGCAGATCATCTAGCTGCAAAGAAAAAAGATGAATTCAGTTGATTCCTGTTAAGATTCAAACTTACCTCTTTGACGATCCTATCCGTCGTGGCTACAACATCTCGCGCAGCTGCCTGATTATTTGCCCGAACACTGACACCTTTTCTTTCACGATGCTCCTCAAGCGCTGCAATGTAAGCTTCCTTCTGTTCCCTCATCAGGTCTTTTGTTTCGGGGTCAGTGATGACCATCTCACGGAGTTCGGCCATTGAGTATCGAGAGCCTGTGGGTCGATCTAGTTGAGACAAGATAAGTTTCGTGACTCCATTGAGTTAAAAAATATTCGACTTACCCGCATTCATCTCTTTTGCCTTGGCATGAATAAGTGCGTGGATCAATTGACTCTTGCGTGAGGTGCGATAATGCGTGTGATTGCTGATGATGTCATTGATTTGCTTCGGAGTAACGTGATGAGCGAGTGCGAGTGCTTCAATCTGTGTCTTCTGTGTGTCCAGATATCCAGCAACTGCATCATGTAAGCGTTTCGTTCTCTCAATCTTCTGATCCCTCTTAATCTTTCGAGATGCCTTTTGTGCATCTGTTAGTTGAGGTGGTGGCGTCCGAGGGCGGATAATTGCTCGTGTTGGGTTCCGCGCTGCCCAGGAGGACATGTTTGCCTCACGGAGTGACTTCAGCATCTCTCCACTCGTGTCCGGCACCTCTCTTTCGGTAGGACTCCATGAGCCATCATCATGACTTGAAGTTCCAAAATGTTGAGGTGACGGTGTGCGAGCAGGGGGGAGCTCTGGAAGGGTTGGGATATCTGTTTGAATGTTCGTGGCTGGTATGTCGTGGGTAAGAGCTTCGATTTCGTCCCTAGTAAGCTGCATCGTGTATAGGGATGGGTCGTCCCAGTTGATCCTGTTGATTGAATGAAAATTGCCATTGACATCGAAATTGTCGACTCCATAGAGGCCACTTATACTGGGGGCTGTAGGTAGAAAATACGTGGGCACAGATACAACTTCAAATTTTGGCGGATGGTACAGATGAAACAATACACACCGCATCGCATGCGTCCTGCCATTTCACGCCATTTTGTCAAAAAAAAATTCGCATAGATCGGTGTAAGATCTTGAACTCGGCAAGTACATATTAGTGAAGGCACGAATGCTGATCGAGACATACCTTCAATATTAACGGTAGTATGAGGGAGGGATGCAACAGATTCATCTATGTTAATACTGGTACAATGAAGGAGGGAGGTAATTGATTTATCGATGTTAATGCCAGTTTGATGAGCGAGGTTGACAATGTAGAAGTTGGTTTGATGAGTGAGGAGCAGTGGGATCGGCAAAATATTTATCAAGGTACATGCCAATCTGATTAATGAGCCGGGTCAATGTAGCTAGGAAACAAAGAACTCGTACATTTGAATATGTTTGCCGAGGCTACCAGAGACAGACCAAAGAGCACGGCAGGAGTTCACTGTGATAGACTTGTATCTGTAGAAATGTCACAAGCCAGGTCAATGAGATGCGAACGTTCCGCATACCTTTTGATATATTCATCTAGACAAACACTATTCTCCCCTGCGACCCCCATTGCAGAGTCCAAATGCCAACCGCTATCCTGTTCACACTAATTAGGGATCCGCACGGGTATACCCTGGGGTGTCGGGGACCTGACCCGCACCCGCACCCGGCAAAAACCCGTACCCGCTCTGACGGGTACGGGTTTTCGGCGGGTACAACAAGCTCAGACCCGTACCCGCACCCGTGCAGGGTTTACCCGCGGGTACCATAGGTATCACCACCAGTGCTTAGCACATATGTCCAGCACACGTCAGCGAATGCTGACGTGACTCGAACATATGTGGATGGCACAAGAAGGAGGAGTGGAGGCACGGTCGAGGATGGTGGCGTCGGCATCGTGGATGGTGGCGTTGGCGTCGTGGATGGTGGCGTTGGCGTGAAAGCTGGTGGTGGTGCGAGTGCTGGGCGCACAAAGATAGGCGCTGGCGACGTGACGCGTATGATGTCGTTGTTGTTGCTGGGGGTAGAGTCTTCAATGTGAGTACTCACTTTCAGCGTGCCCAAAGTCTCGTCTCCTCGAGTTCCTCTTTCCTCCTTCATCTCTATACCATCCCTTCTCCCTTCCTCGATTCTCTTGTCCTTTCGTCTTCGCGTGTCGTCCGCGTGTGTTTGCATCGCGTCAACACTTGTTGACGTGTTTCGGGCGCGCGCGCTGTGAACGTGGAGTTGGTGGACTTGGGAAGGCGCGTTAGGTGCCGGTGTTGGTGGTGGTGCCGGTTGTAGCGTGCACGCGGGAAGTATGGCGTCCGCTATTACTGATGCAGGAGGTGCTACCATTTATGGAAGGCACGGGTATAGCTGGGGTACGGGTAAGAGCGCGGGTCTTAGAATCCCGACCCGTACCCGTACCCCAGTAGTACCCGTACCCGTGACCCGCGCGGGTTACCCGTACCCGTGCAGATCCCTAACACTAATTGACTTAATGTCTAGAGGGCTGAGGGAAGACCGCTTGAAGCAGGCCACACGCAGTGGCTCAAACTTGGACCAACAACTGAGATTAGTAAGCACATTCTACCTCTGACAGTTTCCAGTTGACCTCGAGTGGTGTAATGGGAATAAGAGTGATATCAAACGTCTGGTCTGGCGTGGTGATATCCAGTTCAGAGATGCCGGGAGTTGGCACCTGAAGATTCTGGATATCTGTTTGAAGCTGATGCACGAAGCGCAGAACAATCAGCCTCAGAACGCGAACCGTAATTGATACTCACAAGCACGACATCACAGTCACCACCTTCAACGCGAGATCGAATGCGCTACACGCTTCCCAGACCGCCCCAGTGCATTTCTCGTTGTAATAGATGTTGCCGGCAGCGTTGCGTAGCTTGTTTGTGGTGTTCAGGAGGGCCTTGCGCTCTGTGGCACAGCTGGAAAAGAAGTTCTCAGTCGACGCATATCGCAGAGACGTTGCGACTTACATAGTAGAGCCTGTCAGTGCATAAGGTGAGGTGTTGTTGATGAGTTCCAGAGTCTGCTCATAATTCGCGTCGTCGTACACATAAACCTGGAAAGTTGTTAGTACATCTGGCCACATTTGCGAATGAAAAACCATTACAGTGATGACAGGACCAAAGATTTCTTCTTTCATCATGATGTACCAAAGCCGCGGCTTGGGCCGCCGGCTTAGGCTTTTCTCAATCCAAGCCCAGGCCTAAGCCCTGCTCAGGCCATGACTTAGGCCTGGGCTGGGCCCGGCCTATTTGGGCCCGGCTTGGGCCGGCCCAGGGCTTCAAGCCGGGCCTTGCACATCACTACGCCTGCGGAAGTCAAGGCTCACACAGCTGAACTTGATGCGCGCCGGTCAGCTGGGGAGGTGGTTCGCAAGCTGCGAAAGAAGCGTTCGGATGCTGGAGTAGCTCGGAAGCGCAAGGTTCCGCCCACAACAAACAAGGAGAATGCAAGGTCATCGAAGAGAACAAAGGTGACCTCCGCTCAGCTTCGGGACGCCCCCAAAAGTGCTGAATTCGTAGAGTCGTCTAACGAGGATGAATAGTAGTATTACATAGCCTTACTCTAGTTTACGTATTTTAATGTTCACTTGCGCAAAACGCACCATCAATCCATCCACGTCATCGCGAGATACTCGAGCTCATCGTGTCGCACAGCGAACTCGAAAGTCCGGCACCTTAAGCGACGTCAGGAACACGTCGCGGCGTTTACCGATATGCCGGCGGCACTTAGCTCTTAATCCTACAGCGCTATATAAAGTCCCTCGCTATTCAAGAGATATCAGAGGAGGCTCTGATCGCTTATATCCGCCTTGTCTTACAGGTGCGAATCCCATCTATTATCAACTATAATTACGGTCGTTAAGTGGGAGTCACAGGTGGTCCTGCTCAAATCAATTTCTAAGGAATACGTATTCGACTCAATTTGATTAGGCGGCCTTCACATAGATCTGGCTCGCAGTGCAGAGAACCTGAAATTCTTTTTATCAGCAAGAGCTTTGATGAATTCATATTTCACTCACCTCGCCAGTGTACACGTTATCGCAGTTGCTGTTCACGTTTGGGTTGTTTGTGAGCAAAGTGCTGATCGGGATGCCAGCCGCATCGGCAACGCTTTGGCACGTGTCGCCGGCCCCCATAACATGGGTAACATCACAATCCTGGCCGCTGAGTCCAAGGCATATGATCTATGAGGATGAGTTCAAGTGTTTTTCAAACGTCGAAATGCCTTACTTGTCCGATAAACAAATTATCACAACCGGGGTCAATGGTTCCCTCGTTGGCTGCCGTCAGCTGGTATCTGCGACATACGTTCGATGAGCAAGCGAATGGAAGGCACCTGGTTGTACGTACGTTGAAACGCTCTGTACTGCGGAGATCCCGTCACATGTATCCATAGCTCGAACAGTTACATTGCGGTCACAATTGGTGGGGAGGATACCTAGACGTTTTGCTGTCATAAATGTGGGTATCATCGAAACTCGAAGGATTACTGACTCTGAGCAGACACAACTGAGGCAATGGCAGCGAGCGCAACGAGTCCGGCGGTGAAGAATGAAGCGTGCATATTGTTCAGGTGAGGAGATTTAGAAACAGGCGAGTAATGTCTGATGCCTTTAAGCCGACTTTTCTAGCTGCCTTTATACACTTGAAGGACGAACACCAGTCAGCGAGTCTGACGGTGTCTGACGGCCAGCCTTTGCCGTTTTTTTGAGTCGCCATGACTTGGCATGCTTGGACTGTGAGTAAATGGACACCATCATATATGGCACGCACGGCATTCACGGAGGAATATGAGTCTGATCTGACGTGTTCAATAGACTTGGTGAAAATTTACTCGTGTAGCTTAATATGACACGTCGTATCATTACCTACCCGGTAGATCTAATTTAAAAGTGGACAGCCTTGGGGTGATCCGGGGATGAATGCTGGGGGTGGACAACGGAGAGGGCTGGAAAAAGATGTACTAGAAGGAACTGGCAAAACTTGATAGGGCTATGTAGACTATACAAGATTTAAATCTAATGGAGTCATCGATCGAGTCGCCTCCTCCCATCCATGATGCATTCAATACTTGCTGTGACATGTGACAAGAGAGAGATGTGAATTACCATATTAGTATTATATGTTATGTGCTTCTTTCTTTCCGATCTTTGAATGCATCGCATTGCAATTGCACGAAATGCGCATCACAACGTTTTCACATCGACCAACTTCACAAACACGCAAACTTCGTATAGCAACACTACGTCATCTTCCGACTCGGACTCGGACTCGGACTCGGAGTTCTACTACCCACCTTGCTTAGAGTTGCTTTGACAACCAACTTAAGGGACTGCAGCAACTTGAATTACCAGTAGCTGATGGGGATCCCCTTCCAGATAGCGGTTCTCGGCTTCTGCCACAGTCTCAATTTCAGCATGTGTTTTCACTCTCCGTGCTTTTCCTGTTCACAAAAACATCTTTAGGGTGTAGATCATCTTCATGAAAACCAACATGCCTCCTCTCAATTATGTTGACCACATACCACACGAATTTGCTGCTAGACCAGTGTGATAAGGGATATCATTTTCTTTCGTTTTATTTACTATTAACTGATCGAGTTTTTTTTTTCAGAAGTACGACGATAAAGCAACTAAATTAGTGCGTCCATTGCTGCCCAACCGTAACCTATCTATATCATCCACCATAGTCATGTGTCAGTTTCCCACTGCTACCAAGAGTACTCATCGACTCGCCGACTCAGGGCCTGCTCAGTGCAATCAAGTCTTGGTTCTCTTTCGAAGAAACTTTCTACAGCTTTTTGATACACCGCACGACCCACCCGGGTATCCTCATTTGCCATCCGAGCCCTTCCCTCCCTGAGCCATCCCCATAGTGACTCTGCCCTGCGGACTCGTGTTCGTTCCCGAGTAAGGAGTCTTGCATATCGATCGAAAGACTTGAAGGTCTGAATCCGAATACTATGTGATGCATTTGACATATCGCTCAGCCTACTATGTACTAATGTCAAAATTAGGAACATCTGCAATTCCTTTTCGCCACTTTCAGCTTATCGACTCAATTTGATTAGGTGGCCTTCACGTAGATCTTTTTCGAAGTACAGAGAACCTGAAATCCTTTTATCAGCAATCGTTCCGATAAATCACATTCTATTCACCTCGCCAGGATATATGCTACTGCAGTCGGAGCCTACGTTCGGGTTGTTCGTGAGCAACGTCTTTTCCGGGATGCCAACCGCATCGGCAATGCTATGGCACGTTTCGCCGCCCTTCACAACATGCGTAACCTTGCAATCATGACCTTTGATTCCAAGGCATATAACCTATGACGATGAGTTCAAGTGTTTTTCGAGCATAAAAATATCTTACTTCTCCGATACCCAAATTATCGCAACCGCGGTCAATGGTTTTGCTGTTGACTTCCGCCAGCTGGTATCTGTCGCATACATTCGATGAAAAAGTGAACGGAAAACACCTGATTGTACGTACGTGGAAACATTATGTGCTGCGGAGATTTTGTCACATGTATCTCCAGCATGAACAGTTACATTGCGGTCACAACCATCGGGAAGGAGACCTAGACGTATCATAAATATTGGCATAATCGAATCTCGAAGTATCACTGACTCTGAGCAGAAACAACCAAGGAAATGGCAGCAAGCACAACGAGTCTGGCGGCAAAGAATGAAGCGTGCATGCTGTTCAGGTGATGAGGTTCAAAAGGCGAGTGGTATTTGATGCCTTTATTCCAACTTTTCTAGCTGCCTTTATACACTCGGAGGACGAATATTGGTCGGCGAGTCTGACTGCCAGCGTTTGCCGTTCGTTCGAGTCGTCGTGACTCAACTGTGAGTAAATGGACACGATAATACGGCACGCGTGGCATTAATGGAGGAATGAGGAGTCTGGTCTTCGTGTATCCTAATGACACGTCGTGGCAAAATCAAATCAATGTAAATGTGCTACAATGTGCCACATGGTAGGCAAAATATTGTCGCATTTCTCCAACTTGAATATGATTGTCACCTGCGGTAAATCATTTCTTGAACCTCCTGTTTTGCGACTTGCTGTCCCCTGTGAAAGGCCGTCTGCAGCCTGGCCACCGCCAGCACTTGGCCAGCACCATCTAACTTCAGGCAGTCGACAGTCGGTTTTCTTGCTTCGTCACATTCCATCGTCTCCGTTGCTCTACCTTGTCGTAGGCGAGTATTCATAATCGATTACGCCCAATATCTTCAGCAATTCAAAGACTAGCTTCTGTGGTCCCGTACAAGAGAACTCGTTTGTTGCTGGTATAGGGGGAAGAACTAATTGGGGTTAGTTCTGTCAGTTACAACCGGCAGAATTGGCAAAACTCTCGGCTATGTTACAGTAGATGACATCAATGTTGCCTCGTCCCATGCATCCGTCATCCTCGCCAATATTGTAATCAACTGCCTGGACCCCATCTAGAATAGTCTGCGGTATCATTCCTTGTCCAACCTGATCCAACTCGTCAGAATCAAAAGCATTCAACCAAAAGTGTATCGTGTCACATAGCACGTGCTGATAGTCACTGCGCGTTCGTCACAAAGGAAGGCGCAACTTTGTTTGAGCCACTAATCATCATGTATATTAATATCGTTGGTCTCTGCGCTTGACAGAGACCTCTTGTATCAACATGCCTCCGAAATACCCTAAAATCTCAGGTACGTTCTCTCTCTTATTGGGTCAGGTTCACAAGTGACATGATTGCAGGTTATGAACTCATTCAACAAATCGGTGGAGGTACCTTCTCGACCGTGTTTAGAGCCGTCAACATAGAGAGCCATCAAGTGGCAGCATGCAAAGTGATATTTATCAAGGAACAGACTACCGAGAAGGAACGCCAGGTTGTCGAGAAGGAGATGAAAATTCACAAGCACCTCAAGCACACGCATGTCCTGGAGTTTCTACATGCTGCCGTGGTGGAGCGCAAATATAAAGATTGCTATATCCCTGGAATGTACATGCTACTAGAGCTTGCTGCAGGAGGAGACCTCTTCGATAAGATTGGTGCGTTTCGTTGACCGATCATGTATCCGATCATTAACTCACAAGTTCAACTCATCAGCGCCGGATGTTGGGATTGGAGAGGATGTGGCACACTACTATTTCGGCCAGCTACTGGCAGGGATGGTGAGATACCAACACTGATCATCCACATTCAAGTGAGACGAAACGTTTTCGAATCATAGGACTTTATTCATCGCGAAGGAGTTTGCCACCGTGATCTGAAACCGGAAAATGTCTTGCTTGATGCAGCTGGTACCCTCAAGATATCAGACTTTGGCCTCGCAGCAGTCTATAAACTCAAGGAAAGCGGCAAGACAAGGCAATTGAACGGATTATGTGGCAGCTTGCCGTACATGGCCCCGGAAGTGCGTCATATTTACACATTTTCGGATAGCGCTCACAATATGATTCCAGGTTCACTACCAAACACCGTATGAAGCAGAGCCCATTGATGTTTGGGGGATTGGTATAATTCTTTTCACACTTCTCGTAGGAAGTCTGTCAAAACTCCAATCATTTTCATAAACTCGTAGATTAACGTCCCTCCCAGATACCCCTTGGGATCAATCCACAGCACAATCGTCAGAGTTTTGTCAGTATATCACGGGCGAGTTATTCAACGAGCCCCCTTGGAATCGTTTAGAAGAAGAAGCCCTATGTAAGCAGGATCATGCGCTTTCGTGATCATGCGCGCTGATATGCCCACCAGCACTTCTCTGTGGTCTGCTAACCATCGAGCCAGAGGGCCGTATGACACTCGCTGAAGTATTCGCTCACCCGTGGTGCAGAAGACCAAGTCAAATTGCGAAGCAAGGGGTTGTCACGCTTGCAGACCACTTGACTGAGTCTTTGAGGGCGAACGGTGATCTGAACTATGCGATGCCGGATATTCTTACGTACGTTTCCAGGATTATCATCATGAGACCGATATTCAGTGTCATATGTAGCGAAACTCGCAAAGATAAAGATGGAGACGATATCATGCTCTCTGCAACTCATCAATCCCAGTTCACCCAATCACTTCTACTATTCGTATGTCTCCCATGGACGCATCTCAGTTCCATTTTGAATCCGTTGTTTTCTTCAGTCACAGACACAGTCAGGTCGCAGATATACACCTAGCCTTACTCGCTTTTATACTTCTCTTGGGCCAGGGATCATGATGCAACTCATAAAGGAATCCTTGACTGCCCTCGGTGTCAAACACAAAGACGGACCTACCGGTGAGGACGAACGAGGGGAGATCCTTCGGTTGCGCGTAGGCGGGTATGACAAGCGGAATATCGCATTCAAAGGCTGGGTCGAGCTCGAGAACTTCTGCTACGATGAAACTGACGGAAGCTTCTGCTTGATGACTCGCGACCTCGTAGGTTTTGTTTCATTCTTGGTTTCTGGATGCAAGCTCATGGAGCCACAGGGGAATCCTATTTCGTGGCGCCAGTTGTGGAAATCACTAATTTTGTCACCAGCTGTAGATCCTCATGTGCTCCGCAAATGACCACATTAGCACTGTGATATGACACTCAACACTCCTTTGTTAGCCTATATGCTGGTTTTTGGATATCTTCACGAGCTTCCCTCTTGCTGCCTTGTATGCGATCTAATTGAACACTTCCGTATGCCCTATACCAAGAGACGATCTGTTTAGTTGAAATTCGTGGTTTACTTTCCTAGAGTCCCATTGCAATTCAATTGTAGTTCGTCGATTTAAGCCTTGTTGCCGCTCTAGCATCTCAATATGACTGAGTATGCTTTGAATTGCGTTCTGGCAGGTGATGCTTGTTCGAATGCCCCTGGTGGAACATTAATATATGAACAATCGGGATCTGGACGGCTCGTACGTTCAGCGTGCAAATAAATCAACGATCAGAATGTCGTCTCCGGCAGCTGCAGCAGATATCAAAGAAACTGTCACCTTGTGTTGAAGTACTTATGCACATGCCTGATTCTCTTCCAGACAAGTTGAGGGTGGCGTTCAAGCATATGATAACCACCTTCAAATGACCCGGTACGACGGCGTTTTTACGGTAGTGGTTCCACAGTCGGACTTCTCAGGCTGGTGCGACTTCAGGATAATTCTTCAATCATGCGCTGTCTGATATCCGCTTCCGCCGCGTCGCAATCTTATTCGTTAACTTAATACCGCACAGCCGGGTAAGTGGCTGTACCCCAGACACATACCCCATATCATCCAGCGGCTTCTTAGGATAGGGACCGAGCTGAACAATTAATGTCAACTTCAAGAATAAAACCGACAATTATGCCTACCACGACCCAATGGCCTCCATCTCATGTTAGCCTTAGAGATGATCGATGATGGCCTTGAGTCCAACGTGGAGATTAGTTGGCCAGCAAACGCCGATGCTTTAGTGGAGGCATCATTGAATCGCATTAAAGGTTGTTACATCGAAACTTTTGAAAGTAAAATATCTCGATCAGTATAGTACACCCCAGCATCACCTCGACCATCCGAGGAAAGCCGCCTCGCTTGGGACATCTTATTCCCCCACGACAACGAAATAATTGACCCCAACTAGTTTCAGCCCATGCTTGTCAGCAAACCTCGCTGCATTCCAGTTCTTTCTGTCTACAGGCTCATTCTTGCGTTCCGGGGCATCGGCAGGGATCGAAAAGTCCGCACTAGGCTCCTGGTATAACAATAGTACTGTTGCAGCTATCATCAACAAATATAGCAACTATAACAGAATTAGAATCACCATAACGATGCTTCCCAGTTCCCGGGGGAGGGGTGGGAGGATAATAGGGCGTCACAGCAGGTTTAGTGAGCTGTGCATCAAGATTATCTGTCTCGATGGCCGACGTCGGAGGAGCTTTCACGCCAGTGACCTACACATGAAATTAAATAAACAGTTTGCAGTCTATGACGACACTAACCACCCAGTGCCGCCACTCTCTGAATTTGGGGTTGTTCTTGGATGGTGCGTCTGGGTCTGTCATGACGAGCGTATAGGTGGGTTCGTCAGTCTGGTCTGGCACCTGCATTGGAGTGAACGCAACAGTTGGTTCGTCAGCGGTGTCCGTTTTTGTGAGTGTGTTCCCAAGAAGAGCCTCTTGGCTAGTGGGGAAGGTCACGACAAGCAGAGCCTTGGGATGGAAAGGAGGGTCAACAGGAATAACGTCTGGAATGATACCATTCTCCTTGAGATCTTCTCTGACAGCATTGAGTGGATCGAGCATCATTGTGGGCTCAAGTCGAGGGTTTTGATGATGGTGATGCTATAGTCCAAAGGAGACAAGTAAAGATCAAAACTGAAGTCGTCATTGGAGAAAGGGGCGCTTATGTAATATTCCGTGCGCAGGCTTGCCGGCATTCTGAAAGCCTGTAAGATAAAGCAGAAAACTGTGCTAGAGAACATCGAATGGTGCCCGTAACACTACATGACTGTCTCATTCGCATGTCGAATTCAAGAACTGCAACAAGTTCTGCCTATTGGCGTCCATCTCGAGATCTCTGGCATCCTTATGAACTTTCAACTTGATCTGAGACAATTATATGAGATAGTCTGGGGCCCGGATCTGGACAAAGAAAACTGACCTTCTTGCCTGTTAGAACGCTGCGCCTTTCATCCTTGTCCTTTCCATTATCCCTGTCCTTATGCTTCTTGTACTTCTTCTCTCGATCTTTCTCTCGATGCTTTGACTTGGACTTGCGAACATCGCGACTATCCGAACGAGAACGAGATCGGTGACTTGGCGAATTCCCCCGCAACCTATGCCGACTACTGCCACCACGCTCCTTAGATGACATAGATGCAGCAGAGTTTGCCGAAGGTGAGGGAGATCGGCGTCGATGTTCAGCGGTCTACAATGCATTTATGCACACATCTTCAAAGGTCAATGGCAAATCAGCAGAAATGAGGCGACAACGTACGACGCTGCGACTTCTGATTCGCCCACGACTCTCGGAAGGCTCGTGGTATTTGTCTCGGTCCTATAGTAAGGTTAAAACAACATCGGAAAAAGACAGGAAATATCTCACATTGTGGTTATCCTTTCCTCTGTCTCTCGTATCATCATGGTACTTGTGACTGTGTGAGCGGTATGGACTCCGGGACCTTGAACGTTTAGTGCGACGAGACCTTCTGTCTTCTTTCTCGTCATGGTGGCTGCGTCTTTCAGGTGACTTTGAACGACTCCATCCTCTATCTCCTCCTGTTCGGAGAATGCGTATCACGACATGTTATAAATATGAGCATAAGTGAATGTGTTGTCGCCCCATTACCAGCACAGCCGACGACGTAGTGCGTGGTAATCAACATTGACACAGAAGGTCAGTCGAGAATCTCTAAGGAGTATTAATGGAGAACATTTACCACTTCGCCTATGGGTATCTCTTGAGCGGTGCTCTCTCCGTTCACCGTGTCTTCTCTCGCTCATAAGGGTTGTAGACGACCGTGGGGAATCGTGAATGTAAGGAGGCTTATGGAAACTCTAGGTCTAGTCTACTCTGGCCAGCCGCCCGGCCAGATTGAAGCGGAGTTAGGACGATGTGACTGAGCTTGTGACTTAGCTCACACCGCTTACCTGCTATTCTCAGAATTCCAGTCAAGATATCGATGTGGGCTATATGCACGTAAGTAGTATGGATACAATTTATTGCCAAAAATGTAGATACTTCATGAATCATTGTTCCTCGATCGGAAGGGCAGACCACGGAACATGAGGGTGACTAGAAATGATGGAGTAGATGTGTATATATGACGAAGAAAGCAGTCATAGACTGCCAGAAGATGAATTGGGCCAATAATCGTGTTGGAAATCATACTAATCAGTGAACCGGTGAGTTCTTGCTGGCGATTAAGTATGTTGAGGTAATACAGTTTATAACTACAGTCAACGGCGACGATAACGACAACGACAACGACAAAAAAGGAACGAAAGAACTCAAAGGTATGTGACAACATCCCCAGACGCGAAGGTATTTCAAACTCAACTATTCTAGGAGGCTCCCGCGATGTACAGCGCAGTAGCCACTGTCGAAGATTTGAGATGCTTGTTGACTTCATCCCAAGTGCTACCAATGCTTTCAACTTTGTCGACACAAGGGAGCCAGGCGGAAATGATGCGAGCGAGAGCTTCAGCATCTGCTATTTGAGACTGGGATATATCCAAAAGTTCCAATGATCGTAGGGAGGTATGTTGTATTGGCTCAGCATGAGGATCAACGTTGATAGTTGCAAGATTGATTGGAATCCGTAGTGTATGCAATTGTGGACATAGACTGAGCGCTGCGAATAATCCATGGAGGGAGACTCCGGAAGGAGAATGATGGTCGTCTAAGTAGTTGATGTCCAGAGTGCGGATGTGCGGCCAACTAGACATAGCTTGGGAGAGAATGTCATTGTCCAGGTAGATGCAGGGATTATAGAACCAGAGCTGCAGGGTTCGAAGTTGTGTAAAGCAAAGCAAATGTGGAACTGGGGTCACAGGCTCGCTGTCTGGTACAAGGTTGTCTTCATCAGGAGAACAAATCTTGATTTCTTCTAGAGTCTGACACGCTTTGCAGCAGGACAGAGCATGAAAGAGTTGCTCGGCCTCTTCTGAATACAGAAAGTGGGCTGCAAACTTGAACTTTTTTAGTGAAGGAAATTGTGAGTGTTGTATGACTGTGATGATCTCTGCACCATCGGCCACTCGAAATGAAAGGCTCGTGATGTTAAGGAATGATAAATTCACGATATCTCGTTTTGATAGTGAAGGAGTGTCATCATACGCTTGATCGATTTCCAATTCGAGAAGAGTAGGGAGGCAGGAGAGGTGCTTCCATGTTTCCCAGTTGAGCATTGGACAAGACAGGGTTACAAGCCGTGTGCACCGACGAATCCTATCGGATAGCAGGGACAGCCGACTTGCGATGTCATAATAGCCGTCAGGGTGAATGTCCAAATGCTCCAAAGCACTGCAAGGTGTCACAAAAATTCGCTGACCCTTGTCGATGTTCAATAGACGTTGGTGCAACGTGAGAGGCAGAAAGAGATTCAAAAATGGGGTGGGAAGACTTAACGACCTCAGCCTCGGAAATACGTATACATTGGCGGGAATGACAGAGATAAGTTGGAGATGGGTCCTTTCCGATATGTTCAATGTGAGTATACGGGAGGAGTGACGCAGAAATTGACGGGCCTCATGGGCAGATAATGGCTCGACGCCTTCCGCCCAGTCGGAAGGAAATTCGTCCCGCTGTTATGTAGACGCTCGATCAGCCGAAAAGAAACGAACAAAGCGTAATGAAATCGTGCACTGACCCTTGTACCCATACGATATATCAGTGGATGTAACCTCGCTACACAGCCTAGCAGTGGTTCTAACCCATGGATTTCAGTCCACAGCAAATCCATCGCAGGCTCGTGAAAGATTTTGCATGTCCTTGCAAGCGCTGCAAGCGTCGATGTTCTTGGAGTAGATGGTAAATTTATTCTGTGACCGAATATCTCTGTTATTTGCCAAGTAGTAGATGGTATTGTATTCACATAGGCGAATATCTCCAGGAGGACTTCGGGAACAAGTAGAGCCTGATGCATCACTGGAGTACGGTAGAGTCAGGACTCACAACTGAAATCTAACATTGCCTGCGTGGGACCAATATGTATATTGATGGGTGTTGTTCCCTGCTATTCTCGGAATTCCAGTACAAGATATCGATGCATCTTGATGACGCCCGCCGCCCCACTGGCACACCCCCAGACAGGACCTAGAGTTTCCATAGTATTGTTTGGAAAAGTGTATCACGGGCACTTGTTAGGTCACATGGCATGCATGCCATCCACTGTGCAGTCCTTCTACAAAGCTGCTCGTGATTTGGGGTATCGTTGGGCATGGAGCGACACGTGCTGCATTGATAAGAGCATCGATGCTGAGCAACAAAAGTCGATCAAGTCCATGTTCGACTGGTATCACCACTCCGCACTCACAGTCGTATACCTCTCGGATGTTCCGGCTTTGTCAAAGCCTGGCGCTTGACCACCTGAGCACTCCCCGTTTCATGCACCACCGGTTGCATCTGCCTTGCATCGTATTCCGGGTCACAGAAGCCTGTCGCAAACCAGGTCATGACCAGGATACATATGAACTCAAATCAGACGGGCTTCGCGACCTGCAGATCACCACAGAAGACAAATTCATCCCGTTCTCGCCGGCAAGGCTGCCGCCCGCCTGGCAGACGATCTTGCTCGTTCGTCCATGGAGTCACCATCTCCTTGAGCTGCATGACACTGCAGACGATACGCGGAACGTGGAGGATTGTTCCGCATCCGAATCTTCGTTGCACGATTCACCTGCTGCACAAACTGGGCCTATATATTCTGATTCCGACTCGCGAGCATTGCGGTTGATTGTTCGCCTTGGGCGGCAGCCGTTTAGTGCATTTTTGCTAGCGCAGCAGTGCGACGGAGGATTCAAGAGGATCGCATCCGATTATGATATTATTGCACGGGTTAAAGACATGGCTTCTGTTAGCTACTTGATGGACATCAGGACTCTAGATGTACTGTAACTGCAGTCTGTACTATGCATGGACCCTTTCCATAGTAGTCTCACACCTGTTATAACGTTTATCGTCACGCCACCTCTAGTCTTCTAGTAAAATATATAAGCACAGAGCGCAAGTTGTTCCCGCGGAACCAATTCGTGTCCACCCCATGTACCTGAGCGCCACCGCAGTGCATGTCAATCGCTCCGCTTCCGATCATTTTGTCTCCTATTCTCACTTTTTCAATCCCAGCTGCCCGTGGCTCTCCTAAGTTCTCTCCTTTTCGACGACCGTCATCATGGCCTTCGCATGCTCTTTGCACGGCGTAGTAGGCATCCAAAACGCTACTCCCTACACTGATCACGCGAACGACTGATGTGACAAAATCATACAGAATCATACTTCGAAGCTTCAGCTCCGACTATCTCAAAGAGGCGGACCAAGCGCCTCCAGACGCACCAGAACAGACTCCCGAATACTTTGCGATGTTGGATCACACCAATACGCCTCCCCATCGCCTCGATCTCAAGGTGGATGCCGTATGCGCGATACAACGAAACCTTAGCCTCCGGATCAACAACAGAAAACGTTGTGTGATGAAGTGACAAAGTCAGCATAATTGCAGGTGAGATGTGTAGGTAAAACGAATGGGCAGATGGATATATGCAAATTGGATCGTCATATAATATACTTCGCAGGTATAAGTCGCTTTCAAATCCACCGCTTTCATCAATCGTGGAATGAGGTCCTTTATTAGTACTCCCTGGCTAACCTTCCAACAGAGGTCGGGATTGAAGTTCAGCTTCTTAAGGGTGGCGAATACCGCGGTTAATTGGTATTTGATGATGTCAAACCTAGGTAAGGTTGGCTCTCGAGTTCTTGGCACGATCTATGTATCCAGACGCTAGGCAGCTGAATTGAGGACACGCTCCCTCGGAGCTATTGAGTACCAGACTGTCATCCTCGAGAGATTAACCACCAGTACAAGTCAGTTCAAACGCACTGTCACCTGAAGCCAGTTAAGCTGCGCATCGTCGCATATCAACTGGGCCGATATTACAAAACTACACAATAGAATTGGCACCGATGTTGATTAGCGTGCACGAGAGACGGTATCAGCAGCCCCTAGTAGATTTACAGCAACGGTATTGCTCTCTTGAATACGTTTCAGGCGTTCATAAAGCACTTGTACCTCTCTAGCCGTGGTGTCAATCAGTTGCTGCTCTGTGGGAGGTACCGACGATGCACTCTGAGACTCAGGGGCGGGTGGCATGGGGTATGCGCCTACACCAGTTTGTCGAAGGAATTCAGCAAGTGTGCGAAGTGCCTGCATGAGTGCAGCCAGCTCAGCTGAAAATTGGAAGCGTAAAGCCACAATTATAGAAAAACATGAACGTACTTGCCTGTTGTATGTGCAGGACTGTTTCCTGCTTGGTATGCGCTTTGTCTGACGAATAATTAAACACGGTATAAGTATGAAGGGAGTAGAGAGACTTACACGCCGTGCAAGCAATTGCGTGCCAGCGATTGAATCCTTGCGACATGGTCAAGCGCTATTTGCACGCTCTGCTTCAGCACTTCTGGTGAATTTGGATCAGTATGGATGGAATCGTGCAGGGACGGTTGTGACATATAGACAGAAGCATTCTGAAAGCTAGATGGCGGGATGGATGATATGGACAGAGTGGAAGATTGACTGGGATTATTCATTTCGTTACTTGATAATTCTGATCAATCATTAGCGGTGATGGTTGTTTAGACTTGTTATTCACGCTATCGTGGTACACACCCGTGTTAACTTGAAACCATAATTCTCAAATATCCAACCAGTACTAGTATGATTTTATGCTAGCATTAATTGTATTCCCGCCTCCTTGATTTTAACGTCTCTAAATGTCTGTTCTCTGCCCACCGACCACATATCTTCCACCGATCTCCAAGATCGCGAGTTTCTCCGTCACCCAGCTTCTCGATGCCTTGACTTATTTACAGTCACTCTACCATCCAGAAGTCCGTGGCTCGCGTCGCAAACGTGTGCAGGTGCCTGTATCTAATGGAGAGCAAAATTACCTTCGCCATGAGGATGATAGCGAACTCCAAGCTATCCGATCTGACGCATTCGAGCGCTCATATTCCATTCGGTGGCTTACCGCTTTAATCGTACAGCTCGAGGTCTGGCAGGACTTATCGCGCTCCGAAAAAGTCTCATTGGATGATCTTGGTACACCAGAGCCTACCTTGGCTTACACAGAGATACTCGTCCAACAAGCCGCGTCGCTACTCGCGATTTGTGCCGGGGTCGCTGCTGCTGGAATCATCACCCGTAACTTCGTTTTTGGTTCTATAGACGGGCAGAGGCGAGTGGAAGCTCAGCTCACGGATATTCCGCTGGACAACAATGACTACGGGAGTGTGGGAGCGCAGACATGGGGCGGGGCATGTGTCTTGGCAGAAATGATTGTGGAAGATCCTGAGCGATTTGGATTGGATTCTTCTTCTCAAAGCTCTGAATCACGCAGGCTCAACGTCCTTGAACTCGGAGCAGGAACAGGGTTGGTTAGCTTAGTGGTTATGAAATTACTGGATGCATTGCCGTCTTTCAACCATCGCGAGGTTCATGTGGTTGCGACCGATTTCCACCCTTCTGTGTTAGCCAACCTCAGGTCAAACGTTGACGCGAATGTCTCCTCCACAGTCGATAAAATTACTTCAACCCATTCCATTACCACTCATTTCCTCGACTGGTCATCATTCTCTACTACTCCTAGACCAGATTGTCTTTCGTACCCATTTGATGTGGTCCTTGGTGCAGACATCATTTACGAAGCCCAACATGCAGTTTGGATCAGGGACTGTCTGAAAGGACTCATGCGACGTCCTTCTGATAGCACCATATCTCCCGCCGCTTTTCATCTTGTGATACCACTTCGTCCAACGCACACATTCGAGTCAAACACGGTTGAGTCCGTGTTCCTCAAGGCATGCGATGTTGATCCGAACGGTGATGCTGATCTCGTCATACTATCGAAGGAATATATCACATGTGATGCATATGGCGATTATACGCGAGGACAAGGTCTCGATGAAGACGTGGAGTACGTTTATTATAAAATTGGCTGGTTTAATGCACGATTGTAGAATCATATGATGCATAGAATCTAGATCACATAGAGTTGCTACTAGATGTCGCGTTTCTTGTTATCCGTAACATGCCGACGGCACGCCATGGCATGATAAATGTTTGTCACTGATTCCGAACATGAACTACCCGCACGTGAGCACCATTCAGGGGAACGTTAGACTAGAAATTTTGATTTTGAATTTTGAATCCACATGGTTGACGGGGACCTGGCACTCTTTCGTGCGCAGCATGGTATTTGCATCATGTGGACACATTCTTGCGTTATCATCAAGCGCCCTTTTATCTTACATCAATGTGTTCATAGCTCCCACTCCATCCAGAGGAATGTCCACTACCTGGTGGTCGCGATTAAGCAAGCAGCAGGGAGACGACCAGGATGACCGTGCTTCCGGTTCACAGCTCGGCGAAAAGGATCAAGGGATTCAGAAGTCACCCAACGAAAATGCTTACTGGAGTCCTGGAGAACTCACCTTTGAAGAAGGTGCCGTTGCTCGCTATTCCTTCAGCTTGCTCGTCTGACATCATCCAGATACTGCGGGAGGCATGGGTCGTTACCTTGGTGTAACATCTTGCACTCTCCTTATCGTTGGAAAAATCATCGGCTCCGGCATATTCTCAACGCCGTCCTCCATCCTCTCTAGCGTGGGCTCAGTCGGCGCTTCCCTTATGCTTTGGGTCCTCGGTTTCTTGCTTAGCTTCTGTGGACTCTTCATATGGCTCGAGTTCGGCACCATGTTCCCTCGCAGTGGCGGAGAGAAGGTATACCTCGAGGCCGTCTACAAAAAGCCCAAGTACCTCGCTACAATAATATTTGCTGCCAACGCTATATTACTTGGGTTTACTGCGAGCAACTGTATTGTCAGTCATGCCTTGTTTTGTGTGTACTCGGTGTTGAAACTTAACTGCTTCGTCAAGGTTTTTGCTAGCAAGTACGTATTTTGGATTTGACGAAACCGCTCGACTGATATGATGTAGTATCTTGGTTGCCGCTGGTCAATCCGCAGGTCGCTGGAATGAGCGTGGAATTGCACTTGGAGGTGTGTCTTCTACCTAACTGGCATCTTACGGTCGTTTCATAGCATCTAGTCATGTTCTTCGTAACCTTTCTACACGGAATAGCCCCGAAGACCGGCGTACTGATTATGAACGTATGCAAGTTTTCATCTTTACACTATCATTGTATTCAACATATTCCTTTCAGTTGCTCTCGATATTCAAGATCGTAATTTTGGTATTTGTTGTGGTCACAGGCTGGGTAGTTCTCTCTGGTAAAACCCGCGTTGTGGATCCGTACTATAATTTCAGAAACGCGTTCGCGGGGAGCTCCACGAGCAGCAACGACGTGCGTTCAATGTTATTCCTAGACGCCCATATGTTGATTATGGTCTTGACAGTATGCTACAGCCACCTTCAAAGTCCTGTACGCATATACGGGATGGTCCAATGTGAACTACGTGATGAACGACGTCCGTAATCCAGTGAGGACGCTCAAGATCGCAGGCCCGCTCGGTCTTGGTATATGCACCGTTTTGTACTTGCTTGCAAATGTGGCTTATTTCTCTGCTGCAACCAAGGTGAGAACTTTTTTATCTTTACTATTAACGAAACACTGAATGGTATCGATAGACGGAGATTATTGAGTCTGGCGTTACTGTCGCTTCTTTGTTTTTCGGGAACGTCTTTGGTTCTGTTGCAGAGCGTGCGCTATCGGTTTTCATTGCTCTTAGGTGAGCCCGACGTCCTGAGTCTGAGGGTTTACTGACTCGTGGTTTTCATAATAGTGCTCTTGGAGTGAGTCCTATGTATTTCGTATCATGATCTCCGTTTGATGTTGGGCCATAGAACGTTATCACTGTGGTAAGTCGAGGGATGCTATGGAAATTTGTGACTCAAGAACTTTTCATCTAGACTTTTGTGGCTGCACGAGTAAATCAAGGTTCGTCATACCGACATCGTGATTCTACGTAGCTTATGCTTCAATCACAGAGCTCGCGAAGGAAGGGATACCCTTACCATTCGGAAACAAATTCTGGGCCTCAAATTGGCCCACTGGGAGGTCACCACTTCCAGGATTGATAATTCATTTGATACCCTCCGTAAGCACTACCCTGGAAATATGATATCAATCTGAGATTGGTCTTCTAGATTATCGTCATCATCGGGCCTCCCCCAAACATTGCTTACCCTTTCATTTTGGACGTTGAAGGATATCCACAGCAAATTATCAATTTCTTTATTGTCATCGTACGTCTTTCAACTCTTTTCTCGAGTGTTTCTTACCTCTTGATGCCGCTAGGGTTTGTTCTATCTGCGATGGAAGAAGCCAGATGCTATTCGGCCATTCAAAGGTGAGCAAATATGTCGCTCTTCCTGTATGGTACGTTGACGCGTATGATGTAGTATGGTGGCCTCTCGCCGTATTCTTCTTGGCTGCTGCTTGCTTCCGTGAGTTACCAATCTACAGCTCCAACACTTTTTTCCCTAACCAAACCTCCACACAGTCCTCATCGCTCCCTTCCTGAAACCAGCCAATGGCGTCGGCGACACCCCACCACTGCCATATTACCTGTACGCTTCTTCCACCAGCACTTATCCATGCGTCCCTTATTCTCATCCGACGCTTGTCATATAGGTACTGTCTCGTCGGAATCGCCATCATGTTCGTAGGCGTGCTGTACTGGTTCGCATGGCGAATCATGCTGCCTAAGGTATTTGGCTATGAGCTTGTGCCGAGGAAGGAGATGTTGGACGATGGGACTTTTGTCACTGTAGTGAGTGTTGGCTTTGTGTTCTGTCTCCTGGTTTGGCTTACGGATCTTATTTTCAAGTATTTGAATCGAAAGATGCAGTGATTTAGAGGTTGATTGGAAGTGCTGGTCAGTTGGTCTTTGTATTAATTTAGTGCGATGTCGTTATGCACTTGACATGCGTAGTTGATCATTCACGTAGTACTACCGTATAGAGTGCCCTCGGTCAGCTCTACTTTCTGGTCTGTGCCGCCTGGAGTTCTTGTCCACAACATCTGCGTTTTGACTCAGTCACCAATCCGGTTGGAATTCTGGCCTCTTATGACATTTTCTGCGATGAATGCAATAGTGCTGATAATTGGGTGATATGTGCAAGTCTACGCGGTGGGAGTACGTGTCTGAATTATAATATGCCAGCGCACCACACCACCTATATCGAAGGAAAGATGTATATGACGAAAGATGTCTAACATAGAGTCACTGACCCCAAAGGACTGCAAAAAAAGTTCACGCGGTTTTGAGATGCTGCACACCCCGAAGCTCTCTACTAAATATGTAGCACCAGCGCACGATGCAGAGGACTGTCAACAAGCACAACAACGCAACAAGAGCGATGCAGCCTTGCAGTAGGTAATGCATGTCCAGCGCTAGCGCATTCGTTGTCGCAACCAGGTTTTCTACGAGCAGCGCAATAGATGCCAAGGTTGCGCCAACATCGGAGGAGAGTGTGTTGGTTTTCTGCGTGAGGTGCTCGACAGCGATCATTAGGTTTTCTACGAACAGCGTCAAAGACGGGAGGGTTGTGCCAATATCTGAGGAGAGGGTGTCTGTCGCGTGCGCGAGGTCCTCGACATAGGTGATCAGGTCGTCTACGAGTATCCTAAAAGGCACGAGGGTTAAGCGAATCTCTGAGGAGAAGCCCTTGATAGCGATGAGCAGGTCTTCTACGAGGCTCTCCCTGATTACCATGAGGGTTACTCTAATGTTTGAGTAGAGCTCGTCTGTGCTCCGCGCGAGGTGCTCGACAATGTGCATCATTTGTCGGATGACTTCAGGGCTGACGACATCAATGATGGCCATTGATCCGAGGTGTTTATGAATTGTTGAGGGCTGGAACTCATCAGCATGTATTGTAAGTGAAAATTGTAGTACTTGCTCAGTGTGGGGGTCAATTACGGTATTGATGTCAGATGAATCCAGGTAATTCGAACGCAGCGGGCGTCGTGTCCACGTCATTCCTACAGGTTGAAGCCATGCACTTACACTCGTGGCCCACGCACTGCCCCTCAACACGCAACATCTGACTTGGGTGTGCACTCGCATTATGACGGGGATCCTACTAGGACTAGCCATCGACTCAACACACGAGATACCGACCCTGCGCTTTCTCACGACATCCTTCTCCAGAAAAACCTTTGCATGTGCAGTCTCTCAGGCAATCTCCCTCAACTTTTTGGTTCCAGAGAAACCCTTGAAAGTGTCACGTCCAAGGGTTCTGAACTTCGACAGATACTATGTGAACATGTATTGTCATACCATGCAATTCCGCCTCGTGCAAGCTCATGTGCGCCCCTGGTCTGATTGATTCGAATGGATCCGACTAGTTTCGTGAAGTTGACTGTTTTACATAAACTCCTCGGTTATGTTCAAGTCAGGCCGTCGTCACTGGCACCGCCCCGAATTTACGAGTTAGGCTTACGACACGATGGGGACACAGACTCATCTTCAACTGTAGCAACGTGGCACTCAGGCTTTAGCAGCACTCCCTCAATGTCTCAGCCTCGTCCAATCCTGTCAGAATTCGATATCATTTTTGCCGGAGGTGAGTACTAGAATAACATTATCTAGTAGCTTACTTTTTACATGGCGCGCTGTGCGTAGGTGGTACTACAGCTTGCGTTGCTGCGGGCCGACTAGCTGCGTGCGATCCCTCTCTCAAGATTTTAATTTTGGAAGCGGGTGAACATACCCTCGATCAAGCTGCTCATATCCAACCCTACCAATATTTCACCCATCAGGCGCCGACAAGTACCACGCTGACAGCCAATGTTGGAAATCCTAATCCGCGTCTCAATGGCCGTGCACCAATTGTTCAGTCCGGTCATTGTGTAGGTGGAGGCTCAAGCGTGAATTGTTCGTAACATTCTTGCAGCAAGGAACGCGGCTCTGATATGATACAGTCATGATATACACTCGTGCGCCTGCCTCAGATTTTGATGACTGGGGGACCGACGGTTGGGAATCTGAGAATCTAATTCCTCTCATGAAGAAGGTCGTCAAATTCGCTTTCTATATATTTCTCAAACTGAATCCTTGCATCTTGCGCAGCTGGAGACATACGAGGTCCAGCCTGATGGCCCAACTCACGGGGACAATGGACCTATCAAGGTATCTCATGGTGGCTGCACAACAGGTATCTGGGAAGAGTTCGTGCATGTTGGTACAACCTATCACAAGAGGCCATATGCCGACGACACAGAGGATCTAGAAACATGCAACGCATACAGTGTGCGCTATTGATTCCCCATCTCTGTTTGCCACCACTAACAATATCACCTCAGCCATGGGCGAAGTAAGCCAGTACTCGTACATCATTGTGAATGAGCCTCATGTATGAGAAGGTATATTGACGGAACGACTGGAAGGCGTTCTGACGTAGCTCACCACTATATATACAACCAAGCCCACAACCCGAATTTACAACTTTGGGTCGGCAAGCTTGTGAAGCGCATTATATTTGAGTGAGTGTCCACCTGGAATCACAATTACATCCAACTATTGACGACATTCTTTACAACCAAAGGGACAAGCGTGCCGTAGGTGTTGAGTTCACCTGCGATCCAGTGTCTTGCCCAGATGCCGATCAATCATCGAACATCGTGAGAGCATTAAAGTTCGTTGTTGTCTCTGCTGGGGCATTTGGTTCACCAGCCATTCTCGAGAGGTCTGGAATCGGTGCTGAGAGGGTCCTCAAGCAATGTGGTATCGAGCAACTGGTGGACTTGCCTGGTGTTGGAGAAAATTATCAAGGTCCGCTTTCACCTATTAAGTTGATCTTAGCTTAGGGTTATCAGATCATATCGGCTGCTTCGTTCCATACTTTGCTGCTGACGGAGCCGTTACCTTGGACCCTCTTTGGCGTGGGGAGGAGAGTGTTGTACAGGGTAAGCGTGTTTTCCACATATTCTCAACACATCTTTCAAGCGTCCAAATATAGAAAGCCTTGCGCAATGGAAAAGTAATGGAAAGTCGCTCATAGCCCAAAAGTCTGTACAAGTTGTTGTTACTGGTGAAGTACTGATGAGTATTGCAGTGGCTGCGATGCTAAAATCAAGTGGCGGCCTGATGAAGATGAGCTGAGAGCCATGGGTCCAGCTTTCCAGACGCCATGGAAAGAATTCTTCCAAGATCGCCCGGACAAGGCTGTTGCCATCTTCGGTCTATGTGCGGGGTTTGTGCACATCACTGTGCTCTAATGACGTACGAATGCTCACGGCAACCAGATATATTCCGCTCTCGAGTGCCCTTCCTCTTCGCAACTACATGAGTGCTGGCTATTTTACAGTACTACTCCCCATCTACCCCGTGATTTGTTCTGAATGCTTCAATAGCTTTACCCTAGGTCTGTTGGCAGCGTTCATATCAAACTAGGAGAGAACGGCAAGGAAGTCCTCGACTTCACTACGGGCTTCCTGGATGAGTAAGTCGGTACACCTCCTTTCAGAAATTGCAAGACTATAATATTTCATCTAGTCCATCCGATATCGTACCTCTTAACTTTGCGTACAAGAAGATGCGAGAACTATTACGACGCATGCCTTCCTACCGAGGTGAAGTCCCTGCAGGCCACCCATGTTTCTCAGACGGAAGCGCTGCAGTCTGCAGCGAAACATCCGGGCCTGTGGACTTGAATGCGCCTGACATCATCTATACTGCTGAAGACGATGAGGCGATCGACAGATTTCATCGTGACAACAGTACGTTTTCACTGTCATCCTCAATATGACGGTAAAATGCTGAATCAAATTTCAGTCCCAACGGCAGCGCACTCGGTGCGTGCATTTGAAGTTTTGATAATTCTACGTGACTGATACCTGCGGATGTAGTTGGGGACTTGCGCCATGAAACCAGAGTTAGAGAAAGGAGTCGTCGACGCTCGGCTAAATGTGTATGGCGTGGCGGGCCTGAAGGTTGCAGATATGTCTATCGCGCCTAGAAATGTTGGCACGGTGGGTTTTGGATTAGTAACTATTGACGTGTGACCTAACTGTCTCCCCAGAACACGCACTCAACGGCACTCCTCATTGGAGAGAAGGCTGCACTGATCATTGCTGAAGACTTGGGTATGAATTGCGGACCACATGCTAATGAGAAAGTGAACAGCTCGCCGTGTCTTTGATACTCATATTTGTAGGAGTGATAATGAACATATACTTGACGTGTACTTCCGTAACACCCAGTATGTCATCAGCGTGTATCTAACCACCTGTTGGAATTAGTGCCATCAGGAGACAAATAGCGCAAACCATGTAGGAACTCATCACATGGAAGTTTCCATTTGTTACTTGAGAGTTAGATTTTCAATTCACTACTAAGTATGTCAGTGCGCGGACGAATGTGCGGCAGTATTCTTATACCTCAAGACACGCCGTACGTATGGCAATCGCTCCAGCGCTCTGAACCATCATTTACGTTGCGTATACCCTGCTTTATGAAACGGAATGATCCGATCTTCCGCATCTTCCGGCTGATATACATCCGGTCCGTCAACTTCGTCAGTAGGCCTTGTGCCTTTGGCGTCTGATGAGATGTTAAGCAGTAAACTCACCACTGCAACTTATGGCATGATGCCGCAATCTATATTGGGAATTAACCTTACAATCGAGTGCTATAAGATGCCGAGTACACGTACAGTTTCTACAAGCCCAACTCGACGGTGCTCAATGAGAAAGAGGCAGTGGAAGAGGCAGCCCAGTAAGCACCACACCTGTTCAGGTGTTTGAAGGCCATGAAGATGCAGTCGCAGTCTTCCATGATAGACGGCGTATGGTGACGGGATCCTACGACAAGACGCTTCGCCTGTTGGACTTGAAGCAAGGTATAGTTTTGAAGGGGCATCTGAAGGGGGTGCGGACGTTGGCGGAGACATGCAAGTTATAGCAAACAGTGATCCGAGCGGAAAACTCACTACCTGAGACGGAGACATTGGTGATCGTCTCATACAAGCCTTCAAAGCCCACTCCGATGTTGTTTTCTTGCCAGACTTCTCACCAGATACCAGCTGGCACTGTCCTGGCGAGTGGTTCATGGGACGAAAAATACACTTGACTACAAGGTGTTATAGAGTCAGTATAGTACCTGTAGGTGACGAAGACAAGTGGTTCAAGTACCATCAACTGCTAGCGTGCATTACCAGCATCGTGGAGTGAGGTCGGAGAAATTTCGTGTAAAAGCCTGTAGTGTTGGTAATGTTATTGGCAGCACTCGGGAGTTTTGTCAACCGGTCTGGCTAATTGGCCCGCGGCAGAACCCAGGTGCAAGGCGCCTTATAGAGTTTTTCCAGTTGTCCCTAGGACTAAAAGAAAGCCTCCTTGTTTACCTCGGAGGGGGCTATACAGTCTCCCCAGCATCATCTCCAGAGTCCAGACCACTACTAAATTAGGCCTACCGGGTAGGGATTATCAGGAATCCTAGTACGACGTGTCATTAGCTTAAACGAACAAACTTCTTACAATGTCAGAGCGTGAACGTTGCGCGTGCTATATGATCGTGTCCATTTACTCAGTCGAAGGATGCCGAGTCACGAGTAGAAAAGAACGGCAAACCCTGGCCGTCAGAAGATCAGTGTTCGTCCCTTCAGGTGTATAAAGGCATCTATAAAAGCCGGCTCAAAGACATCAAAAATCACTCGCCTGTACCTGAACCTCCTCACCTGAACAGTATGCACGCTTCATTTTTCACCGCCAGACTGGTTGCGCTTGCCGCCATTGCCTCAGTTGTTTCTGCTCAGAGTCAGTAATCTTCGAGGTTCGATTGTACTAACATTTATAACCGCAAAACGTCCAGGTCTCCTCCCTGCTGGTTGTGACCGTAATGTAACTGTTCATTCTGGAGATACATGTGACAAAATCTCCGCAGCACATAGTGTTTCCACGTACGTACAATCAGGTGCCTTTCGTTCACTTTTTCATCGAATGTATGCGACAGATACCAGCTGGCGGCAGTCAACAGCAAAATCATTGACAGCGGTTGCGATAATTTGGCTATCGGAGAAGTAAGATATTTTGACGTTTGAAAAACACCTGAACTCATCGTCATAGGTTTTATGCCTTGGAATCAAAGGCCAGGATTGCAAAGTTACCCATGTTTTGAAGGCCGGTGAAACGTGCCATGACGTTGCCGATGCAGCTGGTATCCCGGAAAAGACGTTGCTCGCGAACAACCCGAACTTAGGCTCCGACTGCAGTGGCGTGTATCCTGGCGAGGTGAATGAAATGTGATTTATCGAAGCCGTTGCTGATGAAAGAATTTCAGGTTCTCTGTACTGCGACAAAGATCTATGTGAAAACCACCTAATCAAATTGAGTCGAGAAGCTGAAAGCGACAAAAAGGGATTGAAGATGTTCCTAGTTTTGACATTAGTATATAGGCTAAGTGATATGTCAAATCCATCACAATGGCATTCAGATTCAGACCTTCGAGTCTTTCGATCGACGTGCAAATCTTCTTACTCAGGAGTCAGATACGACATACGAGTCCGCAACGCAGAGTCACTATAGGAAGGGCTCGGATAGCAAATGAGGACACCCGAGTGACTCATACGGCGTACCAGAAAGTTTCTTCAAGAGAGAACCAAGATTTGAATGTTCTGAGCAGGCCCCGAGTCGGTGGGTCGATGAGCTGTTGGTGACAGTGGGATTGTTTTTGAAAAACTGACATATGTGCACATCACCACGATGGATGCTAATACTTACTGCAGGCACGCTTGCAATACTTGAGTAAACACAATCTCCTTCCTAGCGACTGCTGAGCGCTGAAGAGGAAGGGCGGTGGTTGACATTTGTTCGTTCTGGCAGCCGCTTCCAGCCGCTGCTGGGATGAATAAGGTTTGTCTGAGTTTGAAAACCTTGCGCATCTGTTACGCAGGTCTCGGCAATCCCTCAGACAATCACTAAATATATAGTGCGAAAACCTGGTCTTACGATCCCGCCGTACAGGACTCACCCTAGTGTCGGACCTGGAGTCGTGGAAAAGCCATATGCGCACCCAGTGGCCAGTATCTTGTAATTACCATCAACGCTGCTGGCAACCCTCATCGCATCGCATATCTTACAACCACCACGTACGCCTCTGGCAGCATCCGTTCACCACTTGCCCTCCATCCGAACTCCAATTGATAGATATCACTGCCGTTGCGTGTCCCGTCCATAACTTTGCCTGTGTCGATGTTTCATAATCTCACTTCGTCATCGGAACTCCTGCCAACCTGCACGCCCCTATGTCCCAGACTCCATCGATCGAATGACCATATTGTGATCTGCTGTCCACCGGCAGGTAGGTGTAAGATGTGTTCGATGCCACCTATTTTGGTCTTTTTGCATTGTAGTTGAAGTTTCTTGTTTCACCTCTCTTACTACCATCATCCTGCACGAATCACTCACAGGATTAGGATAGTATACAGAAAGACGGATAAGTCAAGCTGCGACGGAGTGGGCGGTCAGTCCTAGTCCAGTCCTGAGGGAGGTCGTTGGCTATGTCCACAGTAGTACATCTTCCCTCATCCTTGCGTCTGCTTCACAGCTTCAGTACCGGATTCGCCCAACTCTCTTTTCTGACAATATGCCCGCTTTCTTCTTTGAGCCTTCTGCGTTGTGTCCGTACGTAGTCTTGCTATCCCTCGAGCCTGAAATTCTGTTTCTCTCCGCTGACCCAATACAAGTCTACGGTCTTCTGATGTGCCCCCTGCCGTCGCATTTCCTTTGACTCGTGCCGTTGATGTTCTGCGCCAAACGTACATTCATCTAAGCGTCCAAAAGTTCTTTACCACCAGTGCATCATTCTTTCTATCCATAGCTGACTCCGATTTTCTGGGTCACTCAATGTAAAAACTTGAGCAGGTGAGCCTTTGATGTGTCCCAACTCAAAACGCCAGCGCATTGTTGGCGCCCAACCGGCCGGGTTTCGAGTCACGAATACAGCCTGATTGTGATGTGGAATATTTGGGCGTGCCGTGGAGAAGCTGGACAACAATCAGAGGAATTTGCATACTAATTTCGATGAGATGACATCCCAAGGCGGCTCTAGCAGAGTTCTAGTTACAAATGAAAGGGGTATACATATACATGACATACATATGGGATGGGGCAAAGGACTCTAGACTTCAGATACCAGTGGTGTGGCAGCCGAGGAAAGAGGATTGTCCGTCGATAATGGGATAGGCGATGGATATATAATTACAAATACAGAACAGCCATGTAACGAAAGGGGAATGATGTTTTGGTTCTGATGAAATACGACGTGGTAGCGATCAGTCCAGGGTAAATAGATCGTCGAGCGATGATTGAGTCTCGGGGACAACCTCGCAGCGTATGGCTTCCCAATTGCTCAGATCTTTGTCTTCAAGCAATGATTGATTCTCGGGGACAACCTCGCAGCGTATGGCCTTGGTTCGAACGAATGGCCTTCGAAGACGAGGAGCCTCCCAGTTGTTGCTCGGCAGGTAAAGCCGAGAAACTGGTGGGGGCGCATTCGCAGCTGGTGACTTCACATAACGTGCGAGCTGGTGGATTCTCTGCTTGTTTTTCGCCAAAGCATCCGGTGCTAAAAATTATTGGTCAATATAGGTCCCCTGAATACTTATCGCAGCAGCTTCACATACCTAGCATAACGTCCGGCGCCGCATATGATTTCCGTGGCGACAAGGCAATAGCAGCATGTCCTGCAGTCTGGATGACGGTTTCACAAGGGGTTAGTACGTCGTTTGGCACTAGTAACTCCTCGATGCCCAGTTGGGCACGAGTGTCAACTCCCCCGCACCGTATAGTGAAATTAGTCTTTAAAACAGACAAGAGAGAAGTAATTCGATCTGTACAAACGGTGAACAACGAAATCCAACGAAATAACGACTGATGTTTACCTCCAATGTCAGCGGGAAACGCGGGCCTGCGGCGTCTGATCCAAAGAAGAAATTTGAAGTACGCCGACTTGTACGGCAAAAGTTCCTCTGAACAAAGAACGAAGAGGTACAGGGCCACTCCCTCGCGTCTCAATGTCATACGTGCACCCTTAAATACCGAGAGCATCAGTATCGGAAGAGTTTGCGAAATTTTAAACTATACATACTTCAGTCAGAGCGATGATCTGCATGGGAAAATAATCGTCAGTTGCTATAAAGGATGATTTAAATGTGAGGGCAAGACCTTTCGACCGTAGTGCTGCAATTCGTGATCTCCTAAGGAACTGAATTTCGTAAGGTCGTTGATGCCGTCCAGAAAGCGGCTTAGAGAGCCCAGACGATCAGCCAAATCATTGACGACTGCTGGACAATCGAGTGCAGGGATGTCGTTGTTCATGATGTGAGGTGCGAGCAGTTCGAAAGATGGTAAGAGGTAGAACGAAGAGAACCACTGACAACACGGAATATGAAGTGCTTGTTGTTTACCTGGGTGACAAACAGACACGCTTTCCACAAACCATAGAAGTGACTCGAAATGTGGATATTGTGGACGGTGGAGAGTGGAGAGTGGGCTGCGGATTGTGAGCCCTAGCCTGCACAAACCACAGTTTTGATAAGGATACTGTTTGAAGGAAGGGCTCCAAGATTTTGCCACGCTTGAACGCGTTAGTTGGACATGCAACCGTGTCATGAACGAGGGGGCAAAGGTTCTAATTGCTTATGGAGAAACGCAAGGACAATCCGACAGTGATCGCTAACTTTACATGGCTTCATTGCGTGTCTTTATACATATGCATCGGATATATCAGGTATGAGAGAGTTTCTAACTGTGTCAAACAATCACCTCGTGAGTTCATAGCCCTTCCAAAAGTCCCCGGAGAATGGGGGCGGTCTGCTTCCTTGTCGCCTTCGCGTTACCCTGGTTGTACGCCCTTGCAACAAATGAATCCCCGAATCGCGCTTCATCGGCAGTTACTTCTTCAGCATCATCGTCCTCAGATTCATCAGCCGTGTCGGCGTTGCCCACGAACTTTGGGAAATCAAGCCTTTTCAGTTTAAGCTCTTCGCTTGATTCGAGACCTTGCAAAAGTTTCTCTGCGATGCCTTCATCTGCCTTGATTATCCAAAGTTGCTCCCGCCCTTTGCCTTTCTCGCTCCGAAATGTAGTGAGTATGCCGAGAACGCTAAGATCTCTTTCGTCGAACCAATCTTGAATTTCTTTTATAGGATAACTTGATGATGTAAAGAATGCGGAGAGGCGACGGGGAACGGTGGCAAGACCCACTCTCGTCATATTGAAAGATTGGGTCGCATCCTCGGATGCAGGCCTGCTGAATGAGTACTCTTTGTAGTCTCTCCGCAGCAAGTCCCGCGTGCTGAGATCAGATACAGAGAGTTTCTCCTCTCTTAACGTCGCGGCCAGAGACTGGACGGAAGGGAGGTGAATGATTGTTTGGATATCTGATGATGCGGATATTTCTTCCTTGTGCGCCAGAAGGGAATTGGGAATTAAAAACGCAGCTGCCTCCTTGTCAACATCCAGAGCTTTTCCTCCCTCTTTCAGGCCGTGAGTATCGATTAAAATAGCACTTAGCAAGAGCGTGGAAATTTCTGGGGGTATGGAAAGGTTGGAAGACGATTGATACAATCTTGTAACAAGAGACGAGCAACTTCCAGCCGGTTCGACTATCCTGGGATCAGTCGTACTAGTATCCTTGTATTGTCCTTCATCTTCGTGATGATCTATCACTGCAACAACTCTGGCTGTCGGAGATGCGTATTTGATGTCAAGGACGTTATGATCCACAAGTGCAAACTGGGACACTTGTGATGGAATAGGATCACCAGAGCAATAAAGTTCTTCAAAAGGGTGGTTGATGCCAGCGAGACCAAGGGCGTGCAAATTCTCTGCTCTAAGGCCAAAATCCTCCCTAGGTGTAGTTATGTATGCGATCGCTTTTCCGCTCTTGTTGGAGCGCAACCAAGCATATCCGAGTGCACTAGCGAGAGAATCGAGGTCTATATGGTGCAGGACAACGGTAAGGACTAAGGCCGAGCAAAACACGGTTGAGCATACCACCCGCTTCATTTCCCATTACCACTGTCCATCCTTCCCCATTATCAGCTAGAAATTCCGCTTTCCGGGACTTCAGGTATGTTGACAAGTTGAACGTAGACATTGAAGTTTGCCACAGAGGTTTAGCGGGGAATCTGAGGTTTAGACTTGCTAATGAAGTGGAAGTAATTTTTATAAGTCGGGGTAATAATTGGCAAGCAACTACGAAAGCCCATAAGACTGCCAGGTAAGAATATCTGGTAAAAATCATACGAGTCGGAGTGTCAAATCCCATACGTGTGATGCACCGGAGGCGGCGTTTGAGGGCCTGCTACTTATTTTTGCAAACTAATCTTTACTACCCGTGTTATTTAATGTCCTTGCAGTACGATGTCCTTATTGTCGGCGCTGGCATCGCTGGCTCTGCTCTTGCCCACGCACTGTCGCAGTCTTCAGCTCCGCAACGTCGTATTGCACTCCTCGAGCGGAGCCTTGCCGAACCTGACCGTATAGTCGGCGAGCTGCTCCAACCTGCTGGTGTCGCCTTCCTCGACAAGCTTGGCTTACAGGGTGCATTAGAAGGTATAGACGCGATACCAGTACACGGATACGCGGTCGTTCAAGATGGTCGCATTGTTCATATTCCATATCCTGATGGACGAGAAGGACGGAGTTTCCATCATGGACTATTCGTGCAGGGACTGAGGGAACACGCAAAGCGCGCAAAAGGCGTGGATGTCATCGAAGCGACCGTAAACGAACTGGTGGAAGAGGAAGGAAGGGTCGTCGGTGTGAAAGCTACGCGTTCTAGCTGCAAGGAGAGGGAGGTTTTCCGTGCAGACTTAACAATTATTGCAGATGGGTGCTTCTCGAACTTCCGTAGCGCCATACAAGGTCCATCTGCACGTCCTTCAAGTACGAAGTCACATTTCTGTGGTGCGATACTCAAGGATGCACGGTTGCCGATGTCACAGCACGGCACTGTCGCGCTCGTACGTGGCCACGGACCCGTTTTGCTATACCAAATATCGGAACACGATACCCGCATACTCGTAGATGTCAAAGGTCCACTGCCATCCGACTTAAAGGTTCGCTTCTTGCCGCTCATAGTTTGCATGCGCTCAAGACCCCCCAGAAACATATCATCACCGAAGTAATGCCTTCCCTCCCTAATCAACTACATGAGCCGATCCGTGCTGCTCTTTCTGCTGATCGTGTTCGCCGCATGCCCAATTCATTCCTACCGCCTGCCCCTCAGACGCACAAACGTGGTGCTATCCTTATTGGGGACGCCTGGAACATGCGTCATCCGCTAACAGGCGGTGGTATGACCGTTGCACTGTCCGACGTATACATACTTTCCCAGCACCTCGATAAAATAAACGACCTACTTGACTGGAGCCAGATGAAGGACATTCTCGACAAATGGTGGTGGGAACGCAAAGGGCTGGCTGCGACTATCAATATTATGAGCGTCGCCCTTTATGACGTGTTCGGAGGTGATGGCGAGTGTTTGACTGTCTTCCAAGACGGATGTTTCAAGTATTTCGAAAGGGGAGGGGAATCCGTCCGTGGTCCAGTATCATTGCTGAGTGGGTGAGTGATCTCCCAATCATGATTGCCATGTTTTCTGTGTTGACCATCGACCTAGAATTGCACCTTCAACCTCACTCCTTGCGTATCACTTCTTCTATGTGGCATTGTATTCTATATGGTCGCTCTTTGCACACCCTCGACGCATGCGTGCACCTCGCGCAAATAGCAAGTCGCATGTGAATGACACTCCCAATATGACTGGGAATGGTGAAGTGCACACTGACGAAAAAAATTCGGACATGCATATCATGCAAATCCCTTCGATACTAGATTACCCTCGACTATTCTGGTTGAGCTGTAGAGTCGTAAGTTCTACTACTTGATCTTTAGTTATCCCGACTAACATTTTTGTGTAGTTATGGACGGCAATTGCAATTTTTGGACCCCTATTATGGACAGAGATTCGCTGGTGGTGAACTTATTAGTTAGAATTGAACAATTCAGGACACCTATATTTTGGAGTTATCGTACATATGTGCATGTGGCACCTAATTAATCATGTGGAGGTTCGGCTGTGAATAGTATTATGGTGTGTTTATGGCCTGTTCTGATCTCCTACATGAGTCTATTGTCAATCTAGAAACCTGGCGAACGTGTAGTGTACAGTGCACAACTACTGCCCGCAGGGTTCATAACTCGTGCGTCATGCGCCATTTCGGTTGCTCCTCAATTCTTCTAGAGTTATCAATGCGCATGTCGACTGCTGTTCCGTATCCGCTCCCCGTAATACCAAAATATCCAGGGCCTGCAGGTATTACTATCAAGGGTGACGACGAAAGGATAAAGGAGGAAGACATACGCGGGACAGCCTAAGACGTTCGCCGCAACTGCCAGAACAGTATTGCCATTCCCGAATCCGAGTGCGTCATACATTGCCGGAGCAAACAAGGGAAATCCAAAGCTTGCCAGTGACCTCAAAAAGGCGACAGCAGCAATTGCTGAGTGTGCAACATTTGAGATGAGTTACATGGGAACCAGATTATACGTACCGGAAGCGGCATGAAGCTGAAAGCATTCAAGGATGTAGGTCTGAATACACTGGAAACTCAGAATGATACCTGTGCCCACAAGTGCCATACCCTCTCGAAACCATCAGTAGAGAAATAATGCTAGGAGAATAAAACCAACAATATCTACAGCTATCCAATGGGTATGGGCTTCAGAGGTCCAGCCTACGATCAAGCACCCTATTGGAAGTAGCAGAGATCCAGGAACCATAGCAGCTGATGGTAAATCGAGTGAGCACTCAAGAAAGAGGACACTAGAATAATACAACGAACGCAATCTGAATAACTCCAACTGTGAAAGAACTATAAGCCTGATAACCATTCTGCTCTGCGTACGCAAACTCACTTTTTAGGATTTTGAGGGTCATCTGGGCCGTCCTAGTTAACAATCAAAATATCTGTACCATCACTCCTTGATCAACATGAAATGCATCTCGCGCATTCAATACGCCCACTGTGACACTGGAAGGATGATGTTATCACCAAATGTACAGGTAGTTTATTTGCTTCACTTACTAAATGGTACTACACGAGACGGTGACGGATGGAGGACGAGTGAATTTTCATCGACAAAATAATCATCCCTTACCGAAGCCCATTGGCTCAGAATGTAGTCATCTCGGTTGGAACTCGAAAAGGCTATGGTGATAAGCAACAATGATATTCCGCTCGTTCAGTTTGGTTATGAAAGAAAGATTAAGACTGCGAATGGGTCTATTAGGCTCCACCATAGTATCCGACTAGTAACTACGTGAAACTATCCGTTCGTGCTCGTATGGTGCAGAGATATCGATCTTGGCGGCCGACATGATTGTGATAGACGATGCTTTGGCCTGTGCTTGACACTTCAGGCTCCAAATAGGACCGCGGTAGAGAGATACAGCTTGCGTCCACCGTCAAGTGACAGACTTGAATCACTTGATGCAGATCAACATGCAGAGAGATATTCAGCAGGTGAGATGAGATACACATAAGTTCTGAAAATGACACAGGTCTGTGCGGGGACGAATCTGATATCCTAAGACGACAACGTACCCAGCAGAGTGCTGTCAAGCAGGCTTGCGACACGAGGTAATTGTGACTCTCAATGCTTTGTGACTTGCCTTTTATTTTAACAGGTGTACCATCGGCACATGCCAGGCTAGTTTGGATATTCAGATATGGAGTCTATGGCAAGCGCAGCGCCTTTCAGAACGGGTTATACAAGCAAAAATAGAAACGTACCATTCAGAATGGTCACAAGCATATCACAGAAGGTGGGAGACAGGCGGGAAAAGTTTGAGCGTCATAACTATCATTATAGAGGCGTGGCGTCATGCTGAGTTTGGGAGAGAGTCACGGTGGTCCAGGGATTGGCGACATGGTTCGTGCTACCATTGTACTGAGCACATGCATCAGACATCGCAGCTTCGATGATATATGAATACGTCTGCATTGCTGATGGAGTGGAGATGTATGCGCGTCGTCCCTCGTATATTGAACATGAAGAAGGATCTATATTTTTGTCCAAGTTTTCCATTTAGAGTATACTGGGTGTCTCTCTTTAGATTCATACGTCCAGATATATAAAAAAGACGCACCACAAAGCAACGAAAGCGGCTAGTATGCCAGAGGTGCTGTATTTTCTTCTCGAGACTATAAACGGTTGTAAGTTGAGCAATATTACTAGGTGTGAGAAATAACAACGTACTTTGATAATATACCATCCATACTCTTTCCGCTGTCGAGCACGCTCGGTACGCGCGTTAATGCGAAGGTGTATTGACTTATGCCGTCGAAACCCAGTGTAGTAGGGGCCCCCTACTGGCTAATTAATAGTGAGCGGATATTTGTCGATTTACTTGAATGATAAACATGACACAGTGAAAGGGTTCAAAACTGACGTAGAATGACGAGTCGGTCAAGAGTAAATCGAGGAGATAATTAATGACTCGACTGCTCCGACATTCGCCGTGTGCAGTCTGAGCCCGAGCAGAGAACGCGTTGATCCATCACGTGAGTAGCAAAATGAACAGTACAGTAAGTACGTGGATGTTCCCCGAATACTTATCCGAGTCCTGGCTAGTAACTGCTAGCTTCAGATCACATCTAGCCTACTGTACGCAAATAGTTTGAATTCAATTCTATTGCCATAATGCCGATACTCCTGCCGTTCCACAAATCAATACTTGAGGAGATTCACGACCCTGCAACTTCAGACTTGCTCATCCTTGCCCGTGGACTTGGACTTCGTCGTACCATATGCACGCTCATGCAAATATACGACTCAAAGCAAAGCCTTATTTTGCTTTTGAACGCTTCACCGGAAGAGGAGACTGCCATTGGGGATGAACTGGGTATCATGGGGTGCAGGCGGCCTGGATTGCGGATTGTGGGTTATGAGATGGGAAAGCGGGATAGGTAAGTCATTCATGCTTATGGTAAAAACCATCACTTTGAGAATGATTCGTAACTATTCGCGTCATTCTTCTGCAGCATATTAACACAACGCTCGCAGACAGGACCTCTACAAGAATGGCGGCCTCATTTCTGTCACCTCCCGCATTCTTATCGTTGACATGCTGCAATCCGACATTCCAACAGAGCTCATAACTGGTTTAATTGTTTTACATGCTGAAAAGTGCGTGACAGCTCTTCTGCGTTGTGTTCGGTGATGAATCGATGTACCACCTAGGGTCACTGCCCTCTCCCTTGAAGCATTCATTGTCCGGCTATACCGAGAAAAGAATAAGGCTGGCTTTCTCAAAGCATTCTCGGACCAGCCTGAGCATATAACCAGTGGCATGTCTCCGCTGAAGAACATCATGAAGGAGCTTCAATTAAGACGCGTTCATATATATCCACGGTGGGTGACCTCCTTCCTCACTGATGTTCGTATTCTTTGTCTTCTAGTGCTCTTATTTCCGTCTTTCTCATCCGTTTTTCGCTTTAGATTTCACGAAGACGTCAAGAACACGCTCGAAACGCGTAAAGCAGATGTCATCGAATTGTATCAGCGTCTTACAGAGCCTATGGAGGCAATTCACCATGCGATAGTCCAATGCATGACCATCACACTTTCCGAGCTCAAGAGATCTAATAAGACAGTAAGAATCTTTGAGCTGCCTTATTAGCCCCTGAACGAATCATTCATTCATCCCACAGCTTGAACTTGATGATCTTAATGTAGAGTCTGCATACTTCCGTTCCTTTGATGCAGTGGTCCGCAGGCAATTAGACCCTGTATGGCACAAGGTCGGTCCACGGACGAAGCAACTCGTGGGTGACCTCGCGACGCTCAGACGTCTATTAACGTATGTTTTATACTCTTTTAATTGTACACTTTGTCTCTGCTATCTACTATATTTCATGTGTTATGCTGTCCATTTTATACCGCTACTGATCTGGGCCCTCCATCAAGGTACCTGTTGTCCTATGACGCGCTCGCTTTTCACGCATACCTTGAAACTCTCGTAGCCTCAAATACCACAAGCGTAACTGGTGCAGCTAAACAACACCAGTCCCCTTGGATGCTCACTGATGCGGCTAATATCATTTTTAGCACCGCGAAACGACGGTGTTATGTCCTTACTGCTCCGAAACCTACATCTTCGGTTCCTGAGAGCCAAGTGATTGACGTTGACGATGAAGATGCATGGGCTGCACTTGATGAGGCCCATGGGTTGACAGGAAGCAATAGTAGAGATAACGGGAAGAAGAAGGAAGAGAAGAAACCATGGGTTCCGGATAACATGTCTCCAGTGCTCGAAGAGCTTCCAAAGTGGGATCTCCTTGCAGATGTACTTCAAGAAATCGAGGAAGAGTTGATGAGACAGGAGGCAGTGTCGACTCGTGAGTCCCATTGACCGAAAAACGATTCTCTTGCTTAACGCGCGTCAGGTCCGCCAACTCGCGGGACAAATACGGTACTTGTCATGACCTCCTCTCCACGTTCTTCTACCCTTGTGAGTGAGTTCCTGGGGGAGATGGACGGTACTGCTCAGAAAGGCTCTCGCGGACGATCCATGATGGAGCGCAAATTACGGACATACCTGTATTGGAAAGGCCAGAACGCCAGACAAAAACAACCAAGGTATCAACAACCACCTCGGTTCTCTGCCCCGCAGTCACAGTCATCACAACCTGAGGGCGAGAATAGTGAAGCTTTGAAGAGGAAAGATAAGACGAGACAAGAGCGAAGTGCGAATCGGAGAAGGGTGCGTGGTGGTGCACCAATGACTGTTGCACCAAGTAAACCAGCGGTTGTCGATCCAAAAGTGGAGTCGAGAGACGATGGAGATGATATTGCAGCCTTGTACGTCAGGATGCTTGTAATTGTGTATTCCTCACTAAGATTGGATTCAGTCTCGCAAGTCAACCTTCAGACCTCCTTGTCTCCTCCGATGCAGACGCTCTCCTCCTTGAAACGCTTCTCTCAAGCGAAGCAGAAATAGACTTTGACACGCACTACGGCTTGCTTGTGCCCTCGCAGATGGTTGTTGTGCGAGCATATACTGATGACACGGACGACCAGATTCTCGCAGAACTGCAGCCGAGATTTATTGTGATGTTTGAACCCAACCTTGATTTCGTGAGGCGCATCGAGGTTAGTCTTTCATATGAGAGATGTTGACACCCTTGAGTTTGATGCGGCAACTTAATAGGTGTACAGAAACTCTAACCCTGGTATGGGCGTCCGTGTATATTTCATGGTCTACCAACTCTGTTGCGAGGAGCACAAGTACCTTGCTGGACTGAGGCGCGAGAAGGAATCTTTCGAGAAGTTGATCAGGGAACGCGGAGTACGTCGTTTGGTTTCACTATCTTACGCGTGGTGCGAGTCGTTCATTACCATGTCTAGTCCATGCTCCTGCCGATCTTCGAGGACAAACACGCTGGGAAAAGCGATGCAGTCATCAAAACAATCAGCACCCGTCTCGCAGGCGGAAGGAAGGAGCTGAGTACTGTGCCATCGCAGGTAATCGTCGACATGCGTGAATTCCGTTCCACACTACCTTCGCTTCTTCACGCATCTGGCCTGCTCGTTATTCCGGCGACGCTGACTGTCGGGGATTACATCCTCACGCCGGATATTTGCGTCGAGAGGAAGAGCATACCTGATCTAGTCGCGAGCTTTAATAGCGGTCGATTGTAAGTCTCTCGGATTCGTGCTTCTTTATCGCTGACGAGTTGCAGGTACACGCAATGCGAGCTGATGTCCGTGCACTATAAGCAGCCCGTATTACTCATCGAGTTCGAGGAGAACAAATCATTCTCACTTGAGGTACATCTTATACCACAGATCTCCAAAGATCTAGTGTCTCACCTCTCTTCCAGACCGTAGCAGAATCAGCAAAGTCGTATGCCAAGCCCACAAGCAAATATCCCGCGAAGAAATCAACAGGTCCAACAGATTCTGATCGCGCTCCTCCCTCTATTCAATCCAAACTTGTTCTCCTCATGCTCCACTTCCCTCGTGTTCGGATCATTTGGTCGTCGTCCCCTTATGGTACAGCAGATATATTCAACGACCTCAAAGCCAACGCCTTCGAGCCGGACCCTAACCGCGCGATTGCAATCGGCGCCGAGGAAGACACAGAAGCGGGCGCAGGCATCAACGCTGCTGCAGAGGAGCTGCTCCGATGTCTACCAGGAGTGACAGCGAAGAATGTTAAATATGTGATGAACAAGATAGGGAGTGTCAGGGAATTGTGCGAGCTGGACAGAAAGGGCGTGCAGGATATTTTGGGTGTTGAACCGGGGAATGCGTGTTATGACTTTATGCATCGGGGAGAGAGGAAGACAGGCAGTTCATAACCTTCTTCTGTGTTAGAACGCAAGGTACTCGTCTAAATGTTGTATGAAATCGTACACGATTTAGGAAACACGAAGGCGAAGATGTAGAACTGTAAGTCGGTCTTGTTCTGTAAAAATATAATGTTGAAACGAAACATGGGCACGCGTTGAGAGATTTAAGCACTTCGTCGTTATGTATGCGATTTACAAACTTAGACCCCGTGCCTTGTCAAGTCAACGAGTAGCGCTGATATATAGACGGCTAACGCAGCACAGTCGAATTACCAAGTACACGAGATACGTCAAGAATGTCCATTGGGTATCGACATGCCAGCTGGCATGTACAATAATATAAATATATCATAACACCCCTAGTCCACTTCATAACATGCAGGCCCAAATTTTCTCCCACCCATGACCAAGACCACTATACCAGCGTAATTTAGAGAGGGACAACCGTAAATGGGTACCATCAGATCGAATAGCCTCCTCTCCAGGACTAGATATAGTCCCAGTCCCAGTAAACGCCTGTATTGCATTGGGGATGCCGTTTTGGGTCCTCAGCACGGTTGCGGGAAACGCCAGCAACTCCATATGCATATCAACTCCCCTATTGCTCAGTCCACTCACACTGACGGGAGCTTGGGTACGCGGGTACGGTAGGGTGACGGTTTGAAGGCTCTTGAAAGAAGCCAATGGAGCGGTCTTCATCCAATCAGGCAGGCGATAGGCTTGAGATGAAATCAGCGGCTGGGGGGACGTGTAGTCGCGGTATACGTATGTGATGCTTGAGAGGTGACAAATTGAAGCAAGGAAAGCAGACCCTTGGGGAGTGTCTGTGAGGCTGTTCCACTTTGTGCCGTGGATGGGGTTCCCAACTGTGAGTGACAGTGTTTGGGTCTTCCAGGGAGGCTGGGAATGCTCTTCGTTGACAGGTGTGGCTGGACGGGACCTCCATGCGTGTTCTAGACATTCTATAAGAAGGTCCACACTTTTCCAACTGAGGGCAAGTGATGGCGCAGCGAACATCACCGGAGTGAGAAGGCTGATGGCATGTGAACGCTCAGACGCAGATGTGAAATTGTCATCCGGGGGTCCAATCCACATCTTGCGCACATGTGATGCGTAGTCACACTGAAATGCGTTGTTTGCCTTCTTGTATGCTTCTTGTATAAGCAGAGCTTGCACGAACGCCGTCACGTTTCGAGATTTCGGTAGTAGTATAGTGTGCAGGAGTTCGGGAAGCGCCGCGCGCCTCAAAAATTTGGAGACGAGACAGAGATTAAGTGCGGATGAATATGGACTTGCGCGATCATATCTTTCATCTTGGTCAAAGGTGGGTTGCGCGGCATATATAATGATGATGTGGACAAGCTCTATGGGAAGGTCAGCAAAGCAAAAACGAGCCATGACGGGCGAGCAAGATGTGAAGCTAGTTTGAAGAAGCCCTGCCTTTAATACTTGCCTCATTTATTGTAGCGTCATACACAGCAGTGTAAGCACATTGTGGGTGAGACCACGCGTTGTGGCCTGGTGGTCTATAGCAGTGTCCTTGTTCCTTGTAGGTTGCACAATGTGCTCGGGCCCTGTGAAACTTCAAGGTTTCATAGTGATGATGCAAAGGTAGCACGAACCATAGAAGTATTCTTACTTCTGACCAAACTCGAAGCACGTCCACAATCTCATTCAGGTTCTGTGGTGCGGCAGAACCTCGATAGCACATGATTCATTGCTGAGTTTAAGTTTCTCCTGGGCAAATTCCACTGTTTTTGAGCGATACGGATTCTGTGGCTGAATGTATCAAACACTCAGCATTGCAGGCCCGATGGCCGTCAGCTTGAATATCACCAAATCTCCCTGATCCATGAATAGTACCGTGACCGATCACTCCTCCACCGCTTGTTGTTCCACGTAAAATTTTGCCTTGTTCATCTCTCGAACCGTGCTACACATTGATCAGGTCAACAATGTGGTCGGAGAACGAATACAAATATTAATCCCCCCCCCCAACAAAACCAATCTCGTTCACCTCTTACAGTTGTGCGTGCCGCCAGATCAGGATGAGCTGCAATGGTGAGAAGAGACGCCGAATATAAAGTTGAAAAAAAAGATAGGGCACTGAGGCGAGTGTGCAGAGAGAAGTAGGCGGAACTGTTAGTCACGTTCGTTCGACGTCCAAGTTCAAGTTGATGTAGATTACACATGCTTTAGATTGGCAATTTGGGAAGGTCGAAAACGTTGTAGTACGGATGCAGACTTCGCTCGATTTTGTTGGAAGCTTCCTTTAACCTTCTGTCCATTTGAGGATTTGAAACTGAGAACCCGTTGCGGTTCAATATGGTTGGTTGACCTACGGTTCAAAAGTCTTGCAGTCAGCTCGATACGTGCCATATGCATATATTAGTACCTTGCTACGCACCAGTCCGCATGCATAACTTTGGCCAAAAAGATGTGCGGGAAGCGGGACGCAACCTTGCGTCTATGGAGCTATTACAATTACCATTGTTTCTATTCTCCAGTGCTACCAACTTCAATGCATCCCTAGCTTGATAGGCAGGAAAGCTTCCTTGAAACTTGGGTGTGTGAAGTGGAAATCATGCGCTGGCAGTGAGGAAGCAGAAAGACGGATTAAACTTAAAAGACACTTCAACTTCAAAAGTTGATGACATGCATATTACGTAGTGAGCGAAGCCTTGAGCGCTTATTTTATAAAGCCTTCGAGAGTAACATTGTCACATTCGATTAATGCCGGAGTCACCACACCAACTTCAAGTTGAAGGCGACCTCGCGCTGCATCTTTGAATTACTTGTCATCATCACTGTGTGAACAACTCAAAATCAAATGTTTCGTCGTCGCAATATTAGGCGTCCAAGCCCATCAGGAAAAAACATGTTGACTATATAGACCTATATAGTCAGGGTAGTGCGTGTAGTTCCGTAGTCAAGTCCCTTCTATGTAGTCAGCGCTGTACTACATAGTATCATGTAGCAGGCTACTAGCAGCTACGAAGTACTACTGTAGTTCATAGGAGTGCTACTACATGCAACTACCTGCAGCTATATAGAACCCATAGTTTGTCGGAGTGCGCAGTAACCAGCAGCTAAATCACATGCAAAAAAAAACCAATAGCATCTGAATTCGAGTACCCGACACATGAGATAGTATAGTATAAATGTCCTACTCAATCCTCCTCTTCATCTGCACCTATAAACCTGCCACTCTCGCTACAAGCCTCCACATCCTCCTCCTCCTCTTCATCCGCATCTATAAGCCCGCCACTCTTGTTGTCGTCCGATACGTCCGAGCCGAAGAAGACCGAGGGAACCAAAGCTGAGGAACAGGAGGACAACTAGATGGTGCGAGTGCAAGGATAAAGGCACAGGGACGAGGGAGAGGTGACATCGGGCCCAAAAGCTGAAAAGTTTCCAAGTTTTATTTCAATATATCAGTTAGAAAAACAACTTACAGTATCAGTATAAAGTCTAGCGAAAGGACGAATGAATGTCTCAATTCTCTGCAGAAACTGAGATGTGAGTTTACATTAGTTCATTATTTGATTACCAGTATTGATGTGACGCAGTAGGCTTACCTGTTAGGTAGATGTTTCGTCAATGGAGTTCTTTGCAGAAACTGAGACTAGGTTTACCTGTTAGCTCCGTCGCTCCATTCACTAATTCTCGCGAGGAGTTCATAAGGCGCAGTGCGCTCATAGAATAAGTGCGCATGTACTAGTAGTAGCCAATCATTAATCAAGTCCTGTCAATGTCAGAGTGAGAAAATCTTGAGCTCGAATGAGGATCGACACACTCACTCTCTGCAAACGGTGGTCAACGACTTCGATCAGCATGGCTCGAGCCCGAAAGAAGATCAACACACTCACAAACTGTGAATGGCAGGCAATGATTTGAATCAGCATGACTCGAGCTCAAAGGAATATCGACACTCACAGGCTGTCACTACTGTGCACCTTTGCGAAATCGGACAACAAGGTGCTTCATTTGTGGGACTTGAAGACAGGTGTTGTGTTGAAGAAGACCTTGAATAATTTGGTTTAAATAGAAAGAACAAGATTGGGATAAATAAAAATCATTGCGCACCTCAATATGAAAATTTAAATAAGAAACAGGCAGCTGTCTCGGGCAGAGAAGTTAGAACATCGAAGTTGGGAAAATTTTTGATCATACGTGAGCGCACCGTCACGTGAACAAACATGTACAAATGTTGGACTTTGGAAGTTTTCGAACCCTGTACCTCTCTATTGGCGACATTGCAAAAGAAAAACGGCAGGAAACATCAGCACAAGCGCAGTCATCTCATATCTGTTTCCCACTCTTCAAGTTCCATACCTGCAGCAAGCCGTCCCATGAACAAGTCATTATCTGTTCTCCGCCTGGCAGATGTATAGCTTCCTCGACTGAATGGGTGTCCCTCAAATCTCTGGCGGGGTGTGATCGTCGGTCCCTCCTTCCTTCTAATGATGGGTGAAGACATCTAGGTGCAGTTCCATCTCAGGTTTCATCCAACAAATCCCAGTTCTTCACTTACAATGATACGTTCCTCAGCTTCTCAGAATGTATTGGCAGCAAGGCACAAAAAGTGTTTAGGTCAAGAGTGCCGACACTCTCGCATGTCGTGTTGTGCAAGTAAGTATTATCTATGCTTGGTCATCAACACTCATCTTTACAACTCGTACATCAGGCATATCTACATGTTCAACTCGGAATCAAAGCTTTGGGTGGCAAATTTTTCCAATGATAGTACCGTGCAGCACTTAGTCGAGGCATTTTACAAAAACATGTGCGGGGATGGCACAATGAATTCCAAGCGAGCTGCCTGGGCGCTGCACTGAGCAGTCCAGTTGTTGGCCTCCGACAAGGACTTACCCTTGGACCAGCGCATAGTGTTCGTGCATATTGGTGTATGATCTATTTCGTGTGTCCTCTCCCTTTTTTGTCAAGTGTTCTTGAGACCATCTAACCACTTCGCATGTAGTATCCAGCCATGGCTACGTTGCCAATAACTCCAAATTCGATATTTCAGTGAGACTGTACACCTTCACGATGTACACCTAAATCTGATGTCAAATTCAATTTGTATTTTCCAGTTTGTTGCCTCCGAGCAAAAGGTGGCTGCTCCTAAGGTTTGTGTGAGGGTCATGTTCAACATTGTACCTTCGGTTTGAACGTGGTCTGGCATATCATCTCATAACGGCAAGACACTTTTGACACTCTTTCCACATCTCCGGCTGAATGCCATTGTCCAAGACATTCTGCATGTCCGCTATTAATTAGTTTTGTTACTACCCAGCTACTATCGACTACGAACTGAAATTTTGCTATTGCGACTCCTGGTTACTACCAGCGCCCACCGTAGCCTCCTGTAGCCCACTGTAGCTCTATATAGTCTGAGTGACAGCTACGTGAACTACATAGACCTATGGTGACTATATAGTACTATATAAGCGTCACCAGGACTCCTACGATTTTTGTTTTTTCCTGATGCCAGCGCCGGGACTCGTTGACTTTACTGCCGAGCGAGGTCATCCGTCAAACTTTGTCAAATCTAGATTGGAGAACTTTATTAACGTTGAGACTCGTAGGGTTCTCCGAAGCTGTATCTACCTGAGTACTCACACCTACTACTATTAGGTATGCAAATTTCTCTGCTCGACAGTGGACGAAAGTCCTTCTGCCCAGTATGCCACTGAGTTGGCTGTGTCTGGCCTGGAGGATGGTAGGTCACGAAGCCCGCTCACAGTCGCATCACGACTTGCGTTGCTCAAGGAGCGCAATGAGCACTGGGAGACATTACAATGTGTAGAGTCGCGAGACCTACCCCTACTTCAAGACGATGATGAATGGCAACTGTGTGGAGGAGTACTCGCCCAGTCTAATCTGTTGGGAACCATGCGTTTGTATCAACTCCCTTCGCAGTACCGCAACATTACAGCCAGATCATGGAGGATACCCTTGCTTAGCAACACCGAGGACTTTACGATAGATCCTGCCCAAGATCTTCTGGTGCTTGTTGAGAAGCCCGTCCTGATGTACGTTTCCTTCCTGATGCATGTTCTCTGATTCTGAAACAAGCCTACAGTCCGGCCCACAATAATACAAAGTCATATATGCGGATTCGAATACATCCACGATCCCTCACCACTGGACATACACATCCGTCTGCGGTCGAAGTCATTGATTATCGCCTGTATATGCGATCTGCTAAACTCGAAATGGAACTTAGCATCCAAACATGTAGCGAGTACCTCACTATCTTGTTTATAATCGAAGACAACACGTCAGAGCTCGTCGTGTGGAAGTGGAAAATGGGTCAAGTAATACTGGTGAGTCAAGATGAAGCTGAGTCCGTGTTACCTTTTGTTCTGATGTATATTCTAGACATGCACCAGTCGCGAAATCACCACCTTCGCCTTCCTCACACCTCACCTTCTGTTAGTGGGAACGGTGATTAGTGATGTGCACGGCTCGGCTTGAGGCCCTGGGCCGGCCCAAGCCGGGCCCAAATAAGCCGGGCCCAGCCCAGGCCTAAGTCACGGCCTTCTTCGCCGTCTAATGAAATAGTGCCAGCAACGCCCTCCCCAGAAGTGTTCACCGGTATCTCGTACACCAGCGTGCGCATATCTTCTTTTTGAATGGCTTTACGGATATGCTCCTCCAAGCGACTCGTGAGCAGAATGTGGAATACAGGAAGTTCAGGATCACGAAGAACCTCCCCAAGGAGGGAAATCAGATCGGCGACCGTTTCAGGTTGGCATTCATCGAGGGCATCAACAACAAACACCGGAGGCGGACACTCGCGCAGACTGGATTGCAGGTGCCAGAGAGGTCGGCGAAATAACGCAATCATCTGTGCGCGAAGAGACTGGCTGGAGCCTAGAACCGCAGGATTCTCGCGGATAGCTTTGCTCACTTCGCTCTTGACGCTGGGGAAATTGATCCCAAGCTGGTAAGCAAGGGTCACAAAGAAATGACCAGATGTGCTGCGCTGCGTGTGATTGCGCGAGAAAAAGAATGTTCCCGCAAGCCTTGTTTCGATTTTCGTCGTCTCCGATATCATCAGGCCTTTCATCTCCTCGGCCACAGTGAATGCCACGGCAGATTTTCCGACGCCCGCAGTGCCATGCAACCAAATGATCTGACTCTTCTCTCGCTTGTCCAACAATTCACGGATGAATTTGCGAAGGTCCACTCGGGTCCCTTCCAAACATTTTGGATGGGGCTGGCGTTCAGGGGAGTCGTATTGAGCACCCAGGGCAGCAACCTGGGACAGCTCCTTCCAAGTTACTTCGGTCATTGCTAGAAGCTCTATCAAACTGGTCAGAGAGCGGGGGAGGCGATAAAGGAAGGAGATATCTACATCGATCTTAGTCGCTTATCGATAGAGTGCGACACGGAATGGGAGTTGGAATAGGTCAAGTCGGGGAAGCACTACTTCAGTTCAACGATGTAATTAGAGATCACGATGGAGGATAGATGTCTCAGAGGGGACGACATACAGCTTTGATTGAGGAGTCGATTGCGACGATGTCTAAGCTGTAACTTCGTTTGAAATCAAAAGGGTTTAAGTGGTGATGGTGAAACGATCAAGCAACAGAGATATCACAGGATGCTTGAGATAGAATGGACGGTTGATTGCGATTGTATTCAAATGTCGATAGATGGCTCGTGGTTGAACTTTGCAGTTGAGTTGAAAAGATAAGCGGGCGCTTGTCTGGCTGCAGGTCCGACCTGGAAGGCACGAGGCTGTTGCACAGGATGTTTAGGGTAAGTACTAAACTAAAATTCGACTTGGAGAATGTCAAAGCTGGATTTCAGACCTATGGACGCGTACCGTCGATCATGTATTGTGTACCAATACAAATAATACTCCAAGAAAGGATGCTGTCATATAAATGGAGGAAAGTTGAAACAACCAAACGAAAAAAAAAGACAAAGGATGGTGTAATATCTACTCATCATCACTCGGCGTCAGGCAATCATTGCATCATCGCTGATCACTTGTTTGCAACCAGTACTCCGAGCTTTGCCCCGCTGCGGTCGTCCATAGGCGTCAGCCTTTGAGATGCGATTCTATTGAGTATAATACGAATTGGTGCATGTAAAAGTAGGGAATTATGTCCATGCTCCACGACAAACGCGTTGCGACACTCACCGTATGAAATACCTTCCAGCACCGCCAGCGATAAAGTGTCCATATCCGAGGGGATGCCAGCCTTGCCGGGGAGATGGTGTGTGCATCGAATGTTATATAAGTGATTGCATTGGGTATGCAAATCTGCAGGTGACCGAGGTGGGACTCGATCTAGTGGTGAGCATCAGAGCATGGAGGACACATATGGGAGCATAGGCTGAAGAAGAATAAACGGTACTTCCTGAACTTCCCGGGTGTTGCCGAAATTCTTCTAAATATACTGAGAAGCAGACTCCGAGTCGGACTCCAGAGCTCCACGGATCACGACACAGCAATTTCAATTTCTTGTCGCTCTCTTGTCTACCTGCACCACCCAGCACATCTCTATGCCCTCAAGCTTCCAGCACCTGCCACCAGTAGCCATAGAATTGATGTATCAGTCCTTATTGTGATAGTGCAACAAAAGTTGTACACATTAATGTGGTCATTCTGCGCAGTGAGGTGACTTACAGCACTTATCAGATGTCTCGGAGTGGCAGTACTGCCATTTACACAGTGAGGATTGAGGTTCTCTACACACCCACTGACTGGTTTGAAGTCTGGCCTCAAGTTTCATGTGGGTACAAGGAGCTTGAAGCTGCAGGGTCGCACCAAGGGCATGACATTTCGTGACCAGTGATCCGATACAGTGGTAAGTTCTCCGGTATGACTATCATCACACGAGGAACACTTGCCTGAACTTGAACTTATGCACCTTAGAATCTTATCTCGTCCCGCTTGTCGTGGTGCTAGAAGCTCTGATGTGTCATTTTTCAGATACTGCTGCGTCACGGGTGCCAATTCTATGGGAAGTTTTGCCATCTGCATGGTGAGCGCTAGCTCCCGAGTTATTGTCCAAGTGATATTTACATACTGTGTTGCCGGCGAAATTGGTTCTGGCAATCCATAATCATGATGTCTTCCTCAACGCAAGACCTCGTCACACAAGTTGAGCTCGGGAACACGTATGGAGCACTTTTCATTGGGGCCATCATTGCAGCCATGTGAGTGGAGTTCGAACTATCCGCTTGCTTTTCGGACGAAACTGACACCACCTGTGTGTCTTATCAGTCTTTTTGGTTTAACCAACGTTCAAGTTTTCATCTACTTTCAGACGCAGAACATTCTTTAAGCTAGTCGTGCGTCCATGCCGCCTTCTTTCTAGTTCTGTCTTTCACGCTATATCAACAGGTCCTCTTATTGTGGTAAGTCTTCGACTCGTCGAACGCGTGACAGTCATGCCACATCATGAACTTATACAGGACACTCGATACTTTTCACCTGATCTTCATCGTTCATTGCATCTACTATTATTTAGTGACCCACTTCGCGAACATTGGTGCACTCACAGAAATTGTATGGAGTTTCAAAGTGAGTTCTTTCATGTAGCTTCTGTTATCATATTGATAAACTCGTGCAGCTTCAGATAATATTTGACGTAGGTCGTGTTTCCTGAACTTTGATCCGCCTCAAGTACGCACCCCACAGGTCCCCATCATCCATGGGGTACAACTGTAAGTATGTTGATGTGCAGTATCACATACAATGTAATACTTCCTCATTTTATAGCCTGTATGCCCATCGTATATGGACAGGTATTTGTTCTCTTATCTATGGAGTGAATACACAATTTACGGACCTAGTCAGCAAGGGCCGATCAAGAGTTCTCCCGATTATAGCGGTGGGCTTTTTATAGACGTTCACGTCTTCATTTTGGAATTTGATGATGCTGCACTATTAGGGCATATTCGCGGTCCTAAGTTCAAGTGAGTTTATCACCCTGAAATATTTCTCAATCGTGAATCATGCCATTCAGGTTTATCCATCCGTAAGAGTTCGAAATTGCTCTTGTTGGCTCGTCATCTTTACTTTGAATGTTAACCCGGTGATAGCCCTGCTTTGGGCGCTGTGAGTAGAACAGTGGACTCTCTTACTCCACAAAGTGTTGATTGCGAGTAGATTTCAGTGTCACCTGTTCTCTGACTTGATTAGAGTCGAATGGGCGACATACATGGCCTTGACCGTGATTAGTTGTGGTGATGTTCTTAATGCATCATTATTATGCTATCTCCTCGCTACCTCACGTACAGGGTTCTCTATGTAAGAGCTGGGCCATTCGCTGTCGGAATCTGATAAGCCAACACAGCGTCTTGCTTAGCACCGATTCTTCTATACAAAAACTCATGGGTTTAGTCATCGAAACTGGCTGTCTTACGAGGTGTTTCTCCTTACATCCTGTTCCGTCTCTTAACTCATATTCCGTGTAGTGTATGTTCGGTGACAGCCATCATTACAGTGAGGTTCCAGTTCCTGTGATGTCCCTCGCGTCTCTGAGAGTCACCTACAGTGCGCAGTGATGCCGAAGAACTACATCTTTCTCGGTTTTGAATGTTTATTGGCTAAATGTAAGATCAAAACATTATCCGAGGATCGTACTGACCAATGATATGGTGTCAAGTATATGTCAACTCGTTTATCGCACTCCTGAACTCGCGATACTACCTGCAGGCCAACAGAGATAGCACCATTTCTTCCAAATCCAATGTCAGACACAGCGTCTACCTCTCGGAGCGGTACTTTCCCTCGTCACAAGACGAGAGACTCAAAGGAGAACATTTTAATCATGCAGATGATGAAGTAACAGTGCATCCCGCTCGACCTATCCAAGCTGGTAGTTGTGTTAGTGTCGATGAAACAGAAGCCACAGCGTCTACTTGCGGTGATAGTAAAAAGACATCATATCTTGAATTTGTATGATGGGATGAATGGATCGTGACCCGCTTATTCTTACCTATACTATGTATTGCTGTTCCGAGAACACGTTGAGCCAAATCAGTGAGCAGCTACTATGTCTCGGGTTGTAGATATGTGACTTGAATCAGCCCATCAATACAACAAGGGACCAGTACTATAGTAGTGCCAGCAAGACAAGATAATGGTCAGGGAACTACAATGCAACTTGAGCTTGAGGGACCAAGTTGGACTCGCTATCTAGTGGTCTCATCAATGTAGACGCAGCGCTTGGAGTGCCATCAAAAATTTACCTAATGACTCAGTACTCAGGCCGGGGACATCATCCGATGACCGGATGATAATTTTGCAACTCCGAATCCGGTCGGATACATGAATTACTTCCTTCAAGGCTTAGTCTGACAATACGTACCTGTTGCGCCCAGCTCTGCGCAACCTGGACAAAATTCAGGAAATAATATTGCGTCTATTTTCCATCATTATTCCTATCGTCGAAAATCTGATCAGGCTGCTGGAATGTACACATGTATAATCCTCAATCATAGAAGAATGAACTTTGAAAACCGCGACGCACCACCTCAACCGCTATTAAATTTACCGATCAGTTTCAACTGGAAGGAGATCAAACCGGATGTCACGGAAGATGTAGCGCCCCGTATATAACTAAGCTGACGAAGGTCCTTGGCCCTTTGTCAGAATGCTGTCTGCAAGGAAAGCAGCTTGGCTTTTTCTTGCCTTTGAACGGGTTCTAAGTGCACAGATACCTCTGTCGAGCCATCCGCCTCTATCCTTCTACCCGGGGCTCGAAACCGATCTTGGACAGTGGGACCTTGATGAAGGACCTGCGGTGAACGCGACAGGACACCTAGTGTTCGAAACGGTCAATTCTCTGCTTCAAATCTGGCCAAATACACGTCATCGTATTGGTATGTCTGAAAATACTGAACACCACGCAGATGAGTCATGATTCATCATCTGTGTCCTGCAGGTCATACAATAGTCCCAGGAATCATCCCCGTGGGCACTATTCTCTACCATGGAGCCGCCGGTCCCCATTTACCGACTGCTTTGGATTGGGTGGCTGTAGAGCCAGAACACTCCATGCTTTTCTGTCAAGGGTCAATCGAAAAAGGATGCTGGCACCTCACTCTTACAGTCACTCGACCGATGAAAGTGCTGTATTTTGACGGAAGCAGCGCTGCGAAACTTCTCGAGGGCACCATGGACACCCAAGATCTCGTGGCATGGTCGGAAATGAAACCTGAGTGGGTGGAAAATGAAGAGCAGCGCATAAAGGATCTGTGTAAATGGGGTCGGAAATATGGGGTGAATGGCTTTGTGAGGTTCGTTGGATTTGAAGATGCGTCAATGTCGAAGCTGATTTGCGAATTATAGGATGGAAATGAATTTGTGCGAACTCATATGTAGTTCTTTGGGGATTTGTTATTAACAATAGTTGCAGTGAGATCATGATCTGCAACTTCACTTCTCACATGGAGGCCGTTTCATTCTCGAATCTCGAAAGCACTCGGCTCAGCAGCAGCACAAATCCAGAGCTGCCTGAGGACCCCAATACTAGTGAGCGACCGACCATGTGTATGTTTTGACGTAGGTCTGATTTATGAACACAAGTGCATTACGCTTTTGAATTAATGCATTCTTCATCATGGCACGACTATTATCCAGGAGAAACTCGAATCATGCTTGATTTTTCTGGGCTAGTCTCTTTCTACGATACCGATCTTGTTCCCTCCTTGGTGCCGCGCCGTGTAGGCTTGGAGCGGTGGGATCATCGAGTAGCAGGAATATCATCCGAGGATATAGAACGTGTCCAAGACAGGCTAGCTCAAGCGTTGGTACGACCACCCGTGACAACCAGCGGCATTGACTGGAAAACGGTCTTGCGAGTGGTGGTTGATCGATATGCCAGCCGCCTAGAGTTTATGCATCACCTTTTGAACCTGACGTTGGACGATGGGTCAATCTTTAACCACGCACAGCAAATTCAGAGACAACTGCGCACCGTGCTTCTTCCTTACACTGTGTTTGCAGCTTTACCTCCCAATAACTCCTTCACTGCCAACGCGACAAATTCATGGGCTGCGCCAGTTTTTCGAGAATGTGCTACGTCGCACACGGCGTCCATAGTGTCTCGTGGAACGACACTGATGCCCTCCGAACGCTCGCTCCTGCAGGCGGTTCGGGAAACTACGCATGAAATATGCCGCGTCGTCACGAAGATGTGGGCTTCTGGAATGATTCTTGGAGTCGACCCTCTTTATCCTCCAGAACTACGCCCTGAAACTGATCACATACGTACTCTCATGGATGAATGGAAGGAGGATGTGACGCAGCTGCTCTCCTGGTTAGATTGGAGCGTGTGGGTCAAGTGCCGACCGGCCTGTGGTTTCGAGGTGACAAATCAAGTTACTTGTTTGCGAAATGACTGACTTCGTCGTGCAGGAGATGTGCTATTTGCCTACTTGGCCCATAGGGTTTTTCCCGACTCCCGGCGCACCACCTCGAGCTCAATGGGATAATACTTCCTTATGGCCAGACCCAAACAACGGGGAATGGAGGAGACCACAGCCGAAATGCATCAGGCGGCTGGAGCCATATGGTTTTTAGGATATATGATTTACATGCACTGTCGCTAACATATAGACGTCTTTTGTACGTAGTCTGACTTGTAAAATAATTGCTCTGGAGTTTAAGCGCGCCGCGCGCCTGACGTATGTACTTTGAAGCCACAGCCAGTACTATTACAAATAGTGATATCAAAAAAACGAGCTTGATTTAGCTGTATGTACCATATAGTGTACCTTACATATCCATTAGTCAGGTAGCATTGCGAATGAGTCATTGAACTCACCTGAAACGCGCATTTAGTCAGGGTGGCATTGCGAATGAATCATGGAACTCACCTGAAAAGCGGACTGGCATCGCCCATGTCCTTGAATTCGTATCGCAGCAGAGTAGCCAAGCTCGTTGATGATGGTCGGTGAAAAGAAGGCAATGGCATGACCGGGGACATCTATGCAGGTGCGTCAATGGAGATCATGCAGTACTGTGGAATGCAGGAATACAAATCAGTAGGAGTTAATGCAGAGTGCTGAAATTGAGTAGTTACACGCTGTACGGTGGCGGTTAAGGATTTGTTGTCAGCCGATAACGTTGTGTTGGAATCTTCAAGGCCCAGAATTTTCTGGGATAACGTTGCGTTGGAATCTTTCAGCTCCCAAATTTCCTGGGCCTGATTCTTGTTAGCTTGCTCATTGACTCGGAGTACTTGGTCCCAGGTACATACCTGTTGAGTGCGGGAAATTTGAGCTCATTGATCTTACTCGTAAACTGCTTGGAAAACGTGTTCATCGCAATCTGTATGGTGATGTTGACGGAGGCTGAGGCGGATTCCGACATGGGTGCTGAGGCGGATTCCAACATGGATGCTGAGATGGATTCCTACATTGAGACGGATTCCGAGATGAGTGCTGAGACCAATTCTGAGACCGGTGCTGAGCCTTCTTCCGCCAAACGAGCTGAATGCGATTGAGTACCAGAACGATGGTGCAAGAATATTGAAACCAACTACCTTTCTTTCTTTTCTTGCGCCGGGAAGACTTTGATGTATTTTGCTGTGCTCGTTTCAAGTCTTCTGCTTGTATCACCCATTCAGCGTTCGCCTCTGTCGTGCGTCTCTCCAGTCGTACTCTGTAGTCCTTCAACTCTGCCCGCTGTTTCTTGTTTGCATCCACGAGAGAATGCGTCTTTGGTATTGTGAAATGGGCGAGTTTCTACCTGTTGATAGGGGTTGCCCTACAACCATGTTCGTATATTCACCGTCTGTATAAGACGAGCAGGAAAGTTGATAAGTGTACGGTTGAATAGTATCATGGCGCTCACCAATTAAAATCCTAGGGGCTGTTAGCTCGATAGGAGACGGGGGTTGAACGTTGAACGTTCAACCTCGTCGTTGTACTTTGCGCTAAGTTGTTGCACAAGCGTGCACCGAACTACCTCTTCTGTCTGGGCGTCTCTGTTGACAATTCGTGTGCATGAAAGACTGGGGTCTACAAGGACCCCAGTTATTTGGACTGCAGATGATGGCATTGCGGAACGGAGGGAGATACGAGTACGAACTCCAACTACCTGTTATACACTCAAACAGGTCATGGTTTGAAATGTTTTGACGTGTTGGCTCTTTGTTGTATCCCTGACATCCCGACGAGTCCTTGTAGCCGTGAGACGGGTAGAATCCTGCTCCTGCTAAATATCATCATTTCCTGGAAGTACACTCAGGCCTAGGCTAACCCGGACACTCAACCGACGACCGAATGATAATTTTGCAATTCCAAATTCGGTCCGATACTTGGATTACGCCTGAGTCTGAAGTAATACCCGCTAGCGCCGCACAGCTGCACGCAACCTGGGCGAAATTATATTGCGTTCATTCTCTATCATTATTCCTATCGTTGAAAATCTGATGCTGCTGGAAGATAATAGGTCTGGATTATAGAAGAATGAACATTGAAAACTGCGCACCACCTCAATCAACCGCTACTAAATTTACCGATCAGTTTCAAGTTGAAGGGAATCAAGCCGGATGATGCCTTGATGGAAGATGTAGCGCCCCGTATATAACTAAGATTACGAAGGTCCTTGGCCCTTTGTCGGAATGCTGTCTACGAGGAAAGCCCTTTGGCTTTTTCTTGCCTTTGAACGGGTTCTGACTGCACAGATACCTCTGTCGAGCCATTCGCCTCACCCAGGGCTCGAAACCGATCTTGGACAGTGGGATCTTGATGAAGGACCTATGGTGAACGCGACAGGACATCTAGTGTTCGAAACGGTCAATTCTCTGCTTCAAGCCTGGCCAAATACACGTCATCGTATTGGTATGTTTGAAAATACTGAATATCAAGCAGATGAGTCACGACTCATCATTTACATCCTGCAGGTCATACAATAGTTCCAGGGATCATTCCCGTGGGTACTATTCTCTACCATGGAGCCGCTGGTCCCCATTTACCGACTGCTTTGGATTGGGTGGCTGTAGAGCCAGACCACTCCATACTTTTCTGCGAGGGGTCAATCGAAAAAGGATGCTGGCACCTCACCCTTACAGTCACTCGGCCAATGAAAGTTCTCTATTTTGATGGAAACAGCGGTGCGAAACTCCTTGAGGGCACCATGGACACCCAAGATCTCGTGGCATGGTCGGAAATGAAGCCGGAGTGGGTGAAAAATGAAGGGCAACGCATAAAGGATCTGTGTAAATGGGGTGAAAAATATGGGGTGAATGGCTTTGTGAGGTTCGTTGGATGTCAAGATGCGTCGATGTCGAAGCTGATTTGCAAATTATAGGATGCAAATGAATTTGTGCGAACTCATATATGTAGTTCCTTGGCAATTTTTTTATTAACAGTCATAGCGAGATTATGATCTGCAACTTCACCTCTCACATGGAGGTCGCTTCGTTCTTAAATCTCGAAAGCACTCGCCTCAGCAGCAGCACAAATCCGGAGCTGCCTGAGGACCCCAATACTAGTGAGCGACCGACCATGTGTATGTTTTGATGTAGGTCTGATTTATTCTCGGACATAAGTGCATCGCGCTGTGGAAGTAACGCATTCTTCTTCATGGCACAATCATTATCCAGGAGAAACCCGAATCATACTTGATTTTTCTGGGCTCGTCTCTTTCTACGATACCGCTCTTGTTCCCTCCTTGGTGCCGCGCCGTGCTGGTGTGGAGCGGTGGGATCATCGAGTAGCAGGAATATCGCCGGAGGATATAGAACGTGTTCAAGATAGGCTATCTCAAGCGTTAGCACGACCACCCGTGACAGCCAGCGGCATTGACTGGAAAACGGCCTTGCAGGTGGTGGTTGATCGATATGCTAGCCGCCTAGAGTTTATGCACCACCTTTTGAACCTGACGTTGGACGATGGGTCGATCTTTAACCACGCACAGCAAATTCAGAGACAACTGCGCACCGTGCTTCTGCCCTACACTGTGTTTGCAGCTTTACCTCCCAATGACTCCGTCGCTACCAACGCGACAAATTCGTGGGCTGTCCCAGTTTTTCGAGAATGTGCTACATCTCACACGGCCTCCATAGTGTCTCGTGGAACGACACTGATGCCCTCCGAACGCTTGCTCCTGCAGGCGATCCGGGAAACTACACATGAAATATGCCGCGTCGTCACGAAGATGTGGGCTTCTGGAATGATTCTTGGGGTCGACCCCCTTTATCCTCTAGAACTACGCCCTGAAGTCAATCACATACGCACTCTCGCGGGCGAATGGAAGGAGGATGTGACACAGTTACTCTCCTGGTTAGATTGGAGCGTGTGGGTCAAGTGCCGACCGGCCTGTAGTTTCGAGGTAACAAAGTCAAGTTACTCGTTTGCGAAATGACTGACCTCGTCGTGTAGGAGATGTGCTACTTGCCTACTTGGCCTATAGGGTTTTTCCCGACTCCCGGCGCACCACCTCAAGCTCAATGGGTCAATGCTTCCTTATGGCCAGACCCAAACAATGGGGAATGGAGGAGACCACAGCCGAAGTGCATCAGACGGCTGGAGCCATATGGTTTTTAGGATATATGATTCATATGCACTATTGCTAGCATATAGACGCTTTTGTACGTAGTCTGACTTGTAAAATAATTGCTCTGGAGTTGAAGCGCGCCGCGCGCGTGACGTATGTGCTTTGAAGAAGGCTATGGTTTGAACTTTTTGACGTGTCGGCTCTTTGTGTTTTGCAAGTGAAGTCCTAAGATACTGATTCAGACACAAGAACTTCCCCTCATTTGTCCGCCAACTCAACATGTATGGCTTTCACGAAATTCCTCATCTCCATGACGCCATCTCAACGTCCTCTAACCGACATCTTTGACAGGAAGCCATCGCTGCTTGTGAGAGGCATAACAAACACCAGGACACCATGCATTTATTTCAACGCGAACCCTAGTTGATGATACTCGACATACGGCACACCTTCAAAAGCGTGAAATTATATTCTATCCTACGGGAAGTCACAATATACTTCACATGAACTTTGTTCTCGTACAACCTTCTTGTAGGCCAGCCTGTATCATGAGCGCTGAGCAATGTCCTGAACTTTATGAATCATTTATACAGTGAAGAGACAAACGACGTGTTAGATGCATACCAATGCTATCATTCCGGGTGATCCCCTGCGAACTTGGGTGCCCCTCTGCTTGTAGGTGCGTTCCTCCGAGGGTATAAGTCAATAACATAGTTCATGCCGATAGAGTCTGGATGGTGGACGCGGATATCAAGTGCAGCATACTGTCTGAGTTATTGCCGTCTAGAGACACAAGAACAAAACGCACCGAGTCTACCACGCAACATAACTCTATCAATTTACTTGGAGAAGCCGCTGATTCGGTACATGCTGTGCATTTAGAAATCTCTCTAGCTTCGCCTGGCGCACCCGCGAGGTTAGGCAACAGCGCTTGCTCTATTCGATTGGACTGAAGAATATCTGAATATTTGGGAGCGTGCGGACTCCATTAGCTCGAGCGAGGGCCCATCGATGTGTGACAAGCGTGTAAAACGCCTCGTCCATTTATTCCACCACCCTACACATGGATCAGTTCAACGACGGTCTGAGAATGAATATTAATCCTACCCCACAACAAAACCATCTCGTTCGCTTCTTCCAATTGCGCGCGCCGCCAGATCGGGGCCGACGAAATCTTGGACTATTTTGAGGTTGTCTTCGTCCCCTGGTTCGAAACCTTTGCTATCGTGGAGAACAGACCTGTCGTTCTGAGATGAGATGAACTCATCGTCGATGGTGGCATCGCCTGGCTTATCGTGCGCAACGATCTATTGACAGTACTGGTATGAGTAGTTGTGTGTGTTGAAGCGTCGTGTTTAGCTCACCTCTTTTTCCACTCCAAATGCGTCGCTGATCAGTGACGACTTGCCGACGCCAGTCTATTAAATGTACGTCGTCAACACTGGCCTGAGATTGGAGAAAGCCAGATACTACCTTTCCTATCACCAGAATTCGGAATCTTGGGAGTATCAACCTCAAGAATGGCACTTTATGATCATCCTGACTCACCGAGGACAGTCCTGGGATATGTCGGAAGTGGTAGGCGGAAGCTTGAGGCTTTGACCGGAAGGGACAGACCGCTCAGCCTGCCAATATAAGACTTAGATGGGTTTGATACCAGACATGAATCCTTACCTCGGCTGTTGTATTCCTGGAAAGGTCGACGACGATCCTGATGTTTTTATGAATCTTGATGGATTCTACGAATGCGAGGTTGAGTATGTGAGTGATCAAGGTGAGAATGCGATGATTATTGCTCGCCATGATACGCGCGAAAGATGTCTTCATGTTTGGTCTTCGCCCCAAACCGTCTCTTGTACCGCGTATGTAATGAAAATGAATCTCCATGAGAAAGCATCCTGCGGCAAAAAAACACAGGTGAGAACATGTATTGGAGTCGGACGTCGAGTACTTACATAGGTGGAGAAAACGTCCGTTGCAGACTCTTTCCTGCTTCGCCACGTTCAATTGACGAATGTAATTTACCAATCCGTACTTCAGCGGACTCTCTATTCGGTTTCAGCGGGTTGATGATACTATTTGACGACAAGAATTGAGTACTTGAGTACCAAAGGTGTGGACTCTGGAGTGCGCGGTTGGAAATGTGTCACTGCGCACAGATGCCTCATTCGATAGACGCCCAGGACAAATGGGAAAACTATTCAAAGCAATAGGGTGCGTGACGACAATTGTTTATGTATTTCCGTCTAAACGATGCCTCACTCCTGGGATGTATTTCATAGGTGCGTTCTCACAATATCGATTCCAGATCCACGGCTGGTAAGCTCTGTGTGGGGCTGTCCAAGAGAAAACGTGTATCATATAAATAAACTCGCAAAACACCATGTACCAACTGTATGCGTGTCGCGCCACAGAAAATCTCTGTAATCAGACAACACAGATTAGACACCAAAGATGGGCTCCACAGCCTGAGATGAAGCTTGTTCTATGATCCAGGACCTTAGGCGAGAAATGTGAATATTATTGGCGGTAAGTACGGGCCACATCGCCAGGACGAATACGGCGACCCAAACTGGAGATGCAATTGAAATGACGACAACACTAGAAGTGCGGAAGATCAGCGTGGACAATGCTCCGGCAAAGAACGCCATTCTGTAAAAAGTATAAGCCACTAATCTGTGAAATGTAACCCGGAAACTGACCCCCAAATCAGAAGTGCAAACGGTAGACTGAGCATCAGGGCAAGGCTTTCGAGGCCGAACATGGACTGTGATATTCCTACCATGAAAGAGGCCTGTGGACATAATCAATGTGGGTGATACGATCAAACAAAAAACTTACTACGTCTACAGCGGAGCCTCGCCGGCTGTCATTAACTTGGCCAGCCAAGACCAGCGAGACCACTAAAGAGCCCAGGGCGCAGAGGCAAGACAGATATGTTAGAGCGATCGCGACCGTTTGAGTCGCGATAGCTGGGACCGCGAGAAAACTAATATCAACAGCGAGCATCACAGTAGACTGAGACAGTCATTTATTGCATGACAATTTGAAACGAAAGCGCAACTCACAAATATTGTATATCCATTCCATTCGGTGGTCATCCTATCGATAAAATCCTTCCATCGCGGTTGAACGATGGTTTCATCGACCCATATCCTGTGAATTGCCTTGCTTTGAGCAACTGGAGATCCAAACAGAATAACATTCATGATACAAAGGATGATTTTATTCGAGCGGGTATCATGTTCTCCATATAGCGATTGATCGACGTCAAGTCGGGCACCTGGTTGTCCACAGAAATTCACAAACTTTGCGTTGCCTAGTAAAGCAATCAGGAAATGGAAATCACGCACTACTAGACGAAACTCACAGAAAAGCCTCATCAATCGAGCTGAAATCAGCAAACGTATCAGGAGCGATCAACTGACATTCCATGATCACACTTACCAGCAATCCACACGGAGTGCTCACGCTCCTTGTTAGTACTGTCTGAAAAGGCGATCAACAACAACTTTCCCGCATCAGGGAACAATTCACCCTTGAGATGATCTACAAGGCCAAGCATGCTTGCAACTTCACTCGAGGCAAAAGGTGCTAGGCACGTTTCAGAAGTGATGTTTTCTATTACCACGCTCCTTGTTAGTACTGTCTGAAAAGGCGATCAACAACAACTTTCCCGCATCAGGGAACAATTCACCCTTGAGATGATCTACAAGGCCAAGCATGCTTGCAACTTCACTCGAGGCAAAAGGTGCTAGGCACGTTTCAGAAGTGATGTTTTCTATTACGATGTCAATCATGTACGACGTGAAACGCTTATTGATCTTCACTCGCCTGCATGAGCATGCATGACAATTTCTTTGAGCGTCACGACAATGTCTTCTGGAAGGACGCGTTTGTTTGGAAACAGCTCAATATGTCTCCTGCCAACGTCACGGTATGTAAACACTGGGAAGTAAAAAGGGGCTGTAACAAATGGTGAGCGCATTTACTTTGGTCGAGTGATGGAACGTGCGTACATCTAGATCATACGAACCAATACTGTGAATCCAATGCATACTCTAGTAGCGACACAATTACATGAGCTCGAAACCAAAGCTCCCCGTGGAAAGAACTTACTGATGTGGCTTTTGCGCTCTACACCTCGAACATTATTCATAAGGACAGGAGATTCGTAGTCTTCGAACCAGAAAATGATACGTCTGTCGTGGTCGACAAAGTAATAGCCCCAATTTTTTTTGTTCGCCTCCGTAATAAGCTCCAATGCGAGCTCGACGGATGGATCCAAGACGATGTTTGCCTTCCGCGCGCCTTTGCGCGCCGTCTCAACAGCTTTGTTTATTTCGACATTAATTTCAGGATCTCGAACATTGGCATCAGTGAAAATTCTCTGGTGTATGACTTGAGTAAAGTCATGTACTGGGAGCAGGCGGCGGACACACTTTACATGGCTGATAGAAGAACAAGGCGCCTTCCGGGTGCGTGAGCGGCTCCCATCCTTCTAATGCAGCAAGCTCCCTACGGGGAGTGTTTTAATCTCATCACTGGCTCTTTCACCGGCATGCTTACTCTGAACAGTCCAAAAGACCTTTCTCAACCTTAAATGACTTGCGATCACCATTTCTATGAGTACGGATTAAAACAGCAGCTCACTCGACATAGTATAATTTGCATACACGAGAACACGCCTGTCGTATCGTTTGACCTGTGGGCCGGGCACAATGGGAGTTAGAGAGATATCAACAATCTGTCCTGGCATCGTGGAAGATGATGACATCGCGACAGCCACGGGGATGTTGGGCTCGGGCATGGAAATTGGCGTGAACGGCACAGCAGAGCTCCCGGGAGAATGTATACCATGAGTTGTGACGTTGATATTTGTCCCTTCGTAGGGCTCCGTAATTGGCATATGAAGGTTCATTCCAGGTTGGGATTCTTGGGTTTGCAAAGCTGCCTCAGGTATTAATGGCACTGCAAGGCTCACAGATGGCGCCGGCTTGGGTTGGCTGGCCACTGACTGAGAGCTCAATGCAAAACCGGGCCGCTCGCGAAAATCGCCTTCCTTTCCATTCACGACAGATTGACAATGTCGGATCAGGCGCATGAGAATAGAGAGAAAAGTCCTGTATGATTGGAATGCAGTTGTTTTGATCATGGCCCTCAACCAGGAGATGAACATGCGAATGTATCCTTCCCGCATGACGACAGAGGTAAACGGACTCGTGCAAGAGCTATAGGTTTTCGCTCGGGACCAAAATCAGATACCACGTGATATAGGGCTCGCCGCTCATTAATGGCCAAATATAAAAATTCAAATTCAAAATCATTGTTGACACGTGCCGCATCAGGATTGTGCCCTCGAAGTGAAGGTAAAAAAAATTATAGCTGATGGGGCTGTCAGCCGCGTTGAAGACTACCGTAACCGGAACCATGACTGGGAAGCACACAATGAAACCCGTGTCAACTTTGAGAGTAGTCTGCTCTTCGTTTTGACCAGCTAGACAAAGAAAGCGCATGCCAGGTGGTGGCGGAATAATTGAATGGTAAAAGGATAGCACTTCAGTAGCATACTTGGAGCATTTTGTCCAGGGACTGTCTGTAAACGGTTCACGATGAGCCACACAACTTGGAGACTATCGCAGTGTATCTACTTGATGCGTGGTAACACCAAGGGGTACAAGTTCACATCAGGGAAACGTAATTCATTACACATGATTACAGAGTGCTACGAAGCGCTCCGTAGCACTCTGTAGCACGATCTAACCCGCTGATGCATGATTACAATGGTGCCTGTTTGAAGATATACAAAGTTAGGTGTGACTATGAGTTTGAGTCGGGCAGACAACGAAAACGCAAGACAAACTCCTCTGCACGAAGATTCAAGTTTCTAGAATAAAAGCCTCTTATTTGCTCGGTGCGCATAGTTCCCTGATCACGTTCTCATCGATCCTCTTCGCAAAATATATCTCAAACGGAGCAGCATGTACATTTGCAGTGTCCGAGAATGCAAGCGTGTCGATCTTCGCCGCAGGATTCTCCGAAAGGCGGAAAGCCCACAGAATAAGGGCCGTGTTGATGAAGACCGACCGATTCGCGACATGTTGACCGGGACACACTCTGACATTGTTGAGTAAGGCATAAGAAATGGTCGAGAGATGAACGATGCCACTCACCGACGGCCAAAGCCAAAAGGGAAAAACCGGAGATCACCGCGCACACGACCTGCATCGTCGATCCAACGCTGAGGATTAAACGTCTGTGGTTCTGGAAAGACTTCAGGATCGTTGGCGATAGCCCTGAAACACGAGAACACGATCATCAGACTCAAAAGTTAGAGGACGAAAATGTTTGCGTACTGACCAATGGTTGCCAATAACAGTCGCACCTGCAGGAATCAGGTAGTTATTCCAAATCATGTCCTTAATTGCGCGATGCGCAAAGCCTGTAGTGCAAGGTGGTCGTTCAATATCGCATCATCACAGCTCAAATAAGACGCACCTCCGAGAGTGACAGGTCTCCACCTCAGACTCTCGAGCATGAACGCGGTGACCTGCGGCAGCATTTCCTGATCAGCAAACGTCGGCACTAATCAGGAGCCATCTCAGTCAGTAGACGAACAAAGAAAAGGCATAACCTACGCCGCGTACGCCCCACGACGTTATCGAGTTCCTCTTGTACGCGAGCCTGCGCATCTGTATGTGTGGCAGCAGCCATCATCATGAATGTGATCGCGGACGCAGTCTACAAAAATTGTTGACTGAAGATGCGATGCAATACAAGAACTTACCGTATCAGCACCGGCCCCAAATATCGCTCCTGCGAGGAATGCCACTTCCTTATCTCCGAGCTCGTACTGTTTCTGGTGCTCTATCATGAACCTCGCAAAGGATGGCTTTGCAGTCCCCTCACGCTTCGCAGTGGTGAGCGAGCATGTCTATCATCACGAGAAAATCACGAACCATCTGTCTTCGCACCGCGTCTAACTGCCCGACATAGAAAGCAAGTTCTTCTTTGTGCCATGCCTTCAGCTGACTCAAGTAGCCTGGGACGAAACGCAAGATGGGATACGCATCCACAAGATACGCTCCCGGCTTCATAGCTTGACCAAAACGCGCAGTAAGCCTGGTGATGGAAACGACTTCAGGATCTGTATATGAAGTCGGAGTGATTTTTCCATAGGTGAAGGACATGATCACGGAAGCTGAATAACTGAAATCCTCGGATTACCACCTGTACCACGACTAAGAGCTGGTGTTCGTACCGCATGGCATGTTTCTGGTGATTCTTTGGATCATTTAAGATATCTAGAACCACATTCTTCGCATGCCTGGTCTGCATGGGCTCGTAGGTCTCCGCAACCTTAGGTTGCAAGTTTGCATGCAAGACCCTGCTTTACATTTAGTCTCACTGATCGCACCTAGTAGAGACAGGATGCGTACCTGCGCATGCGGCGCAATCTCTCAGTACTGCCTTCAAGGACAACTCTGAACCCGCCAGACAACGTCTCGTGCACTGCAATAGAACGTGGGCGGTCAGCAACATTTGCTCCCTCTTTTTCCATGATATCCACTGCAGCCTGTGACGTGATCTACTTCATGCCTGACTAGACAATGTATTGTTTTATGCTGACCTGATGACGTCCTATAACTACGAAAATCCTATGGCCTTGCTTGAGCGAGAACACAGGTCCGTATTGCTCTGTCCATCTCGCGAATTGAAACGGCGCACTGCGTGAGGGGTTAGATAGAGATTATGTTAGTGTCCCTTGACAATGACTTACTATGACTTTGGCATCGCATTTCCTAATAGCCAACGTCCAGGTGGTCCAGGGGGTAAAGGCAACCGTCTTGCGGCCTGGTATCGTTGTTTCACTATCCAGACGCTGGCTAAGATGATGATGAGGGTGCATGCGGGAATGATAATCGCCATTGAAATAGTCCGGCTTCCTGATAGTCACGACACCCCGCTACTTTGCAACACGTTAAGTACAAGTACTCCAGAACAGAGAAGTGGCGACTTACTGTGATGAGCGACGGGTACGGTGAGATTAGTGTGCATGATTACGCTGACTTATATTTATACAAACACGCCTGCGCGGATAAACCGGACCTGTGCGAGTCACGTATTGCGATCCTCCTATAGTATAATAACCTGATGCTGACCACCCTGGCGATAAGTTAGTATTGGACGCGCGTGTTTCAAGACATTTAGACTCCACCTAAATATCAAGGTAGATCTTCATGTCGTTCTCGATGACCCGTTGGATTGCTCGTGCCACAGGACCGTCGACCGTTAGGTTTACAAATATTGTAGTGGAGGTCGACTCGGGCCACTCGGCTGAAGTACAGTGGGTCATCATTCTAAAAATAGAACTTTGTACTCCGACCTTACAAGTAACTGTCTACGCACGCTCAGCTCAACACATCGGAGGCCTTAGGCCTTAGGCCTTAGTCCCGGCCGGTAGACACAGGGAACAAGTTATGCACCCTCTTCAACACGCCCCCATCAATGAATGTGCAACAAAGCATGTGCAACCATGACCTATTAGCCTTTGTCGCTATAGACTGGACAATGTCATTGACTCAAAGTTGTGGCTTCTTGGACTTGCCTTGACGGTATTTAAGTTGGACTCCGTTGGCCATTATTTTTCTTGTAACCGCTCTCTTCTCAACAGGCCAATCACTTTCGAATCCTCGCAACTTCTGTATTCTTCTTGACTTCAACTTGCTACCTTGAAAGATCCTTGGCAACATGCAAACTGCAGTGCTCGCTCCAAACAATGCACCACCCGCCGCGGCTCAGTACACGGAAGCGCCTGGCTTGCCAGCTAATACACCCTTTAACGTCATAAATCGGGCTAGCCAACTACAGCCCGTGCGCAAGGGTCCGATCAATACCTTGCCTAAAGAGATCATCCTGCACATATTCAAGTTGGGCGCGTCCTGTGGCGACTCCCAAAAACGTATCGATTTTGCGGTCTTAGTGTCGCAAGTTTGCGGTACATGGCGTGACGTCGCTTTCAGCTGCTCCTCGTTGTGGGCGGACATCACCATCACGACCGATAACATGTACAATGTTGACGGAGGGCACGCTATCGTAAATACATCTCTTCTTCGTGCAAAGGAGTTCGCCTCGCGTTCCAGAGTCTTTCCGTTGTCTGTCCGACTCAAACTCCTCGTTCCACCCAACTTCGTATATCTTCAAATAGGCACGATTATAATAATGAATTGGCTCCGCCTGGTGTTTCCACGCATCAAATATCTCTCGATACACTGCGATACTCTCCACATCGCGCGGCTGGTCACGAATCGTTTACAGACAGTCCCCATGGAGAATCTGGAGACCTACAAAATGAAGTTTGGCACTGAAGTCCTGTCCTTTTGCCATTCAATTATTTTGCCACCAGACGTGCGCTTTCTTTTTCTGGCTGGCCAAAACGAAGAACAGACACACACAGCGGACAACTTGGATTTGCTCCCAAAGTTGACACGGGTTTCATTGTCCGGGTTCCCAGTCTCATGGTCTCGGTGGTCTCTAACGCGTCTGACATCCCTATCGATTAATTTCATGACCTTGCATGACCGACCTTCGATGGATGTGCTGAAATACATCCTTGCATTGAACGGAGAGACTCTGGAAAAACTCGAGATCCAAGGCGCCATTCAGCGGTTTGGGAGGATACCCTGTAACGCGGACGAGTTGCCGACGAACTTGCCGAGGCTCATGGACCTTACGCTCGGTTATCTATCCCAGTGGGAAGCCATAATTTTTTTCCTTCACTTCGAGGCGCCTGCGCTGAAGCACCTCAAGTTATGTGACGTCTCTCGCTCAATTCTTACTCGGCACTTCAAAGACGGATTTGACTCGAACAGCCTGGTCATCCAGAACATACCTGCTCTTCAACCCTTCAACAAATTTTCTTCTACGATCCTCCTCGAACATCTGGTTTATGTGTGTTCACTACTCGAACAAGTTGAAACGCTCGCACTTGAACATTTTAGTCTACCACCTTTGGTTTCCGACCTCTTCTGGCAAGACGACGATCCTCTGAAACATTTGCATGAGGCTCCTGTTTTTCTGGCTTACCGCATGTTACAGAAATGCTCGCGACTTCGACGCCTCGCTCTCATCGACCCGGAGCAGTGTTTCCTCGATGCACTCAATATGTATCCCGACGATCCAAAAACCAGCAGCCCGGCCCCTGTGCTTACCCACCTGTGTCTTGCTTCGTCTGATTGTGACCGCCTGAAGCTCTTTTTGGAGCGAAGGGCGGAAAGCCTTGCGAAGGAAAAGGGTCCACGGATTTTGGACTATCTTGAACTGGCGACAGCGAAAAAAGATGTGCATGTGTTGGAGGATATCGTATCGCAGCATGTTGATATGAGCCGTATTGCAAAGAGTTCGCTGGCGGCTGAATGGCATGGAAGCGGTGTTTTATGCCCTTCCAAATGTACTTAGACCTAGTGACGAAAAGGGAATGCGTTGTATTGGTTCCTAATACGGAACAATAGTTTGGACAAATCTTTTTGTTCTTGTTTACATAAGTGTTTTGTTATATATCACATGGCCTCATGCTGGCAGCGCGCTGCTTATTGTTATGTAACAAGGTTTTCGCTTGAATTGTCTTTCGGCTTATATCAACTGACCTCTCAATTTCACTCCCTTCGTGTCCGTCTTTCAAGCCAAGTACTGTGTACTTGGTTTTTCTTGTTTCGTTTTTGTGAATCTTATTGTCACATTGGTTACCGCGTGCTCCTAACCCGCTCACTTTAAGACTCCTTGTTTACTTTCTAGTAATCTCCTGCTGCGCAATGTCTTCTACCGCGATCTCGACGATCATGTATCCATGTCCCCCACCTACTACAAATATCCTTGACTCACAACAGCGCATGCGTCTCATACGTTCTGCCCGTAAACTGGAAGCAGTTATGGGCACCACACCCTACCTTCTTGAGGCAGACGTTCCTATCGCACTCCTCCCCATCGGTGTTAACAAAAAAACAGTAACGGGCAAAGCACTGAAGCGCCAGGGTTCCATATTCACGCATTACCACAAGGGCTCCCCCTCTGTAACGTCATTTAGCTCAGCCTCAACGGCATCCTTCCACTCCCCATCCGCCTCGCTCGTCTCGCTACCTTTGAGCATGCGGAGCACAGAGTCCCTCTCGGTGACACCCCCAGGCCTGCCCGCGCGTGGCAGAAAGTCGGCAGATAAACCCAGACCATTGTACCTCCGCATGAACACCATCCCTGTATCGCCCACCGATCACCACCGTACTACATCACTACCGCACACACCTTCCTCAGCTCGCACGCCATCTGCTTATTTCCCCCCTACGCCTCGTACGCCCAGTTTCGACGCGGCAGAATTGCGGAGAAAGCGAATGGCAAAACTTGCCCGTCATCTAGGCGAGAACGTGCCTCCTGAACTAGTAACGGCGCAAGTGCCGCCCGCTCAATTACCTTCCAAAGAAGGCGTGCCCAATGGGAAGCGACGCAGTATGTCCGTCCACGTCACGAGCCCACGAAATATACCTTTTGCTCCGAGGCCTGAAGTTCTCCCGGAGACTCAGACAAATAGCGATTGGGTTGGCGAGTGGAATCGATCTGATATCAGAGACGTTCAGAGGGAACTGAGAAACCTCAAGGCTGTACGGTGGTGATGGTTTCGCGATTTGGATGGCCTTCTGTTACCCCATCACACGATTTTGTTCTACGCCCGTATTATGACATCCTACTGGCTGGCTGCAGGCATCCAGCCAGACGACATGCAATTCACCATTAGTATTAGTCACATCTACATATGTATCATGTTAGGCATTTGCATCACATTAATAATTCGTACACTCGCAAGTATGTACTACTGTCATTTGTAAAACATAATACATACGTGGACATCGATCGCGATTGACTCGCCACCCAAGTGTTTCATGTATTTGGGGTGGTTCCGAGTCAAAGTAACCCTAGCTATGCGTAACCTGTGTGTGAGATGGGTGGATGCAGATACCTGGCGTCGCGCTGCCGCATCCGTCTCATCATCCTCAAAATCTTTTAGGTAGAGTAATTAAGCAGAAGCTTCCAAGTTCGGAGTGTAAATATTTTTAGAATGGTGACCCACTGTACTTCCGCCGCGTCGAAATGTCTTGGCACTCGCGCGTCCACTACACCAGAGTGCTTCCTATCCTACTATGCGAAGACCGCACTGATACGTGAATCACACAGGTGGCACGATCAATCTGCGCAGGTGTTCGATTCGTGTCTGTATAAGTATAAGTCAGTGTAACCATGGGCTCTCATCTCACCCTACTTGTCGCTCATCACAGTAAGTCACCACCTCTCTGTTCTACAGTACTAAACATGTTGCAAAGTAGCGGGGTGTCTGAATCATAACTAGCAAAAAGCCAGACCATTTCAAATGGCGATCATCATTCCCGCGTGCACCCTTATCATTATCTTAGCCAGCATCTGGATCGTGAAACAACGATACCAGGCCGCAAGGCGGTTGCCATTACCCCCTGGACCACCTGGACGTTGGCTATTAGGAAATGCGATGCCAAAGTCATAGTAAGTCATTGTCAAGGGACACTAACATAATCTCTATCTAACCCCTCACGCAGTGCGCCATTTCAATTCGCGAGATGGACAGAACAATACGGACCTATGTTCTCGCTCAAACAAGGCAATAAAATAGTGGTGGTTATAGGACGTCATCAGGTCAGCATGAAACAATTCACTGTCTAGCCAGGCATGAAGTAAATCACGTCACAGGCTGCAGTGGATATCATGGAAAAAGAGGGAGCAAATGTTGCCGACCGCCCACGTTCCGTTTCGGTGCACGAGACGATGTCTGGCGGGTTCAGAGTGATCCTTGAGGGCAGTACCGAGAGATTGCGCCGCATGCGCAGGTATACATTCTGTTTCTCCCAGGTGCGATCAGCGAGACTAAATGCAAAGCAGGGTCTTGCATGCAAACTTGCAACCTAAGGTTGCGGAGACCTACGAGCCCATGCAGACCGGGCATGCGAAGAATGTGGTTCTAGATATCTTAAATGATCCAAAGAACCACCAGAAACATGCCATGCGGTACGAACATCAGCTCTTAGTCGCGGTGCAGATGATAATCCGAGGATTTCAGTTATTCAGCTTCCGTGATCATGTCCTTCACCTATGGAAAGATTACTTCGACTTCATATACAGATCCTGAAGTTGTTGCCATCCATAAGTTTTCTGCGCGTTTTGGTCAAGCTATGAAGCCAGGAGCATATCTTGTGGATGCGTATCCCATCCTGCGTTTCGTCCCGGGCTACCTGAGTCAGCTGAAGGCATGGCACAAAGAAGAACTTGCTTTCTATGTCGGGCAGTTAGACGCGGTGCGAAGACAGATGGTCCGTGATTTTCTCGTGATGATAGATATGCTCGCTCACCACTGTGAAGCGTGAGGGGACTGCAAAGCCATCCTTTGCGAGGTTCATGATAGAACACCAGAAACAGTACGAGCTCGGAGATAAGGAAATGGCATTCCTTGCAGGTGTGATATTTGGGGCCGGTGCTGATACGGTAAGTTCTTGCATTGCATCGCGTCTTCACTCGACAATTTTTGTAGACTGCGTCCGCAATCACATTCATGATGATGGCTGCTGCCACTCATGTAGATGCGCAGGCTCGTGTACAAGAAGAACTCGATAACGTCGTGGGGCGTACGCGACGTAGGTTATGCCTTTTCTTTGTGCATCAACTGACTCAAATAACTCCTGATTAGTGCCGACGTTTGCTGATCAGGAAATGCTGCCGCAGGTCACCGCGTTCATGCTCGAGAGTCTCAGGTGGAGACCTGTCACTCTCGGAGGTGCGTCTTATTTGAGCTGTGATGACGCGATATTGAACGACCACCTTGCACTACAGGCATTGCGCGGTTAAGGACATGATTTGGAAGAATTACCTGATTCCGGCAGGTGCGACTGTTATTGGCAACCATTGGTCAGTACGCAATCATTTTCGTCCTCTCACCTTTGGGTCTCTGACAATCGTGTTTCAGGGCTATTGCAAACGATCCTGAAGTGTTTCCAGAACCACACAGGTTTAATCCTCAGCGTTGGATCAACGATGCAGGTCGTGTGCGCGGTGATCTCCGGTTTTTCCCTTTTGGCTTTGGCCGTCGGTGAGTAGTGTCGTTCATCTCTCGACCACTTCTTATGCCTTACTTAACAATGTCAGAGTATGTGCCGGTCAACATGTCGCGAATCGGTCGGTCTTCATTAACACGGCTCTTACTCTGTGGGCTTTCCGCCTTTCGGAGAATCCTGCAGCGAAGATTGACACGCTTGCATTCTCGGACACTGCAAACGTACATATTGCTCCGTTTGAGATATGTTTTGCGAAGAGGATCGATGAGAACGTGATCAGGGAACTATGCGCACCGGGCAAATAAGAGGCGTTTATTCTAGAAACTGGAATCTTTGTGCAATGGAGTTGGTCTTGCGTTTCGGATTCTTTTCGTTGTCTGTCCGACTCAAACTCACCGTTACACCTAACGTTGTATATCTTCAAACAGCCACGATTGTAATCATGAACTGGCTCCCCTTGGTGTTACCACGCATCAAGTATCTCTCGACACACTGCGATAGTTTCCAAGTTGCGTGGCTGATCGTGAACCGTTTACAGACAGTTCCTGGACAAAATGAAGTATGGTACTGAAGTGCTATCCTTTAACCACTCAATTATATATTCCGCCATCACCCATGCGCTTTCTTTTCCTAGCTGGCCAAAGCGAAGAACAGACAGCAGACAACTTGACTTTGCTCTCAAAGTTGACACGGGTTTCATTGTGTGTTTCCCACTCTCATGGTTCCGGTCACGGTAGTTTTCAACGTGGCTGACAACCCCATCAGCTGTACTTTTTCTACCTTCACTTCGAGGCACCTCCGAAGCACCGGATGCGGCACGCGTCAACAATGAGCCCTATATCACCGTTGGTGTCTGATTTGGTGATGATATTCGAAAACCTATAGCCCTTGCACGAGTTGGTCCCGTTTACCTCCGTCGTCATGCGGGAAGGATACATTCACATGCTCATCTCCCGGTTGAGGGTCATTATCAAAACAACTCCATTTCAACCATACAGCACTCTTCTTTCTATTCTCATGCGACTGATTAGATCTTAGACACTGTCCGAGTCAATCAGAATTCTGTCGTGAATGGAAAGGAAGAGGATTTTTGCGAGCGGTCCGGTTTAGCATTGAGCTCTCGATCAGTGGCCAGCCAACCCGAGCCGGCGCCTTCTGTGAGCCTTGCAGTGCCATTAATACCTGAGGCAGCTTTGCAAACCCAAGAATACCCACCTGGAATGAACGTTCATATGCCAATTCCAGGGCCCTACGGAGGGACAAATAACTCATGGTATGCAATCTCCCGGCAGCTCTGCTGTGCCGTTCACGCCGATTTCTATGCTCGAGCCCAGCATCCCCGTGACTGTCGCGATGTCATCGTCTTCCACGATGCTAGGACAGATCGTTGATATCTCTCTGACTCCCGTTGTGCCCGGCCCACAGGTCAAACGATACGACAGGTATGTTCCCATGTACGCAAATTATACTAAGTATGTCGAGTGAGCCGCTGTTTTAATCCATACTCACGGAAATAGTGAGTACAAGTCATTCAAGGTGAAGAAAGGTCTTTTGGACTGTTCAGAGTACGCATGCCGGTGAGAGAGCCAGTGATGAGATTAAAACACTCCACGTAGGGAGCTTGCTGCAGTAGAAGGATAGGAGCTGCTCATGCACCCGGAAGGCGCCTTGTTCTTCTATCAGTCATGGAAAGTGTGTCAGTAGATTCTGATCGCACCATGGATACTTGAGAAACACATCAAGCGCTCGCCACTGTACTGAGGGTGATTGACATGATTCTCTATACACGTATACCCCATACCACACAAAGCGCTATATCGCATGATCATACAAATACAGTTCCACATCCTGAATCTACCACGACAAACATTTCAAGCAACCTTCACAGCCCAGACACCTCCACTCCTCTCCGAACCGGAGCATCATTGATCATGATGGCGTGTTGCACTGCGCAACATTAAGGTCTAGCTGAAAACAAGCGGATCAGCAAGAGTGCTACCTCAACGTGATGGTGAAACATACGCAGACGATGATTTAGAGCGATTTCAAGAACAGCTTCGATGAACTCCGCCTTCGCAGATTCTTTTTCTTTTGCCTTCCTCTTGAAAGATTCAAACGGTAACTTCGTTATCCAAGAAGGCGGTTTTCCTTGATATGGATAGACGGCAGCACTCGCAGCCTCCCTGACAGCAGCTGCATGCGGAGATGCCATGTACTGCTCGAGAGCGACACGAAACGAGGGATTAGACTCCTTGTCCTGAAGATAGCGCCGCTTGTCGAAAATGTAGAAAGAGTGTTCGAAGATAATGACAACAGCTAAATGGTCAATAATAAGCAGGTTCATCGCAACGTAGCCTCAAAATTCACCAGAAATGAGCTGAACGATATTCTCCGAGGGTGATGAGTGGGAGGCCTGAGAGAGTCGCAACATAAGAAATGTGTGCACAATCTGTAAACCAATTAGACATACCGCAGAGAGTAACCTAGACCGTATCTCTACACGGTGATCGTCTCGAAGCTCCTCCTATCGATGGATCAGCGATGACGTTCGCTAGCAAGGCTTGAGACCCACTCTCTATTGAAGGATGCACGATTTTAGTGGTAAGAAAACCTCGAACTCGATGGAGGATCAGCACACTGACTTTCTGGCAATGTATGAGCAATGCCATCGGCGAAGAAAGCTAGAGCTCGATTGAGGATGAGGATCGAGAAACTCACATACTGTCAACAGATCAGTAATGTAGTCGGTGAGCAAGACTCGAGCTCAATGGCAGATGAACACACTCACGAACTGTCAACAGGAATGAGCAGTTTCAATGGTCAATGGGCCCCAATTCGACTGTGGATCAATGCGCTTACACCCTGTGAATGGATGGTCGATGTCTTCAGTCAGCATGGCTCGCGTTCGATGGTGGATCAAGAAACTCACAATCTGTCAACAGAGCGGTATTGTGTTCGGTCAGTGAGGATGACGTAGAATCAATACACCCACATCCTAACAATAAATCAGCGATTGCATCGGTAAGGAAGGCAGGAGGTCAAAGGATAATTGTACTCACAAGCTGTCAACGAATAGACGATGTCTTTGATCAGTAGCTGAAAGTCGCTGGAGGATCAATGTACTGACCTCCTGCCAATAGATGATCAATTGCGTTGGTCAGGAATGGTTGAACTCGACAAAGGGTCAACGGACTCACATCCTGCGAACGATGGGCAACGAGTTAGATCAGCGTGGCTGTTGCTTGAACGAAGATCGACACACTCACTCTCTGCGAACGGTGGGCAACGACTTGGATCAGCGTGGCTGTTGCTCGAACGAGGATCGACACACTCACCGCCTGCGAACGGTGGGCAACGACTTGGATCAGCGTGGCTGTTGCTCGAACCAGGATCGACACACTCACCTCCTGCGAATGGTGGGCAACGACTTGGATCAGCGTGGCTGTTGCTCGAACGAGGATCGACACACTCACATACTGCGAACGGTGGGCAACGACTTGGATCAGCGTGGCTGTTGCTCGAACGAAGATCGACACACTCACCGCCTGCGAACGGTGGGCAACGACTTGGATCAGCGGGGCTGTTGCTCGAACCAGGATCGACACACTCACATACTGCGAACGGTGGGCAACGACTTGGATCAGCATGGCTGTTGCTCGAACCAGGATCGACACACTCACTGATACGGACTAGGATAGTTCGGGCTCTCCCTAGGCGGATTGCCTAATCTGATAGCGGGCTCGCTATTGGAGAGACGGGGATCTTCTCTCGAATGAGAGGTTCGGGGTTTCCACTTAAGGTAGCGTCGGCTTTCCTTAAGGTGCGACTTAGACTGAAGGACTGGGACTGTCTTTCAGAGGAAGTTCTGGATAAAACCTAGTAGAATCAAGTAGGGAATATACATGATTCTGTCTGCTCTATATACTGTCGTCCGTGCGCACAGACCAATACTACATTCGGTAGGTAGGTATGAGTATGTCTATACAAGGGCATCTTATCTGATGCCATGCGGTCGATTATCTATACATGAGGCTTACCATGCCTCTCTTATCTGTCCTCAAGGCGTAGCATGCCTTGGAGTCTAACTGCGCATGCTGAGGCATGCGGCTTCTCTTCTGACCATGAGGCAGAGCTTCCTCATGATCCGGGTCGAGGACCATCTAGGTCCGTTCCGATGTAGCCTAGGCTGGTCTAGGTCATCTAACGGCATCCAGGCCGTTCTAGGCGTCTCTACGAGTCTCCGTTGAGTCGGTAAGTCTTCTAATGACGGTGTACAGGCGGGATAGGGGCTAAGGTCATGATGACCTCTGTAGGAGGGGTTCTCGGTTACATGTTATTGTAACACTCACCCCCTGCGAACGGTGGGCAACGACTTGGATCAGCATGGCTGTTGCTTGAACGAAGATCGACACACTCACCTCCTGCGAACGGTGGGCAACGACTTGGATCAGCGTGGCTGTTGCTCGAACGAGGATCGACACACTCACCTCCTGCGAATGGTGGGCAACGACTTGGATCAGCGTGGCTGTTGCTCGAACGAGGATCGACACACTCACATACTGCGAACGGTGGGCAACGACTTGGATCAGCGTGGCTGTTGCTCGAACCAGGATCGACACACTCACATACTGCGAACGGTGGGAAACGACTTGGATCAGCATGGCTGTTGCTCGAACGCGGATCGAGTCCGATCGACACACTCACATACTGCGAACGGTGGGAAACGACTTGGATCAGCTTGCTGTTGCTCGAACGAGAATCGACACACGTACTGCCTGCAAGTAAACGCCCAACGTAAATGAGAGCAATGCTCGAACTTTACAATAATCTTACCCAAATGTGTGGAAACCAGGCGCCCAGTATCCCTATTATCCTCTCATAACCCTCAGATGTTGTTGTCTTTGCAGAGTCAAAATGTTCTGAGAGTGTTCTGTACAATATCAGTCACTAACGCCTGCGGCAGGTGAATGAACCATGGGTAGTTACCGCTCAACTGCATATTTCATGCAGATCTCCAAGTTGGTTTGCTGGGTCGAGACGAATAATTGCTGAAGCACTTCATTATCCAGAGCTCCAGCCGTGCGCTCGATGAGTGTCTTGCAATCTGCATCATCCTTCTCCATGTCTGATAGATCAAACGTCATCATGTATTGCGACTCGACCACGAACCGGCTTACTAGAAAGGCATACATAACATTTTGGAGGCCATCGCACATCCTTGAGAAACTTCAGTTGTGGCCCGTTAGGGAATGACTCTTCAGCTTGTTTCGGGGCCAGTTCCTTGGCGTCTTTCCGAGATCTTCCTTCCTTCTTTAGCTTTGCGTATTCGACGTCGTATAGGGCATCAAATTTGGTGAACAATACGATGACTGGAACTGAGGATTGTGATTCTGCGTATCAGCTGAACGTCAACGAGGGTGCAATGCGAAAGCTTACTGCTTCCTGTGTCGCATTGAGAGAAAAACTTATTTTCAGCTGCAGTGAACGACCTAGCTGCCTCGTCCATTGGGATGCAGTACCTATGTTGAAACTGTGAGATGGCACATTGTCGCGATTGATCGGTTGCAATTACCATATAGCATGTAGTTGATTTGTTATTTTCTTTTCCTTGGAGCGGCTCGCGATGAATTCCTTGACCTTTTCAAATTCAGATACGCCGCCTGCCTCGAAACCACGTGAATCATGGAAGACGAATCCCGGGTTGTTCTTGAACACCATTTCGTTTTCGATGTCCAGGCTATACTGTTAAAATTAAGCATAATACTCACTGACTAGAAACGGTATGGTTTTGTAAGTTTGTTTGTAAACTATCAATCCCCTACAATTAAGCTTAACGGCTTCTGATTCCTTTGGTGATTCTCAGGCTTCCAAGAATAGCGCTACCACCGGAAAAATTACCAAATTGGGATATTCCAATAATCTCACTATTCCCACATACCTCCCTGGCTCTACTGCTGCACCAGAGCTTTCCCCTTGCTCACTCATGTATATAAGTAGTAGAATGGCATGTACATACATAAAATGATACAATAGACCGCTTTTTTCATTGTCTGAGAGCTTGTACAGCAGTCTACAGTACTGACTACAATATGTGCATCCCAGGACTAAAACATATTCGCTTTTTTGCCCCTTTAGCAGGGAAGCAATTCTGACTGTATATATCATATATTAGAGTGTTAATGAATATATTACACCGCTTGTTTGAGCCTCTGTAGTGTCCTACATCAGTAGATATGTTAAATTCATGAATACCTCTCAAAAAACATAAACCAGTTCGCATTTTTTAGTGTTTAGGTATATAGACTGGTGAATATTATTTCTAACATCTCTTTACTAGTATATACATCATATCAAGAGTATATGTCAGCAGGATCAGTCCCTAGGGTCATATGTATTGTCATCTTCCTGGTGGTTCACTCCCTGAGAAAATTTTTCCTGCAGCTCCGGCCCTCTAGGATGGGAGGTAGTCTTTTACTATGAACATATGGAATATATTTATCACATAGGTATACCAGAACAATACCAGGATCCTTGTCTACAATCCAAAGTCACTTTTTGCCTACAATGTACCATATTTTCGCATTTTTGAGGTTTTTCACTACATTCTCACTACATAGACTATACCAGCTGTTCATATATCACTTATAGTACATATATGAAGCCTTCCCAAGGCCATGATCAGGCAGAAATATGACATAGTAATGATATCAATGATATAGGGGCAAATCCCACAATCATGCAAATGTTATATTTCAACCCTGTCTAGGGCGAAGATTTCATTAAAAATGTATAGAATACATTGTAAACTACTTATATATACTATACTGATATATGTTGTGAAGGTAAAGGTGATGTGGAAGTGTTGTGGTCTCAATTTGTTGCATTATTATGGTCAGACCACCCTTGCATAGACTGTTGGTGCATAGTACTTTTTCGATGTTTGGACTTTTTGACTTTCCCACGACCTATTTCTTATCTATTGGATTCCCCTGCTGTCAATTATTCATGGATCCTTCTGGTAGTCGAGGACTGTATTACTTGGTATATATAGTGTACTCCAAGATAGTCTGATCATAATATTTTACTATATTCATGTCTGGGAATTCTTATCAGTGAGAATAGGAGATATGTGCTTGATATCATTACTCTGACATATTTCTGCCTGATCATGGCCTTGGGAAGGCTTCATATATGTACTATAAGTGATATATGAACAGCTGGTATAGTCTATGTAGTGAGAATGTAGTGAAAAACCTCAAAAATGCGAAAATATGGTACATTGTAGGCAAAAAGTGACTTTGGATTGTAGACAAGGATCCTGGTATTGTTCTGGTATACCTATGTGATAAATATATTCCATATGTTCATAGTAAAAGACTACCTCCCATCCTAGAGGGCCGGAGCTGCAGGAAAAATTTTCTCAGGGAGTGAACCACCAGGAAGATGACAATACATATGACCCTAGGGACTGATCCTGCTGACATATACTCTTGATATGATGTATATACTAGTAAAGAGATGTTAGAAATAATATTCACCAGTCTATATACCTAAACACTAAAAAATGCGAACTGGTTTATGTTTTTTGAGAGGTATTCATGAATTTAACATATCTACTGATGTAGGACACTACAGAGGCTCAAACAAGCGGTGTAATATATTCATTAACACTCTAATATATGATATATACAGTCAGAATTGCTTCCCTGCTAAAGGGGCAAAAAAGCGAATATGTTTTAGTCCTGGGATGCACATATTGTAGTCAGTACTGTAGACTGCTGTACAAGCTCTCAGACAATGAAAAAAGCGGTCTATTGTATCATTTTATGTATGTACATGCCATTCTACTACTTATATACATGAGTGAGCAAGGGGAAAGCTCTGGTGCAGCAGTAGAGCCAGGGAGGTATGTGGGAATAGTGAGATTATTGGAATATCCCAATTTGGTAATTTTTCCGGTGGTAGCGCTATTCTTGGAAGCCTGAGAAAAAAATTTCCAGTAGCATCGAGATCACAAGAGAGATCCTGATCTTTAGAACCAGTGAGGCATCGTGCCTGTTAAGCTTCATGAAGCTTCATGTTGGTGACTCCGAGACAAACTTACAAAATGTACTGTGTATAGTTAGACATGGTTAAGTATCACCCTGCCATGAACAGGTGCGATGTCATGCAGTCCGCGCTGAGAGTACGTCAGTTCATGGCATCGACTAGGAGCACACCTTACCTCTCTGGATGCCGTTAAAACTGTAAGGTCGATCTAATGTCCATGGGTCACTACCATACACTCCTACTAGCATTGTGATGCCCACCTTTTTCCCGGCGCTGTTGTATATTTCTGGATTATCCCGCGTGTTGCAGACTCTCTGCAGGATGGTAGTTTTTCCTGCGTTCGCTCGTCCTATAACGAGGATCCGAAAGCGACCGATTTTCTCTCTTATCTTTGCAGGATCCATGATGGTGGAAGTGGTAGTAAATGTGAGTCACGGAGAAGCGTTGGTGTAGCCTTATAATCACTGCAGTGTGTGAACCCGGCAAATACCCGGTACCCAACCCTAAGCCAGCATCTAGATTTAGTACTTGGGCAATGGGCAACTTGTGTTATCAATATAGGAGAGCTGTGTACCATGAGGCGTACGAAGTGTGTTAGCACTTTAGGGTTTCGATTCATATTTGAAATTAGTTGACTGTCGCAAGCGTGGTAGGGCTCCGTGAAAAACTACCTAGTTTTTGACGTTGGAGTTTTTGACAGGTTTTTAACATGTTTTTAACGAGTCGATAACTCGGGGTTGATATTGGGGTGTCAAAAACTAAAATATATATGTATATGATCTCGGGAACATAGCCTATCGAATTCTCCATCCGAACATCCGAAATCACCGAAAAATCGTTAAGATATGACCGACAATCTGTCAACTACCGTCCAATTGAGCGTTCGGCTGAATCGGCTCAATGATTACAACAAAAATTTACCTTGATGAGCTTCTTCGAGGACATTGGGCGCAACAACGCACAGTTGAGCCACCTCCGAAAGGCACTCGCACAACTTCCACATAGTATCCCCCTCGGAAACTCCAAATATAATTTTGAGCACTATGCTCCAGATCCGGAGAGGGTCGAACTCTATGGCAGTACCGAAGCCGCACTGAATAATGTGCTCGAGGTCACATTTGCACCCAGAGGCCGGAAGGATGAGTCGGCACCGTGTCCATTCGAGTTTCAAGATGTCCCGTAGACCAAAAGGCCTCCCTCAAAACCAACAGTTAAGTTTCGTGACCTGGAAAGTACTCTTTTCGATGTCGATGTCGATAGCAATGGTCAGAAAAGGAAACACGACAACTCCGAGTCGCAAGCAGAGGCTAACCCGGAGCCGCAGGACTCTCATTCAGACTCGGAGGACAATTGATTGGAGGAGAGCGAGGACCCGGAGATTGAGCGTGATCCAATGTACTGGTCTTGTGATACGAGAGTACTTGTGGGTAGCGAGGATGCTCATCTTGATGCTCCTCGATTGTTGGACTTACTATCAGAGAAGCCGGTGGAAGGGGCAAGCAGGACACCTCAACTACAGGATAGCACAGTTCCAACGCCTCCGGGAGGGCCTGTACAGTGGGCATTTGCATTACCGTAGCGAAAAAATGTCAAAATGACCTGAAAAAACGCATTTTTTGAGTCTGTCAAAAACTGGTCAAAAACTAGTTTTTAACTCGTGTCAAAAACCCCTCGAGGGTGGGGGTGAGTTAAAAACTCGTCGTTAACTCCGTGGGTAGTTTTTCACGGAGCCCTAAAGCGTGGCAGCTTGTAGTACTTGCCTGGGCCTAATCATGATAATCTGGCTACGCTCGACATGCTAGCTAAACTTTTCCCCAAAGATGTTGCATCTATTATCATTAGACCAGTTTGATGGTGACCTTTAGCGTTGAGTTCAAGTCTTTGTTGCGTCATCCGTTTGCGCAAGTTCCCAAGACAAACAGTTCCTTCATTTATCCTTGAACTTGAAGAACCATGGGTTCCTCATGCCAGTATACGTGGATATCAATGAATCTCCGACTCATATCACATACCATGCTTTCTATGAGTCCGACTGCGCAGTGTTGACCAGAAGCCCGATGGGCGATATTAATATTGATATGGTTGTGTACCATCATACTACCATGAGGCAACCCTGTGCAATGCTGAGGTTGTACACGACAAGTCCTTGCTACTAGATATCCTACAGCGCCCATTGGCAAGTTAATTCTAGCAAGCTCCGGTGCCCTGTCCTTTCCGATTTTCTTTTCTGCCACAAACTCCGGTAAGCTCCAACGGCCCAGATCGTTGTGCAACGAAGGCAGGTTCTGGTGTGGAAGCTGGCCACGAGTAGCACTGGCACACCGACTCTCTCAAGCTCACTCGTGTAGGAAGTTCACCGTTGTGAACTCTCGTCAGGTTCCTCACCGCAAAACCTGATAAGGGGCCCGGGAGGAATCATCCACCCAGTCACTATGACACCTTCTACCAGTGGCGAGCGTGTTCACTGTCCTTGCAACGACCTGCTGGCGTGCGCATGTAGATTCCCGCACTTCCGTGGACGCGGATACTTGCATTGACGCAGGCGCTTGCATTGACGCGAACTCCCGCATTGATGCGGATGCCCGCACTTAAGCCCACACGGATGCCTTCTTACTACTTTTGCTACTAACTGTCTCATGTAGCCTCACCTCGATGCGTCCCCTTGCGGGCTCCTACAATTTAGGGATTCAACGTTCACTTTGGTACGTCGCATTTACTCCTACTAATGTGCGAGTAGCAGCTCACCTCGGCTCACTCTTGCACAGGCCGGGATCATCATCAGGGCCCTGCTGGCAACCAAGCAGACATTTTTCTCATTCTCAGTAACACAACCACATAAGAGCACCCACACAGTCTGTATCTACTAGTAAGCACTCCGTTCATAAACCACGCGCACAGTTCGATGAAAACTAACAAGTCACCATGTCTAACGAAGATGAAGCAGAAAACTTTAGGCGATTCTCTTTCCATCCTCTCCAATCTCACCACCAGCACCTGTGAAGAGACAGGTGAAGCGGAAGGTAAAGTTTCTAGGCTCGTGGAAGGTCCTGCATGTCGTTGCAGGTGTTGCAAGGGATTTTTGAGCCAATGATATCTCGTCATGTGAGAATGGGTCCAGGATAGTAGGTTCTTGAATAATGATCATTTTTTACCTCGAACGCATGCATGTGGGGCATTGTGGACCCGGAAGTTCTCATCACGAATCTTGCAAGAGTCCTGTAGATGTGGTGATATCTTCAGACTCAGCCGCCCTCGCCGCGAGATCACACCTGACGCCTGAAGCTTTGAAGACCTGAAAGGTCCATTTTTCGATTACTTACATTTCCAGATCGACAACATAGTTTTAACATACGGGGGGAATAGGAGAAAAGATATATAAAACTGAGACATACGAAAAGGTTGGTTCGGTTGGGGATGGCTTGATTGTGCCCGTCGTCCGACGTCACTCATCTCCGGGTACGTGCGTTCTCTCAGACTCCAACATGAACATTCATTTCAGAACCAGATGTTTGCGGAGGACCGTATAAGATAAGTTACAGGATTGAAGGACAGGGATCTTCTGTAGGAGCAGGCTGTGCGAATTGAATTCACCTGTTCAGTGCCGAGTAAGAATTAAGCCAAGGATGTCACATAGCTTAAGGTACTTCAGCGTAGGTGCTTCGAACTGAAGGGAGAGAAAGTATAGCTGATGGGGCTGTCAGCCGCGTTAAAGACTACCGTGACCGGAACCATGAGACTGGGAAGCACACCATGAAACACGTATCAATTTTGAGAGCAAAGTCAAGTTGTCTGCTCGTCATTTGGACCAGCTAGAAAAAGAAAGCGCATGGGTGGTGGTGGAATAATTGAATGGTAAAATGATAGCACTTGAGTACTATACTTCATTTTGTCCGGGGCTGTCTGTAAATGGCTCATGATCAGCCACGCAACTTGGAGACTATCGCGGTGTATCGAGAGATAATTGATGCGTGGTAACACCAAGGGGTGCAAGTTCATTATTCTAATTGTGCCTGTTTGAATATATACAAAGTTAGGTGTAACGACGAGTTTGAGTCGGACTGACAACGAAAAGATTCCAAAGACGCAAGACGAACCCCTTTACACAAAGATCCAAGTTTCTAGAATAAACGCCTCTTATTTGCTCGGTGCGCATAGTTCCCTGATCACGTTCTCATCGATCCTCTTAGCAAAGCATATCTCAAACGGAGCAGCATGTATGTGTGTAGTGTCCGAGAATGCAAACGTGTCAATCTTCGCTGCAGGATTCTCCGAAAGGCGGAAAGCCCACAGAATAAGAGCCGTGTTAACGAAGACCGACCGATTCGCAATATGTTGACCAGGACACACTCTGATCATGCATAAGAAATGGTCGAGAGATGAACGATACCACTCACCGACGGCCAAAGCCAAAAGTGAAAAACTTGAGATCATCACGCACACGACCTGCATCGTCAATCCAACGCTGAGGATTAAATGTCTGTGGTTCCGGGAAGACCTCAGGGTCATTTAAGATAGCCCTGAAACACGAGCGTCAGAACCAAAGGTAAGAGGACAAAAATGATTGTCTACTGACCAATGGTTGCCAATCACAGTTGCACCTGCCGGAATGAGGCAGTTGTTCCAAATGATGTCCTTGGTCGCGCGATGCGCAAAGCCTGCATTGCAAGGTGGTCGTTCATCACCGCGTCGCCACAATTCAAAAAATACGTACCTCCAAGAGTGACAGGTCTCCACCTGAGACTCTCGAGCATGAACGCAGTGACCTGCGGCAGCATTTCCTGATCAGCAAACGTCGGCACTAATCAGGTGCTATCTGTCAGTAGACGAACAAAGAAAATGCATAACATACGCCGCGTACGCCCCACGACATCATCGAGTTCTTCTTGTACGCGAGCCTGCGCATCTGTATGAGTGGCAGCAGCCATCATCATGATTGTGATTGCGGACGCAGTCTACAACGGTTGCCGAGCGAAGACGCGATGCAATGCAAGAACTTACAGTATCAGAACCGGCCCCAAATATCGCTCCTGCGATGAATGCCATTTCCTTATCTCCGAGCTCGTACTGTTTCTGGTGCTCTATCATGAACCTCGCAAAGGATGGCCTTGCGGTCCCCTCACGCTTCGCAGTGGTGAGCGAGGATATATATCATCAAAACAAAATCACGAACCATTTGTGTTCGCACCGCGTCCAACTGCCTGTCATAGAGAGCATGTTCTTCCTTGTGCCATGCCTTCAGCTGACTCAGATAGCCTGGGATGAAACGCAGGATTGGATACGTATCCACAAGGTATGCTCCTGGCTGGATAGCTTGACCAAAACGCGCAAGAGCCTTATTGATGGCAACGACTTCAGGATCCGCATATGAAGTCGGAGTGATTTTTCCATAGGTGAGGGACATGACCACAGAAGCTGAATAACTAAAATCCTCGGATCACCACCTGTACCGCGCAAGCAAGAGCTGGTGTTCGTACCGCATGGCATGACCTTGGTGATTCTTTGGATCATTCAAGACATCTAGAACCACATTCTTCGCATGTCTCGTCTGCATGGGCTCATAAGCCTCTGCAACCTTGGTTTGCAAGCCTGCATGCAAGACCCTGCATTACATTCAGTCTCGCTAATCGCACCTAGTAGAGACAAGATGTGTACCTGCGCAGCCGGCGCAATCTCTCACCAGAGCCCTGAGGCAGTACTCCCAACCCGCCAGTCAACGTCTCTTGCGCTGCAATAGAACGCGGGCGGTCGGCAAGATTTGCTCCCTCTTTTTCCATGATATCCACTGCAGCCTGTGACGTGATCTACTTCATGGGATAGACAATGTATTATCTTATGCTGACCTGATGACGTCCTATAACTACAAAAATTCTATGGCCTTGTTTGAGCGAGAACACAGGTCCATACTGTTCTGTCCACCTCGCGAATTGAAACGGCACACTGCGTGAGGGGTTAGATAGAGATCGCGTTGGTGTCCCTTGACAAAAGACTCACTGTGACTTAGGCATCGTATTTCCTAACAGCCAACGTCCAGGCGGTCCAGGGGGTAAAGGCAACCGCCTTGCGGCCTGGTATCGTCGTTTCATTATCCAGATGCTGGCTAAGATAATGATAACGGTGCATGCGGGGATGATAATCGCCATTAAAATGGTCCGGCTGGCTGATAGTTACGATTCAGACACCCCGCTACTTTGCAACACGTTAAGTACAAGTACTCCGGAACAGAAAAGTAGCGACTTTCTGTCATGAGCGACGTGGTACGGTGAGATTAGTGTGCATCATGGTTACGCTGACTTATATTTATACAAACACGGATTGAACACCTGCGCG